TTTATAAAAGGTCGTACCTTTTTGTCTCTAGCAGATAATATCATAATATGTTTATGCAATACTTCGAGTTCTCCCTTCCACCTGGCTATTTGTTTAGTTTGAATAGCTGGTAGTCACAATTTTTTGTCCCAGAAGCTGATAGTTTAGTTATGTCGCAGACGTGTTTCTTTCGGCAATTTGGGCATTCAGTCGTTCGGTCAGATTACCACATTCTACGCAGAGGATTTATCACGGTACACATCTCTGTAAACTGAACCACATATGTATGTTTTTGTTTCTTGGAAGCAATCAGTATGTATATGTACGTGTATGTACTGGTTCTCGGTTAGCTCATTCGTCCTATTATTGTACCGTGTAGTGCTTTCAGCAGAGCTAGTTTGCAAATGATATGTTGAAAATGTGAAGCAACAAACAGTAATGCATTTATTTTCGGACCAATTTTATAGAAGAAGATACGAGAAACATGATTGTGCATGGACTTCAACTCTTCCATGTAAAAACAGGGAGCTGTAGCTAAAGGGTTCTCGATTGTCACTTAAGGACAAGTTCACAAGAGGCTGTATCAATCAGCCATTACTTGTTCTTAGATTCATTCAACAAACTAGTGTCCTCCAGGACTTTTTCATCTATATTATAAGCATCATTGTATATTATGGGCCATATGATGTTCCTAATGTTTACTAACACATACTTTATCTTTCCCTCTCTCCTTCCTCTCCTTTGTTTTTGGTCCTGGCGGGCAGAATCACCACCTTACTCACAGATATGATTTTCATGGCTACATGATTCGCTCCATGGAAGAGGAATTCCAAAGGATAGTTGGTGTTAGGTAATGTCTTTTTACTTGTATTGAGCGCTTTGTAGAAACCCAGAATCCACTTTTGGGGAGTCTAAACTGAAAATGAGGACTAACATTCTGTCTTCGCAATTCTTTCCAGTGGTCCTTTGTGGGGATTTGTGGTTGCCTTTATGCTTTTCAATATAAAAGGTATGGTACCTGAACAGAAACTGATTGCTGCAATTGTCTGTTTTGGTCGCTTGTCAATCGTGGAAGATGTGGGAATTTGATGAAACTGCACTTGAATCCTCCTGAATCCTTTTCTGTATACCTTACATGTGACTATCATTAGTGTAACTTATAAGTCTGTGAGGAAGTCGTCTCTGCTTGCCTTGTTACTTACACTGATAAAACTATATTTAGTTGCATGACTAAATTAACGTGCATTGTGCCTCACTGCAGGTTCTAATCTTTATTTCTGGATAGCTATCATTCCTATAACTGTAAGTAATTACTCTATTGCACTTCAAATGTGTTTGCTTCTGGGTGCTTGGCCTCCTTAGGGAGTTGCTTTTGGCTTCTTAGCAGCTCCCGGGTTTCTGTTTGATAGATGGACTAATTATGTCCTCCATTTCATATTTAGCTTGTGCTTCTAGTTGGAGCCAAGCTACAGCATGTGATCGCAACCCTGACATTGGAGAACGCTGGCATTTCTGGCTACTTTGCTGGAAGAGAGCTGAAGCCTCGAGATGATCTTTTCTGGTTCAAAAAGCCAGAATTACTGCTATCGTTAATCCATTTTATTCTATTCCAGGTAGCATTTCTTGCCACATTGAGTTGCTGCTGCTGCTTCCTTTACTCTTGGGTTTGAAGGGGGAAACTTCTGATGAACTGACACATTTTCTTTTACTATGCTTGTTGTGGATTGCAGAATGCATTTGAACTGGCTTCATTCTTTTGGTTCTGGGTACCTCCTCTTCCATGACAAATAGTCTTCTCCGTCTTTTTTGATTAATCTCTTTTTCTCTTGCTTATGTACAGCTTCAAGTGTGTCTGTGCTCCACCTGATTTGTGGTTTGTTTTTGGTTTGCATGATGCAGTGGCAATTTGGATATGATTCCTGTTTTATAACGAACCATACACTCGTTTACATACGACTCATCTTAGGGTAACAAGAAGATGGAATCTTCAGTTTATTATAGTTTTTATTACACAGAATTGGCCACTCACATTGTTCTATGGCGCTCTGTAGGTTTGCTGGTCAGTTTCTTTGTAGCTACAGTACATTGCCTCTGTATGCTCTAGTCACTCAGGTACGCTCGAGGAAATTCTGCGACTCTGGCACTGGGAACAGATTGCTACCTAACTGAGAATTATCTCCATTTAGTTTGTCGAAAATTAATAAGCCTTATCAACATTCGATTTTACTTGTTTACCAAGTTATTGGATCACAGAACTTCATGGTGACACTCCTGTCCTGGGTGCATTATCTAATAATCCGCTTGTGAACTTTGCAGATGGGGACAAATTACAAGGCAGCATTAATCCCACAGAGGATAAGGGAGACAATCCATGGGTGGGGGAAAGCTGCTAGGAGGAGGAAGAGAAGACATGGATTCACCGACGACTCCACCATCCGCACGGACACAAGCACAGTGATGTCACTCGAAGATGAAGACGATCATCAGTTTCTCGACCCTCCACCCGACGCGACCCCTCTTCCAGGAAGGAATGACAATCACATAGAGCTGCAGCCAGTTTCTGCTCCTGATTCCCTCCTAACCAGTCCTCTCGGTCCCGTTCCCAACGATACTTCGTCCCGAGCTGGCACCCCACTCCTGAGACCTTCTGCCTCCTACATTGCTTCTCCAGTCGTTTCTCGAGTCATTGCCGAAGACAGTTTCCCTAGGTCGTCATCCATGCCTGCTAGTAGAAGATAAATGAAGCAAAAAAAGGATTGTAGCACGCCAGCCAGTTGTAGATCAGCAAGGGAGAGGAATCGAGATGTAAATCGGTCGAATTTGTATCGCTATCATGGGTACATAAATACATACTCATGATTTTGCAGCTTGATTGTAGATGAATCTTGTACCTGTTTCTCTGTATGTGCATGCATATATATATGTGTAACGAAAATGGTGCAAATACGAAGCTCTCTTTCTGAAACATCCGGATTGGTCAAACCACAATCTCCTCTGTTTTTTCTGCTTCTGCCGCGACTCATGCATCATGGATGTAAGCATTGGCCTCGTTACTATATGATGATGCATTTTTCTTAAACACGTTTATGAAATTTCGGATTTGTTAAATGAACGAGTTTTATGCATTTTCCAATTGATGATCTGATTTTTGTTATTGTGAAATCTCCCGTTTCTGGGATGCATTGACAAGTTCTTTGCACGGCAAACTCTAACGTAGTGAAACTGTAACTAAAAGCTTCAAGGGAATCAATATCTTAGTGAAGTTTGTGATCTTGAGCGCAATAAGCCTATTTCTTCATGCTCCAAGGAAGCTGCAACTGCATTCGACCCGCAGCTAGCTGTAAAAGTCACCATTGATAAACCCAAATCGCGGAGAGCCTGCCAGGGTCATTTAACGACAGTCGTTTTATCTTCTAAAGTAGCAATTTCAACATGGTATGGTACTAGCTTCTAGATGTGCCAATCTCTGCTAGCATTTGGAACTGCAAACTTCGACTCAGAAACGATGAAGACAGCAAAAATACAGGAGTTATTCATACTCTTCAGGGAAAACAGATAAAAGTTGCTATAGCAAACCAGAGTATCTAGAGTCTAGACATCGTCCCCTTCGCCCCCATCGTCATCCAGACCTGTAAAACCTTCGGCCATCATCTTTTTTCTGTTTTGCGCTTGTCTTTCTACTGCAACCATGTACAAACCTGGCCAAACAGGTAACCAACAGAAAACTTATTCAGATAGAGAGAAGAAATACATGAGGGAAAGAGAGCTGCTGAATGCTCATTGTATGGCTGGCAATAGTCGATTTGGAAAACCAGTGGCACAATAGTATGTAATGTTCATTCCGGAATACTTACCGACTGCACTTCCAAGAGCACACATCCAGAGAATCCTCATGGACCATTTATCGCTAATAACACCTCGGCCTCCCATGCTTTGCTGCAAAAATTACCAGTCCTCTATCAGCCAAAAGGGCACATTGTCAATTAATTCATGCTTCTCTTAATTTAATTGACGAATCTGCACCCCAACTAATGCGAGAAAAGCACAACAGGATGAATAAAAAAACTGCAATTTGGATGCTCATTAAGGAACTTGACAATCTCGAGCTCAAGCATGACCTCTAACTAAATTCAAACTCGATTTTTCGGTTTTCAGATAGGTCGAATCGAATTTGATGACGAGGTTGATCCAAGCTTGATTTGCAGACTCGCAAGCCGGCTTAAGTGAGCTGAATTCCAAAGAGGAGGTTAACAACAGAGGAATTGAATCAAGCTCAGCCAATTCATTTACCAAATTGAGAAAGGTCAAGGGTTTCATACACAATCAGAGCATCCAGGACCTAAAATTTAAAAGGCTGAGACTTTCTTACTTCATCCGTAAAATGTAACAACTACAAACACTAGCAGTCTCCTAATTCGTAATGAACAGGATGATGCATTGAAATGAAACTGGAAATTCATTTCCTTTAGAGCAAACACGATAAGTGCGTTCAGTCCTCGCAGGGATAAACCCTACTGAGATCAACCAAATTGAAGACAAGAAATTAACCCTTCCCACAAGGAAATCCGAAAAACTAAACCTATAATAACCCGACGAATAATGATCTTACCGCTGAACAGTAAACAACGAGTCGCTGCAGGCGGCGAGCTGACGGGCAAGCAGAGAAATGGGACTTCGCCTGTTGAATCTCTCGGCTTCCTCGATCCGGAAAAGGTTCTAACAGAAGTAACGCGATCTCTCTCTGTCCACGTCGGCGAGCGCCGATGGCGATTACAATCTAAGACTGACCGGCGGTGGGAGGCACCGTCTTCCCCTGTTCTAAACCCTCGCTTTCTCGGTTTCCCCCTTTCTCTCTCTCTCATTCCCTCTCCTCCACCGCGATAAGAACTACAGTACTACGCCACGTTGTCTAAATTTTCATTTTATTTGTTAAATATTTTCCCACCGAAAAAAATTTCTTATCAATTCCAAATCTTAAACGTTAAAACTTAAAACCCATCAAATTTCTGCTTTCCCACTCCCTCAGTATGCTTTTATTACTAGTTTGCTACTGCTACTAGTCTACTACTGTCCACTGCTCACAGCCACTGTCCTGTCCTTGAAAAAAAAAAAAAAAGAAAACAACTTTCCCCCTTCTCCAGAAACATTCCCCAATCCCCAGTGCTACCCAGAACCCACGCTCTCTTCCTCACTATCCCCCCTTGTCTTTTCCATACATAGTTGAGCTGCCGAGGAAGATCGAACGGAGGAAGGGAGAGAGAGGGAGTTGAAGTAGGGAGAGAATATGAGTCGGCCCCTGGGGGCAGTGATAGGGAGGTACCCATCAAGTGACGGCAGCACTCGGATTGATCGAATCATTAAGCGCAACAGGAGATGCAGAGATGTGGCATTTCTGGTAGTGTTCATAGCCTTTTGGGTTGCCATGATTGTCAACTCCAGCTTTGGATTCAACCTAGGAAACCCATTAAGGTTAGTAAATCACCAAAGTGACGGGCTTTTCTTTTCTTCACGCCTCCCTCCAAAACCCTTCTTTACCAGCAGTATGGTAATTTTGGTGCTTCATGCAACTTTCTTTGGTTGGATAGATTATGTGCGCGAAATGAGCTTTCTTTGCTGCAATTATTCCTGTCAAAGTGTTTCTTTTGCTCGCCATTTTTGGTATACTTTCTGTTTCTTGATTTAGTTACTTTGTGGGTGTTGCTAGGCTTACATATGGGCTGGACTACAAAGGAAATGTTTGTGGTGACAAGCATGCAAATCCGAATCTGCGTGAATTGGAGCTCACATACTGGGTCAATCCTAACCAGGTCTATCTTAGTGGTTCCAAGAACAGCCAATTCAAGTTGGCGAATGCTAGGAGTATATGCTTGTTGGATTGTCCTAGACCAACAGACGATGGGCTGAATTGGGTCTGCGATTACCCGGAGGGTGATATCCGCATATCAATGGACGATTGGATCGACAGGAATTATGATTATTACGAGTTCCTTACCCCTGAGATGAGGAACTCATCTCTTCAACTCCAGGGTCCTTGTTACCCTGTCATTTTCCCTAGTGTAAATGGTATGTGAGCTAGATATGTTTGATGGTTTCAACTCATTACATGTTTCTGGTTCTTACCAATGTCAAGCCCATAGGAGAATTTTTTACTGGCTCTGCTGAATTGGGAAGCATTTGAAACCTTTCCGCTTCTTTCCGATCATTTTCTGTTGATGTGTTAGTTAAATGCAAAATTGTACTGTAATCTTTTGTGTGTCTTTATTCTCAGTGCACTGGAGGTGCGAATTTGTTGCTCGTGCATCAAATGCGTCTTTGAGGCATTGGCAGGTCATGGGTGGATTGAACATCAACGAGGATATTAGAATTGACAAGACCATTCACAAGTCAGTCAATGCTCGTTCGTCTGTACTGAAGGTTCGAGGTTTCCCCCCATAGTCATATGATGAATGTTCTGTTCGTGGATTGATGGATATTGTTATGACTGTAATCTTTTTCTGATTCTCCTTATCTTCCATTTCGATTTAACCTCCTCGGCATGGATTAGGAATAGAACTTGCACTACTGATGGTATGAAAGGGTCTATAGAAGCATGTCTAGTGCATTTGTATGCCAGACCAGTTGTATAATTGATTTTGATGGCCGGAGTATGTATTTTCATGGTGTTTCTGTACGCCAAAATGTGTTTGTTGTCTTTTCGCGAAGCCAATTGTACAGCATATGTTCTCCGCACGTGGAAGTTAATAAGCTTTATTTTGTCTTGCAGAGATATGTGGCAGATATTGGGAAGTCATGGCCTGTATTAATCGTCTGTGGAGGACTATTACCTCTATTTTTGTCGGTGATTTGGCTGCTGATGATTCGACACTTAGTTGTTGCCATGCCATGGGTTACAGTTGCCCTCTTTAATATACTCATAATTTCAGTGACAATGTTCTACTACCTGAAAGGTCAGTAACTCAGAAGGTTTCCTTTTACTTTTCACTGCTGAGCTGACATGGTTTTAGATTATAGGCCAGACTTGGAAGTGACTTGAGTACTGTGAGTTGTAGTCATTGGATCTCATTGTGTCTCAACACAGCTTCATAAGGGTGTTTTGTCTGATTTTGATATAATCTCTTAGCATTAATAAGAAACGAGGCATTGGAAGATTATTTACATGATCAAGTGCTTCCTCCTGGAATATGATTGATAGCAGTCCCACCTATTTTATTCATTCATCTGCAACTGGGTTACCAGTTTAACTGCAAATGCTTTTTAGTTCTGGCTTGAGAGTCTCCTTGATTTCCCCCCTCTAGTGACACCATTTCTTTTGCTGATCCTTTTCTTACGTTGATCACTTTACAGCTGGATGGATTGGAAATGATGCTATATCCCCAGTCATTGGCCCTCCTGATCCATACTATCATGTGTTTGGTCGAGTAGGTTACTATATCAGCTGCAGTGCAAGATAGTATCCTTGTCCTTTCGCTGTGCATGAAATTTCTTTTATCTGTTTCTTAATCGTATCATTTTTGCCTTTCAGGAACTTAATCACATCCGCGCTGTTGCTGTTCTCATGACCGTGATCATGGTGGTCTCTGTCCTTACATCATTTGCCATAGCTCGACGCATACTTATGGCCACATCCGTACTCAAGGCAAGTCGGCCATTTCTGGACATGTGTAGAAAGTGAATTTCCAGCTAGGTTTCTTCAGGGGTTAACATTTTGTTTCCAAAGTGATCAAAACCTGGTTGAATGAAATAATTGGTTTTGATCATTAATGCAGGTGGCTGCAAAGGTGATTGGAGAAGTTCAGGCTCTCATAATTTTCCCAGTCATACCATATGCAATGCTTGCAATATTCTACATGTTCTGGTTCGCAGCTGCTTTGTATCTATTCAGCTCTGGCCAGATCATCCAGAACAACTGCGACGACTCAAACTGCTGCGCGTATGATCTTGTGTCGAAACGGGTGAACTGTGACCGTTGTTGTGGTTATGGCATCCGTTACACCCCTCATATTGCTATGGCCATCGTCTTCCACCTGTTCGTATGTTACTGGGCCACCCAGTTCGTCATAGCTTCCTCTGCAACTGTCATTGCTGGTTCTGTTGCATCCTATTATTGGGCTCGTGGTGAGAGCTCGGTAAGCTGCTCACTCCTCCTTTGTGTCTGGCATAACTAATGTACAGAACATTTTATCTTGTAGATTAGTGAAATATCCTTGACTACACTATTGCCAAATGATATGCAGCCAGAGATACCATTTCTTCCAGTTTTCGGCTCCATGAAAAGGCTTATGAGATACAGCCTTGGGTCAGTTGCCTTGGGCTCGCTGGTGGTCTCGTTTGTTGAATCCATACGCTTCCTCCTGGAATCGATTCGCCGCAAGCTGAAAATCGCTAATACGACACCGGACAGCTGGATTGGGAAGGCGCTGCACCATACCTCTGGATTTTGTCTCAGCTGCATCGAATGGACCTTGAAGTCGGTGAACCGCAATGCTTATATTATGGTAAATGTTTGAAATAACAACTTTTTTCTAAGTGTGATCAATAAACTGCTGTTTGTTTGGATCTTTGATACAAGTCATAATTTTGATGGCATGCAGATAGCTATTACTGGGAAGAGCTTCTGCCGGGCTTCTGGGATTGCAACTGAGTTGATCATGAACAACATTTTGAGGATAGGGAAGGTGAATGTGATCGGGGACATAATTCTGTTTCTGGGGAAGTTGTGTGTGAGCCTTTCTAGTGCTGTCTTTGCGTTCCTGATGTTGGACACACACAAGTACAGATCTTCGCATAACAAGATCTCTTCCCCACTCTTCCCCGTGGTGGTAAGAACTAAGAACATCAGTGCTTGTTTGTTTCAGTTTATTGAGATACTATATCCTTTACTTGCCAAACTTTGGCACGGCTGATAATGTCATGTCAAAATATGACAGGTTTGCTGGGGACTTGGGTACGTGGTGGCGACACTGTTCTTTGCGGTTGTGGAGATGTCGATCGATACTATCATCCTGTCGTTCTGTCAGGACTCGGAGGAGCACCAGGGGACAGCTCAGTATGCTCCTCCTCTTCTCATGGAGACGTTGAACGATCAGAACGAGATGCAGAGACTAACTCAATGAAGAACAGGTGTTTTATGTCATCTATTCTTTTGATGGTTTCTGAAAATGTACAAGTAGTAGCAGTAGTATAAGTAGTGTTGCTAAGTTGGTTTTGAGAATCTAGACTAGTAAGCGTTACTATTTAGTTGAAATACTAAATTCATATCCTTTTTATATCTCGACACCATGGAGAGTCTGGTTACATTGCTGGTATGAACAATTTAGCAAAAGGAGTAGAAAATGAAAGCCCAGGTCCATCGCCTCTTCTCCCAACAACTCGAGTTATTGGAACCAATTGGTTCATGACATTTCTCCCTCTTCAATCCCAGCAATGGTATCGTACAACGGCCGGTTCAGCGTCTCCGGCAGCATAAACGTCAGCAACCCACCGCCGATCCCACACGCCGCCATCACCGCAAACGGCACCCACGCCGGCACCGCCACCACCACGAACGGCGCCAGTATCGCCCCGACCTGCGCCGCCTGCAGCGCGCACCCCATCGCCGCGTTCCTCACCACCGTCGGGAACAGCTCCGCCGCGTACACATACAGCATGTTGTACGCGCCGGCCATCCCAAACACTCCCATCACCCCGCACGCCGTCCTCACCACCTCCCACCACGCGCCGCCCCCGGCGCGTCCGGTCACCACGCTCCCGATAAGACACGAGACCCCGCTGAAAACCTGCGTCGCGATGGCGAGCGGCTTTCGCCCGACCTTGTCGAGCAGGACAGCTGTCAGGGTGAAGGACGGCATCTCCGCCGCCGCGTTGACCGCCACGTTGGCGTAGAGGTTGGTGCCGAGGTTGACCACGTTGAGGCTGAGGCCGTAGTAGACGGTTGAGGAGAGGAAGCTGACCGCCATGCCGAGGAGGAGCCGGGTTCGGGTCACGGGCGACCCGAGGACGTCCGTTAGGGTACCCGTGGTTATTAACGCCGTTTGCTCGCTCTTCTTCTCGTTGCCGTTACTGCTTGCGTCTTCGTCCAGAGCTAGAACGACGCCGTCGGGGATGCTGTTTCCGTTAGAGTGTGCAATTGACCGCATCACCTTCATGGCTTCCTCAACTCTGCCGCGAACTAAATACCTGGTAGGATAGCATAGCAGTTAAAATTTCGATTTAAATTTTCAAAATCCTACAATTATACCGTATTACTTATATATGTCGATTCTGATTTCACTAGAAAATTTATGAATTTTGAAATCCTACAACATCTCGAATTAATTGGTTAAAATCTATAAATCTTGTGATTTTCAAGGATTTTAACATTTTCATGTTAAATTGATTGAATTTTGACCAAATGAAATCGTGTTAAAGAAAAAAAAGATCAAATCTTTGAGTCAAATTTACTTATTTTCCTCCAAATTAGCAAAACATAACGTCTTTTTCCCCCCTTTTTCATCATCAACATCATCTAGTTCTCTCTCATACTAGCGACCATCGACGATTATCAATTCACGTCAACGTATTAATCATTATTGATTCTCCACTTCTCAACACTGACCTTGAGAAATTGGAACATTAACCTTGAATTTTATTCATTTAAAGTGTTATTATATATATATTTCTTTGTGTTATCATGATTTGGCTTATTATTATTATTTCATGTTTATTTTTATAGAAATCTTAAAATTTTATGACTTTACTATTCCATTTTATGATTCAAATTTTTACCACAAATTTTTTTGTCATATGTAAAATCTTGAAATTGACTTCTGCACACAAATAATAAAACCATCAAGTTCTACTAAGATAAATCTCTATAACGTACCAACGGGGCGACTCGGAGATGAAGGGCAGGGCGAGGAAGAGGTAGGCGACGGAAGGAAGCGAGGAGGCGATGTAGAGTTGGCGCCAGGGTTGAAGGAAGTAAGCCAGCGCGGAGAGGATCCCTATCCCGGAGGAGAAGAAGTAGAAGGAGGACCCGCCGGCGGTTCCGCGCTTGGTGGGGCCGACGGGCTCGGTGGAGAGGACGAAGGCGGCGAGTCCGACGCCGCCGCAGCTGATGCCGGTGAGCAGGCGGACGACGAGGTAGGCCCAGTAGTTCGGAGAGAACGCGGTGAGACAGCCGAGCACGGCGTTCATGATGGAGACCACGGTGAGAGATCCTTTCCGGCCGAGCGTGGTGTCGGCGAGATGGCCGAAGGTTCCTGCGCCTGCAACATTCATTTTCACATATAGCTTTGCATTTTAGCATTATTGCACGTTACGTAGGAGATCATAATGTGGCTTCCGTTTTACACATGAAAGGTTGTCAACCCGTGGACCAATCGCGCGGTATAGGTTGAACCGTGCTAACGATCAGGCTCGAACTTTTGCACGCGAGGATTGGGAATCCACTTGAAAGTTCGCTCTTGGATTTGGTTAAAATCGGGAAACTTTTTTGATCGACTTCGGAGCACCCCAACTGCCGGTTAATCCGGTGGAGGCCGGCGAGCTTCGAGTAAGGTGAAAATGGGTGTAATAACACGAGTACTTCTGAAGAGGTTATTGCGGTCTTAATCAGGAATAGGATGACAAATTCGGTCTTCTTCATCACTTGTTCAGTGTAACCCGACTTGCCTAGAGTCTGTTTTGACATGGCTATTACTTAACCTTGTGAGCGGAGAAAGGCGAGCATGGGTTCTTATGCCGACTTGCTTCATTCTAATTTCATATATTTTCGTATCGTGTGATATTTATTAAAAGGTGGCTACTTCGGTGCACTCACTTGTTTGGGTGCATTCAGTGCACCCACCTCTAAAAGTGGTCATAATACATCAAATTTTGAAATTTAATGGGTAGCATTAGTCTCATATGATGATATAACACAGAATCACAACTAATCAACCCATTACCCTAACCTATTAACATTCAATTTTGAATCTAAACCCAAAATCCCAAATTGTAAACCCTAACCTTAAATTCCTAAACCCTAAATCATTCAAATTAAAGTGAATCTTGAATGATTTTTGTACAAATTCATGTGGTTCTTGTTCATAATACTACAAGGGATGATTGACATCGTTTTCACATGAATCGTCTGCTCAGAATGACGATTATGAGGCGGGTGCATTGAATGCACCCCAAAAAAGTGAGTGCACCGAAGACATAACCTTATTAAAAATACGAATATTTTCACTCTTATTACATCATATTTTAACCCTAATATATAGTTACAATCAATGTTGTGAGCTCCCACTCTATAATAATTTAACCTCATTATTACTAATTAGTCAACTTCTCTAAAAAAAATTTAACTCACGAGAAATTTGAAAACGATAGGGATATTAAAAATTTAACATACCTATCATACACCCAACGAAGAAAGCAGCCTGGACAAGCCCAACCTTGAATTTCTGCCCACAAACCAGCCCCCACTCGGCCACAATAGTCCCCCCAGGCCCACCGGCCCACTCCCACGACCCGGGATCCAGCCCACAAACCCCTTGCGCCGCCGCCGGGTCACACACCCCACCACCGCCGCCGCCGCCGACGCACCTGAAGTCCGGCTCGCGGTCGGTGAAGACCATGACCATGGTGTGGAACGCCTCCAAAGTCAACGCCAGGTTGGTCAACGCGAAGTGACGGAGCTGCCACCACCCGAACTCGCCGCAGTGCCTCTGCAGCATCTCGTCGATGGTCAGCCTCTCGGGCCGGGACTTGTCGCCGGCTAGATCCGGGCCCGGGAGGAGTGGGTCCAGGTCGCCCGCCGCCGGCGAGTCGTGGTCGGCGGCTGGTGGCAGTGGCATCTTTGGTGTGTCGATTCGAATCGTGCTTAATTATGAGGCTTGTTCTTGGGTATGTCAATTTTGTGTGTGGAAAGTAAGAAACAGAGGAGATAAGAGGAGGCAGAGAGAGTTGAAGGTTTTCAGCTGGTGGGATTAAATTATTGGATCCATTTTTTTGACACCAAGCTCAGTGAGACATGTGATATCCCTGCGAACAGGCTGATTCTCGTTTTGTATTTGTTTTTATTTATTTTGGGGTGTTTAATTGTTAATAATTGTACTTTGAATATTTCTAAGGTATAGCCGTATAGGTACAAGTGACATTAGTATGGGACTATAGGTTATAATCTAACACCGCTGACCGTTAGTCAATACGATATGTTATTGCATCGTCCGCCTAAAAATTATTAAAAAATTCAAATTCAAATTATTTATATTTATCATTATAAAATTAACCAAAAAATAAATTGTTAATTTGAAAATGATAAATAATAGAAATTAAGAAATTAGTTTTAATTTGAAAATTTTATTTGATTTTTAGGCTCACTAGGCAATGAATTGACATGTTGACTAACGGTCACAGGTGTTGACCGTCCAAATTGACAGTCAAACCACGTGTCGGGCCAATTGAGTCTATATGATGCATAGTTGATGCCAGAATGTTAATTTCTAAAACCACGGGCTAATTATATGATCATAGTTCGGGTCAAAATAATGTATTAACCCGTTAAATTAGTTAGTCTAGGTTTAAAATTTGCTTTTGATAATGAAATATTTTGATTTAGAATTAATTGTCCTATCAATTTTTTTTTTATCCAAGATAAGCCTCCAGGACATGGCTGCTGGACAACAAAAATACAAAACAAATAATAATAAAACACTATAGCCCGTATGCAACCCGATTCTCGATGAAATAACATGTTATGCCACAATGTGGGCAGCTCCACGAAAAAGCTACATCCATTATTTGATTATAAGAAAAACATTATGATAGCTCAACCATTATTAACCCGAAAAACTAGATCATCCTCCACCTTGTATAGATCACATCCATCGCCCTCGTGAAGTTCAGAATCCGATCCATCAGCGCCGCCGCCGTCGGCCTCAGGCACCCTTTGTTCAGCTCCTTCCACGCGTCCACAACTCGTTGCCTAAACAGCTCCACCACCGCCTCCTCCGTCACCTTGTGCTTCTCCAAGTAGCATTTCGACGGCCGACGGGATGTGCTTTTCCTCTCTTGCTCTAACGTTTTAAGTTTTAAAACTTGATTTTAACTACATTAACTGCATGCATGGTCAACTAAGACACGAGTGTGGTTGGAAATTAGACGTTAAAGACAGTCAAAACTCATATGAGATTGAATTTTGCAGAGAGATGAATATCATGCTCAATTATAAAGCTTATATTACATACTAACACGTCATCTCAAACGATAACGCGCCATCATATACGTATTTGACAAATGATTTCGTCAGGATTCGAACCGCGAAGGCCACTCGAGCATAGAAGTAGTAAATTATAATCATTACCTTTCAATCGCCATGAGTGAAAACATCAAGCTGTTCAGCTGTAGCGTAGTTATCATAAGCATCATCCGCCAGAGACATGATGGCCAAGAATTTGGTCAACAGCCTCCTGCCCAGGCAATACTTGGGCTCAAAATACACTCCCATGATCCAAAATAGCACTCCACAATTCTGTCTCTGGCGTATGGAAAATTCGTCGGCACCTCCAAACCTCCCCACCACCTGTACATATAACAGAATATGCTAACCTTTATTCTTACTCTGTTTTTATAGAGGCAGAGGCAGGGGCAGGGCAACTATCTGCGACGTCACGGCATGGATTAATGCCGCCGGTGGATAGTTGGCCAGTTGAACCGGACAAAGAAAGCGGGAGGGCAGGCTGGAGGAGCTGAAGGGGAACATTGAATCGGCAGATTTAATTGACCCATGTCGGAGAAACGCCTCACAGGGCGCCACGCACCCTGAAGAAAGAGACAGGGGATCGACATTTAAGAGCCCCGAGTTAGCTCCTGGTTAGCAAGTCCAGCCAGCCAACAGCTAGTTAATAACTATGATATCTAATGCAAAGATTTCAACCATGGTATTTGATGGGATGGGATTAGGTGCTAACCCCTATAGAGGTTAGTACCGTGATAACTAGCAAAAATCACTACGGATTATTATAAAATCAATACAACATCTAAGCTAAATCACTACTAATTCAAATGAGTAGTAGTTTTTCCCTTGGTTAAAACGGTGCTAACTATTGTACAATTAGCACCGTAGCCGTTCCCTATTTCGATACATTTTTTGTTTGTTAATCCTGTTCCTTTTGGGGCATTATATTCATAATTTCATCATCAGAGTAATCCATGAGGCCCCGCTCCCCTCACTTGTCACTGTGATATCTAATGCAAAGATTTCACCAAATCAAACACAGAAATCTGCGATACAGATTGCACCAAGAGAAAATATACAATACAGAACACGCACAAACACGATGGGAGGGTTCGATAACGGGCCTCTCATCGCCTTGTTTTAATCGGAGTAGGGTACATTCATACGCCTCATTTTCATCTCAAAGCGTCAAATGAAGACGGGTTCCTTGAGAACAGAGACGACGCAGTCCTTGAGCCAGTAGGAGTCGGTGTAGCCATCGTGGTCCTTATAGATCACATCAATCGCCCTCGTCAGGTTCAGAATCCGATCCATCAGCGGCGCAGCCACCTCCGTCGGCCTCAGGCACTCCTTGTTCAGGTCCTTCCACGCGTTCTTAATTCGCTCCTCGAACAGTCTCACCACCACCTCCTCTGCCACCTTGTGCTTCTCCATGTAGCATTCGATGGCCGACGGGATGTGCTTCCTTTCCTGCTCTAACTGCATATGCAATCAAGCTACATTATGATCATAGCACATGATGAGACACATACAATGTACATACACCACTTAGATCGATGAGGAAGACGTAAAGCGCGCGAACGAACCTTGTGGGAGACGATCTCGTCCATCAGCCTGCAGATGGTCGAGGAGGCTTTGAGCCCGTTGGGATCCCTGGAGAGCCACTCGAAGGCCTCCTCTGTGGCGCCAGCCATGCCGACGAATGAAACAGTTGCGAGCAACGGATAGCAAGAGGTGACGAGTGCAACTTCCATGTACTCTTCTAGGTTCGGGAAGTAGTCTGCATCCCTCCACTTGGCCTCCGTTAGATACGCGTTGAGCGTTCTGTCTAGCTGCAGGTAATGTTACCAGCTAATGGATACTGCTGCGAAAAATGGAATAGTTACGAAACATATGCCCTTAGGCCTTAACTTACTGCTTTTTTCGCGTAAGGTGGAGCAAAAGGCCTCCCTTCTTTAGAAACAGTCTCTTCAAATTCATCGAAAATGTAGGCGTATAAGCCGTAAAGCATCTTCATGCACTCTGGAAGTCCGCTTATGAGATTGACATCCCACCTGCGCTCCAAGATAATATAATCATCCCAAATTGATCATATAATCTCCGCGGTTCGATCATGATAACAGATGATTCAAGCAAGATGTATACCTTTCGATAGCCTGAGTGAGAGCATCTAGCTGTTCGGCTGTAGCGTAGTTATCATAAGTATCGTCGGCTAGAGACATGATGGCTATGAACTTGGTGAGCATCCTCCTGGCCAGGCAATACTTAGGCTCGAAATACACTCCCATTATCCAAAAGTAGGCCTCCACGATTCTGTCTCTTGCGTATGGGAAGTTGGTCGGCACGTCCAAACCTCCCCACCACCTACATATAACAGAATTTGATACCTTCATTAATCAAAGAAGAAGGAAGAAAGTACAAGCAATGCTTTGATTGGCTTACTGCTGGATCCCTAGTAGCTCTTCCTGATGCTGTTGCTGGAGGATGTTGAAGTCCAACTGCGCAAACCTCAGCAAGGCACCATTGTGGGACTCGTCGTTCTGGTAGGTGTCGATGAAATGCCTCGCCTCCAACCTCTGCAAACGCTTTCGGATTGGCCGGTACAGGGCAAAGCTTACTTCTTCAGCCAGCTTCGCGCTCATCGTGCCAGCAGCCGACGATGAGCGGAGGTTTTGTGCAGTGAAGGCCATTGCCTGGTCCAGGATATCTTCTCCCGGTATACCCAGAAACGATGCTTCGTACAAGCTCAGCATTGCTGGCACATCATCGACCAATGCTTGCTTGAAGTTCCCTTCACCGTCTTTGAACTTCTCCAAAATGTCTGCCGCAACACATAATGCAGGACATCCGTGCTTAATGATAGTTATTACATTGTTGGTTGAAGTTTGAAGCTAAGGGTTACACAGTATTATACCTGGTGAAACTTGGAAGCCTTGTTGCCTGAGGAGGCGGAACCAAAGTGCAGCCGAATTGAGATCATTAGCTACGGAGTCAGAAATGGCAGACGCCATCATCAAGTTCAGCAGCTCAGCTTCAATCTCTCCCTCAAAGTGGTAACTCACACCCAAGCGCTGGACCGCGTCAATCAGCTGTAGTTTCTGAGCCTGGTCGCTTGCTGTAGCAGTCAGCATCTTCCTTACTTCTTCTTTCAACTCTTCGTGTTGAAGTTCATGTACTATTGAAGCATCGATGACATCATCCTCCGACTCGCAGAAATGTAGAAAGGTGATATGAGATCTCTATGACATGTTATACCATACTGTTTCATATTTGAAATTGCTAAATATATAATCTATGGAGTAGTACTAACCTTGAGGGTGAGGAAATCATCATCTACCCACAAAGTGGGATGATAATCAGCAGCAGCAGTAGGGGCTAACAGCGCAGTTTCTGCTTCATTTCGAGCAGAAGAGGCCAAGCATGACGCATTCGACATCACTGCGGTACTTTGGAGATCAAGCTCAAGCTTACAGAACTACTACCAGCTATACCAGTGTATAATTGATGTGGGTCTAAGGCCATTTGGTGAACTATATATACTGCAGTTATATAGTTTCCCAACACTGTTCTGGATATACGTAGAGTCGTAGACGCAATTAACTTAAACCCCACGTTTCTACAGTCCCGTGAGGAAAGGAAAACGAGCCAACAGAAAAAAATTGCGAGAGATATCGTATGTATTATTGCCTTCTGGATTTGATGGAAACAGAGTATTACTATAATCCCAATTATTAAGTGGGCTAGAAGGTTGAGTTTGACAGGGGAGGGGTTTTATGTTTTTCTAATGCGCAGGAGACAGGGTCTTATCTTTATGCAAGTGGATATCACTTCTTTAGCAGAAGTATCAAAATTTTCATTACGGTAGTGAAGAATCGATGCTTTTTTGCTCCTTTTATAGAGCTAATTGTCCGTAACTTGCATCACAGTGTCTTAAGGAATATAACACAAGTACAATAATAGTAGTCCATAAATATCATTTGTTTTCTACATTTCCCAGTAGAGGATCAGTTTGTGGAGCGGTTAAAAAATATGATCACCCTTCAATAGTTTAAAAATGAGTGCTAATAAAAGATTTACCGACCACGGTGCACCCACGCATAACAGTTCAGGATATTTGCAGACGAGTCTGCATCAAACAGCAGTTCAATCACACACTTGTCAACCCCTAGTTCACTCTCACTAACCACTATGTCCATATGATTTAGATGAATGGGTTAACTACATGATTTCTAAGGCCATTCAATCAGCCATGCGCATGTGCTCAAACCAGATAACAAGACAAGATCAAAGCACTTAGCCCGGTTAGATGGACCTTCTCCTCTTACATTTATAACAAACAATCATCATAAAAATGCACATCTGTGTTGTATATGTTCTTTCTTTTCCTTATTGAGTATGTAAAGTCACCTGGTACTGGCTGGCTCTCTCAGCTCGACATCCTGATATTGGACGTGCTCGATGACTTCAGGTTACCTTCTTCTTTCCGAACAACAGACCCAACGAGTATGTATTACCCTTTTGCTTAGCAGCTTCCACCCGTCTTGCACCAACCTAAACAAAGTTTTCGACGTGGAATCCAGTTAAAGGTTGGTCGTGCATTTAAATGGACTGAAAACCGCATTCGCAAAACCTCTACTGGTAGGAAGCCTACACTGCAATTGTCTCTAAACGCGAGGAAAAATGTTTGAGGTCATAGAAGATACCTTATCCATAAGCCAGAAGCCAATGGCTGGCATGTACTGCACTAGGTACATTACGGCTAACACAGGCTGCAAGATACGGGAGGAGTTAATAAGTTGTTAAGAAACATTAATAATATTAAACAAAGAGAATAATATGAGTGAGTGAGTGAGTGAGTGAGTGAGTGAGTGAGTGAGTGAATGCCACGATGCATCACCTGGTTCGATATCCAAACTTCCTTCAAATTGTGGCTTGCAGCAATTATTGTCAGCTCTGCACATCTTTCGGATGACAACTTCTGTAATAAGTAACAGCACTAGTGAGAGGTAGAAATGAAACATGGACTGGGAAAAGGGACTTGTTGCACAGTTGAAGAAGGTCTAGACTTTAGAAAGCTATAAACTAGCAACAACAAAGTTCATCTGGAAAGAACCAAGAATCAACCTTTTCTGAGTTTGATGCTCCAGAACCAGTCTCTATTGGCCCGGGACAAACAACGGTGACCTTTATCCCTTTAGGGTAGAGCTATAAACGGAAAAAATTGAATCCCGCCATTAGATGCAGGCATAGAAAATGCAGCTCACATCATTGCAGAGTCATTAGTTTACAAATTAACAGTTCACATCATTACTTGTAGCCAAACATCTCTTGAATAAAACATGCTAAGACAACAAAATTAGACTGTCCAGAAGACTGATGGACCTCCCTTCTCTAAAAGTTTGTGTGCAACACGAGTAAAGACAGTTTTTTATTATTGCATCAGTATTTATGGAGGTATCAGGTTTGAATCCCTTATGTAGCACCTAACAATAAAAAACAAATCTATGTCCCCTTATAAAAAAACAAATTTATGGAGGTACATTCATACATATGAATCGAGAACCAATCCAAAATGGTCGTAGGCATTACAAAATTGTAGGATAAAGACATGGTTACCCTATACCTCAGAACGCAAAGAATGGAAGTATCCATTCAGAGCAAACTTGGTAGCAGAGTATACAGCCTGACTTGGCGCAGGCGTCTTGGCTGCAGCACTGCTCATCTACATAAATTTAGGCAAGCAAGAAGAGATCAACTAAGATTTTAAGGGAGAGACCAAATTGCGAAAAATTAAAGAAATGAAACTAGGAATCATTAACCACCACCCACCACAACAAAATGGCCGCCAACTCGTCTCAGCATGAATGGGGCTAGCAGCCGTGTCAGAGATATTGTCCCCAGAACATTGACGTTGAATGTCATCTACTTCCAGGGGGGAAAAATAATTCAGTATGCAAGTATTCATACAATGGAAGCTCAAAACTATGTATCTCATAAATCTTTATGTCATGCCCAATCATCAATTGCATAGTACCAAGCTGGAGAAACCTTTTTTTTCTTCTTTCTACCCTTAAAGGAACCAATGCCATATAACTATAGTAAGACCAAAGAACTGCCTTTCATTTGATACCATGAGGATTTCTTCATCTACATCCAAAGCTGGTGTTTTCTGCCAAGGGAATAACAAAATGAGTGAAAAATAAAGGGCACCATGATTGTACTTGTGCAAACCATATTACACAGTTAATAAAAACTTCAAATTAATGCATCAACACTCCATTTGCCGCTCTATAAAGATTTCTTCTTTACCTTCATCTGTACAGACAGAATTCCACCTTAACAAAGGTACATGAAGGTGGCAAATCCACTTACAGAAAACAATACAGAACTTAAGGATAAAAAAAAGGGAAGTCCCTTTTACTTGGATCGCTCGAAAACATTGCAGTTCAGACGCATCTATTTAGGCCTGACAATTGTCTGTGATAGAGTTATACTGAAAAAGCCTAGCAATTCCAGATAGGGAAAACTTCAAACTTACTCGGCGTTCATAAGCTGCATTGTGGATCATATAGTGAATACCAGCACCAGGGAAAAGGGCTTCTGCCTTAACCACAGCCTCCTTTAGAGACTCTTCACCAGCTGTCAAATCCAAAGGCAGAATCTTTAACTCGTTGGGAGCATACTTGCCTGTAACCCAAGGCAAACATATCAGGAAGATGAACATTACATGGATGAAAAGCGAGATAAAAGCAGGGCTATCTAGCTACAGAAGAAGTTAAACACACCCGTAAGCTGCTTCTTAACTCGCTCAAGTTCAGCCTCGTCTCGAGCCGAAAGAATAAGCTTGGCACCCAAACTCGCAAATTGTTTGGCCAGAACCTCACCTGAAAATGGAGAGAACAGTAGAACATCAAACATTGACATAAGCGTTAATTGAGGAAAAACCCCGTTTGGCAATTCAGTGAGCCAGTGTGGAAGGAGAAGAAGAAGAAGTGGAAGAATTGAAGTACCTATCCCACGGCTAGCCCCAGTAATCCAGACAACCTGATGCCATTGATGAACAGTGTAAGCCCCAATTGCCAAGGAAAAGCGAAGAGGATGAAGAAGAAGCAGCAGCAGCAGCAGCAGCAGCATACCTTATCTTCAATTTCTTCGCGCTTGACGCCTCTCTTCGACGTCAAGCTAAAATCCCCTAGGACACAACAAGAGAAATCAAAGAATTTGAGATGAGGCCAATCTCAAGAGGTGGGCAATCGCGCCAAGGTTAGCAGCAAAAGAAACCAAGAGCTGAAATGGGTAATGAAGCAAATGATCTCATTACCTTCGGCGGTGATGAATTTGAAGAGCAGAGCAACGACGGTCGACGAGGGAACTACAGAGAAAGAGCAGCAGCATTTTTGCTGGGAATTTGGGGTGTAGAAATAATGGGGATATCTCCTCTGAAAAGGGAGCGGGAAAGGTAAACCCCTTTTTATCTCCAGTCAAACCAAAATCGTTATAAATTATAATTACTTAATTAGTACAGAATAAATCCAAACTTTTGTTCCAGGGAAAGGAGTGTGTGCGTTGGCATTGACAATGGGATAAAGGGAATCTCGCGTATTTTCTTCTATCCGCGTCTCTGTTCTGTTCTCTTTGTTTGTTCTCTAGGAAAATAGAAAATAGGGTGGTGGAGAGAAAACGCAGCCAAGCCAAGAGATATTTTTCTCTGTCTCGACTACATTAGAGGGTGGGAAGGGAGAGATGTCCGCTGCCGCAGGGTTAGCCACCGGGAGGCTCTTGCTGCTATCTACTGCCGCCACCGCCGTCACGAACCCTGCTTCTTCTCTCTTCACTGCTTCGGCATCTCCAGAATTTCACTCCAAATCGCTGCGAGCGGCGAACCCTAATTTCCGCTACTCGCATCCGCGGAGGAGGCCCCCCTTCATTCTCAAGCCGGCGGTATTTCCCTCTTTCCTATCAGCTCCGAACTCATAATTGGTGTTTCTTATGTTATTGCTGTATATGTGATTATGCCGTAAGTTTTGGAGAACTGGGTCTGGATTGGCGGGCTGTATTGGTTTCTGATGCAATTGAAAGGGGGAATTTTGTATCGATCTAGATGCGTGGTTTGAGTAGGAGTTTCCCTTCCGATGCTCTAGCTCCATTGTTGTGAGATTCTGCTAGAGATTTTAGCTCTTGGGTTTTCTGAAATGAGGAGGCTTTCGTTTCCTGGTAACTAATGTTCATCAGTGAATTTGTCTTCTCGCGGCCAACTCGCTAACTAGATGGAATATGCCATTGTTTTCTCCTCCTGTCTTATTTCGGCCCGCATCGCCTTTGTATCTCTTCTCTACTCTCACCCAGCTGGTTTGATCTTGCCACTGTTTTACTTAAAAAGTGGTTTTCTTGGTTGCAAAGGTCTGTTCTTAATTGAGCATGGACTTGAATTGGACGTTATCACAACCCTGTTTAGTTAGCTAGAATGACCCTAGCAAATGCCTCAAGGATATGCTTTCTAACCGAGCAAGTGGAGTGCAGATTTCTGTACAAGAACCTACGGACTGAAGTTCCTTCTTGTGCATTCGTACTTGATACATCTGCTAGTTGTTTGTCCTTTCTACTGTGAATTTTACTTAAAAGAGGGTGATCGGTCTCTAGTTTGCTTGTCGCCTAATAATCAAAGATCTGAAAGGAAAGTTGGCTGGAAAAGATGAAGGTGATATGAGAATCGTTCTCGTTAAGACCTGTCATGCCATGTATTTCTTGAGCTTTTCTGATCTTAACTCTCTACATGCAGTTGATTTTCACTAATGATTTACTATCAGGTCTGTTTTTATGTACTGGAAATAGTGGCTTTGTGGAAGTAAGAGAAGAGGCCAAGAAGATAATGATGCTATTGCTTCTGGAGCTGAGGAGGAGAATGTGGTTGCCAGGTTTGGTTCTGATGAAGAAAGTGGCATCCGAATTCCTACCCAAGCGCAGTCCCTTGTTGAAGGTTCTACTACAGTTATGATGTCAGAGCCTAAACCTGTCCCTGATGTAGACTATCTACAGGTGAATACTTCTTTTTAGTATTTAGATAAGACAATCATTGATCCTATCTTGCATTTCATAAGTATTGGAAATGTAAGGATGTATTGATGTGCCTTGATTAAAGCATGGTCAGGTATTTATGCTGAGGAATCAGATTGATTGCAACGGAATTGAATGAGCTTAATAACTCCTTTCAAATTTAATTCTTTATTGTGGCTGGGAAGATGTATATTGATGTTTGGTTTATTACAATCCCCTGTGTATGTGGCATGCATTTCCATGATTTCTTTTTTCTAAAAAGAGTTCCTTTTTCCTCACGTTCATTGCATGGCTATGGCGACTTATAAGAATCGTCAGCATCAATCCATTTTATTATTTATCAGCACGTTGTTTTTTAATTAGAGTTGTTGTCTATTATGCAGGAGCTGCTAGCCATTCAACAACAAGGTCCTAGATCTATCGGTTTCTTTGGAACGAGGAATATGGGCTTCTTGCATCAGGAACTCATTGAGATTCTGAGTTATGCTTTAGTTATAACAGTAAGATTCTGTGTGTTTTGATGCTGTTGTTCACATTTCCATGTCCTTGGGACTGATTGACAAGCTAGAACTATATCTACTAGGTGCAGTGATATTCTTGCTTCTGGATATAATGATGCTCATTTAACTTGCAGAAGAACCATATATACACCTCAGGTGCCTCTGGCACTAATGCTGCTGTTATTCGAGGGGCGTTGAGAGCAGAGAAACCAGAATTGCTCACAGTGATTCTCCCACAGAGTTTGAAAAAGCAACCGCCAGAAAGCCAGGAACTGCTTGAAAAGGTAAAGAGCTTATTACCTTCTACTTATTGTTTATAAGTGTCGAGATCCAAAATGATCTCTGTTTCAGTTTTTATTGAATCGGTGATAAGCTTCCCATAGTACTATGTTTATTCATGCTAGAAACTAGAAAAGGTGCAAAAGAATTGCTCCCATCAAAGGTCTTGCATTCAGTATGTTCAGAATTGGCTTTGCTTTCCTTTCCTGCAATGGCTGGAGATTATCCTCTCTTTTATGTTACTTTTTATTGATTTGTTTGTCATTGATATGCATGTGGCTACCTACAATTCTAGCTTGGTAGAGCTCTTCTCTGTGCTAATAACTAGTTGCATCTTTGGCTTACAGGTACAAAACGTGATCGAAAAGCCTTACAATGATCATCTGTCGTTGGCCGAAGCTAGCAGGTATGCACAAAGTCATCGTGTTATTTTGATCATACAATGCCTTCAAACTTCGAGGATGGAATTTCGCCAGCTAGACATCTAAGTATAGATCATGGATAATATCAGCACTCATAGGTTTCTTGATGTTGGAAAACTGCAGGCTGTGCAATATGGACATAATCTCGCAAGTACAGCAAGTGATTTGCTTTGCATTTCACGATAGCCGGTTGCTAATGGAGACCTGCGAAGAGGCCAAGAGCATGAGGAAAATAGTGACTCTGTTTTACCTGGACTGAAGAAGCAAAGTTTGTAAGATTTATAGCTGCCTACGCATTCGAGGTTTCGATAGAGATGAAGAAAGGGTCATGGATATTCTTTTTGGTCTGTAAATTAGGTCATTGAGGGGGATAGATTTAGATTGAACATTTGAATACTGGAAGCTAATTTGTAAGATGATGGGGAGGCACTTGTTTTTCTTAAGTTCACCGAATTGAAAATTTGAAACGATTTTGGCATTCAAGGGTGATTTATATGCCAAATAGCACTCATGTAGATCTGGGACAGGATGATATCTCAGTAGCCTTGTGGTGTATTCGAGGAAAATATTTTTACAGGAGCTGTTGTGGTCACCTGAATTCGTTGGCCATGTTTCGGCCGACACTGCTGCTGCTAGAATACAGTCGGCTAATTCCGGCGAGTACCACAAGGAAGACGAGACAGAGGAATAGACTAAAAATCTTTGCTTTGATTTGGTGATGGTTTGTCGGATATCTTTGCCGACAATACAGTGGCCATTTTTGTTCAATTTTTTTAAGTTAACTGTCTTAGTAGTTCTGTAGAACGTTCACATTTCAACAGGTACAATGATCAGTACATGTAAAGCATGCTCTAACAGTATATCTTCCTCTGTCTGGCTCTCTGCAGCTACTAGCTCACTCCATAAGTAGCAATCAATACTAGTTAGAACTTATAACAGCAGCAAGAATTAAGAAAGCCTCCAGATCGACGGAAATGGATGCAACCTCCGCGGTGGAGCTTCTCGAGGCCCAGCCCCGAGTTTGGGATCACAGCTTGAGCTACATCAAGGCAATGACCCTCCAATGTGCAGTCGAGATGGAGATTGCAGATGTCATCCAAAGCCATGGCGAGCCAATCGCTTTAAGCGAGCTAGCTGCTGCTCTCGAAATCTCCGCGGCCAAGGCTCCATTCCTCTCTCGCCTCATGCGCATGCTCGTCCACATGGGCTACTTCACACAACTCGAGCAACCGATACCAGAAGGAGGCAGAGGAGGAGGAACAGAGGTGCGTTACTGGGTAGCTCCCCTGTCTCAACTCCTCTTGAAGAACAACCCATTCAACGCCAGATCACTCGTGATCTGCTTGAACCATCCCAATGTGGTGGATCCCTGGCGCAACATGAGCGCTTGGTTTCGTAGCAGCAACGACGACAACATCATTCATGACGCGGTTGAACAATCACCACCACCCCCTCCACCGTTCGCGTTCGCTCACGGTGGCAAGAAGCTGTACGAGGTCTGCTCTGCAGACGCAGGATTCGGCCAATTGCTGGCCGAATCGATGGGGGGAGACAGCTGGATGTTCAGCAGAGCCATGGTGGCAGAGTGTAAGGAAGCATTCGAAGGCTTGAGCTCGCTTGTGGACATCGGTGGAAGCACCGGAACCACTGCCAAGGTCATTGCTCAGGCCTTCCCAAGCATCCACTGCACCGTGTTTGATCTCCCTAATGTCGTCGCTGCAGCAGCGTCTGCAGAATCCCTACCCAATTTGGACTACGTCGGCGGCGACATGTTTACCGACGACATCCCTCCAGCTGATGCACTGCTCTTCAAGGTATTAATCAACAATTTGTGCTGTCACTTTCTTACAGAGCGCGTTGTATATAATGTTTCACTTTTCTCATGAGGAAAAAAAAAACCGAATTAACGCAGTGGGTGCTGCTCGACTGGCCGGACGAAGCTTGCTTGAAAGTGTTGAAGCAGTGCAGGAAAGCATTGTTGAGCAGTAAGAATGGCGGGAAGGTGATGATTGCAGACCATGTTCTGGGCCATGGGAGTTGCGGTGGGAACAGCGCGACGGGAGCATCGTCGTCGTTGCTGTTGGACCTGATGCTGATGGCAGTGGCTGAAGGTTGTTTGAGAAGTGAGAAACAGTGGGGGAAGCTCTTCTCCGACGCCGGATTCTCCAGCTACACCATCGCTCCGGTGGCCGGATTACGAAGTCTCATCCAAGTCTACCCTTGATCAGATTGGTCACAAAGCCTAGTCGTGAATTGAGTAGTGCATCGGTACTACTGCCAAATGGATCGATCATTCATCTGTCTGTATGTTTGTGTTGGGTTTCTTGCATTATTAGGAGCTTCCACTTCTATGTTCATCAATCATCAACACTGGTGCTTTCATAGTGTCCGTTTACAAAAATAAATAAAAAAGTGTTAGTGTGCAAACTAAATTGATACGTTTAATGTCGTTATATAAATTTAGCTTGTACCTATATTTTTTCGTATAAATTTATTTAAGATTCAAAATAAATTTGTACTTTAATTTTAACATTCGGTGTGGTACAAACAAACATAGAAGTGGGTTTCAGGGTTCGATTCGTGGGTCGGATTAGCAATAGGGATAGCCCATTTAGTGGTTAGAAAGACCCTTTCTTTGTCTCCGACTATGTGTCGTTTGTATGATTTTCGTGCCTGGATTGGGTCCAGGATGTAGTCCGTGATCTTTTTCTTCAATTAATTGATTATATTTTGTTAAAAAAAACGAGGAAAGAGAAAAACTACGGACACCAAATGAACTCTGCATATATTATAGATATAATCCATCTTAATACAATCTACATATCATCTACATTTAGTTATATTTAAATAAAATACCATTTTACAAATAAAATGACAAACTTCTACCTATCAACTTCTAAATGTTCATATTTGAATTCAACAAATTATTTTTTATTTAACTTTTTCCTTATTAATTCTCACAAGATGTCATTTTGTTTCGAAATAAAAAAAAAATTTATCATTGGATCATACCACTCTTTTTTTCCAATTTTGATTGAATTTGATTGTTTTACCTATAGTGTTATACTGATGGTCATCCAACCAATACCGATTGGAGATTGTGGAAATAAATTAGCGAATCACGAAAATTTGGTTTTATTGGTTACTTGAAAGTATAAATAATTTTGTTTATTAGGTGTATCATTAATTGGTTTCATTGGTTAGCAGTGTTGAAACCAAACCAAACCACCTAAACCAAATAAGCTAAACTGTATAACCAAACCAAACCAATTATCCAAATTAACCAAACCAAATTAACCAAATACTACCGGTTAATATGATTACCACGGTAACCAATCCATTTGAACATCGGTGGCCAATATATAATTGGCGAATTACAATGCAAAATGTCGTCTCTGAAACCTCTTTTGGGCCCTGTGCAGTCTTCTAATAGTATTCTCCATAAGTAAGGCCCATTGGGCTTGTGTTAGTTTCAGTTGGTAACGCCAGAAAATTGCGGGCTTACTGAGAGAGCCCAGGTTTTAAATGCAATCAGACGCATTTTTTCACTTTTAAAAAAAAAGAGTTTAGCTTTTACTGATTATACTTGGTTCGCAAAGCGTCGCTTTTTATCAGTCTCCTAGTTCTCGAAACATCCACCACTGCGGAGGAGCACGTCAGTCCATCCACCATCTTGCGCGGAACGAACCGGCGAAATTTTGTCGAGTGGTAGAATCAATGGCGGGAGCGAGAGGAATTTTGCTGAAGCACCTCCGAGTGAAGGTGCAAGCCTTCTCGCAAAACCCTAAACCCAACAACGGCCTCTTCGGCCTCTCTTTCAATGCGATTCTGCGCCAATTCTCCGAGGCGGTTAGGGGCTCCTTCCTCGACAAATCGGAGGTCACAGATCGTGTCGTCAATTGTGTCAAGAACCTTCAGAAGGTCGAGCCTTCGAAGGTAAATGTCTCCTTCTCGTCTGATTTTTTTTTTTTTTGGATTCGAATCGAATGTGTTTGGGAAATGGAAAATTGAATATTATTTCTTATATATATATCTATTAGGTGTTTGTCGGAATGACTCTGTGAATGGATAATTGTCGGAGTGGCGATTAGCGTTAACCCATTGACATGCTCTAGCCATTCATTTTTGGGAATCTTTTGGTTTATGCTTAAATAGGACTCCGAGGTTAGGAGACACCCAAGGAGCGCAGTCCATTTTACTTCTTAATTCTTATGCTTTCTTTTGTTGAATTTATGGCCCTCCCGTTTATGATTTCCTGTCGTTGAAGCTCTATGTAAATAGAGTTTACTCTTCTGTTAGGATTTCGTATTCGGGTCTTAGCTAGCTAGTGTTTGGGAGAGCACTGTTTGCTTGGTTGATAAGTTGGTGTTTCAATGTATAGCAACCACCAATGTAGTGAGTTTTGCTGAAGCTCTTGCAATCTCATGTAGTAGAATACTCAATTGTTGAATCATGCTAAGCATACTTTGTGGGGGCATTATTTTACCAATACTTCCAAACACCGTCCAGTCTTCGTTTTCTTTACCGTTTTTCTTGTGAACTATTAGTTAAGTACGATGCGTAAATAATGGCTGCGCGGAAGGGGGTTGAATGTGTCGCTCATGAACTGTTGTGTCTAGAAAGGTTGCTAGTAGCTTGTAAACACTTTAAACAAATGTGATGAATAGGTTGGGTCCTTGTATGTCGCTTACAAGGAGTATCAGGTTTTGCGGACCCGGGATGGTCATGCTTCATTGTTTTGTTTTGAATGGTTTGCATGTTTGGTTTTGTGATCAAAATACTATCATCTTTCCGTGCAAGTAATTGGCAACTTATTCATGGTAGAGAAGTGAATTGTTCTTTGTCCCTATCATATCCTACTCTTTAAGAGTGTTTGCCTTTACAATCTACTTTTTGGCCAGAAGTTTATTGGCATGAAATGTGTACGGCTTTAAGTTTGGGGTAGATCTATGCAGATAAGTTTGATGCTGTCTTTCATTGAAGGCAAATATGCTTCTGCTTCTGGGATGAATCCTGCATTTCACATCTTATTTATGGACTTTAGAATTTCTTAACTATGTTTTTTCTTCTTGTATTACCCGAGCTTGGTTAACAGACTCAAAGGGTATGGGAACTGTGTCCCAAACTTCCAATGTGCTGTTTGTGCTCTAACAAACAACCCCTTGTTGCTTCTACCTGGTTCAGCTAGTTACAAATAAAAAAAAAATTGAATAGCCATTTGTTTAGCTATTCAATAGGAAATCCAAGCACCCGGCATAGTTATTGAATTCCAAATGCAGCCTCTAGTCGTAGAAATGTCTTCAAAGATTTTAAACTGCCCTAGGAATCTTTGGGGTTGTTTTTTCCTTGTTTCCTTATAGGTTCCTTTTGAACTGTTGTTGCCAATGGTATTTGTGGTTTATCGGGCTTGCGAATTCTTATTATTTAAGAAAATCTGTAACTTGGTTGTTCTCTTAGGACAATGAGCTGGTGCAGTGTCACAGATTGACATTTTGGTTTTCCAATGTTGTAGGTAACACCGAATGCCCATTTCCAGAATGATCTTGGCCTTGATAGCTTAGACACGGTGGAGATTGTGATGGCTCTTGAAGAAGAGTTCGGGTTCGAGATACCAGACAATGAAGCAGATAAGATCAACTCCATTAGTCTTGCTGTTGACTTTATAGCTTCACACCCTCAAGCCAAGTAGAGAAAACAAGCGAATCCGTATTCGACTGTTTCATGGGTTTCGATTGTTTCACCATGAACAGTTCAGCTACGCCGGTATAATGCTCCTGGTTTCCGAGCCTATTTGTCTTTGGAGGTAGAGGATTTGATTTGGTCTATCTTTCTCCTTGTTTCGAAGATTTAGTCGTGTTGTTGGTTAGCCTGTTTCTGAACTCGGGTTGATACTCGAGTGTTGCGCTTCCGTTGGAGGATATATGTGATGGTGTAACTGTTATGAGCCGAATTTACTAGTTCATTTCCCATTTGGAATCCTCCCCATGTCAATAAAATTTGCGTAAAAAATGCTGATGAGTTCTCCTTGTTCCAGGCATTATAGGTATATATATTGCATGTGTTTATCACTAGCGTTTTTTCTCTCGTCTTCTCTTAATGTCTCGAGTTCCATTTATTTTCATTCTGAAGTGGCGTGTCAGTAGGCAGATTTTTCGTACATCGTCTCGATCTTGGCCCTAGTCCATTGCTCGGCGAATCGCCCCCTCTTTTCAACTTCCCAAATCGCAACCTCCGACTTGCTTGTTGGGTTCGATGATGCTTACTCGACGATGCTTACTCGACGACATGTAAATTGATTGTAGAAGCAAATAAATAGGTTAAAGTTCGTTTTCCTGATTGTGTCATGGAATTTGATTTAATTAGGTTTCCTACAAGCACCCATCACCGATTCTCTTATGTTACAGCTTGGCTAGAAAGTCTTGTGGAAATGTGGGGAGAGGAAGAAACCAAAGAAGTGAAAGCGCGCCAGCGTGCAGTGTGGGCGGGATTGGCTAATGGAGAAGTGAGCTGCGTTCTGATTGGCTTGTTGTGGGCTGATCCACGTAATGTTGTTCGGGCCTGCTTGTGATGGTGGGCCCGTGGAATGGGAAATGGACTTTTTTTTTTTTTTGCCGCGCACTTTGGGGCAAGGCTTGAATTTGGACCAAGTCAAGGAAAGGAACATGATGATGATGATGGTAAGAGTTTTTGACTTGCTTATTTTATTTTATTTTATTTATTGTTGGGCATAATTTGTGTTTTAAAATTACGGTCTAAAATGACTAAAAATGTTTCATAGGCAAATTTTTTCTTTTCACATAAATTAATAAAGCAAACATTTCTATATAAAAGACTGAAGTAAATGTAGTTTCCACCGCGCAATTTAATGCAACTGATCTAATCCAACAGAGTCGATCATGGGGCATCATGCAATCATTTACCTTTTTTTTAGATTCTTGAGTTCGATTAGAAAATACGATTTTGATACATTTACAAAGAAGTCAACTTTGTGGTTGATCACCTTAAATCATCTAATATATTTTCGTAGTTTTAGATTTCACATTTTAGACTTTGACTTTTGTAAGATTTGTTCTCAATATTACTACTCTCAATTCTACCTTGAAATTATATATAAAAAATAAGTATCTCAGGGGTTGATTTTGGGGGAAAAAATTACACCAATGGGGTGGATTTAACCATGGTAATTTAATTTGTAGCAGAGCCTGTGTCAATATCAGCCATTGACATTGACTAAGCTTGGTTAGAATTGCAAATTGCGGAAGAATATGGGGGCAATTCCACAACCTCAGCTGTATTAATAAGAGCTACTTTCGAACTCTATTAGCAGCAGATTCACTAGAACCTTCTTCTTCTTCTCTTTCTCACCGCGATGGCGGAGAAGAAGCATCTCAACTCCATTGGGAATCGTTTCCTCACACTCCAGCTGCTGCTACTCTTTTCGCTCTGTCGGCTCCACTTCTCATGCGCAGAGGTCATCTTTGAAGAAAGATTCGACGGTAAACACAAAAAAAATGCTTCCCCTTTCTTTCCCTTTCCGTTCTTCATTTCCCCACTGCTTGCCGGCCGGCCGGCCGGCCGCCATCGATCTTTACCTAGATTGTTGAGCTTAGGTTTTGCTTCTGCTTAGTTCAAGAGTAGCTTGCTTGTTAGTTCTTATAGAGCTGAGAAGAATCCATCTCTGCATTCCGGCACCGGTTGACTTTCTATTGACTTGGAATTGGATTGTGATGTATGAACAAGTTCAGTTCAATTTGAATGATTGATCTGGTTGCTGACTTTCTTTTTGGTTGCTTTCGGAAAATGAAGAGGGTTGGGAGGGCAGATGGGTGAAGTCGGATTGGAAGAGGAGTGAAGGCAAAGCAGGAACATTCAAACACACCGCTGGGAGATGGTCCGGCGATCCAGATGACAAAGGCAAGTTTATTATCTTATGTTTAATCTCAAAATTGGGTTGCTATTCAAGGTTAGAACGAAGAAGCTACTGCTTAGTTTTCACTAACCGTATTATGATGATGGTAGGCATCCAGACGACCAATGATGCCAAGCATTTTGCTATATCTGCAAAGATACCCGAGTTCAGCAACAAGGACAGGACCTTGGTTCTTCAGTACTCGATAAGATTAGAGCAGGACATTGAGTGTGGTGGTGGATACATTAAGCTTCTCTCCGGATATGTTAATCAGAAGAAGTTTGGTGGAGATACTCCTTACAGGTTAGGTGCTATAATTTTACTAAATCATTTCGGCTTCTGGATTATGACATGTTGCTTTGCCCTTTGAAAAGCAACTCGATACTGCTGTAGCTTCACTAAATTGACAACGCCGAACAAATGCTTGATTGGAACTTGTTATTTGCATACTAACCAAATGGTGGCGAAGTGAATCCGAACTTGGAATGAAAGACATTGTTCAGTCATTGGTTGGGAATCCATTAGAGGAGGGCACCTTAACTACATTAATGGAGTGAAACTCCTAAGCTGGAGAAATAGAAGCCCACTAGTTCGATTTTGCAGTTCAAGGTGTTAGTGTTAGAGTAACTACTAATCTACTATAGACATGTACAGTTACATCTCCTTTTCTACAGAGGAAGGACTCTATTACAAACAGCTGAGTTTAGTGAGTGGATTTTGCAGTAGCTGAAGCTAAGCCTTTGACCACCTTGAGTTGTGCAATTGTGTTCTGATGATCGAACTTTGTTTTTTCTTTTTCTGCAGCGTTATGTTTGGACCAGACCTGTGCGGCACACAAAAAAAGAAGCTGCATCTTATAGTATCTTACCAAGGGCAGAATTATCCAATAAAAAAGGAGTTGGAGTGTGAAACTGACAAGCTGACTCATTTCTACACATTTGTCCTGAGGCCTGATGCATCTTATAGCATCCTGATTGATGGTCGTGAAAGGGATTCTGGAAGCCTGTACACAGATTGGGATATTCTACCTCCACGGAAGATTAGAGCTGTCAAGGCAAAAAAGGTTGGAATTGTTTATGTGTTTACATAAAACCAGTTTTCCTGTCAATATTTGGTGGTAGTGTACTAGGACATGAAATTCTAATTCAATCATTTGCTATCTTTCACAGCCTGCTGACTGGGATGATAGAGAATATATCGATGATCCTAATGCTGTCAAACCTAAGGTGCAATTTTGTTGTCCAAGTCTTTATAGTTTTACTGGTCCATAAGTTTATACAGTAAGCATCACATACCAGAAATTTGTGTCCTTTGATAATGCAGGGATATGATTCTATTCCTAAAGAGATTCCTGATCCTAGCGCCAAGGAGGTGAGTTGCTTGCAAGAACTACTTTTACTTATAACACTGAGACCAAGGAAATGAATCTAAGTTCGTCTTGGTTTTGAATGTTTAAGCCATTGATCAGTCCATATGTATGTTTACCATGTCAGATTAGATAACTCCTTTTTTCAGGTTTTGTTTTTAAATTGTAATTTTGGTTCTGTGATGTGAAAAGATTTAATCTTTACATAAACTGATAGTCGTACTCATGTTGCTGATTAGCCTGAAGATTGGGATGATGAAGAGAATGGCATATGGAGACCACCAAAGATCCCGAACCCAAAGTATAAAGGGCCATGGAAACCCAAGGTGTGGATGTTTGGCATTGATTACTTCATAAATACTGCTTCGCAGCTAGTTTTATTCTTGTTGTCGTTGTATTTGCTGATGATAATAATAAGCAACACATTCCTCGATGCTTCAGAGAATCAAGAATCCTAATTACAAAGGAAAGTGGAGGATTCCCTACATCGACAATCCTGGTAATGTCCCCACGCATCCCCCGGTTATCAGTCTCATTAGAGAGGTGCACAAATCTGAACACATAAATTGACACTAGATTCCTTTCTTGTCTACTTGCAATGCTCCCAGAGTTTGAAGACGACCCGGATCTTTACGTGCTTAAGCCAATCAAGTATGTTGGTATCGAAGTTTGGCAGGTATAGTTCAGCATGAGACCTGCAGATGTTTTAACTAGTGACTAGCTACGTTCAAAGGGGAAAACAGCTGATGGGTATTCCCTGGTGATGCTATGCAGGTGAAGGCTGGTTCAGTTTTTGACAACGTCTTGATATGCGATGATCCAGACTACGCAAAAGAAGTTGTACAAGATATATTGTCCAATAGAGAGGTAACTGCTCTCACTCTATGATCTTTTTCCTCTTAGCTAAACTAATCCAGCACTAAGGTCCAGTTGTATACTTGCTTACCGTGGTGACGATGAATGCTGCAGATTGAGAAGGAGGCCTTTGAGGAAGCAGAAAAAATTAGGAGAGCTCGAGAAGAAGAGGTTTGTTTTACTTCAGAAAACAAGTGCAATTCTTTGTAGCTCGACGATGAAATCTAACTTGCTAAGGTGTTCAAAAATGGTACAGGAAGCTCAACGAGCGAGAGAGGAAGGCGAAAGGAGAAGACGAGAGCGTGGTTATGACAGGAACCACAGAGACAAATACAGGAAGGTCAGTAAGAATAGATAGCTTCATCATCATCATCAGATGGTTCCATATCCAATTTATAGTCAGCTAATCACTGGACTGAATTCATTTCTTGCAGCGCAATCGTCACGATCACTGGGATGACTACCATGTAAGTAAAACAAAAATCCTTCGGTTCACACAAACCTTCACTCCATTAATTAGTCCCCTGACCTAATGTTCCCATCCTAAAACTGCAGGATGAGCTCTAAGGAAATCGTCAGCTCTATCTTCAAGACGTCGCTACAAGCCCGAGCAGTTCAACGAAATCTGGCAGCAGCTCACCGTACCAATAGCAGCAATACTAGTTGTTCCATTTTCTCTTTATATTGAGGCGCAGCATTTCATTTTCTTGAATGCACTGCTGCTACTTCCATTGTTGTTGTTGTTGTTGTTGTTGTATCTCCGCGGATTAGGGTTCATAAACTCCCCGGTTTTCCGATTCCAGATGGCAATAGCTTTTGTAATAACAGTGATACAAACCATCTAATCAACTGAGAGTTCTTCAATTCATCTCTGCAATTTCAAAGTCTGTCTGCCACTGTGTAATTTATGAGAATAGTATGAAATGAAACCATACAAAACTACAGCTCGAAAAACAAACTGGAATTCTCACCCTAAGGCTTAACAGATGTGCCCAAAAAATTACAGCCAAAGACAACAATTCACTTTCTTCAAGTATGGCGATCGATGAACTTCTCGATCAGTACCGAGAAAGCAGCGAACCCGGCGCAGCCGTAGCACGCGGCCTGAGGGCCGGCCCTGGCGGACATGGCGCCGCCCGTGACGCAGCCGGCGACGGCGGTGTTGGTGACGTCGTGCTTGGCGCGGGCCTTCTCGACGACGCACTCGGCGGCGGAGAAGACCAGGCCCATGAGGGCGAACGTCTTGCAGTTGCTCCAGCTCCGGCTGCCCATCTGCTTGGCGGTGAAGACGAACTGCTTCTTGGCGCTCATGTCCGGATCGTGCATCAGCGGGTTGTCGAGCGCGCCGAGGAGGAAGCCCATGAAGATCCCCAGCCCGCCGCCGACCACGCCGCTGAACGCGCTTCGGATCGCGCAGTTGTTCCACACGTCCTGGGCTCGCATCTCCTCCACCGTCGGCATCCTGAACGGCTCGATCTTCGTCTCCGAGCTCGGCGAGGCGTCGCCTCCGCTGCTCTTCTGTTCGCCGCTTTCCGCCATCGAAGAATCTCAAAATTTCTTCGGCGCTACTACTCTCTTGCTTTTCCTTCCCTTGCTCCGGCGACGATCCGCTGGAGACGAGTGGGAACGCGATACAAGACGGCGGATTGTGCTGATTGAGATGTGGGAGTAAAGAATCACGGCGGAGGAAAGGGTTTTGGCACCGTCGCCGCCGCTACCTGCTCAAATGAAATGAAAGGTTGGAGGCTGTATGTAGGGTTTTAGAGGTCTGAGGGGCTTAACGGGAAAGTAATAAGTAAATGAAAAAAATAAAAAATAAAAAAGTAAATGACGGAGTTTCTTTTCTTGCACGAGAGGCCACCTTCTGTTACTACAGTTAGATTGCCGGCCGTTAAACTGTTAAACAGTCGCCGGAGAAAAGTTTTGACGATCCAACTCCTATTTTAAATGGCTGTTTTTTTTGGAAATGCATCCGGAGACCTTGAGAGATATCAGATATGGCAACCGAACCAAAATCTATAATCTTAAAACCCTAACAGTCAGGAAATTTTCCCAGGCGAACTGCAAAGCAGCTTCATACCGAATTCTAACAGTGTAGTGGGTTCAAGAACATTTACAAAACCAGAGTATCCTAGGAAATGGGCAACCACGAGAGTTGGATCGTAATGTGGATGCGAGAGTATGAACGTTAAAGGTCGCTTGGACAAGGCTCGGGGAGGACTGCTCTCTCCTGCCGTGAAACACAGACTTTCTATCTTCTTCTGGCAGCAGAACTTGGAGCACGCTGCACAGCTCCGGGTGCTGCAGGCGCTCCACCTGGCTGCCCGGAGGCTTGCTCCTCGGGCATGTTCATGGCTTGGGTTACGGCGTTCATCACTATGAGACCCAAAGGTATCACGTACATCCACTGGGGGGAAAATTCAAAAGGGATATTTATTAGCACGATTACTTGGATACTACGCTGTTTCACCATAAGTAAATTTCTAGTGGTGTTGCACCATCTGGAGAAATTAAGAAGGATTTGAACAGAATCCTTACGTATTTAGCCCAGAAGGACCTTTCTGGTGGTGCAACCACTTCACCTTCGCCCTCTTCCCCGTTCTTCAACACATCCTGAATGAAAAGCGGAGTCCTGCAAGGAGTGGCATCATGAGTCAAATAAAATTGAATAAGCCGTGATACACTGCCAGGTGCATCGAAGTGACACTGGAATTTTCAGGCTCAATCCCAACAATACACAAAGCGACGTGGAATCTTGAGGTAAAGCATGCCCGCTTAGGTTGTTACCATGAGAGCTCCAAGACTCGTAATCCAGCAAAGCATGCTTTATGTCAAAAGCAACACAACCAAGACTGGACATTGCGAAGGGATAAGGTATAACTCCATGTGTTCAGTACTCAGCACCTAGCAACTACGGAGTAACCAACAACATTCATGAACAACGGTCAAAGAGCTTATAAAGGTTTGAACTTAACTTTATGATTGCCAAGAGTGAAGTCACAGAGGAACTGAAGCTCTATCAGAGTATATAACTTCTATTATTATTCTGTTTCAACAGTCTTCATGTTTGACTGGTGTTTTTCTACCAAATTCAGACAAGCATGGATGGGTTCAGAGGTAAGAGGCTCGATTTTCAGTATTGAGTGGATAGTGGTTCCTTAAGCAGGTGGATCTGTTCCTACATTGTTGCCTCTTCAGTTTCTATATACAGTAGGTCCATATATGGAAGGTCATTACACCCTAGTCAGTTTCTACCAACACCTTTTTACATAATGGTAAGGACGAACAAAAAGCAATTTCGCACTTGCGCGTGTAAAGCAATTAACACAATTTCTCTACGTAGAACGGTTCAGGCGCAAATGGACCTGTGATTGCTGAATGAATGAGTTGAAACATGTAGATTTGAAAAATGTTTTGATTTGGGTGCTTGATTTAGAAGAACGAGTTATTAATAATAGGCTCATGTTTCTGAATTAGTCGCATGTGTAGAGAATTTCAGAATTGTTTAACAAATATCAAATTTTGGAGCAGTGAAGTTCCTATGGAAATAAGAAGGCAGAAAAATACTATACCTTGGTGCCTGCTCAGTATTCTTCAGAATTGTGTATGAGTTGAATGACCACTTTGAAGGCTGAACATATTGAAACCACGTGTTAGAGTTGCTCGGTATGATTGAAAATTAACAACGTGCTCTCTAAGAAATCACCAAATAAGCAAAAACAAGCAAGTCTCCCGTCGGATTATGGTCTTTCATTATAAGAATTGATCAAATGTTGACAGATCAGGCATAAATGCAGCTGTCTCACAGTTACCATGCTTAGACTTGTAGGGTTGAAAAGTAAAAGAAACAAAGTGCTCAGTTTTGAGCATCAGTGAGTCTGTGCACTAGAGGAAGGGTTTGACGCATGGAGTAAAGTCCTCGCCTACCTCACAGCAGCACAAAGCATAAACTGTGGGTTTCTCTAGCAACAAATAAGACAGTCACGGCTGCCAATTTTCCGAGGATTAGTAAAATCTTACAAATACTCCGCTAATTCAACATGCTTCAGACATTCTGATATATTATTTACACCTTACAACTCACAACTCACAAGTTCATGGACTCAGTTTCAGTTTGGTGGAAATAAGTACTCAAGAGCAAGAAGAAAAGGGCATGCAACTCACAAGTTTTGCTGGATGAGGATAAGAGCATGGTGCTGGGGCACCATAGTTGACACCCAAGATGTTAACACCATCCTGAAGGAGGGGGGAAAATAAAGGTTGAAGCCACATTATGAAGACAAAAAGCAGATTAGTCAGACAAGTCCTAGTACACAAAGCTTTAACATTTACCACCACAACTGCCCCCGCATATGTTCTATGGACTATTGACCAAACTTCTACATTTTATTTCCCCTATTATTTCACAGCACCATCTTTCACGCGGTATGACCGTTTAGAATGCCGGGGGACAACAATAGGTGCTGAATCCCCATAGACATAGTGTATCTACAACAAGCACATTAAACACAAGGTAACTAAAAGTATAATTTATCAAACAATCAGAAGAATGAAAGCAAGGCCAAGAAGTCTCTAACTGGAACCGGGCTCAGGTCATTTCAAACAATGAGTAGGTTGCTTGAACAAGTTTTCGGAGAACTTGTCAGCCGATCTAGAGAGACTAGTTTTCGAGTGAGGCAATGACAGGGACAGGAGAGTGATAAAATCCTAACAGATTCGAGTACCCCTAGAAACGAACTGGAAACTTACCGCGTGTATCACAAAGTGCTCATCCAAAGTCTCTCTTGGAAGACATCTCTGTTGAGGGTAAGAAAAGAAGTATTACTATTATCACTGTATGCAATGACACCTCACAGATAGGATACCGTGCAGAATAAATACTCAAACGTGCAATAGACAGTCGCATTATCAACAACTTACTGCTCTCACAGATGTGACTACAAAATCCTTTCCGGGAGGACTCAATACATTAGATGGCAGCCTTATCTTGTAGAAATCATCACCATCTACCAAATTCTGCAGGAATTGCCAACGCCTTTACGCATTAATCCGTGTTTAGTCGAACAGACTAGAAAAGGCAAGCCAGGGAAAGCATCACAGATTGGAGGAAGTTCAGATAATCACCTTGAAGTTCTCTTTCTCAGCATCTGTGAGAGCATTCCGGGAGAACCTCAGCTTTGTGAGTGTCTGCAGCGAAGTAGTAGCCATGAACAGTCAAAACCGTGCCCGTAGAGTAAACCAGTATCACAAGTTGATTGCGACAAACAGCTGAAAATCAACGAGAATTGATCATTCTCTGATCATCGAGACCCTCATAATACAGTGAAAATCGCCAATAGCCAGAAGGAAAACTCGATCGTGAGGGAGGAGAGAAAGAGAGATGACCTGGCCTCCGTGAGCGGATGTTTTGAGTCGAGCGGAGAAGGTGCCGGCGGGGGCGAAATCAGAGTCTCCAAAGGCATGCTCAAGGGTGAATTGGATCTTGGAGTCGGAATCAGAATCGGAGAACTTCCTCCGAGGAGTTGGCGAGGGAGGAGTGACAGTAGTCTGATCTGATTTGGGAACCGAAGAGCTCTGCTGAGACTGAGTTTGAGGTAAGCCGACCTCGTCGTTGTCTACGAGAAGCTCATCGGACTGAAAACCGGAGTGAGAGGGCGCAATGAGAGAGAGTACGAAGCAGAGAGTAAACAAGACCAGCAACTCTCCCTTTCTCATCTTCATCGTCGTATCGCCGGCGAGTTTCCAGTTCAGGACGACACGGAGGACGACGGCTGTTATACAGTTATAGATTGTCGTTTTGGGCCTGGATCGGATTGGGCTCAAACGGATCTGAACAAAACCATTGGACCTTTAGGCCCAACTACAATAATTGTGAGGGTTATTAAAAGTTTACCTTTGTTTCTTGCTCTTAACCGTCGAGACCCCAAAACTGGCAACCACAGTGGCACTGTGTTGGTTTCAGTTTCGCGGGTAACCCTAGAATTGGGAATCGGAGGGAAAAATCTGCAGAAAGCAGCAAACTTTAACCTCGTGTCGAATCGATCTCTTGGCCTAGTAGGCGGGTGAAGAGAAGAGGAAGGAGACAGCCATGGATGCGATGAGGAAACAGCTGGATGTGCTCATGGGTGCCAACCGGAACGGCGACGTCAGAGAGGTGAATCGGAAGTACTACGATCGTGATGTTTGCCGGATGTACTTGGTCGGCCTATGTCCCCACGAGCTCTTCCAGCTGACGGTAAATTTTGCTCTTCGGATTTTCTCTGGTGCAGTCTCCTTAGTGAGACTATCTTTCAGCTGATGCATATTTTCGCTAGCCCTAGTAGCTCTGCCAGTCTTATTATGGTGTTCCGCTGAATGGGGTTTTATGAATTCTGGATGCTTTGTACTTGTGTTCGTTAGAATGGGTTTCTCACGTCTCTTTTGTGCCACGAATTTAAGGGAACTAGTGTGGGTGCTTGTTACCCGTGGTATGGGGAATTGGATAGGAAAGTAGAATTGAACATATTGAGTATGCTCCAACTGTGAGTTTGTGACATTATGAATTGGAACTTGTTTTTCACACCTATGACGGTGCTTGATTTACATGTCTGAAGTTCATGTGCGGATGGTTCTTAATGTTAATGTTGATGTGTTTGTCTGACTGTTTTGGTCTCTTCCCTTTCAGAAAATGGATATGGGTCCTTGCCCAAAAGTTCACTCGTTGCAGCTGCGGAAAGAGTATCCTTCCCCTCACATGCGCTGAAGTTTATCGACACAACTTTCTAGTTTCTTTTATCCTTTTTTGTTGCTGTGATTCGTTAACTCGTTTCTAGATATGAAGAAGCGAGGGCAAAAGGTGTTGATAGTTATGACAGAGAGTTGGAGGATGTAATAGATAGACTTATCGTTGAGTGTGACAAGAAGATTGGTAGAGCTCTCAAACGTCTTGACGATGATGATGCAAAGGCTGCCATTGCAATATCAGTTACTGAGGTTACTCAGGTTCGTAGAACTTTCTGTTGTTCTATTGATGAATTGCTTTCACGGCTCTCTTTCGCTTTTGTGGAAGTGATTTTGTTTCCTGAAACTGCAGACTGAAGAGTTGAATGAGTTGTCTAAGCAGATTAAGGAAAAACTGAAAGATGTTGATAAATATGGTAAGATATGAGGGATTCAGCTAAAATCAAACTCAATTTCTTATTTTGATCTGAAGGTTTTGCTTGCGCTCCTTTAGGGTGTGGTGGTGTTGGCATTGTGTTGTTTGTATGATACAAACTGAAAGATGTTTGTATTCTGGTCATGCCTTTTTTCTTGATTGTAATGAGTGACTATTGTTTTATTTGTTTCAGATCTTGAAGGTAAGACAGATTTCAAAATCCAAACTCTAGAAGAAGTTGAAAAACTCAGAACTGAAAGAGCCGAGAAGCAGGTAGTTAGTGGTTCTTTCAGAATCTCATTGACTCTCAATTATGGAAACTCTGGGTGCCTCAGTATTGTCTTATACTTCCTAAACTGTGTTTCTAAAGAAAATATATTTTTGTTGACAGTCTGCACTTCTTCTGGAAGCTTTTAATAAAGATAGGGCATCATTACCCCAGCCCCTGCCTAATCTTCCACCACCTCCTCCATTGCCTGCTCCAGCTCCAGATGCACGTACTCAAGAAATGATAAACGAGAAGCTTAAGAAAGCCGAGGATCTTGGTAATATTCCAGTTATGCAGAATTGTCTTCATTAGTTAATATGATCACGTTCAGTTATCAACTTCTATTCATTTGCGCCACTCAACTATGGCCTTCTATTTGTCTAACATCACAAGTCAAACACATATGCTCATCCTTGAAGTTGCATCTTCTCAGAATTATTGCTAGGCGATTTTTTTTATGTCTCAGTTTTCTCTTCTCATTCATATTTGTCGGAGACATCAAAGTTCATTGGTTACTTGCTATCATATTGATTCTGTTGTATTGAGTGCTCTCCATTTGGACTCCTTTCATGTTGTATCTGGAATTTGCAGGTGAGCAAGGAATGGTAGATGAGGCCCAGAAAGCATTGGAAGAGGCTGAAGCACTGAAGAAGGTTGGAAGTCCTGACGTTTTTTACATGAGACTACATCTGCTTCATTGTAGTTTGTGCATTTGCTTTTCCTTAGTCGGTTATTTTTACTGCATATGATACTACCTTTACTTTTGTTATTTGGCCTTGGGTTATAATCATACTTGTTTTCATTTTCAGCTGCCTGCCAGGCAGGAGCCTGCAGTAGACAGCACCAAGTATACTGCTGCAGATGTGCGCATTGTAAGTTGCTATTATCTTTCATAATTTCTGATTGTGTTCATGGCCTGAATATGCCTCTTTCTATGTGCTATTCTCCTGATCCACATTTGTATCTGTTGATCAGACTGATCAGAAGCTGCGTGTTTGTGACATCTGCGGAGCATTTTTGAGCGTTTATGATAGGTATGATGTATCTGTCGCATCTTAAATGATTTGATTTGGTAAAGCTTTTTTGAGGGAGACGAGCAATTAGCATTTGGGGTTTCAAGTGGTTCTGCTTTTGACCCAAATATTATACCTCCTTGTTACCAGCAGGCTTTTGGGCCCAGTTTTACGAGGCATACTTTTGCAGCTAAAGAATGTGCGTCTATTTCTGTTTTTATATGTTTGTAGATCATAATGTTACCTGATAATGATGGGGATAATTCAAATTATCTTTATGATGCTGTTGTAATTGGGGTTAAGAGAGATATATTGACTTTTTGCTGCTAATTTCAGTGACCGACGCTTAGCTGATCATTTTGGAGGCAAGCTACATCTTGGCTATATGCAAATCCGTGAAAAAATTGCTGAGCTTCAGGTATGAGAAAGATGAAATCAGTACTTCATTAGTTCATTTCATCCAAGTTTTTTATTTCCATCTTTTCTTAGTAAATTTGCTCATCATTATATTCATGTCACGTTTGTTGTAACTTGCTCATTCTTATAAATTCCCAAGTTCTTTGCTCTTAAAATATTTAGCATAGTTTTGATGAACAGATAACTATTCTCTTTATGTATGAAAGAGGGATAAATTTGTTTTTCTTGCTATTCATGCCTTGACGATGTCCTTAAAGTTGGTATTGTGGATATGTTGGTTCAGGTGCTGGTATAATGTTTCAAATTCTTCTGTAGAGATACTCAGTTAGTATTCGATCTGTGAGTTTTTCTGACCCCGGAATAGAATACTACTTCCTTTTCCCCGAAAATTTATATACACATTTTTGTGTAGTTGGTATCATGGTGGCAGTGGCGGAAATACTTTTGTTTTTTAAACCTATCTTCCACAATCTGTTATGGATATGATATTCTCTCACTGTTGAATCTAACCCCGGGATTTGTTATTTTGTGAGTGAGCACTTTTAAGACAAATAAAATTGCTCTATCTTGGTATGGTTTGTACTTTGTGCCATCTAATTTGGTGAAACCACCCTTTCTATTATTACGAAGTGGTTGCTTGTCATTTAAGGTTGTGGTTTTCAGTAGTTTCTTCCATAATTAATATGCCAGGAAGAACGAACCAAAGTCCGGAAAGTTGAGCATCCGGAGGAACAAAGGTAAAGAATTCTCATTCTTTTCCTGCTGCAGCAGTTTTAATTTTTTTATTTCTCTTACCGTCCATCATTTCTGCGTGCAACAACTATAACTGTAACGAATTTGTTTACCTGACAGATCGAAAGATCGAAGTAAGGAGCCTGATAGAGAACCGAGTAGGGATCGGGACAACAGGGCGAATAGCCGCGATAGGGGTGGCAGGGACTATGACCGTAGTAGGAGCAGCAGGGATCGTGACAGGTACCACGATCGAGATCATCATGGCTACGACCGTGATCGGGAACGTGACAGGGATTCGGATCACTCGCGCGGTTATGACAGAAGTCGCAGAAGGTCCCGCTCTCGTTCCAAGGAACGAAGCTCTAGGGATTATGACCGCCACAGGTAGTATGCTCTACCCATATATGTATCTAACTTCAGTCAGTAACTGTTCCACTAATGGATCTTTCATGACAGGCGCCATGATCGGTACTAGAACTAGCATGCAACTGCAGAGATCGGTTGCTGTGTTTGGCTGTTGCATTAGGAGTGTTTGTGAACGCTGAGGGAAAAGGCTTGATGTTCTTGTTTGTTTGGTTGAAGGGTGGCAGTGAGTGACTGCTAAATGTTATTTCATCCGCAGATTGAACTTTGCGGGTTTTAATTTGTACCAAGCGAAGATGATAGTTTTGTACTGTACAAGTTTTTTTCTTAAGTTTCCCCAAGAAATATATTTTCTTCTCAAGTTTCTGTTGTGTTGGTGGTGGACTTGCACAATGGCACAATGCTGCTTGGGTATGGAAGAATTGGTGCATGTTAAACTAATTATGTAGTTCAAAACTTCAAATCAAACTGCCTACTTTCCTCTTTGTTTCTTTTATATTGATAAAGATAGTACCCAATCCTTCGGTGCGCGTGCATTGTAGGATCTGGAAATCTCGTAATTGAGTAATGTATAGCTTATAAGTCACTTTCTTCTACCCTTGCGGCTTAGTTTTCTCATTGTTCTACCCTTTTGCAATTCAGTCACTAATGCCATCCAAATCGAGACTAGTGCTTTCATCGATTAATCTCACTCTACGCTACTATGATGCCAACGACGGTCCAGTGTTTACAGATTGCAACGCGTTTATCTTCATTTACGGTTCATTTGCTTTCATTCGATTCCTAGAACGGCGAATCGAGCTGTTTGTGAAGTGACTCCAATGATTCAATCTTAGGTTAGCTAACTATCTAGAGGTGCCTTGTTTTTATTTCACGCAGTGAATAATGGATGTGCTGCCACTTCTGACTTCTTCAATATCTTGTTTTTTTTTTTCTGCCGGCCCGCTCCGCATTGTCTTTGCGGAAACAAAACCCAAATTTCCCCCAAACCAAAATCGAGGCCAACCCCAAAACGTCGGAAAAATGGCTGCAACTTCGTCTCTGTTCCTCCGCTTCTCCCCATCCAAAACCCAAACCCTACAACCACCGTCAAATCCAAAATCCAGCCGCCACCGCCATTGCTCCTCTGCCTTCCTACCACCTCTTCCACCAGCCACCACCATCTCTCCAATTCACAATCTCCGCCTCGCCCACCGCAAACAAATCACCACCGTCACCGCCCGCCTCTCCGGCAACAGCAACACCACCACGCCGGCCACCGACCGCCTAATCGCCGCCGTCGCCTACACTCTCCCATTCTTCAACTCCCTCCAGTACGGCCGCTTCCTCTTCGCCCAGTTCCCTTCCGTCTCCGCCCTCCTCTTCGAGCCCCTCGTCCCTTTGCTCTCCCTCTACCGCTCCCTTCCCTACGCCAGCTTCGTCGCCTTCTTCGGCCTCTACCTCGGCGTCGTCAGGAACCCGAATCTCAGCGACTACGTCAGGTTCAACGCGATGCAGGCGCTCACCCTCGACGTCCTCCTCGTCCTCCCGCTCCTCTTCGGCAGGATCTTCAACCCGGGTCGATCCGCCCTCGCCGTGAAGTTGATTGTCTGGGGTCATAACGCCGTCTTCTTGTTCACCTCGGTATGCTTTGTCTATGGCTTGGTGAGTAGTCTGTTGGGGAGAACCCCTTATCTTCCTTTTGTTGCTGATGCTGCCCGCAGGCAGATGGGGTAGTTCTTGGTTCCAGTTCTGCTTGTCTTCGAATGTTCTCTCTCAGTTATCGACTCCATTTTCATCATGATAATCATGTAAACCAGAAAAGGAGGAAACTTGCATCAGATTGTTTTGGATTCGATTTCTCTTCTCAGGGTTCTGAATGTGTAATGAACAGAGAGGAAGATGGTTGAAATGTTAAGGCATTTTGCTTCTTTTTTTTGTTTGCTGCACCTAGTGTTGTTCTGTGTCTGTGATCAATGTGGAATGTTGGTATCTGAAAGGGAATCCAAGATGGCAGTCTATGTCACCCAGTTTCTTTGGATGAGTTTCATGCCTTACATTGTTATCTGTAGTGCTCGTACACAGCTTAGCTTACTTCCATTGTTTGAACTCGAGGAAACTGGAAAGACAAGTAACCATTTTCGAGGTTGCTATGTTACTATGTATGAGCTGAACGAATCATTACATGACACTATCGAGTCCTGTTTGTAATGGCTGATCTTGCATAACCTCATTTATATGAAATGAAAGCAAGAGCTCAGTTATCTCCTCAGGCTACCTGTTTTCATCACCAACATAAAGAAATTTAATAGACTTCAGCTATCTACAACATTGTTGATCTTGTGGTGCAATGGCACTAATTCATTGATTGATTGATATGCATTCAAACTCTATGTATACATATGTTTCTTGATCAAGGTAAAAATTGTTCCATTCTTCAAAGACATTGGCTCAAACTCTTCCACCATCAGCAGCAGCAACCTATTTCACAACACAGAAGAACCTCTCTATACAACGAAGCAAGACGCGAGCAGCAACAACACCACTTTTGAAAGAACCCACAGGTCAAATCTGTGATTACAAACAAATCTTGGTTTCACTCCATCCCCAAGCCAGCAGCAGCAGCAGCAGTAGCCTCCAGTTTCCACCTCCAATGGTATTCGTCTAAGAATCTGCCCTCAACTCGCCTTGATTGTCATAATGTTCCTGCAAGAAACCCACATAGAAAATGCAGCCATTAGCAAGCAATCTCATACTATATGATCAACAACTCTGCAAGCAACTCGACTGGAATGAACAAGAATGAACAAAGAGAGAAAATCCATTGAAATGCCTCAAGCGGATCCATTTTTCTCCAACATTTCCAATCTTATGTTCCGAAATTAGGTCGGTCAGCCAGAGCATCTCAAGACAACCAATTCCACAATTCGATTGAATTCGCTCGAGGGAAAAGGAAAAAAGGAGAGGAATTTCTTGGAGGGCGAACCTGAATCCAGTACAAATCGGAAGATTGAGAAGGCTGCTCGCCGTCGACACACTGACCAGGGATCTCGAACATGGAGAAAGTGAACTGCTTGTCCACCACCCCGACATTGAAGTGAATCAACCCGGTCTTGGGGTCGTCGACGCGGATCCCTTTCACGGGGAACCAGAGGAAGAGCTCCTGCTGCGACATCCCGGAGAGCTCCTGGATCTTGCCCGGAGATAAAAGGCCGGAGACGTTGAAATCGTAGTGGAGCTGGTTCTCCAGCTTGACGTTGCAGGGCTGGGTGAGGTTTATCTGGAACCGCCCCGTGGTCGAGTCGAGGGAGAAGTTGGTTATCCCCTCCGGGAAGAGGCCGATCGGGAGGCCGTTGCGGTGGAGGTAATCGTAGATTGTGGGCGACGCCGCGGCGGTGGAAATCGAGAGCAGCAGCAGGGGGATTAGCAGGGCGACGAAGGGGAAACTGGGAGGAGGATTTCGCAGGGCGGCCATGGCGCGGGGAAGGATTTTTCTTTCTTTCCCGTGGCCTTTGTTGCGAGGGTTTGTTTCTGTTCTGGTTCGGTTACTTTGTTGTTAGGTTGACGACGACGGGAAGGAAGGAAGGACCGAAATGTTTATCTCGGCCCATATAATATTCCTATTTCTGGCCCAGCATTTAAAACCGAAAAAACAGCTGGATAGACAGAGACGGGGTTTGTTGTCCTTTCTGTTGTTTTAGGAATGGGAATAAAAAAAAAATTCTAAATTTGCCACGTAGGAGAAATGAAGGTTTTAGAAGTCTGAATTCCCAAATGAAATTTTGTTAATGAATCTTAAGACTGTTAATTGATGAACATTCATAAATTAGATCGATATTAACTAGTTATTTTATAAGTTTGACATGACCATGCATCATAACTTTTTGGCCGACCACGCGTGTTTCGGAATGTCAAGATATGGGGGTTTTCTTCGTTTTTTTTAAGACGGTAAGTGATAAAAAGTAGTGGAACCTTTGGCTTTTGAGTTTGTTTTTTATTTGGTTTCATGAAGAAGGTTCTCGCATTGTGATAAGGGCAAGTTAGAAACGTCGATTTTTATATGTTTAAGCAGTTTCGTACTTTTTTAGTTTCCATATAAGGTAAGCACATCGCCAGACCCCCTAAAGCTTTGTGGGTTTATCTATTAAAAATTGTTAAGGTGAGATAAAATACTACCTTGTCGAAACCTTCATAATTTTTGCCTCTTTTCGCCTAGGATTCTTGCTCCGCCACTGCTTGTTTTGGACTCGTAATATGGATGCATTTGAGTTTTGTTGTGTTCGCTTAAATATCCGAATTATTATAGACGGTTCTAATCAAACCGAGTCCTAAGTAGGCAAAATAGCCTGACCTAGTAACTGTTTCGGCCCATAAGGGTTGAAGGCCCATGAAGCATTGGGTAATTCAACATTGGGTCAGTGGTGCGGGCAGGCCTCAACGGAACACACCCCGGCCCACAATGGCGCCCATCTCGCGCTGCGGCGAGTGGAGCACTGTGCGGCGGGGTAACTGCCGCCGTCAGGCGGAGGCTTCTTTTCGACTTCTATATATAATAACCAAATCCCCGCCGATTGAAGACTCTTTTCCCGGCAGAGACAAAAGAGAACGACACTGCTATCTTTGATTCCACCTCCGCAGCAGGTTAAGGAAAATGGGCGGTCGAGGGCGAGGGAGCAAGTCCAGAACTCAAAGAAAGCACTTCCGAGACGGGAGAGAGAATGTCTGGAAACGCTCCAAGTCCGACTCTCCCGCCGACGGCAACAGCGCCGCCACCGCCGCCGTCGATCGCAGCTGGCAGCCTTTCGCCACTCAGAACACCGCCTTCGATGAGTACTACAAGGTACTTTCCGTGTGTCCCTTCAGTAAATGAGGGCGAGTAGTCCTTTTCTGTCCGTGTTCTTATCGATTTGTATTGATTTCTATACTGTTTTTTCCTGTCTTCCCCTGCCGGTGAATTTCAGGAGCAAGGAATTGTGTCGCCGGAAGAGTGGGATACTTTCATGGAGGTTATTCGGTCGCCCTTGCCGGCTGCTTTTAGAATAAATTCCAGGTGAAGTGCTGTTCCGCCACTTAGTTTGTTTCATTTCTTTGTTTGGGGGGGTTTGGATGATTGATTGTTACTCTGGGTTTCCATTTTGCAGTAGTCAGTTTTCATCGGATATTAGGAAGCAGTTAGAGAATGACTTCACGAAATGTCTCCAAGCTGAGGTAACTCGGTAGTTTGTGAACGGCGATATTTAGAGATTAGACTCAAAAGCAATGATGGCTTTCTCTTGCTTTGGATGATATAGCTTGTTCTTTAATGTCATTTTTTGTTTTGTTTAGGGGGCTGATGGGGCTGAAATAGAGGCTATCAGACCGTTGGCTTGGTACCCTGATAATCTTGCCTGGCATTCAAACTATTCTCGCATGCAACTGAGGAAAAATCAAACCCTTGAGAGGTAAATCATTTTGCTACTTTCAAGCTACTTACTTGTGGGTTGCGCTTGTCATTAATCACTCGAGCATGGTTTATGTGTCACTGGAGTTCAAATTGGAGGTATTTTGTGGAGTCATCGTTCACCATTGAACATCGTTGGATTATTTGTTTAGAAGAAATGATGATGCAATCTGTCATAAGATCCAAGGATAGAATCTGCTTACATAAGCACTTATTTCAATGTACCTCGCAGGGGATAATATACATCTCATGTTATGAACTGTCATTAATGAGTAATTCTTGGAGTTTCTTGGCACTAGAACAATAGTGGAAATTGATGGTAGTATAATATGTTATCCTTTTGGTTTTGTATTATTAAGTTCTTCCAGATTACCATGTGCAAAGAGTAACAGTTTTCTATTAAGGTTTACTATTTACCTATTTATTTGTTTTGCATTTCTGATTCGGATTTTGAAAATGAAATGGAAGTTTTGAGGCTGTTCTTTATATAATTGTCAGCCATAGTGTTCGGTTCTTTTTTAATTTCAGTCGATTCACTTGAACCAGCGCATGATTTTCCTACATTATTTTGATTTTTTGTTGGTTTGTGTATACTAATTAGCATATTAACCGTTACTGATGACAAGCTACTATGCTATTCAGGTTCCATGAATTCTTGAAGCTGGAAAATGAAATTGGAAACATAACTAGGCAGGAGGCTGTCAGCATGGTTAGTGCCAATTGTTTGGAACTTGTACATAGCTTATTTCTGAATTACTCTTTCTTTCCAACAAGAGCATATTACTTTCTTCTTCTGGCTAGCTACTCAGTTGTCCCAATTATGTCTTTTATTATGGAGCAGGTTCCACCACTTTTCCTTGATGTACGTCCAGAACACTTTATCCTTGACAGTAAGCATATAACTATCATCTCATTAAGAAATTTGTTTTTACTGGATTAGATATTCCGCCATTGTCCTGCATCTTTTAGATATCGGTCTTGGATATATCTCTGTTTTAAGGAGTTGCACTCTCTCTAGCTTCCTGCAGCTTTGTAAAACTTCTCTTACCTCCTTCCTTACCGTTACTCTGATTTCTTCGGTTTCACTGAACGCTCCTTTTCTGTTAACTAGAACCTTGAACCCTTTCCTTGCGGAGGGTGCCATCTCTCCATGAAAACTTCATGTTCTATATTTAAGGTGGCATATCGAAAGTTACAGATACAATGCAGAATGTCTGACTACCTTCTTCTTGTGTAGTGTGTGCGGCACCTGGTTCAAAAACATTTCAGCTGCTTGAGATTATATACCAATCAACAAAACCAGGGTCACTTCCAGATGGAATGGTGAGTGTTACATAGTATTTAGGCTGCCTCTGTTATAGTTTTATCTTTATTAGGCTCCATATTCTAAAATAGTACAAGCCCATTCGTCGACCTTTTACTTGTGGCTGTTTTTCAGCTGGATTCTTCAGGTTGGTACATGAATTGACTTATAATTATGTCTCACTGGCTTCTTTAGGTCATAGCAAATGATCTTGATGTTCAAAGATGTAATCTTCTCATTCACCAAACAAAGAGAATGTGCACTGCCAACTTGATAGTCACAAACAATGAAGCCCAACAGTTTCCTGGCTGCCGCCTTAGCAAAGCCTTGTCTAAACACTCTGTGTCAGAACATGAACAAAGTATGGGTCAGCTGCTCTTTGACCGTGTTCTCTGTGATGTTCCTTGCAGTGGAGATGGCACCCTCCGCAAGGCTCCGGATTTGTGGAGGAAATGGTTAGAATAGTCTGTTATTTGTTTTGTCTTAGCTTTTTATTCTCTGGTATAATGCTCTGAATCCAAGTTTTATTCCTGATACAGGAGCCCAGGCATGGGCAATGGGCTTCACAACCTACAAATTCAGATAGCTATGCGCGGTAACTCTAGAAACCTTAATCATTCAACAATCTACACTTAAGATTTCATCTGAGCAAATCATCTCAGCAAATTGATTATGCTATCCTTACCATGATTGAAGTTCAAGTCAAAGTGATGTTATGATTCGCTAGTATTAGATGTGTCTTGCCGTACAGACGTTACAATGGTTCTCATCCTTAGTTATAATATTGTTCGTGGAGAGGGAGGAATGCTAGGGAAAGTGAGATAAGAAATTTGCTATAATCAGAATGACAATTCTTGGTTTACAAATGCAAGGATGTTAGAACCCTTTCTTAATAGCAGGGCCATTAGGACCCCGTATATTCCATTCCATGATCCTATCATGGGAAATGTCCTGTTACGTAAATGGCATAGTGGAATTGATTCCACCAACCAATTGTGTCTCACAAGTCCTTAGGAACAGAACTTCATGCCTTGCCAGTTAATAATTGTGGTTTTCATGCGAAGTGTAAGGTGCTGTCTTCTTTTTCCTTGCTGCTTATCTGATGAGGTACATCTGCGATTGAGGAGAGTGATATCCCATTTGCTAGGTGTACATTTATCAAGGGATATTAATCGTGATCTTATTGCAGTATGCGACTAGGTCTCGGGCCCCTTAAGCTCTTACTATGTTGTGCCTGATTGATACAGGTCTTGCCTTGCTAAAAGTTGGTGGAAAAATGGTATACTCAACCTGCTCAATGAATCCAGTTGAGAATGAAGCTGTTGTTGCGGAGGTAAGTTTGTGGGCTGTGATATCTGTGAGTTTTGTGGACTTTGATTTTTTTTGTCAGCAATAAAGCCTTGTCCTTTGCCTAGGTTCTAAGAAAATGTGGAGGCTCTGTTGAATTACTAGATGTTTCAAACGAACTTCCTGACCTTGTTCGTCGGCCTGGCCTAAGAAAATGGAAGGTTTGTCAATATTATTCTAGCTTATTCTTCTCCATATTAAATGATTGTTGTTGATTCTCATCCCATTCACGTGGAAGGTTTTATATGCTAATGGTAAATTTATTTCTGGGATTGTATCTTCTTTAGCTCTTATTATTGTTAAGATCACAAACATTTTTCCATTTGCTTCAAACTGTATAAGCTCAGCACATCTCTATTTCTTTACGAGGGAGTACATTACAATTTGAAAGAACCAAGCGGTCCATGTCCAACCAACTTACGTATGATTAGTTTTTGAGGATTTTTTGTGTGTTTCTCTAGGATGTTTGTTTTTGGACTTCATCCTGTTCGCACGGCTAAAAAGAAAGTGGACGCCAGTTAGTTCCGGATACTTGTAGTCGGGACTTCACTGTGTCTTAATAACTTTCAGATTTGTTCTGTTAATTTGCAAGCTACATAGGTTCTTCATTCCCTAGTTTCTTTAGGGGCTATATAGAGCTGATATCAGTCAATCTATGGGTTATCTGTTGGAAATTTCGTCATGAAGTTAAATTGCAGTGCGGTGTCATTATTGACAACGCAATATTTGTCACCTTCCTTTTTGCCCACAGGTGCGTGATAGAGGTGTTTGGCTAGCTTCGCACAAAGATGTCATAAAAAATCGCCATTTTGGAGCTGTTCCTGGCATGTTTCCTTCTGGGAGGACATATGTTGCTCCAATTAAGAAGGATATTAAAAATGAGAATGGTGGCAATTCTGAGCCAAACCAAGAATTGGAAACTTCAAACGAGGATGTTGATGAAGAAACTTCTGATCTTCCTCTAGAACGCTGCATGAGGATAGTGCCTCATGATCAGAATAGTGGGGCCTTTTTCATCGCTGTTCTTCAGAAGCTCTCTCCTTTACCTGGTAAGTAGAGCAATAACGAGCAACCATGTAATTATTGAGAACCCCAACATTTACTGTACGTCAGTGCCTGGCTGAATGCCACCAAAATGTTCAGATCAGTACTAATTATGAGGTCTTCCTTGTCTGTGCTGCAATAGAATATATAGGTTGAAGAACATATTTCATATACTGATGTATCCATGTTCCTCAGCAATTCCAGAAAACCCTAAAAAGCAGAAGAATTCAATAGCTAAGAAGGATGAAACTCAAGAAAAGATTTCAGATCCATCTGTTGAAGACACTGATGAGCAAGAACAAGAGTCAAAAAGCATTGTCATGGAATCTGCTTCTGAAGCTGCTTCAGATATTGATTTGGTAGATAATGAAGAAGAGGAAAAGGATGTTCCCATGGAAGTAGCTCCATGTGATAACGTGTCTACTGAAAATGGTTTAGAGGATACCCAAGTGACAGTTAATGGGAAGAGTGATCCTGAGAAGGCTGTTGGCAATAGAAAATTGCAAATGCAAGGAAGGTGGAAAGGAGTGGACCCTGTACTTTTCTTCAACGATGAAGCTACCATCAACAGTATAATTGAATTCTATGGTATTGGTGAGTCATTTCCGTTCAAGGGACATCTAATATCCAGAAACAGTGACGATAACCATGTGAAGAGAATTTATTACATCTCCAAGTCGGTGAAGGATGCTCTTGAGCTTAATATTCTTGTTGGCCAGCAGCTCAAGATCGCTTCTGTTGGCTTGAAAATGTTTGTAAGTGTTTTCTTAACTCAATCTTTCTTTCTCCTGGTTTAGCGGTCTTCATGAAATCTTGGTAATTTCTGCTTGCTGCTTCCGTTGAGTGTAGAACTTACAAGGCTAAGCAAATACTGCAGAGGCCTGTTATTTAGGATTCAAAAAAGTGTCCTTCAACAAATACGCCCTATATCTTAGGTGTCCGCCCAATCACTAGAAATGGACGCTAATCTAAGAAAAAAGAAAATATAGAAACTGAAGCCTGAAATCACATCTGAGCTTGAACATCTTAATTTTGGTTTCTTCTGCTATAAACTAATCACTGTTTTTTCCACTTATCATTTTCTAAAGGAACGGCAAACAGCAATAGCAGGGTCGGATGCTCCATGTGCATTCCGAATCTCTTCAGAAGGACTGCCTTTGATTCTTCCTCACATAACCAAGCAAATCCTAAACGCGTCACCTGTGGACTTCATTCATATTCTGAAGTACAAGACCATCAAGTTTCGTGATTTTGTTGATGCCGCCTTCGGGGAGAAGGCATCAAAGCTAATGATGGGTTGCTGTGTGATAGTTTTGAAGAAAGGTGGGAATGCATCTAAGCTAATGTAGGTTTGTCAATTAAAAGTATCCCATGGAAAAGGTCTGTAATACCTTGGACATTTCTTCTGTGCAGATGATGGCCAAGTTTCATCAGATACATTGAAGGTGGATGCATCGACAATAGCAATCGGTTGCTGGAAAGGCAGAGGCAGTCTGAGTGTGATGGTGACGGCCATTGACTGCCAAGAACTACTGGAAAGGCTTTCGGTTCGCGATGAGGGCATGAAAGAGATAATTGCCCGGAGTAAAGAGTCGAAGGTCTTAAATCGCAAGGACGAAAAAGAGGAAGTTGAAGTGACTGAAGAATTGGCAGCAGACCAATGAGCGAGGAGTGAGGACATTGGCCGAAATTTTGAGCCTCTGCTGTAATGCTACAACGAGATATACAAATTTATGTAACACCACCTTTCCACCATGTTTCATGGAGCTGTGGCAATCTCTATATTCACTTTATGGTTGTCCGTTGTGAGCTAGGTGTTATAAGCCTTTGCGAACAAATTTTGTTTCTTGCTAAGCAATCAATTCAGTATAAGGCGTTGGTTGCTTATAGAACTTGGGTTGTGTGGCTGCAGAACTTGATTTTTGTAGGGTTTCAAAATGAGAGGCATTTCAGTTTTCCTGCTTGATGTACTTCTTACTTCTTAGTTCAATAGTTGTGGCTGATACTAACAACTGTTAAAAGCACATAACCAAACCCCTTCAGGTCTCTATGGTCAAGTTACAAGAACATCATCAGATCATTTACCCATTCCTCAAGCCTCATCCAAGTACCACTATTACAAGCCGATTACCCACACAAACAAACATTTGCAGGAAGGAATCCTAATATAGAATCATCAGGCATTAGTTAGTCTATTAGTTAATTTACTTCTCTTCGATAATCACACCCCCTGTTTAGCCGTTTCTTCTACCAAGACAAAACACCAGACCCTGACCAGCAATCCAAAAATATCCATCACTCTTCACCGGGGGAAGATCGAAGAATTAAAACACTACCTTCCCCCTCCGGAAGCATATGTGACATGCAGCAAAACCGCAGATAACTTCATTGTCTCTTCCACCGTCATCTTTCTCTTTACTGCGTCGTCACACTCTTTGCTAGATTGCGAGGCTGGTCAACATTGTGACCCCTCAACACGGTGAGATGATACGCCAACAACTGCTTACCAACGAAACAGACAACTTGGTCAGTGTCAAAAACCTAGCTCTCGTTGCCGGTTAAAATATTCCACAAAGCAACTTCGATAGCTGCTGCTACTACGCTCATGGAGTATCATAGGTGCGATGGTTATACGGGTAGACGAAAGTAACATAGTGCTTTAAGTTACCTGCAGTGGTACAATATTGACCACAGGTTGAAGACAGTCCTCAACTTGGGGGACTTCAATCACTCTACAAGATCCTCCAGAACATACTGATGCAGCATCCCCTTTAGAACACACAACTATCAGGCGCCCTCTACGGGCATGAAGTTGTTGAATAACTGACTGCTGCTTGCTGTAAAGTACAGACAAGCGAGTGGATCCCATTTCAGTGCCACAGCCACAACTTCTACTAAATAATAATCGCAGGGCTGAAAAAATATGGATGAAACTGGAAAACTAACCTGAAGCAGGCATCATGAGTAGCAATTACTATGATTGGAAGATTTTCATCGACTAAAGCCAGGGGACCATGTTTCATTTCACCAGCCAGCATCCCTTCACTGTGCATAAGTGAAACTTCTTTTACTTTCAATGCCCCTTCCAGTGCTGTCGCATAATTGTATCCTCTTCCGAATACTAACAGCGATTGCTCTGCTATTAATTGTTTTGCAAGATCCTTCATCTCATTGTCCAGCTTTAGCACCTCTCTCACTTTGCCTACACAAACAAAAGAAACTCACAATGAATGAGAACATCCCAAAATAAAAGCTCTGATGGGGAACCAACCATGTTGAATAAACTAACTTACTGGGCAAGTCATATAAACCATCAACTATAGCCTCTCTTCTCGCTTGATTCGAAATTGTGTCACCTCCAACAGCTAGGGCCAGCATAGCCATCACAACTATTTGGCTTGTATAAGCCTGTTAATTAGAAACCCAAAAGCTAAGCGTCACACTGAAAAAAACAGCAGAATGAGATAGACAGACTATACTACCTTAGTACTTGCTACACCAATTTCTGCACCAGCATTAATGTGAACACCACAATGAGTTTTCCTTGCAATCGCACTGCCAACTGTATTTGTTATGCCGACACACAATGCACCATTTTCAAGAGCATACTCCAGTGCCAGCAATGTATCTGCAGTTTCACCAGACTGACTCACAAACACTGCAGTGTCCTCTCTGTATATTGGTCCTTGTCGATCTAGCAGATCACTAGCAATTTCCATGGTAACAGGAACACCTACAGTTTTTCCCCAATAGAAAAAGAAAAAAAAAATATTATTCACCGTTTTAGTAAAAGCGAAGAAAAAGAATATTTGGCAAGTGTCAGAAGTTGATGAAATCTGAAAAAAAAAATTTCAACAAAAACTACTCAATGGGATGGTTGATTGTTTAAAAATTGATAGAATGGTAAAACTAGAATCTTAATTCAAAGTGGCAATACTATTTTTGTTTTGTTTTGAACAATGGATTGCAATAATACTGTAGCAAAAAGCAGACTCACCAGAGAGTTCCTCCAGGATTGGTCTAGCAGCTAGAGCAGCATTGTAACTTGTACCACAGCCAACAAAAACAATGCGACGGCTTCTTCGAATTGTTTTCATATGATCCTTAAGTCCACCCAGAAGAACAGTCGTTGCCTTACAGGAACCTCCTTGTATGAGCCTTCCCCTCATGGTGGTTGTCAGAGATTCAGGCTGTTCATGAATTTCTTTCTGCATGTAATGTTCATACCGTCCTTTATTTATCTGTTCCACTTCCATCTCGAGAACAGATAATGCTCGTTGTACAGAGGCTGGTCTGGCGATGGTGCCACCATGTCTCCCCTTATCATTAGGAAACTTCAGGATCGAGACATTACCATCCTAGGACAATAAAGATGTATCAATTAACTCATACGCACGAGGAAATTAGGGTTGGAGTTTTAATGAACAACAGCGTAGTACCAAGTACTAAACCATCTGGATTCTACTCCTAGCTTTCTCACTTCTCAACAAACTCTTGCATGTCGCATGCTAAACTATGAATTCAGCCATGAACCACTAAGATGGATCTAGAAAACTGAGAAATTAATCCAGGATCAAGTGGCATTAAAATGGTTGTGCTACACATATATGTAGATGCTACATTTTAACCTAGCATCTGTCTGCTATACCAAACATGACAAGAACCCAAGAAGAATTCCTAAATTTGATGTCCTTTGAACATGTAAATTCTGTCACGCATGCATACACATATGAAGGTGAAACAGAAAGACTTCCAATACATATTCTGCTTAAGTGAAGAGAAACGAATAGAGAACCACCTTTAAGTGGACTACTTCACCATCCTCAATCACCAAGACCTTTTTGGTGTGCTCAACAATAGCATTGGGATCACTGGACAAGAAAAATTCTTTGGGACGCCCATCCTTTGAGAGGAACTTGGCATCCTGAAAGGCTGGTCCACTGTTGTTGTCTTCAGCTAACTCCTGCATCAATACAACAAATTTATCAATTATGAATACCGTGATTCATAAGAGAATCCTTCAAAATTTATAATGCTAAGAAGACACAATCAGATAGGTTATCAATAATTTTACTTACTTTAACACCCAGCAACAATGGACTTCCACGTTTGCATGCAATCAACTCATTTGGATAGTGTTTGCTCTTAAAAATGAGGGCATAAGCTCCTTCGAGATGTCTCATAACTTCAAGAACGACCTGACTGAATGTAACCGCCTGCGTACCTGAGCCCATATAAAATATACTATGAAACGCTGTCATCTATTAGTTTTTAAAATTTCCAATTCGGCAGATACAAGCCGAGTGTAACACACTCTAGAATCACCAAGTTAAACCTCCAAAGAGATTAGCTGCAATTATGCAGCAGCCGCTGCGAGACATACAGCAAAATACTATTTTGATGATATGCATTAATGAGAGTTGCATCTGTTACATCTCAGTTCTGTGCAATACAAAATAACTAGACAGCCCGAAACCATGGTCAGCTGGTAGACTTGCATAACATTCAATTTCGTCACTATATGGAGCTTCCATCCTGATGCTATTACTAATAGATGGACAGGTACATTTTAGCATTTGTCTAAAGTCTAATAGATGGACAGGTACATTACGCATACAAAATCATGGTTGAGTGATGTATGTTTATTATTTGCATTGTGATTGTGAAATCCCGATCCAGTTATTTCAAGAAGATGATTTGTCAAAGCAGTGAAAAGTAAATGGTCAAGAGTTTTTGTGTCTGCACAAGAGGCAATAGCATCCCTTTATAATATTTTAAAAAAGGTTCACCAAACGAGGAGCAGGGAAAACCAATTTTGATCAGGTAGCATACAATACCTTCTTCTTCATTTGCTTTGTCAAAAACAAACTTGGCAAGCTTTGGAATAACTTCAGTGTCAGTCTCGGATTCGAAAGTATATCCATGGCGAACTAATGTTTCTTTTAACACCTGAACATGAAAGAGAAACCAAAACCTAAGGCAACAACAGACTGATGATAAAAGTTTTTTCTTTGGACAAAAGAAAACAAATACTTAAAGTTGAAATCATAAGCAAACCTCATAATTTGTTATCACACCATTGTGGACAACCAAAAACTCATTTCCAGAATCAGATGCCTGGGGATGACTATTCCTTGGAGCAGGCACTCCATGGGTCGCCCACCGTGTGTGAGCTATTCCAGCATGGACAGCAAATGATTCTTCCAAATTTAGGTCTATGCTCGAAACCTCTGCAATGACAGGAACATGTCAGTCTGGTCCAGATTTCAAGGCCAACTTGACACAGAATGCAGACCAAGGGGGAACTCAAAAGTTTTAATCTTGACACCAAGTTTGCATTTTCATGGAATCTCATGCTGCTGGTAGATATTTTAAAACAAATGTAAGAAGAACCATAATCATACAATATGATCTTGAAGATTTTTGGCATGTTGATTATTCTTCTAGCTCTCATTTAAAGGTTTCTCAGAAGTGATCATCCAATAGCAGCTGCTAATAGTCAGAAATGTAAAACTTCCACTGTGAGAAGCTCCACCCAGTAAGAGAAAGGGCAAGGCAGCAGAGGGATACATCATACATGGCAGGAACAGCAGTAGAAAGGGGCATTAAGAACCATTCAGAAAAGGGAAACCTCAGTTGGACCACTTTCCCCTTTTCATTACTCTACAGAAGTAACCAAAGTTGACAACTTTTGGCCACAAATGGGAGTGGTAGAGGTTTCCTGTCCCATTTCCAGTCCCATCCCTTTCTTGGTGGAGCAAAAATTGACAGAAAGCTAATATAATTACGGAAAGAAGAAGGCCCATATCAATAATGAAGGTAGGGAAGCCAGTTCCAGTCGCCTCGTCACAAGATGAAGTTAAAAAGTAAAACTTTGGGAGAAAAAAATCAAACTGAGCTGATGCTAAGAAACCAGTCAAGTAATTGAGTAAATAAACAGGAAAGCTAGGCCAATAATGGGTACTGCAGAGGGAAGTCGCAACAGGAGGAAGTGAACAAATTGCGGTGGGAATGAATGTGTGCAAGAAACAAGGAACAAGGAATTAGAGGGAAGACGTAACTGAAACCCCATTGATGATCAGAGAAAAGGGAGCGAGAGAGTGTGTGTCTGTGTGTACCTTGGTAGACGGATTTGACGAGGGACTCGATGTTGCCCTCCTGGCGGAAGACGAGGGGGCGAGGGGAGGACGAATTGTCGATGGAGATGCCGGCGGAGTCGTAGCCTCTGTACTCAAGCCGCCGGAGCCCATTGAACAGTACTTGGAGTATGTAACTCCTCTCCTTCTGGAGATTGAAATTCAGATACGCAAATATCCCACACATCGTATTCTCTCTCTCTCCTTTGTCCAGAGGATCGCGGGAAGTGACGCACCAAAATTGGGAATTGGAAGCAAAACAAAAAATAAAAATTGTGGAGTCTTCTTTTCTTAATATTTTTCGGGGAGTTTGCGGAATGAGAAAGGAATTAGGAAGGTGGGAGGAAACGAGGAAGGAAGAAGGGTTTGGTTGACGGGTTGATTTCTTTGACCCTTGACTTTTAAACGGAGGTCGGCGGCGGCGGTGGTCGCGGCATTGTTGAACTAACCGTCCGGTGGGTGACGGCGGCGGCCGCTCTGTGTATCGAATTGCGATCTGTGAGGAGATGGAGTTTCAGTTCACCGGAGATTCTCCCAATTCCCTATTCTGTTTTCTGCACGGCGATGGCGATCCACAAAACAGAGCAGACTCTGTAAAACAAATTCGATTATTAATATTTTAATCCCTTACATCTCTCATTCACATTAAAATTCTGGATAAATACCAGTCCAGAAATCCAGATTTACTTACATCTCTCATTCAGAGTTATCCCAGTCTATCAATGTACTAATTTTACATATGTTCCTCCATCACCCACCACACAACTCCTGTTCATAGAACTACAGATCGAATACGATTGCAGCCAAAATACAAACGACCAGAAAACACATCGAATTTTAGCTAGAAGAAGGGGTAGTTATTTTCAAAGCCAGCCAGCCAGCCAAATCAAACTCTTGCAGATGAACCTTTGTCTCTCTGACTGTACGAGCTTCAGCTGGATCTAACAGTATCGATTGCGTGAACTAGATCGTCGTATTTGGCCCCCGTCACTTCTTTTACTATCTTCTTGTCCTTGAGAATCTTGAAAGTTGGTACCACCTTAATCCCAAGCTCCTTGGCCAATGGCTGCCACAAATGAATCAAGGCCATGCAAATTTTACAACATGGCCACGAGGAGCACTAGAGCATCATTCTTATACGATATGAACCACTGTCCACTTATCTTGTTTTCTTGGTTGCAGTCTAGCTTCAGAAACACCACATCGATGTACTTCTTCGACAGCTCCTCGTATTTGGGAGCCATCACCTTGCAAGGGCCACACCTAGTCGCCATTTCAGGCAAACAAACAAAACAGAACCAAAGGTAATAGATTAATGTAAGAGAGTAATAGTGAAGAACAATTGTTCAATCATGTCCATTAGAGACTTCCCAAGGTTACATCCTAGAAACTAGTTGCCGAGGTTCATCCCAGTAACTCGAACGGTTGGGAGAGACATCTCACGCAACAGCCGATATCCTGTCAAAAACCACTTTAACCCAACAACGAATTGTTGGGAGAGGCCCATGTATCAAACTTGCATCATTCCCTTCGGCACAAGAGGAATGAGACGAGTCCAGGACGCACCATGATCAAGGTCCTGAAGCTGAAGTTGCAGGATAGAATCGAGACAACCATTACAGCAATTGACATAACTACTCACTCTCCCGCATCACCATTTTCTTTTGACATGCTCAGCCACAGGAAACATGACATTGCAGACACCACCATACCAGTGTTCTTTCTACCTATCCACTAACTCGGCTTTGCATCAGGCCTCAGCAATGCAGCCACTAACCAACACTCAGCAAGACAGATTCCCCATTTCGATTATACTTAAAAGTTCCTATCTTTCCCCAACTGCTAAATTTTGGGTTTCCACTCAACACAACAATTTCAGAATGGAAGGGCATCAACCCGAAATTCAATACCAATGGTCTCTATCTAGCACCATAACTGTAATTGTAGGAGTGAAAAAGAAGTGAAATTGAATACCAACCACTGGGTGTACATGTCAAGAACGACGGTCTTGTCTCCGGCAGAGTTAACGATTGGCCAGAAAGTGTCATTAGTAACCTCCGTGACCTGTCCGACGGTGGCGACGGTGTCCATGCTCGACTTCACCGTCAGAACCAAACCCTTCCTCCTCCGATTAGACATTGCGGAAGACCCAACTCCGGCTACCGGATTCAGGAACCCAGAGAAAGAGAGGGAGGGGTCCTTGTTGACGGAGGAAAGGACGGAAGAACAGCTGGGGAAGGAAGCGGGGGACGATCGAATTGTGGATGAGGTGGAGCAGAATTGGGCGAGAGCCATTGTTGAAGCTGAACCCTTGTGCCGATGATTAGCTACTGTACAGTTAAATTGTGGTGGAGAGTTGAGGGTATTGAAAATGCAGGCTGTGAAAGTAGAAGAAGAAGAGGAGGAGAAAGAAGAAGAAGAAGAAGAGAAAACACTGTCTAGTCTGCTGAACTGCAGCAATGGAGGATGGAGAAGCTGAGGACTGAGGAGATGGGCAGAGAGAGAGAGAGGGTGTTGTTAAATGACCAAGAGGACCTTCTGGTAAATGAGAGAGAGGCGAATATCTAGGGGTAGTACCGTCAAATGATCCCAAAATGATGGGATAGAATGAGAGGCTAGGAAGTGAAATTGAAGAGGTTTGTGGTGGTTGTTTGTTAGCAAAGAAAAAACACAAGATGTCGATGGTTAAGGATTGATATCTCAATAGTCATATATATGTCGGTTAAAACGTTGAATTCGTCGTAGTAAAGTCCTAAATCGTAATCTAGATATCGTTGAAGCGTATTAAATTGTAGATTCAATAACAATACATTAACATTTTTCCATCCGATCATTGATTTATTATCAACGCACAAACAAGCAAAGAGTTCACTCAAAAGTTGTCTTATTCAACACAGAACAGAAACATTCCAGAGCAAAAACAAAGGGGAAAAAAAAACAGAGGCGGCCTGAAAATGGTGATTATTATGCTCTCGCTCCATCCATGCATGGTGGCTTTATTTGTCATCACCCACCAAAATATTCTCCTTCATCTTCCTCACTTAGCTGATGCTGCAATCGACAAGAAACCAGAAATACAGACTTCATCAATACGCAGCAAAAACGGGAATGAAGAAGAACAGAGGAAACAGGGGGCAAAAAACCAGAGTGTGTGTATATATTACGTTTGGCAGTTGATAGCCTTGGAAATGGGGATGCTGATTGCGACTTGGCATTTGGTCGGGAGAGCGGAAGCAGCGTCTTCCTTGACCGGATAGTGATCGGCGGCCGCCTTGACGCAGGCGCAGGCCGCCCTCCTGTCGTCGACGGTGGCGGTGTTGGCCTTCAAGCTCCGGATTCCGTCGCAGCATTTAGGCGCAGGGTCGCCCGCTCCTGTGGTCAAGTAAGGAATGCAAGGCGCCAAGAAAGAATCCACTTGGCCGCAGCTAATGGCTGCATCTGCTGGCTTGGCAAGGAGCTGAATCATTGCCAAAATAGCAACCAAAACAGAGACGACTGCGGCTCCCTTCATCTTCCTTTCCCGCGCTTGTTCGTTGATGCTTGGATAATGTTGTTGGTGCGGTGATGAGATGAAAATGGCTGGAGATGTGTGTCCTTTTATAGGGATGTTTAGTGGGTCATGAATAACAAGATTCAGTTACAGAAGCTATTTTTGGTTCGTTTGCTCTGCTTTTGAGATGATCCAATCGCCTTTTCTTGCAGCTTTTGCTTTCTCTTTTCGGCTGCTTGGTTAACAAACAGTTCAGAGATGACATGTATTTGGGCATCCCAATGTAATGGTGTGTTCAATGCAGAGCAGAATTGAAACTGTGAAAATGCAGGCTCTAAATCTGACAAAGAAAGAATATGGGAAGACTGGTAGAAGGAAACCCACTAGATTATGTAAATGTCAGTTATGTTTTAGTAACCAAGGATGTCAAGCAAGCTAATCAGAAACATCATTTACATCACATCCAGTTCATTTTTTCTTTAATTACTATGCGCCTATACAAGTCCGGCTTTCACTGAATGATCTCATAGTAGGACTCCACGGTATAACACTGTTGTTAATCATCATTTCGCTTCAATTCAATCACGCGCAGAATCTTCATATGGCGTCTGGTGCAGATGGGCGATATGTACGGCGCCTCGGTCCAGTGCCTGGAGCTGGCTGCTGCAGGAAGATCTTTGTTGGATCGTTGGGATCAACATATCTGCCGAAAACAAAAACCAAACAATTTCACATCACCACTCAGCCACCATCCATGTTTTCTCATACATTTTACCCGAACTAGGTTTCACTTACGCATGTCGAATCATTTCATCAACTGCTGGAGTCTCGGCTGCCTGCAACGGGTCGACAACAGGGCTTGCCGCATAATTTTGCTGCTGTTGACTGAACTGCCTCACTGATGCTATCAAGTTGAAGAACAGTGGGATGAAGGTTCCACACCCACCTTCTTTGAACAAGATCTTGAACTTGTGAGTTGAGTAGAGAGCTCTGTTCTCGTTCTCAGGGACAACCTGAAAGTGTCATCATTGGGAAAATTAGGACAGGCAATAGAGAAAATTGTGATAACAGTATGAACTCGAGGTGCGTCAAGTGTCCTAAAGTTGTCCTTACCGGTTCCACCTGACCGGAAATATTGTTGCAGTGAAATACCGGTTGGTTAAATTTTTCACCATGGACATAAAGCTGCACAGAAAGATTTCACTTGGAAGTCAGAGACACATAAAAAACCTGAAGGCCGATGTGAAGTATGAAGAAATGACTTGGGCAGCTCAAACAAGGACATGATCATCTCGGAACAACCGAACCTAGTGAAATAAATTAGGAAAGGTTAAAAGTAGGTCTCCATGCTTGTGCATGGAGAAGGGAAGGCAAATTTTTTGCATCAAAGATGTGGAGAATTCTCGTGCTTGTATTTTTTGGTAGAGAAATTGTGCTTGTAGCTGGACCAGAGATTACTACAGAAGATTTCTTCCTCATACAAGCCCAACCAACTAAGCCGAGCGAGCATTGCACAACTACCCATTCACACCCCTCCTCCCACCAACACTATTAAGCCAAACATTTTATTTGTTTCTTCATAGTATACTTCACATTAACATCACCAATACATGACCATTCAAATAAAACCAAGAAGATGAAACATAAACATCAATGACACACAGAATCACTAACAAATGTCAGAGAGAAACTTGTGTAAACTTCACACAGAAGAAATAATTTCAAATGAACAAAATGATATTAAGGTGAACATAGCCCACATTAGAGACCAAGCACGAGAGCACATACCAGTGGCATATCAAAAGCAACCAAGCTTCCGGTAGGCTTACTTGCGACAAAAACCATACGTATGTTAGACAAGTATATGGTTCCTTTAGCTTTGACCTGATTACTTCTGCAGTTACCAGCAATATTTCAGCCTTCAGAAACTTGAAGATCAAAGTTAAACAAACTTAAGGAAGTGGGACAAAGAGCAACCATTTGGCAATGCTACCATGTATAAAATAGTTCATACAAACAGCATATTAATTCCAACTGCAGAGGATAAAGTGGAAGCTGAAAATAAAGAGATCCAATAAAATTGACCAGCCCACCATGTCAAGGACTCCATTTGATTCAATCATTCAGAATTTAGTGAACTCCGTATATCATCAAATAACTCACTTCTCAAGCCAAACACATAACTTCAACTTCTATCTTAAGAATATAATTTTGAGTTACAGTACACCCTGCATTTTATGTTTCCTTTTAAATAAATAAAAGCTTATAGATTTCCAGTCTGCCCATCACTCCTCGTATGAACTCATTTTAGTCGTTGCCACAACATGTACCAAAGAACTGCTCCATCTAATAATTTCACAAATCTTCGACCTTGTTACTACACAATTTCTCAAATCAAATGCACTTCATATCTTTATTTGCAGTCAGCTTCTTATGATGATCTCTTATGGGCAGAAACAAACAGAGCCGAGTTCTTGAAATGTCAGCCAGAAAACTAATTCGTCTTCCAATTCCCGAAAAAGAAAAAGTGTCCATCCTATCTCGTTTTACACCTGTTTATCATCAATCATTTTAATTAATGCTCTGCAGCTCCACTAACTCTATCTACGTTTTATAGGACTTTACCAAATACTGCAGAATCTCGACCTAAAAAATAAGTCCTCCCTTATCAAATTTTAGAACAGATCAGAGAAGGCAGCCTAAGTCCCCACTGCTTCTTCTGCACTCCTATTCCAATTATTAGTTTAGTTCAGCAATCCGAGTAATATGTGCACCAGGTTTACTAACATGTTGACGACAAAACTTCCAGTTCTGACCCCTTGACAACCTCACAGACTTGCTGATCACGCCAACATCCTCATAATCACACTAACAATCACCTGAATACTTGTTTCACATCTTCAACTAAAAATCTAACACTAGCTCTATGTCCTGATGAAACATTTAATCATAGAACACCATACCAACACCTTTGGCTTCAGTCAGGGGGAATATGTAGCGGAGCACTGGAGCACATCAAACATTAACCAAAACATCATGTTTTTCCATAACAAATATATATTAATACAAAATGAACCACATCAACCAAGTGAGTCCCTGTTAAAGCTAAACTGCACATGTACTAAAGTCATTAGCTAAGTGAACTAATGTCAAAAGCTAATAGCCTACTTTGGAGATGCTTTACAGCTGTTTTTGCCCAAAATCGACAACAGCTTACAGCAAGTACTACCATAAGCCAGCCCCCTTGGGTTTTGATGCTAAACGCCAGCAAAAAGTACCACTTCCATATCCACATTCACAGAAGAGACATGCAACCACCACCAAATCTAGCCTTCTAAGAAACATACATCTTGATGAAAAGGAAATGCAACCCAAAACAAAGCAACGAAACTGAGCTCATCTTAACCACTCAATTCTACAAGCAAATCGATATAGTCCAAACAGTAGAAAAGGACCCAAATTTCGGGCTGATCCTAGAAGCGGAAACTAGAAAGAAACTCATCAGCTCAATTCAACACCGAAAGAGGGCCATTAGAGGGTAAAATAAAGAAAACGAGATTATGAAAGAAAGAAGACATACCCGGGAATCTTGTCGACTTCGAACTCGACGCCATCTCTAGCCAATACAAACATCTCGTTCACGAATGGAACGGGCAACCCGTTTGGGAGAAGCTGCGGATTCAGAGCCATGTTGTGTTATGCTTTCCTTCTTCTGCAGGAAACACCCAGAAAATTGTTAACAACGATGATTGAAAAGAAAGGTTTAGACTTGCAGCTGTTGAGTCCCCTGACGAACCCTGATAAGATTCCTTGTGAAAGCGAAGAACCACCAACTTCCTCGAGGAAAAGCTTTTCTTCCTTGTAAAGAAACCAGGGAATGGAGGGGAGTCGGTTGCGATCAAGCTGGTAGAGGGAAAAGCGCGTTAATTCAATAGCCTAAGAGCGAGCGGAGACAGGGAAGTAGAGATGGAAGCCGACACGATGAAACAAACAGCAATTCAATCGAGCGCCTTCGGAAGGATTCTCACATTTTCTGGTAGCAAAGATTAATAGCTAAACAAGCCATGTACTATCCCAAAATAACAAATAAGCTCTGTTATTAATATTTTAAACAATTAGACCCCTATCTTCAATTAATAAGCTACAAAAATGGTACAAAGACAACACTAATATTGAAAATGAATCGAGACTGACATGCGAGATGAATTGGTTACAGCTTTCGAAAATTAATCGACTGATTCGAACAGCAAACATCAAAAAGATAGCTAGAGAAGAAGCAAAGAGTCTAAAAAGTGGATGAATCCACAAAGTATACGAGAGAGAATCAAATATTGTTCATTCAAAATTAGATTTCGACTTGTTAAAAACACAACCGAATGTCAAAGAATCAAAAGATATTGTTGACAAAATGAGTAGTTTGTTAATGAAATCATAGTACTTAAATTTACTTTATAACAAATGATTAATCTTTAGATTACACATTAATCTTCAAATAAGCATGGGTATAGATATAGTCAATTTCACAGACAACACCCCATTATTAGTTAACTACGTAATCAATGCAATTCAGATGTGATGATATAGTCAATTTCACAGACAACACCCCATTATTAGTTAACTACGTAATCAATGCAATTCAGATGTGAAGATGTTCATCGAGTTAATCATAAATTTTCTATCACGGCAAGAATTTAATAGCAACTAGAAAGTTAATTTGCTTTCGAGAGATTAAGAGAATGCTACCTATGAGAAAAAGGTTAATCAACATAACAAAGACTTTAATTGTTGATTGATTAATTAGAAAGGTTACCACATTTACTAGAAATCGTGTCATCGCTAATCTATTAATTAATTATCATTGGCTCTATTATTTATTTTTCCTTCCATGAAAAAAAATGAAAGTGATATATGCCGTCTTTTGTTGGTTGGATCGGTTCGGTCATATTCATCGTTTCCCCTCTCCCTTTCTTTCTTTCTTTTCCCCTTCCTTGCCTTCGCCATCTCCATGTCTTCAATACAATTCCATCTCTGCACGCGGCGAGGCCCAAAACGAGGCCTCTGAAACTTCTGAATCCCAATTCCCACCCATTCTTCAAATTTTAGCGTTCTATTAACACCCACCATTCCCCGCCTCTGTTTTCTGCTGAAACAAGAACGAAAGGAAAGCCCTTTTTTGTTTTGGTCTTCTACGAGTAGCACGGCAAGTTAACGGCCGAGATGGATCTGAAGAGGCTGCTGCCGGTGCTGCTCTTCCTGCAGTTTGGCTTCTTCTTCTTCTTCTTTGTCTCTTTCTCCTCTGCCAACCTGGTTTTCCAGGTCCACCACAAGTTCGCCGGCCGTGAGCGGCAGCTCAGCGCTTACAAAGCCCATGATGTCAACCGTCACCGACGTTTCCTCTCCGCCGTCGAGATTCCCCTCGGTGGCAATGGTGTTCCTGTCGAGGCCGGGTACATTTCCTTGTCCTCTTTCTATTTTTTTCCCGCATTGCCGTGCCGTCTGGGGGAAGTGGTCAGGAAAGTAAAGCCGAGAAATTCAATCGATCAGATTAATGTGGAGGAATTCCCTGTGCAATACGGATCCCAATATTGAATATTCTGTTTGTGGGTTTCCCTTACAAGCACGCCTAGTTGAAGTTTCCATGGTCAATTCTATGGTGTTACATAGTGGTTGACTTGGCGTTCATTTTCTTTCTTTGTGGAACCCTTCAACCAATCCGCTTCCATTGTGCCGTACGGGTTATCCTGCATCTTTTCAACATTTCCGGCTTGAAAATTTTGGATCTTTCTGGGAATAGTAACTTTTGGCAATTTGGATGTAACAGTAACCAAGTACAGGAATTTATTGGGGATGGATTCGATTATGGCTTGGAATCATTTCGTGAATATGTTCCATCCATACTGCTTTTGGGAGCTCATATAAGTTTGGTCGCCCTTGATGCAGCCTCTACTACACAAAAATTGGACTAGGGACTCCTCCAAACGACTACTACGTGCAGGTTGACACGGGAAGTGATACTCTATGGGTGAACTGTCAAGGCTGTACCAAATGTCCAACGAAAAGCGATCTCGGTGTATGTTTCCTTCAGTTCTCGAAACTGCATTTTGTTTCTAGAAACTTTATTGCAAAGGGTAATATGTAGGCGCACATGTAGATTGCTCTTCCAAGTTCCACCCTAAGTTCCTCGTTTTGTTTTGTGCCACTATATCTGCTTGTGCGTGGAAAGATATTTGTAGTGATGGCCTTCCACTGATTAAGTACGCTTCCCGCATATTAGATTAGGAAATGAAAGCAGAAAACTGGAGAAGGAAGTGAAAGTTTTCCCCCCCTTTTTCCCGAAAGCTGCAGAAAGAATGGAGTTTTCAGATGGGATGTACAAGTATCTGTGGCATCTTGGCATTCTCTTGATTCTGAAAGAGGAAGGGATGCCTTCACTTTTAAGTCCTTAGTTTTTGTTTGTAGAAGTAGGAAATAAGATAAGCCTTTTAGAAAATGTAGTTGATGACTTCAAATATGTCTCACTTTTTCTTTCCATCAACAGGTAAAGCTGTCATTGTTTGAACCAGACAAGTCCTCTACTGCAACGAGGGTTTCTTGTGCCGACGATTTCTGTATTTCCACATTCAGTCGTATGATTGATGGCTGTAAAAAAGAGTTCCCTTGTCAGTACAGTATCACGTATGGCGATGGAAGTGTGACTTCAGGATTTTATATCAGGGACAATGTTCAGCTTGATCAAGTGACTGGGAATCTTCAAACTGGAACCTTGAATGGGTCTATTGTGTTTGGGTGAGTTCCAGTTTGAATGCCATTTTTCACTTATTTGTACACAGTTTAATTGTTTCTTACGTTGCTATTGATATGCTAGTAGTGATACGGTTTGCACATGATGAGATAGAAGTGTTGTTGCTTGGCATTGTGAGACCTTCTCAGTTAGATTTTCCTAGGTTTCCTCGGGCCAAATAGTGACAGATGCAAACTGGAGAGTTTGGAACGGTGCTTTCTCTATGTCTTATGACTCCTTGAAGGTTGACCAAGAAAATTCCAAAGTCGGTTTAGACATATCAAAATGAGATGTGTCTTTCCCTATAGGCTAAGCATTGCTGTGCTGTGCTCATGTAACCTTTTCGAAGTAAAATTTTGTGTGACTGTTGCGACACAACTCGGTTTACCATCTTACATATCATCTTAACAAGCTTTAAATGGTAAAAACTGAACCTCGTATTTGACTATGGTTCTCATTGTTTAACGTGAATGTCCGTTTGGTATCATCCTATGAAGAGAGCATAAGGTCCTGTTGTTACAGATTTCTAAATAGGTAAGGTTACTTTATTGCTAGATTACTGCTTTTGCCTTTCTCTGGTTGTAAAGGGCCGATTCATATCCTTAGTTGATGACAGTGTGTTGAATGATTGTCTGAGATGGTCTTGTTTTCTATTGATGAATTGATTGGTATATGTAGTGGGGCCTTTTTAGTTCATTCAAATTCTTCTTCCATTGCTTAGAGCTCGGTTAAGTGGTTTTTTCCTTTCCCTTTTGCATCTGGACCAGGTGTGGATCGGAACAATCTGGTCAGTTGGGTACATCTAGTGAAGCGCTTGATGGGATAATTGGTTTTGGACAGGCAAATTCCTCCATGTTTTCTCAACTTGCTGATGCTGGAAAAGTCAAGCGGGTGTTTTCACATTGCCTGGACAGTGTAAAAGGAGGTGGCATTTTTGCAATTGGTCAAGTGGTCTCACCAAAAGTTGTTACAACTCCCTTAATACCCAACCAGTATGTGACTATTCATGTCTTCAGTTTGCAGCTATTACTCGAAATTGTCTGTAATATATGCCCCTGAAGTAAGCCTTCTATTGGGAGTCCAGTTCCAGTTCCCTATTTTCAATCTGAAGGATAAGGGAGAAACAATAAAATAAGAGGAAAGGGTGAAAAATTATTCTATAAGATGGGTTGGTTTCTTATATCAATTATTTTGTTGTACTAGGTACCATAGAAACAAAGATGCCAATGCACTATATGCTTTGTCTTCTGTAACGCCCCCTTTACAGTTTTATTTGTTGCTAACCATTTGCAGGCCACACTACAATGTGGGATTGAAAGACGTTGAAGTGGGCAATGAAATTTTAGACCTTCCATCAGATATCTTTGACACTGGAGATAGAAAAGGAACTATAATTGATAGTGGCACAACATTGGCATATGTTCCAAGTGCGGTTTTTGAACCAATGATGGCAAAGGTACTTGATTATCAAAATTCTGATTGAAAATCTGCTTATTACCTTCATTCCGTCTCACCCAAATTTGTTTTCTTTTCCTTTTATGTTGCGAATCAGATTATGGCTCGACAGCCTGGACTGAAGACGCACATTGTTGAAGAGCAGTTCACTTGCTTTCAGTACAATGGAAAGTAAGGTGCCAAGTGCAATATACTCTCGTAAAACAATGCCTTTGTATTAGTTGATTCGTGTGGTCAAATCATTTCAGGATAATTTAGTGTCTGGACAGTGCTATTGCTTGTCAGCTTCTATAACCTAGTTTCTCGTGGTGCCGTGGGCTTCAATCAAATTATAATTTTGCATTTCTCCTCCGAATATGCATAAATATATGTAAAAGATTATGATTACTGTTAGGCATTTCTCAGTCTTCCCGGTTTTCTGTTGCAGTGTCGATGATGGGTTTCCAGTGGTGAAGTTCCATTTTGAAGATAACCTCAATCTGGCAGTGCATCCTCATGATTATCTCTTTTCGATTCGTGTAAGTTGGTCAATGTCAATGGTTACTTCTTTTGTTGGGATTTTGTCTGTGTGCAATTTCAAACGCGGCACTTATTTTACAATTGTTGAAATGGTATGGTTTTTTTTGCCTTTAAGCCAGCTTTTATAAAATCAGATGTGTGGCAATAGGTGTATTACAGTTTGGAAACCATACAAAGAAAATCACTTTAAAACATTAGATATTTAATACATGCTACGTACTTTGTTCGATTCTGCAGGAAGACGTGTGGTGCTTGGGTTGGCAGGATAGTGGGCAACAGTCCAGAGATAGCAAGGATATGTTCCTGTTAGGAGGTATGTCCATTTACTATCTCATCTCAATGTTGGCTCTATTCTGGTAAACTTCCCCATCACCTGATAAACATAACCTCAACCACGATATTAAACGATCCAAAATGCATGCTTTTAGTGGTCAGTGGTCACCCTGTGAACATAGTGAGCCAGATAAATCAGAATTCGATATTAGCAACCAATCTTCAGAATTTCTCTCGTCTGAGAAGAGCTCTTTTTTCTCTGACGAGTGACGATCCCCCCATCATCTCTCTATGGCAGATCTCGTGCTCTCCAACAAGCTAGTCGTGTACGATCTTGAAAACCAAGTGCTTGGATGGACAGACTACAACTGTGAGTATAGTCGAACTTCCGTTACGTTCTTATTCATGATTCTGAAGAAACCATTTACAGAACTAACTGCTGTAAAAAATGTTATTGCTATGTGTAGGCTCTTCAAGTATCAAAATCAAGGACGGGAAGACTGGAACAGCCTATGAAGTGAGCGCGAAGGACATCTCGCGAGCTTCCCAGTCGACGAATCCAGTAAGACAGCTGACATTTTTGTGGTTGTTACTATCAGCAGTGTTGCATAGATTTGTATGATGAAAGCTCAGATAGTTACTGGAAGACAAAAGATGGCACGGTACAGCTGCATTCTTTGGTTTTTTGCTTTTGTTGTACCATAAAAGAGACAGAAAGGAAGGAATCAAATTGAATAGATGTGTGGTTTTGTTGGTATAGAAAGAATTAAATTTTACAGCAGGATCCCCAACATAACATAGCAGAACTTACTCGTTTTGTTATCTTCTTCGTTCCCTTTTGCCTCCCAATTATCATTCACCCTCGTTACCAATTTACTGTTTCGTAGCCGATAAGAGTTACTCAATGTCCATCGGTAACTTCATCCTTGATTATACTGAGCCTATGGTATGTAATTTTGATGTTTTGTGACGTTACCAGGGTCTCGAAACCACTAAGATTGATCGGATCAGGAGCTAAAGTCTCGGTATGTAGTAAAGTGAACGTAGGGGTAGTCGAGATGAACACATACTGGAGCACGAATGAATAGAAATGAGTACAGAATTACAATCATATGTCTTAAGGTCGAGGTTTGAAATGTAAAAATTGAAAAGATAATGTATTATACATAGCATTACAATCTACAAAGTTATCTTCAGGAACTGGAAAACGAGGTAGACGACGGCTAGAAACAGAGCGATCTGGTATGCGTCTCGTTGAAAGCTGTCATCCGTCTGAAAGAACTGCAGAAAACAGCAATAACAAGCCAATGAAAATAAACAGGTCAGATGGTTAAAACGCAAATAGAGCCAGACTGGTGAAATGGAAGAGAATTGGGAGATGTTTTACTTTCGTAGGATCGCCAGAGGGGTCGGGATAGATGTCGTCGGAGCTGTCCTTCTGGATTGAAATGCGGCTGCTCAGATCCTTGAACAGAACACCCAAGTCTTTCCCTGCTTCGACGGTGGCAAAAAGGCGTCGAGACGCCCAGAAGAATGCCTGTCCAGGAGGTGATGAAGCTGATAGGTCCCAGTACTCTTGGTGCTGGATTACCTGGCCACTGATCTGGTTCAGAGTGAACTCGGAGTTGACTTTGATTATCAGCTCTCCGGCTAGCAAAGCACCGAGGAAGGATTTCGGCTTCCCTCTCACTGTCCATCTGATCCTCAGCAAGCTGGTCGACAGCATCACCATTTCTTGCACACTCTGCATATCCAAAAGCAGCAGCCACATCAATGAAATTACAGGGAAGGGAGAGAAACACTGAGAGAGAGAGAGAGAGGATGGTGCAAGTGCAGAACTTCAGTTCAATATTCAGGTCAACCACACTTTGTAAACACATCCCAAGTTGCATATCAGATATGCTGAACATCTGTCTTTCTTTTGATCCAGCCCCATCAATTAATCTCGATAAGCCCCCATATGATCAATTCATCACAAAACCAAGAGGAGATTGTGGGAATTTGAGAATCTTATAGAAGGATAAAAACACAAAATTTTATATGCACATCACTTGCTGAGTTATCTATGACATACTACACACAGATCGGTCCTCTGCCTTCAGCTAATTCCGACGAAACACCCATTTAACCTACGAGCTAAACATGCGCATAAACAACATGAATCATGATACATAGACAAATCGTTCAGAATCAGGGGAACCACCATCAACCAAATCATCAGGATGAGCTAGTTTGGCACCGTAGTATCAGACTAGCACGAAATTCGTGTTAAGTGGCTCCTTATATTCGGTACAATCTGTGCACAAACACTCACCGGGGTAGGGTTTTGGAGGGCATCAGTGAACCAGAGCGGCCTTTTGTACTTGTCTCGACCAGTAAAACTTCTGACTGGATCCTGAAATCCACTAAGACAACCCCAAATTGGTACAGAAATAAGTTGGCGGGAAATGGGAATTCTGGATTGCTTTAGGGATTGATTGATTGATTGATTGATTGATTGAACTTTACCTTGTATGTAACCGAGGCGGCGAAAGTTCCAAGGGCACGGTTTCCCTGACGAAGCTGAAAAATGTCACGGGCGAGCTGCCTGGCCGTGGATTCCACCTGAGGACTGCTTATACACTCAAACTCGTTGCACAGCTCCCCGAATTCCATCCCGTCCACGATCTTGTCCGCCTCCGACCTCCCTTCTCCGCCGGCGCCAGTTTCCGAAGAGGAATCGCCATTCCTGACTGCGATTTTGACATAGTGAATTCGAGTGAGTTAATCGGAGAGAGATCGAAGGAAGGGGAAAGGGAAGATAGGTTACCTTTCAAGCTACGCCGGGAGATGGCGCGGGAAGAGGGGAAGGCTGGGAGGGAAGTGAGGATGGTGGTGCTCGTACGGCGGCGATGGTGGTGAATGGCGACGGCGGGAGAGGAGACAGGTGCGGCGGCGGCGACAGCAGTAGTCATCTCTTTCCATTGTGAGTTCTGAAACCATGTGTGGTGGTGGTGTGTTTTCAGAAGAAAAAAAAAATCGGAAATTAGAGGGAATGAGGGAGGAGATTTTCAAATTTTCTGTTCCTTACGATTTTCTTGTGGTTTTGGTTTGTTTGGGCCTTGGGGTTTCGGATAGGCGCAGGGCCCATTGCTGGCCCAATTGACAATTTCTTTTTTAGGACTGTTTATGAAATAGAGACTAGTACGACGAATGTGGTGATGGTGAAGTTACAACTGGTGACTAAATTTTAAAACGTAACAAACCAAGTGGTTAAAATTTGTTGTTTTGTAACAAAATGTCCATTCATCATCAATCAATATAACAACATCACGGTTTTTAATTTCTAGTCCATCTATAATCCAAGGATCCTGAAGCACAGTCTCGTCTATCCATTTGGTACGTATGAGCTAGATGAACCCCGTCGGAACTCAACAGGATCCTGAATGAGGATAGCTTAGGGGTTAGTTTCCCTAGGATGGTGCGTCAGCAAGGGGGAGAAAATGGATAACTTTAGACCTTTTTGTACTTTGTTTACTTTGGTTCTCTACTGAAGCAGACCTTCATCTGATGTAATCTGGCTCTGTGCCTCCCTTTAATAAAAAAAAAAAATCTATAATCCAAGGAAAATAAAGTAGAAAAGGAACAACGGAGGAAATTTGTAGCAGATTTGAAAAGAAAGTTGGAGTTCGATGTGGTTGTATTGTACCTTAATAAACTCAAAACTAAGGAAGGGTCATGTCATTTCATCATTCAACCTTTAAACATAGACGATAAGGAGAGTACGATGATAAGATATGATTCTCATTTTCAATGTCAGATAGTGAAAAAACAAACTGCCAGTACTTGTCAACCCCACACAACGAGCACATCATCAATTTCGAAAACTACCTCATGAAAATCAACTAATCACTCTCATTTAGAGTTACTTCTCTTTGATTTTGTTAGATGACTTCACCAGTGTATTGTTTCTTTCCGATTAAATCAACAAACAATAAATTTGTTCAAACTCTCCGTGTGTGTAGAATTTCAGGTGTCAAATCCACGACTGAATTCAATAAACATATTACCTCGCGCGTGATCTTGATATCGTTCCGAATTCAATCTCTAAATTAAAAATATCGCATCAACTCTTAATGAGCCAGCAAACCGTACGTAGGAATCGACGGCCGACGGCTCCTTCGTCTTCTCCGACCCAACTCACATCACCATTCGCCACCCGCACTCACCCTTTTCTTACCGTCTTTTTCCTCTCCGACGTAATTGGCCGGAAGCTTGGACCTTTCTATTGCCGGGCGACGAATCTATATTTCCCTCCCTCTCCGCCAATCGGCAATTTAAACATCTCTTCCCTTCCTGCACCCAGCCGAGACAGCCGGCAGCTTCCTTTTTGTCTGTGACCTCAATTCCCTCGTCAACGATAACAATAACAACAACATTAATTAATTAATAATATGTAATTAAGGTTTGATCGTAGAATTAGACCAATCATTGATGCTGACTGGACGCACCCTGCCTGCCACGTGTACCGAAAAAACCCTCCCTCCCCTTCTCTTATCACCGACTAGGGCTGCAGCCTGCAAATGAGCCGAGCTGCTCGTGAGCAGTTTGGCGTTCGACTCGAGAAAACCTCGTTCGAAACTCGGGTCGTTAATAAATGAGCCGAACACGAGCTCACCTTTGTTCAGCTCGCAAGCTAGCTCGACTCGGTTGCTTGTTGAGCTAAACTCGTGAGCTGGCTCGTTTAGAGCTCATGATACATGTGGCTAGAGAGCCAACTCGATTACCAACTTATGGACGAATCTATCTATATCTTATAATTTTAATTCATATGGTTGTTAATTTATATATCTCACCATATATAAAGTTTTGCACGTTGAGTATGTGAGCAAATATATCTTATTTTCTACTTTAAAAAGAAATTATGCATTATAGATTGCTTCGATACAATGAAAAAACATGATTTGTAGTAGTTAAAATTTATTAACTAAACGATATATGATACCAACAAAGTATAAAGTATAAGATGAGATTAACTAACAAAATAAATCATATGTATCATGATATACAAAATGAAGTACTAAATAAAAGTTAAGATTTTAATAAACAAGCTAGCTCGAGCTCGACTCGGCTCGTTAATAAACGAGCTGAGCTCGAACTCGACTCGTTTATTAACGAGCCGAACTCAAGATGGGGTAAAACTCGACTCGACTCGGCTCATTTGCAGCCCTATCCCCTGCCTATAAATTAAGTGGCCAGACACGACCGCACAGTATCCCACGCAAAAAAAGAAAAAAAAAAGACATAACTGCAAAAACAACAGCAAGTTTCGTTAAAAGAGAATTCGATGGCTAAGTCAACGAGCGGCGGCGCAGCGGCGGTGGTGGTGGTTTTGATGATGACGGTGATGATGAGCGGTTGCGGGTTGAGTGAAGCAGCGCCGGCTGACGCACTCGTGACGTACTTGCCCGGTTTCAACGGGAGTTTCCCGTCGAAGCACTACTCGGGTTACGTGGGAATAGAGAAGGAGAAGCATCTTTTCTACTACTTCATCGCGTCGGAGAGGAATCCGGCGGAGGATCCCGTTGTTTTGTGGCTCAACGGCGGGCCCGGGTGCTCCAGCTTCGACGGTTTCGTTTATGAACACGGTAAGTTTTTTTCCCTTCCTAATTAATTAACTGCTTCTGAAATTTTTACACATTGTTGGAAAAAAAAATATTATTATAAGTCTCTAGGAGGGTAAAAGGGCGGCCAGCGGATTCGGCGCCGGCGGGAAGTAGTAGAAAGGTTGTAGAGGTCACCATTTCTACTCTTTTTAAAAATTTAATGAACTGCTTTGATTCCCGCCAAGAAGGAAAAGGTTGTAGAGGCCACCATTTCTACTCTTTTTATTTTATTTTATTTTTAAAGAGAGAGACATATATACCCTTTTATTCTGGGTAGTTATCATAAACGGTCACAAATCTGTTTATCTTGTACAAAATGGTCACAAACCTTTAATTTATAACGAAATGGTAACAAAAGTTTGAATTTGTACGAAATGGTCACTTCCGTTAATCTCCGTCAAAAATTCTGTGAGTTTGTTCCTAGTCAGCTATCTCATCAGTCAAAGAATTGATAAAAAAATAAAAACCAAAATCCCTAACCAAACCAACACCACAATCCAACCCAACCAAACCAATTCTTGTCTCTTCGCCGACTCCGCCATTGAGGCTAAACCCCCACCGTCGATGGGACGACGAGCGGTGGGGGGAGGTTAAGCCTTCAATGGCGGAGACAGAGAAGCCAGAGGGTTGGTTTGGATTGGGGTTAAGCCAGCTTCAGTCCGCCGAGCCCTTCTCCTGGTGACATTACTTTTTTAATTATTGATTAGGGGTTTTCGGGTTGGTGGGTATAGAATTAGGGCTGTCCGGTTCAATTGAGTTTGGTTATCAATTTTTGTATTAATATTTTAAGTGATGTGACTTGCTGACTGGACGAAACTAACAGTTTTTTGGATGGAGATAGACGGAATAATCATTTGGTTATTCTCTCAAACGTATGTGACTAAAATGTGCAAAATGAAAAGTTTGTGACCGTTTTGTACAAAGTGAATAGTTTTGTGACTTTTTATGCTAATTACCCCTTTTATTCTAATCACAATTTCGATTATTTAATTTATGAAAATTGAAAAATTAATAATCTCTTGTAGGGCCATTCAACTTTGAGGAAGGACCCAAGGGAAGCCTTCCAAAGATGCATCTCAATCCATACAGCTGGTCCAAGGTACACAAAACACAAAATGTCTTAGAAAACTTATGAGTCTCTACACGGAACATAATATGATGACGTTGATTTACGCACGCGTGCGTTGCTACGTTGCAGGTGTCCAACATCATCTATCTGGACTCTCCATGCGGGGTCGGCCTCTCGTACTCTCCCAACGACTCGAACTACGTAACTAACGACCACAAGACAGCTCTGGATACCCACAGTTTCCTTCTCAAGGTAGCTAATACTCAACTATTGCATGCATGATATTAAGGTCGAGATGATTGAAAGGTTGAACTTATCACCTGAGTGGCAATGTGTTGGCAGTGGTTTGAGTTATATCCTGAGTTTCAACGCAACCCGTTTTACATCTCTGGGGAGTCTTACGCTGGAGTTTACGTTCCAACTTTGGCCGCTGAAGTGGTCAAAGGTAAAGAACTCAATTAGTAGAGAACATGTGTACATGTGTTATCCAATCATCATCATTCATCACCTGCTAGCTAAGCATATCAGCTTTGTCTCATAATTAAAGTAATTCAGCCAATTATTGATCTATTTGCTTGCTGTTTCCTGATCGTATGTAGGGATAAAAGCAGGGGACAAGCCAGCCATCAACTTCAAGGTATCATCATTACTACTAATCATAGTTCCTAGATAGAATCTTATCACCTTACGTTGTTTCCCCCATCCAGTTATTAGGGTATGATGATTGATTGATCCTAATAAATTTTTAGACAATAATTGAATGTGATTAATGATGGTGATCTAGGGTTACCTTATTGGGAATGGAGTGGTTAACAATGGAGGTGGACTTAGTGCTTTTGTCCATTTCGTGCATGGGATGGCCCTCATCTCCAGCCACATGTTTGAGGTGACACACCAACACACCCTTTAGTTATACTAATTTTGGCAATACGATACCTCAACGTTACTGTAACTTTAACGTGATGGGATCAACGAGTTTCGTGAACTCTATACTGACTTGCTCGCCTTCTTCTCAATACACAGGAAGTAGCGGGTGCCTGTAATGCCAATTTCAGCAGTACCAGTGAGAAATGCTACGACAGTATCGATAAAATGGACGCGGTTAGTGATTTAGATAACTAAGCAATCCGTCGTGAGTGATCATTACACACAATATCCAAAAGTTGGGTGATGGTTTGAGTTAATTTCCCCTTTTCCTTTTTTTTTCATATGGGGTTTGGTGAAGGCTCTGAATGATCTGAATATTTACGACATACTGGAGCCATGCTACCACGACCCAGAAGGACAGCAGCAGAGGCAAACCCAGCTGCCGCCCAGCTTCCAGGAATTGGGCCGGACCGAGAAGTCCCTCCCGGTCAGGAAGCGGATGTTCGGTCGGGCCTGGCCTCTTTGGGCCCAGCACTTCGATAATTTCCAGCCCAACGCTACTAATAACAAGCAGTTCTTGTGGCCCCAACTAGCACGCAAATCTGGCGGGTTTATCTGTGTCGTACGACGTCGTTTCATTCTCTCTCTCCACCCTCCTTAAATCCTATTGTAATTAATTTCAACTCAAATTTTGGCTTAACAATAATAATTAATTAATTACTGATGCAGAATGATGTGGTGGCGACAGCATGGCTGAATGACGAATCAGTGAGGAAGGCTCTCCATGCTGCCCCAGTAAGTCTTAGTAAATTTCATAATTATATGTAATTGTTCAACTAATCAACAACTAATGACGATGTTAGCTAAATGATGACGATATTGTAATTGTTGATGGATACGCGGCAGGTGTCCACAGCGGGCGCGTGGGAGCTCAGCTCGGACCGTGTCCGGATCGATTACGGGTTCGGTTCGGGTAATATGATTCCGATCCACAGAAACCTAACCACCCAGGGTTACCGAGCCCTCATCTACAGCGGCGACCACGATATGCGTGTGCCGTACACCGGAACGGAGGCCTGGACGAGCTCAATGGGTTACAAGATCACCGACGAGTGGAGGCCGTGGATCTCCGGCGACGACCACCAAGTTGCCGGGTATAGGATATGATTGGATGAGTGAATTACTTTACTATATTAATTAATTGCATGGCTTCATTTGATTTTCATTTTACTTTAAAATTTTATGGGTATGTGATTTTCAGGTATCTGCAAGGGTATGAGCACAATCTCACTTTTCTCACAATCAAGGTATGCAAAACATACCAAGGATATATGAAATCTCATAAAAACCAGTTGGTCTCAATAACTCGAGTTGTTGGGAGAAGGTTATAATGGATATTATACCACTCTCTAATATGTCCCCTCAAACGAAAGCCAACTCACGGGCTTAAAGTTTGCACAGGCCACCATACCTTGTGTTTTAATCAACTGTTAATATTGGGGGTCGTGGAGATTCGAACACACGACCACTTGGTCAAACCAGCTCTGATACCATGTCATAAACCAGTTGATCCCAATAACTCGAGTTGTTGAGAGAAGGTTATGATGGATATTATACCACTCTCTAATATGAAATTGCCAAGAATCACCAAGCCCTTTTTTTATGTGTGTGGTAATTATGTACTAATTGATGTTGTTGTGGTTTAATTTTGGTGCAGGGGGCGGGGCATACGGTTCCGGAGTATAAGCCGCAGGAATCTTTGGATTTCTACACTCGGTTTCTTGATGGGAAATCGATCTAATTATAGATATAAAAAATACGAGTATTATTCCCATATAATTTCATAAGGAGAATTTATTAGTAAACCCTAAATTTCTTGTGTATACATTATTGGATATGGCATTCAAGCCAACCTTTGGTCACAAAGAAAGAGAGGGAAGGCAAGAAGAAGAATCAAGAAGAAGACTATCATTTATAAAATTGTAAAGAATCTAGCTATCTAGATTAGTAGCTATTTATATTTTTATGGATTCTAGCAAATTGAAATGTACAAGAACCATATTCAATTCAATTGTTTGATGGTATAATTTATATTGAGGCAATCAAATAATTAATGAAAAAGAGAAGTTCATTTTACTACTTAATTGATGGTACAATTTATATTGAGCCAATCAATTAAGTTAATGGAAAAAAAGAGAATTTCATTTTACTACTTGATGCTCCACCACACTCTATATTCAAATATCGAGACCAACAATCAAGGGAATGCATTTCGATAATATTTTGTAAACTGGATGAGTGAAATTCATGTGTTTGACAAATATTTTTGGTTAAGGTAGTACATCTAATTATTTCTCATTTTTAGGTGGCTGTGTTTAATCTAACAAAATCTCTTAATCGCCTCTTTCCGTCTAGAATTAGTTTGTTATAAAAATTCAAGATATTAGGAGATTTTCAAAAATAAATATTGTAGTACTTTCCATGCATATATCTTGAACAAAATGTTTGATCACTGTGAATTACTTGAAGTTTGGAAGGTCCATTATATTTTATATGTTTTAGACAAACATTGCACTGAAAATTATCAAGACTTGAACACATAATTTCTATTAAATTTAGTAGATTTATTAAAGATACACAACTTACACACATGAAACTGAAACCCTTCTTCTACTTCTACTTCCAAGTCGATCACACACCACCGTGAAAGGTTAAACCATATACAAAAGGCCCCAAAAGGAAACAACAACACCCTGTTGCAACGGAAGCAACGGCGAACACCGCCAGCTCTTCACCACCACACACCACCGCCGTCCCCGCAGCAAACGCCACCACCATCCCGTAAACCGACCATTGGCCGAACAACTCCGCGTAATTCGTCAACTTCACAGCCGCGGCGGCGCCATCCCTCCTCGGTCCAGCTCCCAACAACCCCACAAAGTAGACAAACATCGACGCAGTCGACAAGCCAAACGTCAGGGAGTTGGCCATCACGTACAGTTGGAAACCCGGCTTCCTTCTCAGCATTCTCGTGCCTCCCATCATCATGATGGTGAAGACTGCTGCAAACGTTACGGCTGCAATCGCTGTTGCCAAACCGCTCCAAACCCGCTCCAAATCGCTTATGCGGTCAATCCAAACCGCATCATTAAGATTGCGATTTTATTTGCGGTCTAATCTTAAGCGGTTCGCAGTTTTGTGGTACGGGTCGATCGAACCTGCGCGGTTGCGGTTCAAAACCGCAAACCACTAAATCCCTACCCAGCTCAGCGAGGGATTCTCAGTTCATACCATTACCACTTACCAGTTACCACACAGCAAGCCTTACCACAAGAGCAAGCCTTGTCGGCGGCGCCATCGACGATTCCTCCCTCTCGACGTCGCGTACCACTAAGAGGCGATAGCTCCAGCACCGACGCCGACGATTCCTCCATCCCGACTACCTACCTGACGACGTCGATCTATTCGTGCCTCTCGACGACGTCGTGCACCACTAAGAGGCGATAGCTCCAGCGTCGACGATTCCTCCATCCCGACTCCCGATCTGTTCTTGCCTTCGTCGATCTATTCGTCCCTCTTGATGTCGCCCACCACCAATAGGCGAGAGGGCCAGCGTTGACGTTTCCTCTAGAGTCTCGACCAGCTGAACCCTTTGCCCCTTTTCCTTAATCGGTCTTTTCATCTAGAGGGCCAGCGCCGACGATTCCTCTGGTACTCTCTTTCTCCCTCCTCTTTACCTTAATCGGTCTCACACTCTCACTGACCGACCCGCCGAACCCTTTGCCCCTTCGTGGGTTTCCTACTAGGCTTGGTGGATTGATTAGAGTCTAGATATTAGGTAAAATATGGTAGATTGATTAGAGTCGTATATTATCTCCAGGGTACTTAGTTCTGATTAGAGTCGTAAAACATCAAAAACCAATTAAACCCATGTGATAATCTGCAGAGCTATTTCCTTCATTAGTACTCTGATGCAGTATTGGTACTTCCAGCAACTTGTTAATGCATAAAATATGTTATTAGATGCATTTGGAAACCTGAAGGTTTCAAATTTTGGTTTAAGTGCACTGTCACAGCGAGGGTAATTAAAAGATTTCAAATTCGATATCAAGCAGTTGGTAAAAAGAAGATATTATCTGCAAAATGAAATCAAAAAGCTCGCAGGGAAAACGAGCTCAAGCATCGGTATCTAGTGAGGTGAGTTTCTTGACTATGGTTACATTCTTAAGCGGGATTTGATGTGTGTGTTTACTTATATGGTGGATGGTTGGGGTTGTTGAAGGTGGAGTTTTGACTCTGTAGCATTTGGGGTTGTTTACAAATTGCTTCTGAAGATTCTTTGTGGATCAACATAAATAGGTTATGGTGACAAGAGATTGTAGAACTAGTTGAGGTTTAGATGACAAGCTTAACTGGTCAATTTCTTTCAAGAACTTGTCGTATGCAGGGTAGAAAAGGCGGTGGGCAGTGGGCGCTGTAAGAGTCTCGAATGTGAACCTCCCATTCACAAAATCCAGAGCTAATGGCACCATTGTTCCCATCCAAACAACCGGCTCGAAACCCCTTCCTGCCCATCACCCTTAACCAAGTGAAATGAAGCAACTACTTACAAGGAGTGGCATAATGTCGCTGTAGAAAAGTGGGATTTCATCAGTCTCTCCACTAATTTTAGTGGGTATCTTGTTCCTCCTATCTTGCAAACTTTTCCCCACATTCTCCTGTTAAGAAAACTCCAACAACATAAAGAAACCAGAGCAAATTGATCAAATGGGTTTGGGATTAATTTACTTTTTTACCTCATGGGAGCTGGTTGTTTAATAGCCATGATAATTATTATTGTTGCTGCTGATACTATGTTGTTATCTGCTCAATTTACTTTATCACTTTGTCATTGTTTAGGTTGAATATGATGATGTTGCAATGGAGTCCTTAAGTGGGGAAGATATGGAAGTCGAAGTGGATGCAAGTACAAGTAGTGTGGGTGCTGCTGATATTGGTTCAACTGCAACTCAAATTAAGTCACCGAAGGGAAAAGGCAGGAAGCTTACATCAAAAGTATGGGTTCAATTCAAGAGGCATGTGACGGATAAAAGATTCAAGGCATCATGTATCAAATGCGGGAAGATTTATCAATCTAAATCGAGTAGAAATGGAACAAGTGTACTTCTCGGACATATGGAAAAACCATGCGGTGATAGAAACGGTACTGCTCAACAACTGTTGAATACAAATACAGTTGGATTAGGAGAGAGTGATGAAGTAGTGTTAGGGAGCTGGAAGTTTGACCAAGCCGCTATAAGGAAAGGATTGGCTTATATGATTATTGTGGATGAGTTACCTTTTAGGTTTGTTGAATACTTGGGTTTCAAATATTTTATGTCACTTACTTGTCCTAGATTCTGCATACCTTTTAGAAGGACTGTGACTAGGGATTGTTGGGAATTTTATCTTGAGTTGAAGCAAAAGTTAAAGAATGTCTTTAGCAACTGTGAAGGTAGAGTTTGCTTGACTACAGATTCATGGACTTCCAACAAGCAATTGAATTTCATGTGTGTGACAGCCCATTTTATCGATAGAAACTGGATATTAAGAAAAAGAATAATTGGTTTTCGCCAAATATTCTGTCATAAGGGGGTGGATATTGCAAGTGCAGTTATGTCTTGTTTGGATGAATAGGGAATAGATAAGATTTTCACAATCACGGTTGACAATGCTAGCTCGAATGACACTACAATAGAAGAATTGAAAAGTATTTTTGATGATAGAAAGATTAGCATGTGTGGTGGAAAATTCCTTCACGTCAGGTGTGTTGCCCATATAATGAACCTTGTTGTGATGGATGGATTGTCTGAGATATCTGTAGCTATCAAGAGAATCCGGGAGGCTGTGGGATTTATTAGGCAATCACCAGCTAGAATTCAAAAGTTCAATAATTTTGTTGCTCTTGATAATACAAGCAAAAGTGGCTTGTGCCTTGATGTTCCAATGAGGTGGAACTCGACCTTTTTGATGTTGCAATCTGCTGTGAAGTATGAGCATGCTTTTGATCTTTATCGATTGTCATATAAGCAGTTTAAAAATGATCTCGAAGCTAAGAGTGGAATACCTGATATACATGATTGGGAGAGTGCTAGAAGAATGATGAAATTCTTGGAGCAGTTTTATCACTTTACTTTAAAAGTTTCTGGTTCACAATACATAACCTCCAACTTGTTTCTTCCTGAAGTTGGGAATTTGTACAATTTGTTGAAGAGTTGGATGGTTGTTAACAATGAGGATTACCAATTAAGCTTCATGGCAACGAAGATGAAACAGAAATATGAGAAGTATTGGGGAGATGTTGACAAGATGAACAAGTTGTTGTACATAGCAGCCGTTTTAGATCCACGGCGAAAGTTGCGCTTTATTGGTTTCGCTCTCAAGTGGATGTATGGAGATGAGAAATCGGCTAGTGATTTGACAAGTGATGTTGAGGAGGCTACTTATGAGTTGTATGCTCATTATGAGAATCAAGTAGGTGAAGCTTCATCCTCCTCTCAAACAGAACTAGATGAAGATGGTGGAAAGATGGATCTAATTGCGGAGTATATGAAGCAATTGCAAAAAGAAAGAGGTGTAGTCAACAAAACTGAGTTGGATAGGTATTTGAATGAGGAAGTTGAAAGATCAATGGATCCCAAATTTGATGTGTTATGCTAGTGGAAAGTAAACAGCCACAGGTTTCCAACTTTGTCTCGGATGGCAAGGGATGTATTGGCTATCCCTATTTCTACAGTTTCGTCTGAAGTGGCTTTTAGCACTGGAGGGAGAGTACTGAATGATTTTAGGAGTTCTTTGACTCCTAAGATTGTGGAGGCCCTTATTTGTACTCAGGATTGGCTCCGAGCAGACTCTAGTCCATGTGTAGTTGAAGAAGATTCAGAGGAGATCGACAATATTGATGAAGGTAAGCTTTCTTAGAATAAAAAAGCTATTAGTTTTGTTTAATGCTCAAGTTGATGGTGACATTTTATGAATTTTAGAGTTGAGCATGGTGTTGAAGGCTATTAACATCTCTGATGTTCCACTTCCTTTTACCAATACCCCTCGTACGAGTCCTATTATACAGGCAAACGCAAACACGTGAGGTAATTGATTTGTTGCTGCGATTTTGATTTGTTGGCCCCGGTTTGGTATTATCAGTGAAGTAGATTTCATTAAGTATTATTGTTTTTTGGGTTGCAGGTGGTATGTTCAAGGAGAAGAAGAGGCTGCAGGTTTTTGTTTTTGTTTTTTGGAACTTAGTTAAGTGAGAGAACTGAAGGTCCAGTTAAAGTCTCATATAATATTTACTGAGGTTTTGTTTTTACGGATTCGGGGGAAGATGACTTGACTAGCTCTCTGGATACGATTCTGACCTCCATTTCTGATACTTTTTTTTTCTGGTAATGGCGTGAATTGTTGCTTACTAGTTGGTAATGGCGTGAATCGTTGCCTTCTCGGGGTTCTTATAGATGCTGTGTTTTTGCGGTTGCGGTCCAAACCACACCAAGTCCCTAACTAATGCGGATTGGTTGGACCGTACCAATTAACTTGCGGTCTTGTTTGCGGTGCGGTCCAATTACTTTGCGGTGCGATGCGATTTTTATCAACACGGTGCGGTGCGGGTCGCACCAATGCCCACCCTTAGACGACAACAGTAGTCATCTCTTTCCATTATGAGTTCTGAAACCATGTGTCATGTATGGTGGTGGTGTGTTTTCAGAAAAAAGAAAAGAAAAAAACAAAGGAAATTAGAGGGGAGGGATGAGATTTTCAAATTTTCTGTTCCTTACGATTTTCTTGTGGTTTTGGTTTGTTTGGGCCTTGGGGTTTCGGATAGGCGCCGGGCCCATTTCTGGCCCAATTGGCAATTTCTTTTTTAGGACAGTTTGTTTATGCAATAGTGACTAGTACATACAAATGTGGTGAAGGTACAAATGGTGACTAAATTTTAAAGCGCAACCAACCAAGTGGTTAAATTTGTCGTCCTGTATCAAAATGTACATTCATCCTCAACTAATATAAGTGTATAACAACATCACGGTTTTAATTTCTAGTTCATCTATAATTTTGAACCCTATAAATCGAGAAGAAATGGACTATTGAGGATCTTGAAGCAGATATTAAGGTTAATAATTCAAAAAGAAAAGTTGCAGTTGAATGTGGTTGGACTTTGATTAACCTGAAAACTAAGGATGAGCCATTTCGGTTTATAATCTGAAGACAACATGGACGATATGGAGAGTGTGCGATGATAAGTATATGATTCTTGTTCTCAATAACAGATACTTAAAAAAGTAGCCGTCTCTCAAACCCACACGGCAAACGCATTAATTCAACAAGTATCTCATATGGAGCTTAATGTATTCCGACTTGATAGCAAACACTATGTGTGTATACATTGTTGACTTGTTGGATCTCTCGATGAATTGCTTAATTATCACCTCTAAAATGTTGCAAGAGAAACAAAAATGAAATAGATCTACTTAAAATTTGCTTCGGTCTTGTTCTACCAACAAACAATGAATTTTGATTAAGCGTTTACTATGAGTGAAACTCTGGTGTCAAATCCACGACCAAAATTTTATAAACATACCACCTCACAATCTCGATATCGTCAGGATTCAAATAAAAAAAAATAAAATATGAAATTTCGCATCAACTAACTCGCTTTCGTCAAACCTCAAATTTCAGAACACAACATTATTGTCGAGGTCATTGTGAGTTAGCCAGCAAACCCTGGGAATCGACGGCCGACGGCTCCTTCGTCTCCTCCGACCCAAACTCACATCACCACCCGCCCTTTTCTTACCGTCTTTTTCCTCCCCGACGTAATTGGCTGGAAGCTTGGACCTTTCTGTTGGCGGGCGACGAATCTATTCCCTCCCTCTCCGCTAATCGGCAATTTAAACATCTCTTCCCTTCCTGGACCCACCCAGCAGCTGTTTTTTTTTTTTTTCTTTTTCTGTGACCTCAATTCCCTCGTCAACGATAACAATAACAACAACATTAATTAAGGGTAAATTGCAAGGTTGGTCACTGAGATTACTAAAAAGGATCATGTTTAGTCACTAAAAATATTTAATTCCGTTCGTAGTCACTAAAATTAGTAAAACAATCCAAGTTTGGTCACTCTCCGTTAACTTCCGTTAGTCTCTGTTAACGACGTCAACTTCCTCCTTTAATTTGGCGGCTACCTTCGACCGCGATCCTGACCATTTGCACGAGGTGGGGTCCGTCTGTGGGTGAGCAGCTCAACTTCAGATGGAGATGGATGTCTGGTGATAGTAGGGTGGGCTCCAATCGGCGATGACGGCAAAGAAAGCGGCACGGGAGAGTTCGGAAGTCATGGAAACGGAAGCTCGGGCAGGGGAACCGCGGAGGTGCAGCGGGGAGTCGAATCGACGAGATAGGGGGAGGAGGAACGAAGCGTCATCAGAGACTGGATTGGCCATTATTGGGGCGAACCCAAAGCGGTGCCATCGGAACCCATGACCAAATTTGATCCTGGTTTTGGAAGTTGGATCACAAATTGTCAAGAGGCGGACTGCAGAAATGTTGCAAATGCCGATTGTGGCTAAGAATACATCTTCCCAAACCCATCTAGGATATGATGCTATGAAACTAGCACTGCGAATTTTGAAGTACCCAGACAGTGAAATTTCAGATAAACCCTTGAATCAAAGAGAACAAAGGAAGAAGAAGGCGGATGGTCTGATAAGGCTGCTCCGTATATAGCGAGCGAGCGAGAGAGAGAGGCGGAGGAGGAGGCGAGAGAGGGCAGGCGATTCCGTCCGGATCCAATTTCGAAGGAGAGCAAGACAAACGAAGAATGAGTTTTAGATCTGGAAATGAAAATGGGATATTTGTTTGAGTGTGTCGGTTCATGGGTAGATATTTCAGTCCATTTTAAGGGTTGGTTGGGATAGACAAGATGATGTGGCAGGTCTTAGTGATGTGGCGGGTCAGGTTACATTATTTTTGGGTTATATTAGGCTGATTAGGCATTTTCGTTTGCCACATCAGCACATAACGGTCTTCGTTAACGGAGGCTAACGGAGAGTGACCAAACTTGAACTGTTTTACTAATTTTAGTGACTACGAACAGAATTAAATATTTCTAGTGACTAAACATGACCCTTTTTAGTAATCTCAGTGACCAACCTTGCAATTAACCCTATTAATTAATAATATGTAATTAAGGTTTGATCGTAGAATTAGACCAATCATTGATGCTGACTGGACGCATCCTGCCTGCCACGTGTACCGAAAAAACCCTCCCTCCCCCTTCTCTTATCCCCGACCTATATATTAAGTGGCCAGACACGACCGCACAGTATCCCACGCAAAAAACGAAAAGACATAACTGCAAAAACAACAGCAAGTTTGTTTCGTTAAAAGAGAATTCGATGGCTAAGTCAACGAGCGGCGGCGCAGCGGCGGCGGCGGTGGTTTTGATGATGGTGGTTACGTTGAGCGGTTGCGGGTTGAGTGAAGCGGCACCGGCTGACGCACTCGTGACGTACTTGCCCGGTTTCAACGGGAGTTTCCCGTCGAAGCACTACTCGGGTTACGTGGGAATAGAGAAGGAGAAGCATCTGTTCTACTACTTCATCGCGTCGGAGAGGAATCCGGCGGAGGATCCCGTCGTTTTGTGGCTCAACGGCGGGCCCGGGTGCTCCAGCTTCGACGGTTTCGTTTACGAACACGGTAATTTTTTTTTTTTCCTTCCTAATTAATTAACTCCTTCTGAATTTTTTACACATTGTTGGGGAAAAAAATATTATTATAAGTGTGAAAAATCTAGGAGGGTAAAAGGGCGGCCGGCGGATTCGGCGCCGGCAGGGGAATGGGCTTAGTTATCATGAGTATCGGGCCGGCCGGCCGGCCGGCAGCGGAATTTTGGCGTTATGGGTTGTTCTTTTGTTGTCATGGGGATGGGATCGTTTTCAGCAAATTTGGACTATCCTATGTTTTTATTATGTAATATTCGTTTTCCATTTCCAATTTTGTGGGTGGGGAACCCTAAATAGTGGCATCTTCCCATCTTTTATACCCTTTTTATGAACTGCTTTGATTCCCGCCAAGAAGGAAAAGGTTGTAGAGGTCACCATTTCTACTCTTTTTAATTATTATTTTTTTAGAGATAGAGACATATATACCCTTTTATTCTAATCACAATTTCGACTATTTAATTTATGAAAATTGAAAAATTAATAATCTCTTGTAGGGCCATTCAACTTTGAGGAAGGACCCAAGGGAAGCCTTCCAAAGATGCATCTCAATCCATACAGCTGGTCCAAGGTAACACAAAACCCAACATGTCTTAGAAAACTTATCAGTCTCTACAAGGAACATAATATGATGACGTTGACGTTGCAGGTGTCCAACATCATCTATCTGGACTCTCCTTGCGGGGTCGGCTTCTCGTACTCTCCCAACGACTCGAACTACGTAACTAATGACCACAAGACTGCTCTAGATACCCACAGTTTCCTTCTCAAGGTAGCTAATACTCACCTATGTTACATACACGATAAAAGGTCGAGATGGTTGAAATGTTGAACTGATAATCCGAGTGGCAATGTATTGGTAGTGGTTTGAGTTGTATCCAGAGTTCTCGCGCAACCCATTTTACATCTCCGGAGAATCTTATGCCGGGGTTTACGTTCCAACTCTGGCAGTTGAAGTGGTCAAAGGTAAGGAACTCAACTAGCAGAGGAACATGTGTACATGTGTTAATTATCCATTAATTTTCATCATCACCTGCTAGCTAAGCATATCAGCTTTGTTTCTTAATTAAAGTGATTGCATGTATGTAGGGATAAAAACAGGGGACAAGCCAGCCATCAACTTCAAGGTACCTACTGTCATGGCCAATATCATCATTACTACTAATCATAGCTCCTAGAGAGAATCTTATCACCTTACGTTGTTTCCCCCCATCCAGTTATTAGGGTATGATGATTGATCCTAATGATTATTTAGACAATAATTGAATGTGATTAATGATGATGATCTAGGGTTACCTTATTGGGAATGGAGTGGTTAACAATGGAGGTGGACTTAGTGCTTTTGTCCATTTTGTGCATGGGATGGCCCTCATCTCCAACCACATGTTTGAGGTGACACACCAACACACCCTTTACTTATACTAATTATGGCAATACGATACCTCAACGTTACTGTAAACGTGATGGGATCAACGAGTTTCGTGAACTCTATGCTGACTTGCTCGCCTTCTTCTCAATACACAGGAAGCAGCTGGTGCCTGTAATGCCAATTTCAGCGGTAACAGTCAGAAATGCTACGACAGTATTGACAAAATGGACGCGGTCAGTGATTTACAAAAGTAATTATTAAGCAATTAGTGTTACAACATTGATCATTCTAATGGTTTGAATGAATTTCCCTTTTATTGATGAAGGCTGTGAATGATCTGAATATTTACGACATACTGGAGCCATGCTACCACGACCCAGAAGGGCAGCAGCAGAGGCAGACCCAGCTGCCGCCCAGCTTCCAGGAATTGGGCCGGACCGAGAAGTCCCTCCCGGTCAGGAAGCGGATGTTCGGTCGGGCCTGGCCTCTTTGGGCCCAGCACTTCGATAATTTCCAGCCCAACGCTACTAACAACAAGCAGTTCTTGTGGCCCCAACTAGCACGCAAAGCTGGCGGGGTTATGTGTGTCGTACGACGTCGTTTCATCCTCTCTCCACCCTCCCTAAATCCTATTGTAATTAATTTCAAACTTAATTTTGGCTTAACAATAATTAATTAATTTACTGGTGCAGAATGATGTGGTGGCAACTGCATGGCTGAATGACGAATCAGTGAGGAAAGCCCTCCATGCTGCCCCGGTAAGTAGTAATTAAATTTCATAATTATATGTAAAATTGTTCAACTAATTTGCTTAATCATACGCTAATAAACAACTAATGACGATATTGTAATTGTTGACGCGACAGGTGTCGACAGCGGGCGCTTGGGAGTTGTGCTCGGACCGGATCGACTACGGGTTCGGTTCGGGTAATATGATTCCGATCCACAGAAACCTAACCACCCAGGGTTACCGAGCCCTCATCTACAGCGGCGACCACGATATGTGTGTGCCGTACACCGGAACGGAGGCCTGGACGAGCTCAATGGGCTACAAGATCACCGACGAGTGGAGGCCGTGGATCTCCGGCGACGACCACCAAGTTGCCGGGTATAGGAATATGATTGGATGAGTGAATTACTTTGCTATATTAATTAATTGCATGGCTTCGATGGATTTTGATTTTTTTACTTTACAATTTTATGGGTATGTGATTTTCAGGTATCTGCAAGGGTATGAGCACAACCTCACTTTTCTCACAATTAAGGTATGCAAAACATACTAAGGATATATGAAATTGGCTAGAATCACCAAGCCCTTTTTTTTATGTGTGTGGTAATTATGTACTAATTGATGTTGTTGTGGTTTAATTTTGGTGCAGGGGGCGGGGCATACGGTTCCGGAGTACAAGCCGCAGGAGTCTTTGGATTTCTACACTCGATTTCTTGATGGGAAATCGATCTGATTATGGACAAAAGAGTACGATTACTATTCATATATAATTACATAAGAAAGGTTTATCAAGTAAACCTAAAATTTCTTTGCGTGTACATTGTTGGATATGTTATTCAAGTCGACATTTGGTCATCAAAGAAAGAGAGGGAAGGCAAGAAGAAGAAAGAATGAAGGACTATCATTTATAAAATTGTAAAGAATGTAGCTGGCTAGCTAGAAGAATTGCTATCTATATTTCCATGGTTTCTACCAAATTGAGTTGTACAAGAACCATCTTCACTTCAATAGTTCAATTGGGTGATGGTACAACTGGTATTTGACCCTTCAATTAAATTAATGAAAAAGAGGGCTTCATTTTAGTTCTTGATGTTTCACCACACTCTAGGTTGGAATCTTGTGACCAACAACCATCGAAAAAAAGTTTCTCATTATCTGATTTAGAAATTCCTATAATTGAGTAAAATGGAAGAGTGAAAACCATGTGTTTGACAAATATGTTTTCTTGAAGTAGGACATCTAGCTATTTCTCATTTACAGGTGATTATGTTTAACCTATCAAATTCTCTAAATCGATTCTTTCATGTAAGAATTAGTTCGTGATAAAAAAAAAAATTTAAAACTCTTGAGAGATGTTTAAAAACAAATATATAATAGTACTTTCCACACATGTTCTCTTCAACAAAATCAATGTCCAATTATTATACAGTGTTTAAAGTTTTGAAGGTCCCTCACACTTGATTTATTAGACAAGCATTACACTTAGATTATGAAGATTCGAACTCAGAGTTTCCTCTAATCTTCATAAATTTCTTAAGGTAAAATAAACTCTTACATTTTGCAAGTTGGTACATGACATCTGAATGCTTGAAACTTACGTTTCTAGAAGTGGTTCGGAGAAAGAGAGGATCGTTTTGGACCTTGAATCCTAAAAATGGTGTATTACAAAAATCTACACATAAAAAGGATTTGTTTTAAATAAGAATATATTGTTTAGAAAATACAAGCCATTCATTTTTTTCTAAACATATACATTATGGTCCAGTAATGCATGTACACCAAAATACATCATTCATAAACCAAGGTCAAATGCATAATTTACAGCGTAATTTACAGCACACCATATGAATCCGAACCAACGATCCTGACCAAACCCTTCTTCTAGTTCTACTTTCTAAGTCGACCACAAACCACCCCGAGTGGTTAAACCATAAACCAATGGCCCCAAAAGGAAACAACAACACCCTGTTGCAACGGAAGCAACGGCGAACACCACCAGCTCTTCACCACCACACACCACCGCCGTCCCTGCCGCAAACGCCACCACCATCCCGTAAACCGACCATTCGCCGAACAACTCCGCGTAGTTCGTCAACTTCACTGCCGCGGCGGCGCGATCCCTCCTCCGTCCAGCTCCCAACAACCCCACAAAGTAGACAAACATCGACGCAGTCGACAAGCCAAACGCCAGGGAGTTGGCCATCACGTACAGTTGGAAACCCGGCTTCCTTCTCAGCATTCTCGTGCCTCCCATCATCATGATGGTGAAGATTGCTGCAAACGTTACGGCTGCAATCGCTGTTGCCACGACGAGGTTGACACTTCCCCTTAACCTCGAACCCCAAGGCGGCCCACCATCATTGTGTTTGATGCTTTCTTCGGATTCTGCAATGCTAGCCGGCGGCAGGGGAGACATGTCGGAGGCGGTCAGTCCGGCTCTGTTCACTGCTCCTTTGTCCACTCTAGGGTCGCTGGCCAGAAGCAAGTGAACTTCGGCATGTTGTTGAGCTGCTGCGATGTGCAGAGGTGTGTTTCCAGCTTCATCCTGTTCATTCATGAGATCAAAGAAACCCTGCTCCTTCAAGAAGAACTTGACCACGTTTTTTCTCCCACTTTCCGCGGCCACGTGTAGGGCAGTTCGACGTCGATTGTCCAGCAACTCGGAGGTGTCGGGACATAATGCAGTGAGCCTCTGTGCGACTTCCAAGTGGCCTGCTTGAGCTGAGAGATGAAGAGCGGACATCCCTTGCTTGTCCTTCACGTAAGCAAGTGAGGCGTCTGTTTGAAGTAAGAGTTGAACGACTTCAGCATTGCCCGAATAGGCAGCATAATGAAGTGGGATCCATCCTCGTTTATCTGCTTCGCTGGCGAGGGAAGGATTTCTTTTGAGCACCTCTTGCAAGAAATCTGAATCAAGCAAAAAAGATAGATAAACAAACCACAGTTCTCAAGCTAGCGATAATATGCTCGAGCAGCAATCTAGAACAGGGTATAGATTTGGAAGTATCTACCTGCGCCAATGTAAGCGAAGCTGCAAGATCGTCTAAAATTGAAGTAACTAAGTTTGAAAGCGGAGGGAAGGAGTAGGTTAATGAACATGATTAAAGCTACAGAACAGAAAGTCATGATGTTGGCCAGTGCATCCATGAGCAGAAACCCTACAAGCCAGATCAATGACAAGAAGGGTTAGGCAATATTCAGAAAAATTCATTTTCAAGGCTAAGAACCCAGCAGTAGCATAAGGAAAACTAGAATGAGATTGAGAGTTTTCAGAAGAGTTTATATATTCTAGTAAACCAGGGATTAAGAAACTAACAGGGGCTTACTTACTCCGATCGGCTCTTATAATAGCTGCATGTAGAACATTCATGTCATCCCTTCCTCCATAGCAACATGAAGGAACAGTTTCAAGAATATGCTGAGCAATTGCGTAGAACTTGCGATCCACAGCCAGAAAAAGAGAAGACTCTCCAGCAGCATTCAGCACTAAAGCCAACTCGGGGTCTTCACTAATCAACAAACTCACAACCTCAAAGTGCCCATTTCGCACAGCTACATGGAGAGCCGTGTCCTTGTCCACATTCACCATTCGTAGCAGCTCCTTCCCCACTTCAATTTCCACAAGTTTAGCACAGTTCACTAGCAGCTGAATCATTTCAAGGCGGCCTAACCTCGCTGCAACATGTAAGGGTGAGTCACCTTTGGAATTCGTCTGGTGAAGAAGGCCTGGGAATAAACCAATGATCTTCTCTGCTGTCTGTATCCCTCCACACTTTGCTGCAACGTGGAGGATAGTGTTCTTGTGACCAGAGGTAACCTGCAACACATCACACGAGCCCGCGTTGCTGAGATCCTCGAGAAACTTGTCATTTCCCTGGATCACAGCTTGATATAGTTCGAGATCCATCGATCAAAGGCAAAAACTGGAGAAACATGAACAATTATTCAGACAGTTAGATGACGACTACAACCGTTTTTGGCCGGGAACAATAAAAATCAGGAGGCCATGTCCCTAAAACAATATCAAGCTGACGACTTTGTCATTGCAAAGTACAGTCAAACGCCTAATCTCGTCACTTGAAATGATAAGGAGTCATAATACGTCCAGAAAAAGCCTTGAAATTGCTTTGGAGCATTCGTCGGCACTCTGTCTTATGCACTGGCTACAACCATGAAAGCAATACAGCCCCCAAGCAGAAAAAAACAAAGGAGGAGCAATTGAAGTCAATCAGTGGAACCCAAAATACGTGTCAGAATAAGCAAAGATGACCATAATTTGAAACTGTTGAACCTACCGATGGATTGTTCAGGTGTGGGAATATAAGATTCTACAATGCTAAGAACACAGCCGAATGGGTAATAGTAACAAGGCAAGCCAGCAAACTGAAAAGTTGTTCCATGGCCAAAGATTAATACAAATGTCAGCTGTGTTTTCTTGTGAAGCAAAGCATATCCAAATAGGGATCAATAGCTCAGGAATCTGCAACCAGGCCATGGTTTAGCGTCTCCACAATCAGAACTTACAACCTCCGTCGGCCATAAAAAGAACACAACACCACAAACCATCGTTTCAGACAGCGTGGATGTTCTTTCAGGAAATTTAACAAACAGGTAGAAGGCATGCCTTCAGTAGCAAACCGCGGGGACAAAAACCCACTGAAGAGTAGAATCCCAAGACAGAGAAGAACCAAACTAAGAACCTATGATGACTTGATTTCCTCAACAATTCCGTCGCTGGGAGTTGGTGACGGCGAGTCATCCAGCACGATCGATTCGCCGGAGCTGGTTTCCTGCGGCTCTTGTTGCTGATTATGTTGAGGTTGTTGCTCGGCGTTCATGAACTGCTCCATGTCTCTCATCCTCGTCCTCACCACACTCGTAACTAGCACTGCCACACAAACTCCATGGATCAAAACTAAAGCTCGAGCATTTCGCGACAGAAATCAGGGAGAAATAGGGAAGAAAGCGAAGTGAGAAGTCGGCGAAGTACCTGCCGCGGTGCCAATGGTCCATATCCAGAGGATTTTGAGGCCAGGGCTGGTCTCTCTCGGCATCTTGCGGCTCTCGTCCTTGAATGAATGAAGAAACGCGAGGCAAATTCGAGTTCCTCCAGCGAACTTCGACAAGCAACTCCGACGGACGGCTTTAGGCTGGAACTGTCAATCAAGCTTAACCGCCGGCGCGAAGGGGAGAGAAACTATGGGCTGCCCACTTAAGGTGCATAACTTGGGCTAGGAAAACCGTGGGCCTGACTACCCGCGAATGCATGAGCTGCACCATTTGGGCTGAGCACTGTTAGGATAGACCAAACCCAAGAGAATCGAGGTTAACAAGATTAAGGAGCACATCAATATTGCATTCAATCCGATTTGATCCAGTACAATGTTACGGTCATTTTTTTCCAGTAGTTATAAACTTTATGAGACCAATGATGAGACCATATTATATTCGGTTCGATATGGTCTGGTCCAACCGTCGTTTTAGAATATGATCCAGTTCGGTACGAACCAAATCGTTACACACCTCAACTTGAACTGACATTTGCACCTCTGTAACCTCGTTATCCACAATCATGAACCAAGCGGCTCTAATGCTGCGGCGTTCGGATCAGGAAAAAAACATTATGATATTGCTTCACTAATTTATAAAATGGCTTTCTAGCTGACACATTAAGTTTCAATTAGGTACGTTTCATGTCGACATGCTCACAAGTTTGTTTGACAAAGGTGTTTTTGTTGAGTTCCGCTCGTGAATCAACTCGTTTGGAGCTCACAAGCTACTTGATGGTCCATATTGTAGAGATTAGCTTGTCTTTTTATTATTTATTATCTTTTCCATTTAAGTTCTGATATTACCGAAGGAAAAACATTTCTAGTAGAACACCTCTCTACTTCTCTAGTCTAACTAACTCTTGTTCCGCTCGTGAGCATTTATTTAGTTGAGCTCAATCTGACCTTTCACAACTCGAGTTAAACAATTAACAAGCGAATTAAGATTGATTCAGATTAAAAACAATTTGATTCGATTTGACACGTGCTAAAATATTTTCCACAAAAGAAAGCGCTCAGAAATATATGCTGATGAACAGCCACTGAATTCGGACTAAAGTGCAGCTAACAGTATTCTTGGACACAACAGTCAACATATGTGGATTGGATCTACATCTACTAGTTGTTTATCCATGGCAGTGGTTGGAGGTTCGTGGCAGATGCCGACTTATTCGTCAGAAGTTTTCACGTTCCTGAACGAACATTTTCAGAGAGGATAGAATTGCAAATTGTTGTTTTAAGGACATCAATTAGCTTTGCCAAAAACCCAAAAAAGAAATCAAATCAAACAAAAAAAACTATGCCAGTGGCGACTTGCCGGCTCCTTTACATACCCACCACCACCATCCGCCTTTCCTCTTCACTCCCCTTCTCCTCTTCTTCTTCTTCCGTCCCCCGGAATTCACGATCCTTCCCTTCTCCGACCCTCACCTTCCGATCCACTCGCTCTCCGATCCTCGGAAGGGTCCTTTCCTCCTCCACCTCCGCCTCTCACGCCGCCGCAACCGCCCCCATGGGTGACGCGCCCGATGCTGGCATGGACGCTGTCCAGCGGCGTCTCATGTTTGAAGACGAGTACGTTTTCCCCCCTTTTCTTTCTCGGCTGACAGATCCCTTTACTCTCTGTGTCAATTTTCTTTCCGGGCAAAAGCTTTTATGTATGAATCATGGTCAAAGTTCGAAGCTTTGATGACTAACTCACTGAGGGTTTGCTTTAGATATTCCTCTTTCAGTTCACTGCGTCGGTTTTCCAGGTTTATTGATGTTGGTTTCCGTTTTGAGTTTAGTTTGTTTTGGTTGTGCATATATCGTTACTACTGCGTTGGTATTCATTTCACGCTTGCTTGTGCTTCCCCTTTTTGATTTCCTTCTTATTATTGGATTCAATCGAGTGGCTTTTGTTAGTTTGCGTCCTTCGCCGATATTCTTTACTTCAATCCAGGTCGTTTTGAGCCAGTCTTCTGGCGCCATACGATTTTGGTTGAGAGACAATTGCACGGAACTCTGTAATCTGTTGTGGATCCTGTATGGCTTTCTAATGAAGTGCTGCTTCTACCTGGTTCTGATGCCTTTTGGCTTCTTCTAATTACTTGCAGGTGCATTTTGGTGAATGAGGATGATAAGGTTGTGGGACATGATTCCAAGTATAACTGTAAGTGAAAGATCGTTCCTTTCTACGGTCAGTGTTTAGTTAGTTCTTACTGTTTGGAAGTTGAATTGATGAGAGTGATTTCCCGAAGGGGGTAGATATAGATTGGTTGTGTTGGATCTGTTGTTCAATTGATGTACTATTTCTATGTGTGATGCCATAGTTACAGTCTGCAAGCCTTGGGCAGAAGTGTGAGAGATGAGTTATTCTTCTGCCAAATTTGCAGGTCATTTGTGGGAAAATATCGAAAAGGGCAATGCACTACACAGAGCTTTCAGTGTGTTTCTCTTCAACTCTAAGTATGAACTGCTTCTTCAGGTATGCTCTCGCTGGTTTGAGAAGCTTAAACGTATGGTGTCTTGTCTGTGACTTTCAGAAATTTCAAGTACTCATTTAGCTCGCGGTTACCTTTTTACTGTTGGTCTGGTGACAAGCTTAAATGTAGCTCATGGCAAATTATTTCATCGAGTACAAGTGCACCTGTCATTATATAGAATGAGAAACCGCATGGTAGGCTGAGATCTATAAGGATGTGATTAAGTTCATTGATTTGCTATTGATGAGCTTGGGCCCTTGAAGTTTGGTTGTTAATCCTCGATGCATCTGTTTGAAATTAGTGACACCAATAAGGGGGATACTGTTCAATTAAGTTGTTGCCTTTGGAGAATTCAATCTTAAAGTAACAAAGCTCGGTAGAATAGGCTATATAAGCTGTGGAGCGAGTAAGTGGGCTCATGCTGTGCTTGGAAAGGGCACCTGAAACCTCGCTTATGTGCGCTTTGTTTCCTCTGCCCCTTGTCAGTTTCAAAATGAAGAGGATGTACTTGGTTGTGCATAGCATGGTGCTGTAGATAATAATGACATAAACCAATAGAATGCATCTCGAGCATGATTTACTAAAATCCCATTTTTGTCCACTGTTCATAGTAAATAAACGGGTGAATCTATTAAGTGGGAAAGAGCTCTCAGTTTATACAGCACCCATGCTTGGACATTTGTTCGATATGGAAGGTGATGTCTTTCTTCTATTTTCAACTTGGCAGCAACGATCTGCAACAAAGGTGACTTTTCCCCTTGTTTGGACAAACACTTGCTGCAGTCATCCTTTGTATCGGGAGACCGAGCTCGTTGATGAAGCATCTCTCGGTACGTAAACGTTTACTACCCACTTATTAATCTCAGTGTTCTATACTTTCATCAGCATGGAGGCACGAGCTTTGTGTTCATGGTTCACCTCATTATACAATTTCTCCTTTTTAGGTGTGAGGAATGCTGCCCAAAGGAAGCTTCTGGATGAACTCGGTATTCCTGCTGAGGATGTGCCTGTGGATCAGTTCATGCCCCTGGGCCGCATGCTGTACAAGGCCCCTTCTGATGGGAAATGGGGAGAGCATGAACGTAAATATCTTCAATTCGATTTACCGCTACTTTCCTTGTTGTTTGTGTTTACCTTTTACCATGTCCTGATTGCATGCTTCCCCCTTTATTTGCAGTTGATTACCTGCTCTTCATTGTTCGTGATGTGAGCATGAAACCGAACCCAGATGAGGTGGCTGAAGTCAAGTACGTGAACCGTGAGGAGTTGCGAGAGCTGTTGAGGAAAGCCGATGCAGGCGAGGGAGGCTTGAAACTGTCGCCATGGTTCAGGCTAGTGGTGGACAACTTCTTGTTCAAGTGGTGGGATCACGTTGAGAAGGGAACACTCAAGGATGTAGCTGACATGGAAATTCACAGGCTCTAGACAGATCTCGGGGGCCATGTCTAGCTGAGTTGGAGGTGTAATTTTCAACATCTTCGATCCAGATCTGCAAGATCTATTTTATCCCAAATAAATCTAGCAGGACCTCAGTTGTTGTACACATGCAGAGAGATGCTGAGAGAGACCAACTTTTATTCTTTGCTGTTTTTGTGTTAGGCTTTTCTGTTGAGATGGGTTTCTCTGCACTCTAGAAGTTGGTAGTTTTAATAACTCAAGGGCTCATGTGATGTGGTTCACTTGGAGCTAATGGTGGAGCTTAGTTTACTATTACAGGGTTCAAGTCAAAAGGGTACTTAAGCTCTGTAATATTAGAGGTTTAATATGAATTTTCTTTTCAATTCTTGATCCCTTTTACCACCATCATGATTCATGACTCATGGGATGATCTTGTTAAAGTAGATCTTTTCAAGCTAAAGTGTTGAAATGGAGATTACAGAAAACAAATGGCTGTAAAAAGGAAGAAAGCAGCCACCTTTGTTTACAGTTACAGATCAGTGAAAAAGCCCCAACCAGCCAAAGTCGGATCAGATTCCCCTCCATTCATTCATTTCTCTGTTCCCACTCTTCCACTGTATACGCCAAAAGAGTATATACATAACTCCATCACTTCATCCCTGTCAATCGATCAACAGAGGCACAGCATTCTGTTTCCGACGCTCAAATAAAATCCATCAGGATTCCGTGGTCTCCAGCGCCTAATTCCTCCTCCTTCGTCTTCCAAATCCTCCGTCAAATTGCTGGTACGTTTCTTCTCCTCCCACTCCTTTCCCTCTCTGTTTCTGCCACGGATTGCTCTTTCCTTTTCCACTCTTCCTTTCGTTTCCTCCTATTCATTTCCCCAAAGTCGGAGACTTTCTCTTCCCACTAGACGAACCCATATCGCAGAAAGCTCCACTGATTTCATCTCGAAGAACAACGAGGGTGATAAACACTCTTCCCGTTCCTCCCTCTGTTCTGTGGTGTTTGTTTATCTTGATGAATCTGATCAGTGCGCGATGTGTAGTCTCGCAGTATCGATTCTCTCGCCACTCTTTATTGCTACTCCTTCCACAGAATTTATGAATTGTTGATTTTTCCCCCCCTCCAATCGGAGAATGGATTCGAAGATTGTCTCATACTCTCATTTGTTCATTCTTTTCTTCATGATCTACGAGCAGTGAAAAAGGGCAAAAACCCTTGCTCCGATTAGATTTCACAGATGGCACTGGTGACAACCGCCGAGGTCTGCGACGCAAACCCACACCTAATCGTCAGCGGCGAGCTCCGAGCATTACAACCCATCTTCCAGATATACGGCCGCCGGCAGGTGTTCAGCGGGCCGGCCGTGACCCTCAAGGTGTTCGAGGACAACGTCCTGATCCGCGAGTTCCTCGAGGAGAAAGGCAACGGCAGGGTCCTCGTCGTCGACGGCGGCGGAAGCCTGAGGTGCGCCATACTCGGCGGCAACCCGGTGGTTCAGGCGCAGAACAACGGCTGGGTTGGGATCGTGGTGAACGGATGCATTCGAGACGTCGACGAGATCAACGGGTGTGACATTGGTGTCAGAGCTCTGGCTTCGCATCCCATGAAGGCGAGTAAGAAAGGGATTGGGGAGAAGCACGTTCCTGTTTCGGTTGCGGGGACGAGGATTGAGGATGGTGATTGGATCTATGCTGATACTGATGGTATCCTCGTCTCTCGAACCGAGTTGTCGGTCTAAATCGAGCTCTGTATCTCTCTCTCTCAGTTTGCTCTGTTTCTGCTGCAACGTTCTTTTAAGTGTCAAAAAATGTGTCTGTCATAGCTCTAGATTTTCGACCTCTTTGCCTTTGTGATTGAATCATACAAGGGCTAGTTGTGATTTGTGAACCCTTGAGCCAAAATCAATGGAAAAACCAATTTTTGTTAGAAATCAGACAGAAAAATAATATACCTGAATCACAAACTAGTCGCTTTCTTTGAAGACAGTTCGCAGTTCCTGAAATCTTTCATGGTAATGATATGGCCTTGTAATCGCGAATAATAGACTATCGACTAGTCGCCTCCAAAATACTCAGATTGTGCGAAAGCCGAAAAGTCGATCCGTCTCTAAAAATTAATCCTGCAATTTGCACTCATGAAGCTGGGAGTCTTTCTACAACTACAACTAGTCGATTGAACAACAATCAAGAACAGCAGAAATGAAGGCCAAAGGAAAATCTAGTCGCCTCCAAAATAAAACGGTCTGTCGAACTCTGTTTCTCAGGTTGTGCGAAAAGTCGATCGGTCTCTAAAAATTAATCCTGCAATTTGCACTCATGAAACTGGGAGTCTTTCTACAACTACAACTAGTCGATTGAACAAACAATCAAGAACAGCAGAAAGGAAGGCCAAAGGAAAATCTTGCAAGTCCTAACACAGATACCGACTCCGACGCCAAAACTGACACCCTGCTCCGAAGCCTGGTTCCCTTTCCTTGATCCTCTGCATGACAACACGCCTAATATGCAACGACGAGGGCTATTGTTGGGAGTGTGGCGGCGGACCTGGTGGCAGTGGCGGATGCATACCCGATTGGTTACCAGACTGCAAAATGCACAATAGCAATCAGATTAATCGTTTAGCCCACTGGTCCTATGAACTCTTGTAAGGTTCAACGCAAGACAAGTTCCCAATTCGGACCAAAACTGCAGTTACCTGGTACGGATTGTAGCCTGGCATCATCGGCATCTGCCCGCCTTGTGGTCGATTGAACGGACTGCTTTGCGGATACATTTGGCCTCCAGTTGCATTCGACTGGCCCTGCATACTCGGCATGCCATTTGGGAACCCACCAACCTGAGGGCTACCGTTCGTGGGCATGGATCCCGAGTGCATAGGGTTCATCCCCATGAAGGGGCCTTGTGGCATTGGTGGTGGAACCATCTGATATGAGACATTCAGAAAGTTATGGTCCAGAAGACAAAAAGAACCAAGCTCGTCACCATATGAAGAAACTGTGTAACTGACTGATTGATTACCCTTTGGCCAGGCATAGGCGGGAGTGACCCAGGCATGGAAGGAGTCGGAAGGGATCCCGGCATACCATGAGGGGGCATTTGTGGGGGGCGGGGTAGATGAGGGTGTGGAAGCAGAGAGTGATGGGATGGAGGTTGTAGCTGCTGCATATTTGGTGGTGGCATAGGTAATGGGGGCATTTGCTGTTGTTGAGGGTTTTGTTGATATCTCTGCTGCTGCTGCTGCTGGTTGGGATTAAGAAGGGAGGGATGAGGGCCTGGAGGAAGAGGAGGAGCTCCTAAAGTCATGGATATTGGCATAGACTGCGTCTGATCGCCATGTAGTGGGGAATCGAGAGAGAAAGGCATCGCAGCTCCTACACCAGGAATGGTCCCATCGTTTCGGGTCAATCCAGGTACAAAAGGTCCTCCTGGAGCAAAAGGTTGCTCAAGAACTGGGAAATTGCCAGGGAACCGACCACCAAGATTCGGGTTGGGCTCACCATACCCTGACAAAACACAAAAACAATCTTCAGCCTCAATCATCGGCTAAATTTCAGAATTATTAATCCTATATTTGACAGCAATGGTTTAATATTCCAGTCAGCAAAAGTATAACCTTGATTCTGATTCGTATTAAATTTGTCCCTTGCGGTATCCCCTGGCCTATTTCTGCACCAAAACTTCGTGGTGTGATCATTGCTTCCACTGCAGAAGAATTGCCCACAATTAGTAACTGCACATGGGGAGAACCTCGCAACTAGTGACTTTTAAACAGGATCAACATGTCATTTGTAGATGCAATTATGGTTCGGTTGACCAGAACCATAAGTGCATCTACAAATTACAATATTTTGGGAAATCAGGATAGAGATACAAATCTACGCTATCAGGAAAATATTGACAAGCTGCGGCTTCAATGGACATTTATATCACAGTAACAACTGAATGAAAAGAAATGACCAACACAGTAGCTTACCTGCAAAGCAAATATCCAATAGGATGCCATGCAAGGTCCCATACACTATTATCATGAGCTGTAGGAACTTCAATCTGGGGAGTCTCGTGTCTGCACATCACGACAAAATTGTTACTGCTGAGTTCTGAACAGGCTACTAAATAAGAAAGGATAGTCGCTGAGTAATATTCATGCAGTGTCTAGCTTATTCTTTCGCCCAGCTAGTTTAATAATCATCTTATGAAAAATTGTTGCAACTGAATGCAGTAGTTCAGACACTATGCATAGGTAGTAAATATGGAGGTAAAGAAGTGAAAAGTACAAAGTGAATTTCCAAGAAAGCATGACGCTCACCCAACTAGCCAGTGGAACATAGAACCATCAAAGCTGCCGCTGACAAAGTACTCTTCATGGAATGGGTGCCATGCCAATGCTAAGAACATAAAGAGGTTGCATACATAGCCAAGAAACATTATTATGGGATAAAGGTTTTGACAATGTAAATCAACAAAACTTGAACAAAATGAGTTATATAGGAACCTAAGGTGTTGTACATTACACATGTACCAAACATGCTCTCTAAGCAACAAATCACAGATATAACAGTCAAGCTTTTACATGACAGCTATATATGTTTTTGGTTAAGCAAGTCGAAGCTGCTGTTGAATTCAAAATTGTACAACTTCAAGTCTATTATTGCTTTACTTGGTTGAGAGTTCTTTTTTCATGCATGCATAATCTGTGTTCATACTCAACCAAACAGATAGATATTGCAGCTTTCGCCATATCTGATTTTACTCTCTTGATTGGCCAAAACTTCTTCGCGCATCGTTTCCAGAAGTAAAATTATTCTACTAACCAGTCACATCTTTTCTATGTCCACGGAAGGATTCCAGCTCCTTCATAGCTCTTATATCATAAAGCTGCAAGTTCAGGCTGAATTTTGTTAGGAAACATGACAGAGCAAGGCAAGAAGACAGATACTAACGATCAAGCTCTGCGGCTTGAGAGGATTGTTGAGAAAACTACCGAACCTTGATAATTTGATCCTTCCCAGCAGTTAGCACCCAGTTACCATTTTGGTTCCACTTCACACAAAGTACTGTATTTTTGTGACCATGACTGCAAATACAGGATTCTCAAGCTAATTATATGCTCCAGAAAACAAACCATGGGATATTCATCACCAGAACAAGACACTCACAATGAACTAAGCTCTTTCCCACTTTTAGCATCCCAAAGCTTTACAAGATTGTCTTTCCCGCCTTGACAAAAAATGACAACTTAATTAATAATAAGACAAGCGAGATAACTCATGTCTGCAAAACATGCATAATCAAACCTGAAACTAGCAAGGACTTTGTGGGGTGCCAATCAACACTTTTCACATCCCAACCATGGCCTGCCCAAAGTTCAAAATGGTATATGATGAGAACTCTATTATTTTCAAGATAATACATAAAACATAGGATTGGATCGGATCGTAGCAGATTGGATCGGATCGCTTTCAGAAGAGAATCTGGAAAACATAATTGCACAATAGAGGTAAAAACCAAGATGAATGTACAGATGATAAAACGTAGACTCAACAGATTAAATTGCTTCATAAAGCTCTGATAATTTTCATCTTGAGTGATATAAACATGAATATGGACTCATAACTATAACATACAAGGGTAACAAAGTTATTGCTGTCAGATCTGAAGATAGCAAATACATTACCTGTTAATGATCGCTCTTCTTGGCACCGTGCAAAGTCCCACACTTTAACAGTGGTATCGTCAGAGCAAGAACAGAACTTCAAATCAGTCCTACAGAAGCTGTCCAAAAAATGTACTTCAGAAGTTAGGACAATAATTAACAATTGGAGTTGCGAAGAAAATAATTGTGAAGAAAACTATTCACCTTAAATCACGAACTGATTCCTTATGAGCAGATTTGTTAGCCTTTACATTATTCATATTGCTCTGCCAATACCTAAGGAAGGTCGAATAGAATGTAAGATAAAATGCAACATCTCGTTACCACCCATTCTTCGCACAAGTCCAAAATAGAAATGTTAACCCATGTAAAAGGCAGTGAGGAACACATTACTTAATGGCCCCTCCATCATCACCAGAGACCATCCAGTTGTCATTGTGACTCCACACCATAGACCTGATTGCTTGGTCATGGGCCTACATTTGCATATAGTCTTATCATTAGAGAACGACTTGGATCCATTGGTAATGATTGCTTAATATAATACCAAGTGTTCAAACGAATCAAAAAATTTACCTGAAGAATCATTTCAAAGTTAAATGATTGTCCATTCCACAGAGTAAACTCCCCACTTTGAGATCCCGTTATGAGACGTCTGCCATTAGGAGTCCACTATGGATGAATAAAAGGGTAAGAAATCTTGAGGTATCACAAAATCAACCACAAAGCTGCAATCCCCTTGCTCCCTCCGCTCAAAAATAATGTTTTGACCTTTCTAAATTACATGCTGCATTAGGAGCCTACTATGCTTAATAGAATGCTGCAGATATTTGGATAGGTTACTCTAGTTACCAAAGACAAGAAAATCTTGAGGAATGGTGAAAATTTACTATAACACGGTACATCCAGTTTAACTGAAAGAAAAAATTATCACTATCGCGTAATAACAATTTACAGTTCAGAGCATATTAGAGATTTAACTTGCTCCAGTATTTTATGCTTATTGACTTACCAAAACGCAGTTGATGGAACAGCGGTTCTTGTTAAGAGATGTATGAACAAACTTTGCAGTGAAGCTTGTTGATGGATTATCAGAATATGCAACTGTAGGTAACATCTGTCAAATCAACCAAGGAAGCGAATGAGGAAATAAACATGCCTAATTCACAGAAAACAAAACAACTCACATCAATGGCTGCTGCAGGGGTAGATTGCAATCCTGTCCTATCTCTGCAATCCCGCTGCCACATCCGGGTCTGAAAAAGGAAAGTGCAGTCAAGTAAAATGATGAACAATAAACTGGAGAGCTGCAAGGCATACAAACCATCCCAAGTATACATTCACGCTGTAACTTTGGATTGAGCAAGAAGAGAAAGTATCAAACCTGATGCTAGAAAAATTAAATAAATTTTTTTGAATGAAGATATTCCTTATGGGTCTATCAAGCAGTACCACTGAAGTCTCAAGGAAAAATTTCATCTTATTAATCAAATCAACAAAACTGTCAATAAATGCTAAGTGAGCAGATAATGCCTTTTACAATGTCTTTAACAATCGCTCAGATCATATAGATGGTTCAAGCACAGCAATGGAGAAACAGAAACACGAGGTATTACCTGCATATACCGGACAGCGGTACTTGTGTAATCAACTGCTCGTCTTTGTGTAAGCTTCCTCATTCTTTTTCCACCTAAGTTGTCACCATAAGCTACACGACGACCCAGATTGAAATGTGAGCCACTATCATGAACTATAACACAATTTGAACTGACTATTATCACAAGCATTCCATATCACAAATTCAGTCACGAGCCTTTCTCCTAGTTTGGATTAGGTGTTAAATGGAAACCTCGTAGGTACCAAGCTGTCGAAGCTAAATCATGAGATTTGCAAGAGAAAATGACAATCAGAGAAACAACTTCTATCCAAACCATCCCCACCAATAGATAGGCAATATCCACCGGTCAGGCGAGTGAGTTTGTGAAGACCATAACCATCTGACAATGCAATGCTGGTTTCTACAAAGTCCTACCAGACAAATGCTACATATCCAAATATTTACAAGTTCTGGTTCCCTAGGATTTGGATGGAGGTATTGTATTTCTCCGGTGGCCAAATAACTTGCAGTTCTGAACACTTCTGAAAGCACAAAACACTTCATCGCATACAAATGCAACCACAAGGCCCACTTTGGTACAGAAAGATCGTAATCATACATATGCCTATCATCCATTCAAAGCTTTCATTATACATTGAAATGGTGTAGAGGCTAGAAACGCCTTCAAATTAAAGACAATTCAGTTTCTCCCGTTCAATCCAAAGCAAATTCAACTCCTACACCAATCTATCACAGCTCTACAACGAAACCAGAGGCTAGCAACGCACCTAAACCTTGAGAACCTGGAGCAAAACCAGAGGCAGTATCTCCAACTTCAGCCAGTTTTGAAGCTCAGCAACGCCCTCTTTCGTTATTGTTCGGTGGAAGCAGCTCAGCAACTTCACCTTCTGACTCCAAACGGGAGTGGACGGTCTGACAGTTAAAGACCGCAAGGAAAATCACGATAAGGTAGCTCAGGGACGACGGTGGACGGCGATTAGCAAGCACGAGGTTTCAGCGGCAGATAACAACCGCGAGGGCGAGATTATGGTCAAGACCTCGATCTCCCCGAATCTCCTTCGGATATCTTCCTCAGTCCGCCTTGCAAAACCACAGTGTCAGCAGCGAGAGCTGAACTCCTCGACAATTATGGAGACGGCAGTGGTAGCCGGACAGTGGAGACTGTGAGGCGGCGACGGCGAGGACAAAACCGAGCAGCCTCCCTTCTGCCTCCTCGACGACCTTCCCCTTTCAAATTCTGTGCCCGACCGCCGGACGCCCCTCTCCTCTCTTTTTTTCTTACCTTTCTCGCCCGTTTTTTCTCAATCGCGAAACGGCACTATGTTTGCAAAGAAAACGCGGGATTTACAAATAGGTGGCGTCGTTTTCTTAGGGTGGGTCATGTTCCACATCCAACGAGTTGACCGTTAGTCAAGTTCCACCTCACTTGCCACGTCAGCTATCAGGAAATAAAAATTTAATTTTTTTAATTTTGAAATTTTCGAATTTTGTTTATTTTCTAACAATAAAAATAATAAACGGAAAAAATTAATTAAAAGAGCTCTCCAAATTATTTTTAATTAATTTTAGAAGTTAAAAAAATTTCAAAATTTTAAAAAAATTAATTTTTTATTTCTTGATAGCTGACGTGGCAAGTGATGTGGACTTTGACTAACGGTAAACTCGGTTGATCGTCTAATTTAACGGTCAAACCCACCTCCGGGACAAATAAGAAAGTATGCTACATAGTTTATGACAGAATAGCAATTTCCGATACCACGATCCAAAGTAGAAAGTTTGTCTATAGTTCGGGCCAAACTAAGGTATTAACCCAATTTACAAACTAATAATAACGAAGAATAAAAGTCTGTATGCAATTAGACTTCCTATGAAAGAGCATGTTTTGTCATTAGGCGTGAAACTCTGTTAAATTTCTAATGAGAAAAGAAATGAAATTGAAACAAAGGACAAGAAGAAAGAATAAACCTTCTTTGGAAGGGCTCCGGCTCTATAACGATAATACTTTCTAGATGCAGCATCCCTTAAGAGCACTTGAGAATCTCCGCAAAAAGTAACAATCAATACATTATGAGTAAAACACCATCTCATAACATCACGAAGGGAGAGTTGTTCCAATATATACCATAATGAAATTTACTAGAAGCAAATGAGATAGTCCATCAACTGAGAAGCCGAAGATACCTGTTGTATATGGTTTGGCTTTGAGACTATTGTTCAATGGAAGGATGGTGTGGATTGACTCTCTCAGTCTACTTATTTCGCATTTTCACAACCTCGAGCTCGGTTCAGGTTCCATTTTGAGGATTTTGAAGGATTATGTACAAGGTCATGGCTAGTGTAATGTGAGAGGATAATCTTTCTATGGAGGGGCTACAAAGGCCTTGCAAGGTGATGTATGATAGGAACACCTAAATTCCACATAATTTGCTAAAAATAGCTGAATCCTATCTAAGACTGTGGAGGCTACAATCAATCGATTCATGAAGATGTGCGGGGCGACACAATATCACTAAAAAAGCTATATTGGTGGCTACATTCAAGAGATGTGATTTGATGTTAGCAACAAGGTATTGTTGAAGATTATGATGATTGAAAGATGTGTAGGGAGACACAATATCACTAGAAGACCTATATTGGTGGCTATAGTCAAGAGATGTAATTTGATATTAGCAACAAGGCATTATTGAAGATTATGATGATTGAAAAGCGTATTGAAATTTGATAAGAGCAAGTTGTGTCCGAGATACACTAAACTACATGAAATTTCCAGAGTGTTTGGCACGGTGGCCTATTTATAAGCAATTATCATCGAAGTTAGGGCACACCCGCAATGTGATTCTCGTGAGCTTGCTTAAGATGGTCGACTCATACCCTTCACCAAACGATGGCCAAACCTTTCAAACTTAGCATCCATCAAAATGAAAGCCAATTACATCACCAGACATAATTCAAGAGATGGAACTACATTTAATCGAGCTCCACGTGCTTATCATCTCAGCCGTTCGTGAATTCAAACTAGTCTCACTATGATATAAGGTAAGTATATCTACAAAACAACTAAAGATTTCAATTTATTTATAACCGATATTGTAAAATGGAAATAGATTTAATCGAGTTCAAAGGCCTTATCTTCTCGACCAATAAGACGAATTTCAAATCCAAAAACTAAAATAATTGGAAACACATTGATTAACATAAAATTAATTTTCTAAGTTTTAATTTAATATTATTTTCATAAAAATGTTTTTTTTTTTCTGTTATATAAGTAAGGATGTATGGGAGAATTTTCAGATTTAGTGCAAGTGAATGCCACCTCTGCAACTTCCTTGTTCCCAAATAGCCATTCGTTCTCCGGCGTTCTCTCTTTCTGGTAGTTTCAGTTTCAGCTTTGTCGCCACAAAGAAAATGATGGAAACGGCGAAACGAAAGCGATAGCTGCAGAGAAATCTAACCAAGGAAAATCGCCTTTGCTTCCTTTTGCCTTCTTTCTCCATTGTCACTCTGCTCCACCTCCTAACCCTTTTTTCACTTTTCACTCGCCCCAACTCTGCTTCTTCCCCAATTTCGGTCTCCCCGTCTCCGTCATGGACCGCCACCAGGGTTTTCCTCCGCCCGCCGCCGTCACCGATGCGAATGCTTCTGCTGCGACCGCCGCCGCCGCCTCAGGTTCGTCGGCCAGAGGAAGCATTGCCGAGAGAAGGGCTGCCACATGCGGCTTCAAAGCCGAGAGGATCACTTCTCCCCGCTTCGGCACTACCGCCAGTCCTTTGGATTCCTCTGCCGCTCACTCTCCTTGCATTACCATTCCCGCCGGAATTAGCCCCACCGCTCTCCTCGATTCCCCAGTTTTGCTCCCAAATTCTCAGGTAAGAGCTATTTTTTCCTCCCCCCATTGTCATTCTGGTTATGTCCACCCCTGTTATTCCTGAATTGAATCGGATTCCCTGAAACCCCACTATTGTACTTTCCATTTCCCTTTTTTTCTCTGAATTAGCTTTACCTGTGAGGAATGGATGAGTGTTTTTCATCAGACTTGTCATCCAAGAAATGTCAATTTGGGCAAATTATCTGTGGTGAGTGGTGACTGGTATTGAGGTGGTTGTCAAGCTGAGAAAGAGAAGGGCTTTTGCCTTTGCCTCATTGAATTGTTTGGCTTCTCAACCTTTGGAAGCCATTATAGCGAGGCATGGAGAGTGGACGCAGAGCTATGTGATTGTTTGTTTCTTTATGCTCAAATGTTCACTGACTCGTTGATGCTTAGCAAGCACTCTCTCGAGTGATAGGCTTTATGAAGCTCTCATACCATAGTGAAATTTGGATTGGACGATGGCTGTGACAAACCAAACGAGGGGCTGACTTCGTGTGGAGGGTTTTATTTGTTGTTTGCCCTCCCTCTGCTGTTTGGTTCATCATTGAATTCTTAGCATTAGGAAGTCCGACTAACAACAGGACTCAGAACACTTGATACATTTGCTTTCGACTTTCTTTCTGTGGGTGCAGCCTTCTCCAACAACTGGAAGTTTTCCATCAACCCTTCTCGGTTATGAAAATGGGGCACTCAATGGCGATATGAACCCAGTTGGTAGTGCTGAATCTTCCTTCAGACTCAAACATCATGGAGATCAAGACTCCCAGCAAAGATTTTCAACTATGGATAATCAGGTTCCTCTTAACTAGAGACTCGAATGGTTCAATTGCCTCGACATTAGGTGTTTTTCCTGCTTTTAGTCATTAGCAAAATCTATATTCCAATTCATTGCAATTATCTCTGGATCTGAACTTGGAGTATCAAAAGGGAAGAACAAGGAGATATGCTTTGCCCTTCCTGTCTTTTGCATACTTGTGTGTGGTGGACCAAGTTATTTACCTTGTTGATATACGGTAGCTGTTTTAGCTCCAAATTAGCATCACATCATGAATCTAATATTGGCTTCCTGTTGGCGGTGACTCGGATGCAGCTCTTAACTTTGTATCTGTTGGTACTTTAACTTCTGTGGCTAGGAACCATTTGTTTCTTGGACTTTGAAGTGGCTTTGTGAATGTAGCACTGGCTTTATACAAAATTTATGATTTCCTACATAAGTTCCAAAGCATAGTCATGACTATTATTATTATTTGTGTTCATTGTAGGGATATAATGTTGGCTCACAGGCTCTTGCTTTAGCACCAATGGATTTTGAATTTCCTGCAGAGTTTTCGAAGGAGGCAACTGTAAATAGTTGTAGAGGGGACCTGGTCAATGATACTAAACCAGTAAATAGTATGGTTTTGCCCAACTTCATTGATGCACAGATTTGCCATTCTGTTGCATCTAGAAACCAATCATCTGTACAAAGGAGACCTTTAAATGGTAGAAGTGATGTTATCCATCACCCTGTGGAAGACCAGAAAAGCACATTCACCGGGACAGGAGGAGGTGGGAGAACTTCGGAAGATGGATACAGTTGGAGAAAGTATGGACAGAAGCAGGTGAAAGGTAGCGAATACCCAAGAAGCTACTACAAGTGCACCAACCCGAGTTGTCAGGTGAAGAAAAAGATAGAGCGGTCACTTGATGGCCAAATAACGGAGATAATCTACAAAAATGCTCATAACCATCCCAAACCTAATCAAGTCCGTCGAGGAGCGCAGCTTGAATCTTCACCCACTGCTGATGACAATCCAGATATTGATGAAGGCAGCGGAAGAAACTGTGTTAAGATTGAAAGAGGATCGCTCGTTGTTAAAAATGCAGAGTTAGGTAAAAAAGATAACAATGAACCCGGTACTGATTGGAGGGCAGCTGATGGCCTGGAGAGGACATCTTCTGCATCTGTCATGACAGAGCTTTCTGATCTTTTGTCACCTAACCAAGGGAAATCTGTGGTGACATTTGAATCGGTTGAAACACCAGAGCTCTCCTCTGCAGTTGCCAGTCATGAAGAAGATGATGATGATGGGATAACTCAGGGAAGCATATCAGTTGGAAGTTACATTGATGAGGAAGAATCTGATTCCAAAAGGAGGTACTCTGCAATTTTTCGTTGATTACGTATGTTTGCACCATGTCACATAATGACTGCTCTGTCCATAGTACATCATTTCTTAATATTTGTTATATTGAGGTTTCAGAAAGATAGAGAGCTGCCTGGGTGAGTCAAATGTGTCATCCAGGGCTGTCCGGGAGCCAAGAGTTGTTGTCCAAATAGAGAGCGAGGTAGACATCCTGGATGATGGATATCGCTGGAGGAAGTATGGTCAAAAAGTTGTCAAAGGCAATCCAAATCCCAGGTATTGATGTTTGAACTATGTTGCTCCACTTCTTGGAATGACAAACAAAGTTTGTTTAGCTTTTAGCCGAAACATATACATAGAGCTCTGATTAATTGACTATCAGCACATTTACATAGTTCAGTTTACTTCTGCAACAACAGGAGTTACTACAAATGCACGAGCCTAGGTTGTTCAGTGAGGAAGCATGTGGAGAGGGCCTCCCACAATCTGAAATACGTTATCACCACATATGAAGGGAAGCATAATCACGAAGTGCCGGCAGCAAGAAACAGCAATAGTTTAAGCTCAAATGGCAGTTCTCTGTCCCAAGCTTCTGGCAACACACAGCCTGGTTTGACACTACCCAGAGGTGGAGCCTCTGTCCCGAAACCTGAAACGCAGATGCAAGATTTTGTGCCTGGTTTTGATCGAAGATCGCTGTTTAATAACAGCAGTGATTATCTGAGAGGTGGTTTCTCTGGGAACTTCGTCAGTGAGATGAAGCTGGAGCCAATTTATTCAATGAAGTTCCCTGCCATGCATAGCAGCATCCCTTACGGCTCCTACAGTTTCAACTCCACCCGGACACCGATCCATCAGCCGGGTTCCATGGGGCCACTTGTTCCACAGTTCCCATTGCCGCTGTCCTCGAGTCTGCACACATTGGGTGGCGTTGACTTGTCGAATCATGTGCCTCCAGGTATGGGTCAAGTTGCCCAGCCTTTTATCCCAGGTCAGCAGAGGATCAGGCCTAAACAAGAACTGAAGGATGATAATTTCTATGATGCCGGCGCCGCCTCCTCCATTGTTAATCAATTAAATGCATCTCAGCCCCAGCTCTATCAACGCATTATGGGGAATTTTCCATCTTAGATGATAATGTGCTCTGCATCTAAGCTAGGTTAGGATTAGGAAAAAAAGAACGGGTAAAGAAAGGCGAGATAAGAAAGGATAGAGACTATAACGAGTCTCTGTTCTGTTTTGCACAGCAAAATTGCAGTGAGTTTTTGTCTGTGACTTGGGTTTTTCTATTTTGGATACCTGTAGAAAGGCAGGTTTTAAGAATTTATAGAAGAATATAGGGAAAAGAGAGGAGAAAGAAGGAAGATAGAAGCATAGATAGCAGTATTTTTCTTCTTATCAATATGTAATTTGGTTTGTTTCATAATTATAAGCAATCCATGAGCTTTTGCCAACATGCCATTCTCCTGCAGCATTACTCCCTCAGAGTCCCATCACCACACCCTCTCTCTTGAGCATAATGCTCAACTCTCCTTCAAGGTTATAACTTATAAAGGCAACATAACTTCTATATCGAAATGTCGCCTGAACCATGAGGTAGCACTCTCCTTAAAGTCGTTAGGGTGCACGACGAATCACCCATTGCAGTGCAATCTGTGAAAAAGTACTCAATCCATCACATTAACAAGCAAACCTCACCTTCTAATTGAGAGGTAGGGGACTAAGAATCAGAGCATGAAAGGCCGCTGGGAGGTGAAGGATCTTGCCAGATATACGAGTACCAGCACTACGTAGCCTAAACAGTAGGCACAGAGTCGCAGCATGGAAAAAGAACCAGATTGCACCCTCCTACTTACATGGATACAATCAATTCGAAACATTGTAGTTAGGTTCACCAGATGAGTGTCAATGCACAGTCTGCAACTAAACCAGGCCGGCCAAACCAATTCACTATTCAATCCGAAGAACAGCCTTAGAAGTTTGATCAACTTGCGCCAAGCCATGGATGAACACCTTCAACAGACAAGTAACATCTTGATTGAATGCAATGGTTACCATCTAAAGAGAAGGATAAAAGGCACATTGAAGGGGAAAACCCAGATTTTCCCAACCAGACGCAGCACGACAATGGCACATATATCGCAATCCAAACAAAAAGAAGCAAACTTTGATCTTAAGTGGAACAAGCAGATTCTGGCCATGGGCGTATGCCACAAGAACCACCTCCACAGTTACCACAACCGAGCTTCATGTACATTCCACAAATCCAAATGGCAAGCCAAGCCGGTGAAAGGATTACAGAAACAAACCCCATCCTTATCGATCATACCATAATAAAGTAAGATTATAAACCCAGACAGGGTATAGTATTCAGTGAACCCACAAACCACAGAAAGACAACAAGATTACCCAGAAACCATAAGTTAACCGAAAAGTAGCAGCAGGACGATCATGTTTCCTGACCGAAGCCTCCAAAAGATCACTTCTTGAGGCTGCCCCTGACGCCAGGACGTGGCTTCCCGGCCGAGGTATCGGCAACAGCAGCGGCAGGCGCGGTGGCGTGCAGGTTTTGGATCTTATCTTCCTCGAAGGGGATCTTCGGGTGGCGAGCCTCGTGATGGATCTGCATCGATTTTACATCAGGAGCAGTGACTTTGCAGTGCGGGCACTCGAATTTGGCGTGGCCTCCTTTGGTTTGCCCCGTCCTGTCGACGAGCCCGGCTTTGCCTCCGCCTCTGTTTGTCAGCGCGGCGTCCGCCTTCGCTGCGATCTCCTTCGCCGTGTGCTTCTTCGGCTTCGCCTTCCCTGTCATGGCTTAATTGCGCGCCCGCAGCGGATTTGGGGGAGAGGATTGAAAACCCTACGAGGCTGAAAAGTGAAAACCCTAGAATTCGTCGATGATTGATTGGGGAAACAAGGACGAATATCACTCCTTTCGAGGATTATATAGACGAGAATCCGGATTTTTAATTTACCCGCTTCTTTCTTTTCCGTCTTGAATTTTGTATGGGTCGGATCGTCCGTTTTCACTGGATTTCCTCCTAATCATCACCATACTTTAAAACATTAACAAAAATGGTCAGCAAATTTTCTTTTGTATCAAAATCATATATGTTGACTGTTGAGTGTGCCTCTTGTTCATGTCACATCATCAAACACATCTTGTTGGCATTCTACTCAATCACTAACAATATAACTAATATTTTTTTAGAAGAACATATCATTAACACAACAGATGCATCAACAACAAATAATCCTAATCAAATAAGGATTCGGAGAGTTTATCATCATTATGGTCAGTTAACCTGTTAGTATTTCGATTTGAGACGATCGGTGATCAAAGGCTCTATGGACTCCGTAGAATGTCTTATTTGCAGTAGTTTTCTTATTGCTGTCAGTAGTTTTGATCCGTTTGCAATTGGATTAGAAAGTGCATTAACGATGAACACAATAGTATCTTATTCAGTGGAAAGTTGAGGATACATGTTGCTGCTGGTACAAATGTAGTTGCTCTGAGCTGCATCAGGGACTCTTTTACAAATTGACAGATGAAAAGCCATAAAAGGAGGCTGCCAGCCACCCGATCTGAGATGGGTAGTAGGCAAAATCAAAATCAACAGGAGGTGATGGAGTGCCTTAACCAAGAACAACAAACCGTTTCAGGGACAAATTAAAGGATTGAGGAAAGACAGAACACAAGTTTTGAAATGCTTCTTGTCAGAACTAAAACTACCCGGTGGAGCTCTCAGTCGAACCAAACTAAAACCAAGGTTCCTGGAATCCATTGGAAGAAAGAAAAAGGAATCGTACAATGTAAGAAATGAGGTATGGTTTCTCGACAGCCCGAATCAAGTCCATGCTTTGAGCTTTTTACATGGACTTGATTTGGGGTTTCTGTACACTCTCTTCACGGTATAGCAGACGCCTCTTGGAGCTGTACCCGTTGTACTGGTAGATGATGCTGTACAGACATTGCCTTAGGCTCACCACATTGAAGCTCTCCAAGAAGCACAGATCGCTCGTCCTCGACTTCAGGCCTGCATAATGTCGGTACTCGTCCTTGACCGAGGACAAACACCAGTTCTGTAGCTTCCTGAAGCACCCAACCAGACAGCCAGTGCGATGCTGCAATCAGAACAGAGATAAAAAAACGGCATCTTTTTGTGTTAGTGGGCTATCCATGATCGAAACAATGGGGAGTAACTGCAGAGAAGCTTATAGACACTTGCCTTCCCTCGCTTGCAGTGAATCAAAATGGGATGGTTCCTTACATCTGAGCCAACCAACCATATCAGGGTTAGGAAATTTTACAGTGAAGAAGGATGGAACAGATCTGGAGGAGTGATGAGAGTACCCATTAAGATCTTCAAAGCTTCAATGATGGTATCCTCAGGCATAGGGACAGGAGGCTCCTGGAAATTGATGGAGCAAAAGGGTATCATTCACTAAGCAATGGAAATCATCAATGGCGGACAAGGATTAAAGGAAAAGAAATGAATATACCGTCTTCCCGTTGATTCCAAACTGGAATAGCTTGATGTTGTTGGCCGCAAGAAATTCAACATTCTCCTGCGGGTACGGCTCAGGGCACAAGTATCTGGAAAACGAAAACAAAGCAATCATTCCCCAACAAGTTAATTAATGCCGACAAATGCAATGAAGAAGAGAAGGAAAAGAGAGAAAAAAACCCAACTTTCTCAGCAACTAAACAAATCCCCAGCAGGCCATTTAATGATCAATCAAAGCAATTCGTTCCATTAGCCACAGAAAGAGCCGATCTTTTATTCTTTCAGGCTCCTTTAGCTAATAACAGATAAAGATTCCTACTTACATGATGGAGCGGAGATTTAGGGTTTCGAGGAAACGGAAATTGGAAGCGTCAGGGAGACCAGATCTGAAAATGCCGTCGTCGACCATCGAGAAATTCGTCGGCGGGACCAGAATGCTCCCCACACCGCCGTCGGCGGCGAGTCTACCTTCTCGTATTTCATCCTCCTCTTCCGCTTCAACAATTACCAATCCCATTCCACCCTCCCTCCCTCCCTCCCTTCTTTCTTCTTCTTCTTCTTCTTCCCTGGTTTTTCTTCGATTCAAGAAAATTCAGAGACCTTCAAGGAAAGGGGTTTTATTTCTTCTTCATTTTACAACGGACAAACAAACGCCAGATCAGAAAAAAAAGAGGGTTTTTTTTTTAACGGCGGAGTGAAACTGCGTCGTGTTGGCGCCGGAATCGGAAACAACTGCCGGCAGTGCTGTCCCTCTCAATTGCAGGTTGAGTGGAGATGTGAAACTCCGATTCCCACCCCGAAAACCTTTCGGATTCCGATAAATTTCTCTTCTTTTTCGGTTTGTAGATTCTGAATCGAAATTGGTTTCCAGGAAGAGAAAAAATCGTTGAGAAATAAAAACAAATGGATAACGAAGAAGAGAAAAGAAGCAAGAGGGAAACCGGCGAGAAGGAAGGAAGTGACGTGGAGGGGAAAACTGCTTTTATTTTATCGTTTCGGTTCGACATCAACGAGAAGTTGGATTAGGTGGGGTTTGCATTGAATTAGTCGTTGTCAAGATTCCAGAACAATGGGCGTTAAAACAATTTCAGATCGTACGATGGAAATTTCTATCGGTCCGTTACGATGTCACCACGTGTACTTTGGTTTGAATTCCTTGGGCGAGGGGTTACTTGTCAAACTAACCAACAAAACCATTGGTGGTTGTATATACGATTTAATACGACCGAATGATGATGAATGAAAAATGTTCAGACAAATATGGCGGCGATGATGATGAATCAGGTGGAGGCGGAGGAAGGGGAGATGGCAGAAAGCTGCCGGCGGGTGAGTACTGGACCGGCTTCAGCTAGGGTACCCAATGCAAATCTGATCCTCATAAGAAGAAGGACGACGATGATGGTGACAGATCAGCAGCTGACGACGTTGGTAATGGCCGTCGGTGGTGATCGGATTGTTGCAGTCCCTGCAGCCGCTGCTGACCTGACGATCATGATGCTCAATCTCCGTTGGGTTCTTGACACGTGTTGCTGCATTCGTTGTAGTGGTGATCGTCGACGATGTTATTGCAGCTGGTGCTGCTCCGACGATGTCGTCATCATCCCAGCCAATGTGGGTGACATGCTTCACGTCCGTCGGCACCCCAATCTCCATTTCATCCTCTCCATCGTCTTCTTCTTTGTACACTACACAAGGAAGATCCACCGTTGACATCAAATGTTCATGTTTGCTAGACAGAGTCAAGCTACATTGAAATGAACCATAAGAAGTGACTGACCGAAGGTGGACTTGACAGTCCGCAGAATCCGATGGAAGCGAGCGGATATGTTGGAGGAGGGAGATGTTGACGACGAGCTTGTACTGCTCTTGGAGTCGCTGCTATCGGTGCTTGACAAGCTCTCCTCGTCGTCATCCATTTCCCTCCTCCTGCTTTTCGAGCGAGTGGTGTCCGTTGGGGCAGCAGCAGTAGATGCTGATGCTGATCTTCTTCTTGTGTGGTGGTGGCGGTGGGCGAGGGCGACGCTGGATTCCGAGACGCATCCCATGGTGAATGGCAGCAGCACCAGCCTCTCCATTCTTCTATCCGGCCTCATTCTCTTTCTACCTTATAGTTCAATATGGAACCAATGCCCCAAAACAGAAACAGATAAAACGACGAAGCCGGATCAGTCTAGCATTGAGCTTCTACTAATCTACTCTTATCAGTCTGATGATTGAGGGTATTCTACTACTAGCTATATAGGGTGGTTGAGGGGGACATGGTGGAAGCCTTCGTAATCAAGCTAAGTCACTATGAATCTATGATTGCACATTTGATTTGTATACCAAGTCAAGATACATGTATGGATGTGTTCGGTAGACATCCAAAAAGGAGAAAGAAATAAAGAAAGCAAATGCAGTGGGCAGATCTTTGTCCTTCTGCACCTTATTTTTTCTCTCTTTCAATACCACTTTCATACACATCTCCACCATTTGTCTTCCCTCTGTTTCTTTCATCTATCTCTTGTCCTTTCATATCTAAAAGGTTTACTTAATTTGGACTCAAAGTACCAAGCTAGAACTGATGTGCGTTGGACGTAATGTAAGTGGGAGAACGGAGACCAGACCAACCTCCACTTACATGATTCTCAAGGCCAGAAGAATGATAGACCAAAATACAAAACAACAAAAAACAGAGCATCTTAGGATAACTTTGATTTCGAAAGCGATCTCTCTTACCTTTTGACCGTGCAGTATGAGTTCTGTAATCAGTAATGACGGCGAGTCATTAATCACCAGAAACCAAAAAAAAGGCACCAGCTTTCTTGCGTTGGAACGTTTGGTTTCTTCTCAACAGCAAAGCAGAGAAGCCATCGACAGTGGGTTTGTTTAGTTTGTTGAGGTTGATCCATACCAAGCTGGAAAACCAACATTTCCTCCTCTTGCCCATTCAAACCAAGCAAGCTCCATCTTTAAGTTTCTCATTATATTATATGTATGTATGGATCATTAACCTGTAATAATCAGAAGGATTAAATGGCGTTTTCGGTTAGTAGGAGGCCCAATCATGAATCCACAGGACTTACCCTGCAGTCTGCGCAGCAATAATACACACCACAGAAAGCTTTTCACTGCAGACGTACCTTTCAGCTGCTCATTCATGGTGTTTGATGTACTTCTCATGGCAATGGATCTTTCAGTAAGATCCAAGACTGACCAGGGACTTTGTTAACAGTTCTCTGGAGCATCAAACTCCTTGCTTCGGCTGCCTCTTCCCAATGATCATCGGCAGAGAACATGCTTGAACAAAGAACATAAGAACCTGGATCAAGTGGCTCCAGTTCGAGTAGTCTCTCACAGGCCCATTTTCCCATCTCAGCATTTTTCTGGAGCCTGCAGGATGACAAAAGTGACTTCCAGACTGCAGAGAGATGTGAGATGCCATTTTCAGCGATGAATCTCTTTGCCTCATCGAAGCGACCTGCTCGACCATAGAGATCGACCATGCAAGTGTAGTGTTCAACACCTGGATTCAAGCCGTAAACTTTTTGCATCGACTCAAAATATCCAATACCATGTTCAAACAACCCGTTATGGCAGCAAGCATTTAAAACAGCCAGAAATGCAATAAGATTTGGAGCGATGCTACTGTCTTTTAACATGAGGTCGAAGAGTCTAACAGCTTCCATCCCACGTCCGTGTAAGCCAAACCCATATATCATCGAAGTCCAGATCACAACATTCATATCATTGTTGCTTTCATTGAACTTGTGTATAGCATCGTTCAGACATCCACACTTGGAGTACATGTCGATGAATGATGAAGTTAGGTGAGCATCCACTTTATGCCCAACTTTTTGAACATGGGCATCGATCTGTCTCCCCAGCTCCAAATTGCCAGTAGCAGCACAGGTAGAAATGATGCTTGTGAGTGTATAAATGTCCACCTCAACATTTTTCTCAAACATGGACTTAAACATCTGGAAAGCACAGATGTACTCACGCTTCTTTACATACCCAGACACCATCGAGCTCCATGAAACTCTCCTTGCCATTGCATCCACTGGGGGGAAACCGTAGCACATTTGTTCAAATATCACAGAAGCCAATCTCAACTCCCCACATTTGCAATACATATCTATAAGCGAACTCGTTATGAAGCCACTGTCATCTATCCCACGTCTTTGAACCTTGCCATGAATTTGCTTCCCCAGTTGCAAAACTGATAAACAGGAAGCCAAGTTCAATCCTATAGAGAATGTTATAGCATTGAATTCAGGTCCATGCCCTGCCATCCTATAAAGAACTTCCAAGGCAATGCTTTCGCACCCACATCTTATTAGACCGTCTACAATGGTATTCCAACTTGCAACGTCCTTAGTCTGCAAACTATCAAACAATTCAAGAGACTTTCTTGCCTCCCCAAGATGCAAATAGGCACCCATCATTATATTCCACGACACTGTATCTTTCCCCGGCATTACCCCAAACAACCTTTCCGCGTAGCTGAAAGCTCCACTTTTAACGTAAAGATCAAGAATTGAATTCGCCAGCACAACATCGAAGACAACCCCATTTCTCAAAATCCAACCATGAATTCCTTTCCCGGCTTTTACCTCATACAAACTACATAAGGACTTCAAAACGGTCGACAGAGTAAATTGATTCGGCCTAACACCCTCAAGTTGCATCCTCCGAAACCATTCCATAACATCCTTGTGCGCCCCATTTCGAGCGTAACCCGAGATCAGGATGGTCCAAGTGCGCACGTCTCTGTCGAGAATTTCATCGAACAGCTTGTGTGCATTGGTGAAATCTGCAGACTTCGAGTAAAGAATCAAAAGATAGTTGATTGAAATTGAAGAATCACTAATGCAGCAAAAGGGGCCGCCTTTAACAGCCCGAGCATGTAAGGCCTCCGTTCTCGTCTCGACGACGCATTCTCCACCGGCTGCCGGGTAGTTTCGATACTGGCGAAGCGGTAGTTGGAGCAGCCATTGGAGTTTTGGGGGAAATGTAGTGAGTAGAGCGCTATACCGAGACTTTATCAGCAAAGATTTTGCTTCTAGACGCTTGGCTCCCAAGCAAGTCCATTTCATTTTATCGGCGACGGCAACATACTTACCGATTTCGCCGTTGTGTTTGGGAAGGCGGCTTCTGGTTTGAACTTTGAAGAACCCTCTATTTTCCTTGTTTTTTCTAGCAGAAAGGCATGGTAGAGGAGTTTGAAGTCTTAGCAGCAATATGGGCCTGCGTAATGGCGGGAGGGATATTGAATGGGCCCAACGTTTGGGCTGGGCTTAGAGGCATTGGATTCCTGAAAGAACGGGAGGGAAGGCACAATTCTCGTCGGCGGTGGGAAGTCGGTCAATAAGTTCCCCCGACGCGCCATTTCTCCTTTCCTTCTTCCTTCCTTCCGTTCTTTCTTTTGGGATCTTTGCTCCTAGCAGGATCTCTTTCTTTGCTTCTTTCCTCGATTCTCTTCTTCTTGGATCGGAATCACTTCCATCATTCCGATCTCTCTTTCCGATCCCTCATTACTCTGATCCAGATCTGTGTCCACCGACACTTTGACGTCACCTTCTTGTATCCGTTGAGGCTCACTGGCCTCGCCAATTTGTGTTCGTATAATGGGGTTTCGCTCAAACCCTAGGCTTCTCCTTGTTTTCGGATTCGTGCTATTGGCTCTTTCCTGTATCTCTGCTCAGGTTCGTCGCTCAATTCCCATAGTTTCCCCTGAATTTGCTATGGCTTTTACGTTGTCTGATTCGAGGGATGCTATTTGTTGTTCCTTCTGCTTGTAATTAGGACGCTGCTGTGGAGAATGGGAAAGAGGAATCGAATGAATCAGCATTCAACAGTCTCGGCCGGCGTGGCATGGTGAGTGGCTTATTTCTCTGTGTTGCCTTCCCCATAATGGCTCATGCTGTTCTTCAAAGGTAATAGTCACGGTTTCATTGGCACGAGCAGGGAAAAACCAAGAGGCATTGGTAGTGGATTAGTTACAGTATTGCAATTGATCGAGGGAAGTCGTTGGATACCTGTTCTTAACTGTTCGAATGGTGGTGCTGTGGCTGCAGATTGGCAGAAATGACATTGACATCAACTCTGTCAGCTTGGGTGTTACCCTGGACTCGGGTCTTGGAGTTTTTGATGCATTCTTTGCTAGCTTCTCGATGATCCTCGTTAGTGAGGTGTGTGCACTTGAATTCAAGTTACTCTTTCCTTGTTTGTTGATGGCAGCGGACTGAACAGTTCGTTATATGCAAATCTCATTGCTGGTTTCGTTGCCCATTTGCCTATCTCGAATCATTAATTTGAGTTGAATGCTTCTTCACGTACTCTGAATGTTAGAACTGTGTCTCTAGATTGGTTGGTCTGACAAGTGACACGTTGTTGACTGTAGATTGGAGATGAGACTTTTATCATAGCAGCTCTCATGGCAATGCGCCACCCAAAGTCAACGGTTTTATCTGGGGCTCTTTCTGCATTGTTTGTTATGACAGTAAGTTTCCTTATTTGGTGTCTGCTCTCGTTTGCCACATTCTGTCGTTTTGATTTTGTTATTTCTTGATATTTACTGTCTAGTATTGCATTTGCATGTCACTGTAATGCGTTGGTTCCATCACGTGAAAAATTCGCTTTCGGTTATTGTAATTACTCTGAAGCAGAAAAGCTGTTCTGAAATTCAACTTCCAATCAGATACTTTCTACTGGACTGGGAAGGATTGTGCCAAACTTGATATCAAGGAAGCATACCAATAGTGCAGCTACAGGTACAAGAATTTCATTTTCTGAACGATTTACCTCGTGAATGAATTATTTTCTTTTGAAATTGGTCAATGTGAACCTGACTGCACTTCTTTTCTCTTGTGTAGTTCTTTATCTATTCTTTGGACTGCGGTTGCTTTACATTGCCTGGAGGTCCGATTCAAAATCATCACAGAAAAAGGAAATGGAAGAAGTATGCTTTCTTGGTCTCTATTACCTTACTGCTTCAATATTGATCTCAGCTGCATTTTCCCCTGCTCAAATTACTTCTGTACAATCTGTGTATGATAGCGGTTGATTCTAGATGTGGAGTTACTCTTTCTAGTATTGGGTCCTTGTATGCTTAGACGTGACAAACAGTTTTGCAAGGGTCAGGAATAGTTAGAATCTGAGCTATGATGGTCTAATCCGTTTCCTGGCTTGTTCTATAATGGTTACCACCATAGTAATTTAGTTGATTCTAACTATCCAACATAAATAGCACACTAATCCCAGGGCGCAAGTAGTATGCCAGTATTACATAATTGTCACTTGTATGATTCTCATGCTTAACTAAAATAGACAACATAATTAGATTATGATTTTGTTGCTTTTGTAATGTATTGGGTTTATGCCTTTCTGACTGAAGGAAATAGCTTAGAATGGTCTTCTTTCATTTCATTGTCCTGCGCTGCTTTGGTCATTGGTTTCTGTGTTCTTAGGTTAAAATGGGATGTCATATATTCAGGTAGAAGAAAAGCTTGAATCCGGGCAAGGCAAAACAGGCATCCGCCGCGTCTTTTCCAGATTCTGTACACCTATATTTCTGGAGGTACAGTTTTTGGGTTACTTAACGCTTCATAATAGTGGCATTTTGTCACGTGAGATCCTCAATTCCTAAACGATGCTTCAATTGCCCTTGTCGAAGTTGTAAATCAATGATACGAATAGAGTCATCTGAACTACCGTCTCAACTGGCTGGCTTCCCTCTTTCCCTACACTTGCAGGCATTCATTTTGACCTTCCTTGCAGAGTGGGGTGACCGTAGCCAGATTGCAACAATTGCTGTAAGATGAAAAGAAAACTCTTATCTCCCTTATATGCTTTTCCTTCTTTGATGCGAAAGTCTTATCCTGGTTTTGGACTTGTGCAGTTGGCCACGCACAAGAACGCAGTGGGCGTTGCAGTTGGCGCAACAATAGGCCACACCATCTGCACATCAGTAGCAGTTATAGGAGGGAGCATGCTGGCTTCCAAGATCTCGCAGAAGACGGTTGCCACGATCGGAGGCTTGCTCTTCCTGGGTTTTTCCTTGTCGTCGTATTTCTACCCACCTCTATAGTTGCACGCTAACCCTCCATTCTTTTCCCTCGGTAGAGCAAATACAACATCAGAAATCTTTCGCCTGCAATTTTCCCATCCTCCGTTCTCTACTTCCTCATTCCTTACTAAATAGTCTCGCTGTGACAACTCCAAGTGATTTGTAATCTTGATCTATATTTTCTTGTATAATCAGCCTATGATACTCTAGTTTTGTAGATGCGTTTACTAGGTAAATGTAAAATTATGTCATGGATATGTAAACCTTTGTCGCCCTAATGTGATGTGATTGTCGGCGAAATCGCTTGCAATTCGTCTATCAACGCTATCGATCAAATCGTCAGTGCACACAATGTTAATATGATGTGTTCATTGGTGAAATTACGTATCGAATTCGAGTAATTTTTATGGCCGTTTGTTTGTCATCAACAAGCAACAATCAGCTCGTGGAAGCTCATGTAACGTCCTGTGTCAGCACTTCGACGAGAAATGGCCATATTGCCGGTCTCATTACTTCATACATGACTTTCGCGCAATTTTTCTATCGCTTCAATTTTGTTCAATGTTCTTCCGAAAATTGCATTGGTCGTGTTTATACGACGCGATAGGCGAGTAGGAAGCACGAAGAGAAGGGAGCGCGTGAAGTTAGAGATGAGGGGTGGGTGGAGGGAAGGGAGTTGGGAGAGATAGATAGACCAGTCTCAAGTGTCTGGTCCGTCTGGTAGTTTTTCTTCTCTTTCGGATGGTTGGCTTTTATTCCCTTTCCCTTCTTCTTCTTCCCCCTTGAGTTTCTGTGGAGCGGAGTGGACAACGCCACGCCCCACATCTCTTTCTCTCTCGCGAGAACAAAAAAGTAAATAAAACAACCCCAAAAAAAAAAAAAAAAACTGCCTCCGTTTTCCCTTTCCTCTTTCTTCCATCTCTCTCTCTCTCTCTCTCTAATTTATTTCCTCTCCGTTGCACTGTGCGGAATTCTGGTGCTGCTGCTTTCTCTCTCTTCCCCCCTCCTCCCGAATCTCTGCGTTTCTGTCTGTTGTTTGTCGGAGGCGGAAGAAATAGAATAGCGGCCGAGGATTGATTGATTGCGTTGGGGGGGAAGGGGAGAGGGGAATGGGGGTTCCGGCGGGGAATTTCGGAGGATTCGACAGCTAATTTTGTGTTTTCATGGAGGAGGGAGGAGATCGCTGCGGTTTCTCTTCTTCTACTACGATATGGAATTTGACGCCGGAATTCCGATGTCCCGAGCTGTCGTCGTTGCTCCTCCGTCGTCGGTTGTGACCGCCGAAGGGACTTCTCTATCGCCGTCCTTGAACGAAGGTTTTTCCCCCCTCTCTCTCTCTCTAATCTCGAATAATGGCAATCGGAGCTCCGTCGTATGGCCGTCGGCAGAGGAGTGTATAAGCTCTTCTCCGTCCGTACGTATCTGTTTGGTTGGGAGGAAAAAAAAATGCAACTGACGTGTTGCGCTGCCTGATAACCAAATTTCCCGGGAATTGTCGTTTCTGCCCCTCCGGCCCCTCCTTTTTTCCGCTGCTGCGATGAATTCTGAGCTCTGATCATCACTGCTTTTAGCCCGAAAAACGTCGGAAAAAGCTTTAAAAAAAAAGAATGGTGTTTGGGTCACGTTTTTCGTCTTCTTTCTCCGATTTTCCCCTCTTATTATTATAAACAAAATTGTTATTTTAATGCTTGCTGGCTTGTTTGGTAACTTGCTGCTCGAATCAAATGCTCGTTCGTTCATGGCGGGTTTTTGATGCTTTCAAGCTCGGAATCGGCTGTTTTGGCCTCTTATGTCCTGATTGCAACGTTGTGATTCACGATGAATTGATTTTTGTTCTAAAGCCGATTCTCTAGTATAATATTCTTATCTGTTTATCTTCTTTGTTTTATTTTTCTGCGGATATGAATCTTATTCTCCCTTTTGGTGGTGCTCGTTTGTTTCTTTCCACATTTCCTGGATTTCCTGCTGTTTCGCTGTTGCTCAGATATTGGCTTTGATGAGAGCAGTACTTTGCGTCTTGATGTTTCCCTGCATAGAAAATTGATGGTAGTTACGGTGCTGCCAGTACAACTGAACTTCCACTGAAGAAGTTGTATTAGGCCCTGATATATTATTGTCTTTTGTTGGCAATGGCAATGGCAATGGCAAGAGTTGTTAACTCTTTACACCATTGTTCTGTCCATTTTTGCCACCCTGGGTTCAACTGCAGTTTGCTCCTCGTCGTCGTCGCTACAGCTTGAGTCAGTAATCCTCTTTTCCTGGTTTAAAGGGCTGATCTTTTTACCAGCAGGGGAATTTGACGATGAATTATTCTTCTCTGACTTCTCTGGTTTTTAGTGTTAGGCTGGTTGAGGGGAATGGCTAACTTTGTTTCTTTGCATTTAAGGTGGACTTTTTTTTTTTTTTTGGGATCCTGAAAGCTTCAACCTTTCTGATGGAATTTCAGATTCAATGTGGCAAGTCAACTTCAGATCTAGTGAAGCAATGGAACCCGGTCCGTACCCTGAACGTCCTGGGGAGCCAGATTGTTCCTATTATATCAGAACGGGTCTATGTAGATTTGGTGCCACTTGCCGATTTAACCATCCTCCTAACAGAAAGCTGGTATGAGCCGTCACCTTTTTGCTTTGTGAAGTAGTTGCAAAATATTTCGACAAATTCTACATCTCGAGATAGTTATTTGCCATCAAACGGTTTCTGTGTTATGCCTCTATGGAAAAGAATTGGGCTTTCTCCATTCATTTTCTTCCCTTTTCCACCTGGTGAACAGTATCTATGAATTATAGGTACCCTAAGCTCGAGCATTGGTTTGATTAGGTTGTACCTTCTTTACCTACTAATTACTCAAGTTTATTTATTTAGTGTTCTCTCATGTTTAGCCTTTTATCCCCCAATCAGCAGATATTTGTCTTTCCTACACACAAATCTCTATGATCGGGCATACTCATACTGTCATACGTGATGGTGCTATACTTTGACTTAGATTTCTCATGATATGAATATTTTACAGAGGTGCATGTAAAACACCTTTTCTGCCTTGCAAATTTGCGTGATTTATGTGGTATCTTCTATCTTAAACGACTAAAGCCTGTGTTATTGATACTCTGAACTACCTTTCGGTTTTTCTCTAGGCTATTGCTGCAGCAAGGATGAAAGGGGAATTTCCAGAAAGGATTGGGCAGCCCGAGTGCCAGGTACATGAACTGCCTCCCTTTTATGTCCACTTTCCTGCTTCCTGTAAATGGTTCTTGGAGTTTGGAGATGGTATGGAAGCCTTTCATTTTGTGTAGTGCATACTTACAGGATGAAATATTGTGTTTTCCTTGTATATGTTCTGCTTCAAATACTAACCTGATGATTTAAATGCTTTCCAGTACTATCTGAAGACTGGAACTTGCAAATTTGGAGCAACATGCAAGTTTCATCATCCTAAAGACAAGGCTGGGATAGCCGGAAGAGTTTCCTTGAATATTCTGGGCCTCCCACTTCGACCAGTATGGTTTCCTCATTCATCATGTGCACGAAAAAAAATTATTCATTAAATGTGTTTGATTCTACTTCGGATCATAATGAAATTTTGCTTCATGAAAATTGCAGTGTCATGCGTAGTAGTAACGTTATATATCCAAGCGTAGCTAGCCAAGTAAATGATCTTGCAACGTCTGACCAGTTTCTCATTGTGCATTTGCTTGCTGCAGAATGATATTGAGTGTGCTTACTATTTAAGAACGGGTCAATGCAAGTTTGGGAGCACATGTAAATTTCATCATCCTCAACCGAGTAATTTAATGCTTCCATTACGGGGTTCTCCTATTTATCCTACTGTTCAATCTCCAACAAATCCTGGCCAGCAATCCTACCCAGCTGGACTTACAAACTGGTCAAGGGCGTCCTATATTACCAGCCCACGCTGGCAGGCTCCTTCCAGTTACACACCCTTGATTGTACCTCAGGGAGTTGTTTCTGTTCCCGGTTGGAACGCTTATAGCGTAAGATTCTTTAACCATTTCATGTGAAGAATTATCATGAAGCCACACTTAATCAAATGGATAAGCAGGTCAAAGCTGCACTAGGAGCAGATTGATAGGAATATTTTGTGTGGTTATTCCTTTATGTTTTGCATCTCAACCTAACAATATGATTTCTTCTATTGTATGGCTTTTGAGTATATAATTTGATAGCTACATCTTATCTTTTTTCCCCCTTTTCCCCCTTCGAAGATCTCTTTATAAGTCAGTATATTCATGGTCCAACCACAGCCTTCAAACCGAGCAACTGAGCTTGGTGGAAATAAATGCATACTCTTGTGTGCCCCCTCCCCCTCCCATTTCCTTAGCCTTTTTGTGATATAATGCATTTGCTAGTTAAGTGACAAGGAGAACCTTGATTGAAGTAGGAGTTTTGAGGAGCTAAAGCAATAGTTCTCTCATGAATACAGGATATTGAAAGATCTTTTTCCTTGAATACATATCATCTAACCTTACATTCTCCATAGACATTCTTTTTATGGATTCTTTACTTTTTGTTTGATTTTAGGGTCAGGTGGGTTCAGTTTCATCGCCTGATAGCCAGCAACAAAGTGGAAACAGTCAGATATACGGGAACTCCCTCCAGAATGAGACAACGAGTACCGAAGCTCAAGGAGCGTTCTCCGCATACCGTTCTGGTTCAGTCCCTGTTGGATATTATGCATTGCAGAGGGACAATGTTTTTCCCGAGAGACCTGGACAACCTGAATGCCAGTATTATATGAAGACCGGTGACTGTAAGTTTGGTGCAGTTTGTAGATTTCATCACCCAAGAGAAAGGCTAATCCCTGCTCCAGACTGTGTCTTGAGCCCTATAGGCCTCCCATTACGTCCGGTGAGCTCAACTACCCTTTTTCTCCTGATTTTTACAACTTAAGTTGTGTCTACATGCTACGGAAAGATCTTTCAAGTTTCCAGCTTCATGCTGAGTTGCAACTTGCAAAACCCACCTTTTTTGACTGATGGATGATTGATGAAGCTGGTGCTTTAACTTATCATCAGGGAGAGCCTCTGTGTATCTTCTACTCCCGATACGGGATTTGCAAGTTCGGTCCGAGCTGCAAGTTCGACCACCCTATGGGAATCTTTGCATACAATCTCTCAGCATCATCATCTTCTGCTGTTGATGCCCCGGTTCGACGTTACCTGGAGTCATCTTCAGGACCGGAAGGCCTCGTGGAAGCCACAACAAACTCTGGAATGCCAAGGAGACTCTCATTGTCAGAGCCAAGACAGATGACTTCTCCTGATGACGATCATAACATTGATGCAGAGGGATGATTGAGACTGCCCCCGCCGCAGTGCATTCGTTATAAGCAGCTCCGGAATACTGCAGATGGCAAACAACAATCAAGCTTGCCTGCTTTGACTGTAAAAATTCATTTCCTTGGGTCTGTTGGAGATGTACAGAGTTCCATTCCATCCATCGCCACCAGTTGATAATGCCGAAAATTCAGAAGAAAATGATTTAACTCTCTCTCTCTCTGAATCTCTCATACTCTGTTGCGTTGTATAAAAAGAAAAACCAGTCTGCAAAATATTGTCTCGTTTTGGTCTAAAATTCCATGACGTGAACATGTTGTCTCAATGCGATCATCGATCCTTCTTATTTTTTATGCCTCCATTTCTATTCTGAATGTTGTACACAGAGCACTTTTCATTCGCCATTTTCGTTATACATTTGATCCTCTCACCTCTTATTCCTCTCATCAGGCACTGAACTTTTCAATATGACGTATAAGTTAACTCCCCTCGAATCATTATCGTGGCTTCATGTTATCGCTTTAACTTGCATTACAAGGCAAAGCCAGAGAAGAATTACTTGTTGATAGTAGGATGTGTTTGGGCATCAAAAGGTTGAATTATATAAAGGTGAAGTCGAAAACACAGAGGAAAAGGACCTGAAGCCTGAATATGGTGCATTGGTAAAGGAATATTCCCATTGCAAGTTGTTCCTCTTTCACAATTTTGTTGCTACTGTGAGACTGAAAATGAGCTTAAATCTATCAAATTGTGAGTAGTGGAACTACCTCGTGGCAGAGAGGGAGTTTTGCTACAAACGAATGGTTGCTAAAAAAAATAAATCGTTGCAAAAGATGAAAGACAACTATTCTTCGACACAAACGAAGTCGTTCAATTTGTTTGTTGTTCAACTATTTTTGGACACAAACAAAGTTGTTCACTATCATCATCCTTGAGTTGCATATGCCTGATTAGTTGACAACAGTTGAAAACATGGATTCTATCTTATTTTGCTATAACTCTTAAGACATTAACAAACTAGTATAAGAAAAAGAAAAACAAATTTAGGTGAAATATGTCACCAAAAGAAACAAAAATTCTATGTCCAAATCCATATCATAAGAGAATAGCTATTATCTTTACTGTTTCGAGAGAGAACAACCTATAGCTGTATAAATACCTTTTTTTTCTTTCTTATGTAATCTAAAACAAATCTTCTTTGATCCCTTCTGGTTTTATCAGTAATTCAAATCAAATAGGGACATAATTTTTTTTGCATCCTCTCAACAATTTCCCTTCCTCTTCTGCCTCACAAATGAATACAAGAATCTAGGTTCCCCGTCCTATGGATTTACACGAAACTATTTACGATTCGATCCCCAGAAATCAATGAAAGAAAGAAACAAAATGGACTCTCTAGTACACTATTTTCTATCATTGTAAGGGTCTATCCAACATTTATCCTCCTCGGCTGCCTTCGCCCATCTTTGCTTGAACGTTTTGTACTCGTTCCACGACTGTCTCCTCACCTGCCCCAGCCACCACCAACAATTTTAGCCGTGTTAGATACTGGTGAATTAGTCTATCAATCAAATTTCAGTTGTCATAAAACAAGAACTAGTGAACAATGGTTTTACAACGAATCAAATACGACTTACTTCCACTCTAGGGTTGAATTCACGGGGATTAAAAGGGCGCGGTGGAGCAGTATCCTGCAGAAACATCCCCCGATTCTCCTCGAGTTAATTCTCTTTACGCACAACGAACCATATGGTTTGTCACGGGGGGAAAAAATGAATGAATGAATCAATCAATCACCTTTGATTCACCAAGTGTAGGCTTGCCATGATGTACAACATACTCTGCATCTACAACTCCCATCTTCTGGGTTCTGTCCCCTTGAGCACAGTAGCCAAGCCGATAATCCAGCCCCCAAGCATGGATCAAGTCATTCTGCAATTGCAAACCCACACCAAAAGCTGGAAATCCCTCAGCATTTTGCATATAAAAATGGAGAAATGAAATGAAATGAGGGAGCTTTTTTTTTACAAATTCTGCATCTCGCACTCCAAATCCTGACTTCGTCCGAGGAACCGAATTTACCTGGATCATGTACCAGACGCAGCGCCAGGCGTCTCGTGAGAACACGGGCGCCATCATCTCTACCCATCCAGTACATGGAGGAGAAGTGTTGTTTTGTTCGCAAGATCCCGGCTTGTATATTCGTCTGCAGAACCAAGAAATTCGGCCATTGCTGAGTTTAGGGACTAGGAACTGTGAAGGTGGGAAATGAGTCAGAGTTGATTACACAGATAAGAGGGGTTAGAGTTTTTATGAACCTGTGGACTATAGAATTGATCCGAGCAGTAATCTGCTGATGAATCTCCGACTTCCCCACGTCCAATGCTGGTTGCGATATCTCGAGACCTTCGCTCGAGACAATCGACAGGTACCTAAGAGGGTCGAATGTATCGACTCCGATGTCTTCATCCCACAGGAATACATAGTCGTACTCCGCGACTATGTCAGGATGCATAAACCTCTTCGCGAACCACCTGAGGAAACACATCTTGTTTCTTAGTATGTTCAGAGATTACTTTCCGTTGTATAGAAAGCAAACAACGAATTGAAAATGAAAGAAAGAAAACTTGCCATTTGGTTTGATTGTGTGCAGAGACATGAACGACATTGGAGTTCCAATCAAACTCCCTCCATTCATCCACAGCGTCGTCGTAGTGGAACAACATCACCGTGAAGCTACTCGAAAGAAACTTTGTCACCATTTTGTTCACCAGGACTTTCTGCTTCACACCCACAGCTGCTGCAAACAAGTTGGCCTTCTCGTTTGGTTTCCTCTTGGCAACATTTCCCCATAGGGGCCTCATCTGCAAATTTGAAGTCTTTTGGATGATGCCTCGGGGCAATGTCTCGCTTCGCTGAGGCATTTCTCGATCCTAAAATGTCACGCATTAACAACAACGTAAACAAGCAGTCGAGTTTTCAACGGAGCATTTGATCTCTCTACATATTCAACCCACCTGGCAATTCGCAGAAATCAGATTGTTGGAATGGACAATACTTTCAGGCAATGTCTCAGTTGCCTGAGGCTTTTCTTTGTCATTTCTTTGGGGCAATGTCTCACTTTCCCTAGGCCTTTCCTGATCCTTACTTTGGGGCAATTTCTCATTTCCCTGAAGCATTTCCTGTTCCTTGATTTCGGCCGATGCCTGCCTTCCCTGAAGCATTTCCTGATCCTTGCTTTGGGGCAATGTCTTTGTTTCCTGAGGCCTTTCCGGTTCCTTGCCTTGGCGCAATGTTTCACCTCCTCCCTGAGGCCTTTCCTGGGGCTCGAAACAAACACAGAACAACGACGTAAACAGGACGAGCACGACGAGGAACGAAACGAATGTGGAAAAGGATAGACACCCGCAGGCCCACCTGGCAATTGCAGGTGGAATTAAGATTGCTGAAACTACCTACAGCTTCTGATCTTGTCAATGCCTGCAATTCAGACTGCACAGAACAAAACAGAACAGTTCCTTTTTTGGGTTTGTTTCAGAATTTCTACAATTGGGTCCTGATTGAAATGTGCAAAGCTCGATTAGGGTTTAGTGGGTAATTATTAATTACCTGTTTGTGGTCAGGAACTAGAACGGTGGTGCCGATGATGAAGACTACCAGAATGAGGGAAGCAGCCGGGAAAACGGTGCGGCAGAGGCATGATCTGGTTTTGGCATCCACTGGTATTGATATCTGCAGCCAAACCAAACGAAATTCATGGAAAATGTAATGTGAAATTAATTTCCGGAATCGAGCATAAAGGTTTCAAATTTGCAGCTGGTTGTCGAACCTTAAGCATGATTCTGGGATTACAGAGAACCTGCGCACTGGAAGAACGTCGGACGTTTTCCGAAGAGGAGAGGAGGAACCTTAATATAAAGAATTGGCAGAAGGGGATTGAAACGGAAAGCAGCAATTGAAAAGAGATTTCGAGGAAGAAGAAGAAGAAGAAGCGCTCCACAGTAAGATATTAGTTGCAGGAAACATGGAAAGCAGAGTCAGGGAAAGGGGATGGTTCTTTCGTTTTTCGTTGGTTGATTCTCTGCTTCCTTGCTTAATTCCTTGATTATGGCGTAATCAACGTAATGGGTTTTCAGCGAAAGACACGTTTTGGGCGTCTTTGTCAGGAGAAAGGAAAACAACGATGGATGATGGTTAGAGACTTTGCAAAAGGGACTCTGTTTTCCTAGCAATTAACAGAGCCGATGATAAATTCGGTTCCATTCACAATACCAGGAGAAAATGAAGGGGAAAGGAAGAAGATGCATATACATAGACAGATAGAATGAATGAAGAAGAGAGAAGTCGTTCAGCGGGAACCGAAAGTGACGCAGAAAACGCAGCACGGAATCTTGTTTCTGATCCCCACCACTCTCTGTCACGTCCATGGAAATTCTCCCAATTAATTCCCGTTTTAATTTAATTACTGATGAATTGCTTCGTATTTATTTCCTTGCGAGTTTCCTCCCAGAAAGGCTCGTGATTTATGATAATAATTTGATGAAATGGTGAATTAATTTCAACGGATGCTACTGGTGATTATAATTCCGCGTCTTCTTTGGATTCTGGGTATTGTAATTAATCAATTATTATGCTTTTGATTTGATGCATTCATCTTATTTGATTGCTTAGGGTTTAATGGCACTGAGAGAAGAAAGCTGTGGCGTCTCTGATGCGTTCTTCTTCAGTTACGGGATAACAGGGGAGAAGAAGAAGAAGAAGGATGGAATATGTTCTGTTATTATTCGCCCGGGGATTGGCGGGAGAGAGGTCAGGAAGTGGCGCGAGGAAGGAAACGTGCGACCAAGTCAAGTCAACTCTCTCTCTCCCCTCTCTCACTAAGCACCAACATTCTCCTCCACGTAAATTAATGTCTAACTAATTAATCCCCATTTTGTATAATCAATTCCTTTGTTTATCAATTTACAAATTGGCAAACGTGTCCTGAAATTAAGAATACAATTAGGTGAAAATTATTGGGAATTTAGATATATATATATATAAAATTTACAAATCGATTGCCACGGGGTTGTCCATTTGATGGTCAGAAAAGTCTTTTCGTTGTTCCCTGTGTTTCCTGAATGGTTTTTGGCCACATAACTATTTGCATCTAGTTGTTACGAGTAGGGCTGGAAGTTTGGTACCGGTATTTGGAATATACTGAATACCGTACCGAATTTGTCTATATTTGGTATTACCGAATACACGTATTATTTCTTGGTATTTGAGATTTAATTTTTGTAATTCGGTATTAGGGATTACGAAATTGAGATTGGTATATACCGAAATAGCGATCAATATCGAAATATAAGCTAGTGTGTATTTTATCTTCTCAATTAAACTCTCTCATTCACTACTACACGACCATCAACCACCAAGAGAGGCATTTAATTATTTATAGATCATCTCATCTTTTTTTCCCAACTCAAAAGTCCCCATCCAACTCAATTTTTACTTTCCAATTTAATAACTTGTTATTTTCATAACACCAAAAAGCAAACACTAGAATTAGTCGTCTCTTAGTCTTCAATTCGTCAAATTAAAAATTAACAATGACAAGAACTTGAGATGTCACCTCTCATTCATTCTCCTTATCCACATCCTAGTTCTAGGCAAACTCAAGACTCTTCGCTTAGTCTCTTTGCCCTAAATTAAACAATCAAATCCAATTTTTATATTTAATTATTTATTTCAAATGTAATTGATTTTGTATTCGATAATACCAATTGGGATATTGAAGTACCGATCGGAATACCGGAATATTTAGCGATTGAGATTGGGATACCGAAATTATTTAGGGATTGAGATTGGGATTGACTTTCGGAAATAATTCGATATTCGGGATTTCGGTATTTGATATTGGGATACCGATACCGTACCGATTTCCACCTCTAGTTACAAGTGATTTTTTTTTGTCAAAAAATAGAATTTAATGGATTATATTTTATTTTAATATAAAATTTAGTTGTTTTACACAGAAGAATCATATTAATTGTAATTTTGAAATTTGTCATGAAATATTTAACTAAGCAATTGGATTCACACTCTCGTTTCACTCCATCTGCTTTTCAGAAAAAGCTAAAACGAAGATGCCCACCCAAAAACGAGAAAGGGAAGTAGCTGCCCAGAGACGGCGGGAGGTAAGAGAAGGCGGAGCTCAGCTGAAACAACAGCATAAAGTGAGTCGAGGGATCGCCACCGGAGAAGAAAAGCGACGGAGATTTAGCAAACAACACAACGCCTATAGCTTAAGTGGTTCTGCAGCTACGAATCGCCTTTTCTGTCGTTCAACGACGGCCGATGGGCGGCGTAAATCGGAGATTCGACCAACCCTAGCATGCTACAGATCTGCGACTGGAGAAATGTGAGTGAAATGACACAGAGCGCACGAAGAAGAGGTTGAGCTTTATACAACACGAGAGTGAGCTGTTGAAACTCGCAACCAGCTCGACTCAGCTCGAGCGAGGGTATCAGCCGAAACTCTGTGGTATTACTCTCTGGTAACCAAGTAATTAGTGAATTAGCATCGTAGTTGCTCATAAGCCATGCAAGTGAAATGGGTTTCTGCTTGTTTCCTCTCCAAGACCCTGAAACGGAATCTGCTGCCGTTGCTATTACTGTCTATGCTGTGTTCATGGCAATGTCTCTCTGTTGATCTCAATCCACAAGACAAGGCTTCCCTGTTACTGATTCGCTCGTGGATTGATGACCCAAACCATGCATTCTCAAGCTGGTTTGGTTCTGACTGCACAAATTGGACTGGGATTGCCTGCCACAACCACACAGGCCGAGTTATCTCAATAGATTTCACCACCATGAATCTTTCAGGTCGAGTTCATCCCAGTATGTGCAAGCTTGCCCATCTAGAGTCCTTGATTCTTTCCAAGAACAGCCTTTTTGGTCAAGTCCCGGCATGCTTTGGTTGGTTGAAGAACCTCAGAACCCTTGACCTGAGCCACAACAAATTCCATGGTGTTTTGCCTGATAGTCTCATGAGGCTTGGTCAGTTGAGAGAACTTATACTGCGTGGGAACCAGGATCTGGGTGGTGCTGTTCCGTCTTGGCTTGGCAATTTCTCGACCGGTTTGGAAAAACTGGATTTGGGTTTCAATTCATTCCATGGTGAAATGCCTGGTAGCTTGTTTCAGTCCAGGTCATTGAAGTACTTGGATTTTGAAAGCAACCATTTATCAGGTACCATTGGTGAGTTCTCTCAGCCTTTGGTGTTCCTCAATCTTGGGTCTAATTTGTTTTCGGGTACTTTACCATGTTACTCTGCCGCTGCTCGATCCCTCAAGGTTCTTAATCTGGCTAACAATTCAATTGTTGGAGGGATTCCTACGTGCATTGCTTCACTGGCTGAATTGACTCATCTCAATTTATCACTTAACCATTTGAACTATGCTATATCCCCTCGACTCATCTTCTCTGAGAAGCTTCTTGTGCTGGACTTGAGTTTCAACGATCTCTTTGGCCCTCTTCCAGCTAAGATTGCTGCAACGACGGAGAAATCAGGGCTCGTTCTTCTTGACCTATCGCACAACCGTTTCACGGGCTCTATCCCATTGAAGATGACAGAGCTGAAAAGCCTGCAGGCTTTGTTTCTCTCTCACAACTTGCTTACTGGTGAAATTCCTGCTAGGGTTGGAAATTTGACCTATCTTCAGGTAATAGATCTCTCACACAACGCATTGTCAGGTTCAATACCTCTGACAATTGTCGGGTGCTTTCAACTGCTTGCCCTGGTGCTTAACAATAACAACCTCTCTGGCGAGATTCAACCCGAGTTAGATGCATTGGACAGCTTGAAGATACTTGATATAAGCAACAACAGGATCTCAGGTGAGATTCCTTTGACTTTAGCTGGCTGCAAGTCCCTTGAGGTCGTGGATTTTGGTTCCAACAATCTCTCCGGGAACATCAATGATGCCATCACCAAATGGCTGAATCTCAAGTATATCTCCCTTGCTCGGAACAAGTTCACCGGAAATCTACCTAGTTGGTTGTTCTCTTTTCAAGCAATCCAAATGATGGACTTGTCAGGGAACAAGTTCTCCGGCTTTATACCAGATGGTAACTTGAACGTGAGCGTTGATTTCAACAATGCAAGCTACAATGGAACGAGACTTCCATTGGAATCACTTGAGATACAGATATCTGTAGTTGTTGTTGGCATCAACGAGTTAACCTTCAGTTACCAACTGCCGTCAACAGTTGGTATTGATCTATCTGATAACTTGCTACGCGGGGAGATTCCAGACACCATGTTTGGACTACGAGGATTGGAGTACCTGAACTTATCTTATAATTCTCTCGATGGAGAGATTCCGAATCTGGAGAAAATGTGGAGTTTGAGAGCTCTTGACCTGTCACACAATGCTCTATCTGGGGAGATTCCGCAGAACATCTCAAATCTTCAAGATCTTGCGGTTCTGAACTTGTCATTCAACAGTTTTTCTGGGTCCGTACCGAAGAATGAGAGTTACAAGAGGTTCCCGGGAGCATTTGCTGGGAACCCACATCTGTGCTTGGAGGGGGAAGGATGTGATGATGATGCAAAGCAGCTGGCGATTCCTGGAAGGCCCTTTCGTGAAACGGATGATGAAGGACCGATATTGGCATGGGTGTTCTGCTTGAGTGCTGTAGTTAGTTGCTATTCTAGTCTCATGGTTCTGTTCTGTTCGTCGAAAACAAGAAGGTACATCTTCCACACGAAAGGTTCGTGTTGCGTTTGCAAGTAAAATGCAGTCTGCTGATTGGATGTTGTAAAACTGACTTATGGTTGTATGTATGATGTAGCCAGTAGTGGCCATGAGCTACCCAATGATGTATTGTTAATGCAGTTGCTATGTAGTATGTAAGCAAAGCATTGTTGCTTTTTTCTTCTTCTCAACTATGAAAATCAACTTCATTTTAGAAACAGGAACAGTTAGAAGCATATAGCCCATAGTTCTTTAAGATGGGATCAAGACCAGTGATGAACCAAACGAACTTAAACTCGCTTCAGAAATTGTAGACATAAGGATCGTGTCAAAGAATCCATTGAGCGCACTTATCCTTCTTCTGTAGCCTTTAATCTGTTCGGTAAGGGGAGAGATGAGACTCAAAATCATGGTCTTTGTCATTAGGTTCATATTATAAATTCAACACAATATGAAGTAAAGAATTACCAGCTAATTCAGAGGCAGCCTGGAGTTGATCTGATACTGATAGAGCTCTCAAGTCTCAACACCATGCTCAACAGTTGTACATGGAAGGTAAAATATCTCCGGTACCACTAAAGTATGAGAATTGTAGGAACTATACCACTTAAATATGAATAGGGTATCACGTGATACAGAACTTTATTATATGTGCATCCGGTACCACTTAAGTATATTGTTAAGTGCATTCCGTTAAAAGAATATTCTGTTTTCTTCACAATTGGTCCTACTTTTCTTATTCTAAAAAATCAATCCTTTGGACTTATGAAAAACATAATTTTTTTATGGTTTAGTTGGAATCCTCTTTTAAAGACTATCATCAAATAAATTTTTCAATAGGAAATTTAGAATAAATTATCATTATAAATATTTTTAATTATCATTATGTGTTCTAATAATTTAATTTTTTCTAAAACAAATATATCCTATAAATTCTATCTCGATATAAATAATCTGAGGATGTTAATTCTCTTACTGTGTCTAATTTTCCATGTTCAATATCTGTGTAATTATCTAATATTATAGATGTTCCATATTAGTTAAATTTAGTAATTCTAATTCTCTTCATATAGTCATGTTTTCTTTTATAGATTTGTTATTGAATGTTGTAGCTTTTATAGTTTACTTATTAATTGGTTACTTTTCGTCTCTTTTCGTTCTAAATTTTTTCAATTACGAAAATATGTTTAATTCTTTGTGATTGCGTTCCATTTATCCTTCTTTGGTATTGATGATAGCTGATTAGGTTCTATTTTAACTGTTTTTAGTGGTGCTTCTAATTGGATTAGGGGTTAAAATAGCGCATTTTCCAATAACTGCCAGTCTAGCATTCATTGCCAAGCTCTGCAATATTAGCGCACCATGACCAGTGGCAATGACTACATACTCAGCGAAAGGCAGCTTGACACAAATACCTGAATTCACCCATTGCAGACTGCAAACAGCAAAAGCCTCATGTAATGATAACCGGGCAAACAAAGTATCCACGAAATTGGCATATACAGCGAAAAACATTAATATGTTCAGAAAATTTCAAGATTTAAACTGATAGTATAATATTAATGCATACTCATGTTCTTCCTCGTAAATAGATTCAGCAACATCACCAAATTCCTCATTATTACCAGCCAGATTCATGTCATCATTTGATTCTTCAGCATCATCAGATGCGTCTCTGATCCATCCATATACATATCACTCGATTCTTCACTAAGAAATCAAGAGAACCAAGTTTAAACAGATTCTAAGACTAACTCACACATAGAATTGGAAGAGAAGACGACTACGATTTCTATTTCATCAGGCAAACGAATAGGAGAACGCAGGAGACGAATATACATGTGCTCTTCATTGGAGGTGTGATCGCTAATCCAAGAATCAAAATACTTGTCCGAGTCACTTTCGCCGTACGTGTAGTACTCCACATATATCTCACCGTCAGAAATCGTAGTTAGTGGAGCAAGAATCAATGACGAGAAAGCCAAAGCTTGTAGTCGACTACACAGCTTGGAAGTTCCTTTAAAAAAAGTTTGGAAGTTATGATGAAAAAGACCAACAAAGAATGGGATTAGGTGTTCTCTAAAAAGAAAAGAATGTGATTAGGTGCTTACTAAAAACACGAACACTTACGTAAAAAACTAATGAAAATATTTATTCTTAATCTTTAATGTTTTTAATATTTATAAAAAATAATAAATGCTCCTAATTATTCTCTTACAATTAACCAAAATTGGAATTACAATAAGAAACTAAAACAAAATTAAAGGGAGAACATTTGGTCCAACAACATCTTTTCAATTAGATTACTTTAACCCCAGATTTGTTCTTCTAATAAATGGTTTTCTTTAGAAAAAATTAGCAAACAACTTATAGGTTCATGCTACCATACCTTAAGTTTAGGGAATATGACGTATATAGTATGTTTAGTGAAGTGGTGCTATTTAAATAAACTTAATATATAACTTTATACTTACAATGTGCAACAAAATACGAGGATTAATTTCTCATGAATTTCACTGTAATCCAAAGTTAGTGATTTGAAATTTCTTTATTCGCCAGCACCAGAGTCGTTCTTTATGAGGAGACTATATTCTTACCGTCAAAATTTACAGTCATTTAATCAACGTTGTTTTTTTTTTTTGCAAATGGATAGATTAATCATAAAGTAGGAAATATCTTTTCTTACCAATGTATTGAGTGACAAATATTGATGGAATGATCAAAATGAGAGGTCAACCATCCTCATTTGCAAGGATTACATCTAATATTAATGTATTGATTGACAACTACTTGAAACACGACACTAAATAATCGAGTTCACATAAACTAATGTTCATTGAAGACACGAGTCAAACATCTATCTTTATTTCATTTTGGATATCAGTTAATCTCATAAAAAATATGTATTAAAACTAATTTTAATGTTGAAATTAAGCTTAAATGACATATCATAGTACTTTAAGATGAGATCGAGAATTGTGATTCCATTAGTAAGACGTGCATCGTACCCAAGGTAATGCGCAACCCAATAAACTATCACCGTCTCACATTAAGATTAAATGACAAAAATTTCCATCCTAATACCAGTTGAGTTTTCAGGTGTTATACGATCACATTCCACTAGATTTTTTTTCCAAGTACACACGTTAGTTAAAAAATTCTCGTTATACAACAATTTTATGAAATATTCTCAAACTACTCATGTTTGCGCAGCTTGGTTGCTGAGGTCTAAAGAGATGAAGTTGTTCACCATTGAGGTGCAAAGCGATGAACAGCTTCATCGTTGAGGTCTAAAGTGATCTACACCGAACCTAGGTAGAAATTTCCAGCGACTTTAACTTTGTGTTCGGTTATTCGATCACAGGAAAAAAAAAATTCAATCTCACATAACTTTTCGATGACTTCAACTTTTTTCGTTTTTTTTCCCCAGAATATTTATGGAAATGTGAAAATTAAAGCTAAATTTATTCCCAAAATCCCATATATCCAAAAACATTTCCTATTTTGAAAATTTCTTCCTAGTAAAAGTTGTAGTCTTTGAAAAGTCATGCAAGATCATTTTTATGTTTACGATGACCAGATTACTGCGCACCAAGTTACGACAATCCTAAGTTTAGCGAAATCAAAAAATTGCTCCTTTGAGGTAGCAAATGACCTTTTTAGCAGGAAAGGCGAATACCATTCCACTAATTTCACATCTCATTCAAAGACACATTTTGAAATGTGGTACAGAAAAAATGAAACCATTGCATTGAAGCTCAATCAATTCATCGAACAATGCAGGCAACCAACCTTATACAACAACGTTTACAAAGAGGAACCAAACGACCTTACATTTCAAAATGCGATCCCCTTCCAGAAAAAAACAGGATCCCCAAACATGAATGGCCTCGTTCTTTTGTTCAATTTAGTAAACAAGAATTAGCCACAATAACAGCTTCAAACCTGACAACCTACCACCATCTCTTCCTTCACATACAACGCCGTGAGCCCGGTCCTCTAGTATTTAATCGGACCGTCAAGGCTCCCAGATGCAAACTGGAACAGACAGATGAGAAGGATAGATGAATTTGCTTCACTGGGGCTACTAAGACCGATTTTATCGAGACAATAACTGTGACAGTGAATTCTTGTTACCTACCTGCTGAACAATAGGAGAGGTTGATGTAGTGAACTCATCAGTCATTCCTTGCCACACGACCTTCCCGTTATGAAGAAACAGTAGCCTGCATGTATTAATACATGTACATTAAAGCTGTCATGAAACAAGATAGAAAATGCAGAATGTCACTTCCTAGTTCAGGCAATATATGGACATTGGTCTGAAATCTCAGGTTAACCTGTCGACAGCCCTTCTAATGGTACTGTGTTGATGAGTAACCACGACATAGGACGCAATCTTGCCAGGTTTGCCGACTGCATCCTCCCGTCATATGGACAGAGCGGATGAGATCTTCTACTACAGTTGATGCAATCGGATCGAGTCCAGCTGTAGGTTCATCATACAAAAGCACCTATCCAAAGAGTGCGAGAACAAAAGATTTGTGAGATCATATTTAACAATTTAACACTCAAATCATTGGGTACCAAAAGAGTATCAAACATTCTCATTTGTTACAAAAATGACGACTAGGAGGATCAGCATTCGAAGACTAATTGGCATAATGACCATCTTAATGGATGTACCTCTGGCTCAATGGTGGCCTTGGAGGCGTCAAAAACTATAGATCGAGCTAAAGCAACTCTTTTTTTCATTCCGCCAGATAGCTCAGAAGGCAACCGATCCTCAACACCCTGGGCAGACATTTTAGATATGAGAGCCAATGAAATCGATAGAATAATGGGGAATCGATACCAATAGTGGCAAGGAAGCATGCATGCTCATCAACAAGATCCTTACATTAAGTTACCAGAGTTGGGAACATGAGATTAAGGTAAATCCATCTACAATACATGGTTATAATTCTGTAAAAAAATGGCTCTAATTCTACTTATGGAACTGCAGGTGGATTAGCTCAAACTCAGCAAAGTACATAAATAAATGTATGGAATAGATAGCATACCTTTAAACCAACAGCAGCCAAGGTTTCAGTCACAAGCTCTGAGATTTGATCCTCTGGCATTGTAGAACTTTCATACCTGTAAAAGAAGAAAACACCGAGTAATTCAAGCATTCATTTTAATGGAGAATGAAAATTTAATAAGATAGTTAAAGAGAGTGCTAACTTCTACAGATAAACTGAGAAAATCAGATTGTCTCTTACAGCAAGAAACCGACATTTTCACGAACTGTTAAAGAATCAAACAGTGCTGCACTTTGGAACACCTGTGCTTGGAAGTCGAATCACTATGAGAAGGTCAGCGGCATATATATTTTTGAAAATCATCTACAAGAGGAAACAAACTCACCAATCCAATTCGCACGCCAGAGATCTCATTGTCGCTAATCAACCCATCTCTTTTCCTACCTCGAATATAAACCTCGCCCTGCTTTTCAACCACTTAATTAACATGAGTTTGTCCAAGAAAAAATCAATGCAAACAAGCTACAGCACGATATCTAGGCCGGTATAGGAACATTACACATGATCCTGACCTTGTCTGGGGTAAGAAGTCCAGCCATTATTTTCAAAATTGTAGACTTGCCAGTGCCAGAAGGTCCAATTATTCCAACTGCCTCAACATGTCTGATCTAGTGTGACATTCCAGGAAGAAAAGGAAGCACAAAAGTAAGGGTAATGTTAACATATTGTCATAAGCGAAGTTCAATGGTACATCCAGAGGCACACATACATGCAATAAACATTGTAAACCTTGATTAAGAGACTGTATTATTCATGGAATTAGCAATCCAATACCAAAACAGTGAGAGACAAGATTCACCTTGAAGCTCACACCTCTTAATATATGCTTCTCGCCAAATGATTTGTAAACATCTTTACATTCAATTAGAACGTCTGAGTCATCCTCCGGTTCCAATACCGAGTGCAATTCCTCTGATTTGCTCATATGCTGATTCAAAATTGAGCATAAATCCCCATTAGAAAACATAGAAAAGGAGGGTATGAGGGGTTAGGAGATAATTTAGGTAAATCAAACTCCTAGAAGTTCAGCAATTTCTCCCTAGCAAGGATGACCGAAGGATATAAACAGTTCACCCCAACAAGCAAAATTTAACATGGTTATGGGCTGTAAGTCCCCAATAAGATGAAGAACCCAAGGAAAAGGAACTTAGAATTTTTGTTTTTTAACTTCGAAATTCATCTCAACTTAAATACAGGATATTAGACATTCTACTATCATAGACCTGACCAATAAGCATCTATGGTGGAAAATAAGAAATGAGTCTAACAATCTTAAACTCGCTTCAGAAATTTCTAGACATAAGGTTAGTGTCAAAGATATTACATTGTTTTTGGTCTTTGAAATTCCATTGCTGCCTATATTCAGAGGAGGTGCCACACAAGCGCAAATGGTCATCCTTTGTTGCTTCCTCTGGAAGTAACATGACAAAGAACCTGAGCGTGATGAACTACATGGTATGTTGAGGGGAAGCAGTGTTAAACCGGGTGAGGAAAATGTGCCCTTTGCTTGCATTGCAGATTTCAGGCACCGGAAAGTTATTTGCACATTTCCTGTACCACAACAAGTGACAAATGATACCAGGTTAAAAGAAATTGCAAACACTCCGCCAGATGAAGAGGCCAAAATCAAACATCTCGATAGGAAAATGAGAACAACGAACGCTTTCAGCTCGATGTGACTACACCCGTTTGAAGCTGACTGGGGTTAGCTATGCACCAGCTAACTTCCACATAAGCTGGGGGTACAAGATCATCATCACGATGGAATTAAAGAGAAATTACCACTCTGGGGATGGGAAGGACTGAAGTTTGAAGAGACCAAGATGGTTCACTCGGCCAATTCTGTCGAGGTAAACAATCAATGAGCAATATGAAAAATGGAAAACCCAAAAGTGGTCAAATAAAATGAAGAACATTGGAAGTCAAGTAAAACCCAAACCCAAGTTTTGTATCACTTCCGAGACAGGGGAGCAAATGGGAACAGAAACCCGCTCCGTGGGATTTGATAAAGGTTTAACACATAAATCATAATCCACCATATCAACTTAGTTACTCGCACACAACACACTCCAATTGCATCGAATGCCTTGTACAACTCACAACTAAACTAACAAAACCTTGCAAATTCTATTTAGAAGCCTCCATCTACACCTAGTAAAGAATCCCAAATCAATCAAAAACTGAAAATTCAAAACCCCTGGATCTTGGGGAGAAAAAATCTTAATCAACAAAAAGATGCAAAATTGGCGAGCAAACAAAAGGAAAATTTCCAAAAAAGGGTATCTATATATTGCGTACCTGCCTCTAGTCGGAGGGATGATCGGACGGAAACTCCGCTGTGATCTTTCTGTGGAAGTCCGGTCGTCGTAGCGCGGCTGTGTTGGCAGAACTGGCGACTGCAGAGGAAGTTGGACTGTTGGAGGTTGCTGGGTGGGGATGGAGAGTGGGACGAAGATTCAGAATCCAATTTTTCTTTTTCTTAGCTCACTTAACCAAACGCTGCGTTTTCGAGCAGCTGATTGGCCACAACTGGTTGAACCGCCGGTTATTCTTTGCTGCCCAAAAGGGTATCCAGCCCATTACCAGACCGGGCTTCAGTTTCTAAAGGCATTTTGGTGATTGTGTTGTTTCCCAAGCAGGAGGGTGCTACACTGTATTCATGGCAGATAATAGAGGGATAAACGCTTTACATCATAAAAGCTTCAACTTCCACAAGGAAGAAGAGAAAAAAGTACAGAATTTGTGCAGAATACAGTATGATGAGAGAACACATAGGCAATCAGAATGAACTGAACAGTCTAGCTTTGAACTGAAAACCTGCTGTATATTCCCCTCTGTCGTCTTCCCGATCCCCAAGTGCAAAGTTAGTGTGTAGTTAGTTAAGGCAGTATGAAATCGGCACAAAATTTCGTTCGTGGAATTTAGTGTGTTGCGCACTTCAACCATCTATTATCCCTTCATCTCTGTTTACAGAACCAGTGTCATAGTCAGGGAGAGGAAGCTACGACACCCACGAGCCTTTGAATGTTGTGTACTTTGCTACTCTTGTAAGCTGCGCCTTCTCTACCGCTGCTATCTCACTGCAAGTCTCAAGCATATGGCCGATGTTAGTGTAATCAAGAGAGGGATCAAACCATAGTAAAATGTGAGGCAGAGGGGTGCAAGTTGTTTAAGCGCGGACCTGAAGAGAAAGCACCATTAGGATGTCTGCTTGGCCAGTACATCGACGTCTTGTTAACCAGCGGCAGGGACGCTCCATCTTTCCTCCTTCCCAGCACTTCCTGGCTGCAAAACATAACGCAGATACAAGAACAAACGAATTAGTTCGACATACAGCTATTACGCAAGAACAAGTTACTGCAATACGCAAGTGAGTCGGAAAACATAACAATCGCACATGAAGTCATCTTTCCAGTTCAACCAAGGAATATAAGAGCGCGACAGACTTTCACGAACGATTTTGATCCTTCCTTCTCAATCAATTCAGCTCCAGTCCAGATCATAACTAGTCATAATGACACACACACACACTACTACTGCAGGCGCGCTATCGAGCCAGGGAAAACCTTCCTACATTGCCAACCAACAAGGCCACACAACCTTCAGCTGTTCTTGGCCCTACTACAGTACTACTACCAATCCAAAGCATGGCAAGTCTGATTCGAATCACTTGGCTACCAATGAAAACGAAATCAGCCTACTTTCCAAGTATTGAATTTACAATCTTGAGCTGTAAATAATAGGTAATAGGCAGAATTATCAGAACATCCATCAATGTTAAACACTACTCAGTCAAAGCCTCAAAGGTGACATCTTTGAACCAGGTTCATGGTGGTTTACTAATCCGAAGGCACTACTAACTGCTATATATCAGCACATCAAGAAGTTTCTTTACCTGGTGTAAGGCCGAGGGCAGAAGACAATGGTGTAATCCGTATTGGCGCAGGTATACGTACTGGTCTTGTCGTCATAAGCGTAGCTATACGACCGCGGGCAAGCGTACTTGAAAAACAGGGAATACACCGACGGCGAACAAGTCTCCGGCGTGGAGTACTCCCCAGCGCAGCAAAACCTGGGATCCCCAAACGCCTCGCACGCGCTCATGCACGCGACACCGCCGACCCTACCCTTACCACGCGCCACCACCTTCAGCTCCTTGGGGCACGCGCCGTTTAGGTCAATCAAGCAACCCGTGGCGCCGCAACCCCCGCGGGTGACTTTCTGCGGGAAAGCCAGCATCGGGAGGTTGTACCCGTCGACCAAGCTGACGTCGTAGAAGTCGAGCCCGTCGGCGCCGTTGAGGGTGAACTCGACTAGTGTCGCCGGCGGCTTGGCTCCGCTCCCGCCGCACTCGACTTTCCCCGAGCCGCAGTCGGCGGTGAGGCAGGTGAATTTGCCGTCGGCGCCGGTTGCGCAGAGGGTCCGGCCCCATATGCGGCCGGACCAGCCGGCGGGGATGGGAATTGTTCGTGATTTCCCCGGGCGGAGAGCGAATCCGGTGGTGGGGAGCTGGGCGGTGTTGGCGCCGGAGAGGAGTCCCGGCCAGATTGTTTGGCGGCAGAGGTTGGTGAGCTTGAAAGTAGCTGCCGGCTCAATTCCTGCAAAAATGAAGAAAAGATTAGAGGGTCCTCGAGAAAAGGGGAATTTGGGAAGTGCGGATGGGCGAAAACCTGAGAGGGAAGATGTTGACAGAAGAAGGAAGAGAAGGAGATGGGGATCCATTGTTGAAGAAGTGAGCTCAAGCACGATGAATTAGGAACACCGACGATTGCTTGCGGTGGGGAGAACGGAAGTAAAGTGGGAAGGAAGAAGCTTCGATCTTTTTCTGGTTGCTATTTTCGGTTTCCCCAATTTCAACTTACTGAAGAGTGAAGAGTGAAGAGGGGTGAGCTGAACAGCTACTGTAAGTCACTCTGCCACTCACACTCCTCTGACTCCAGGTCAATACCCTAATCCAGTATTGATTAAGACCGGGTTCGAATTTCCACCCTTAATCTATCACTAATTCACAAACCAAAAAAAGTCAACTTTATGTCAATTGCTTGGAATCTGATAGTATCTTCTGCTCACTAGCAACAGCCATGAACGTTCTTTATTCCTTCTTTGAAACAGAACAATGGGGAAAGAAGAAAGAAAGAAAACAACCCACTTAGATTACCACAGCACTAGTGTAATTATCCCAATAAACAAAAGGACAGAAGACAGATAACCGTAAAAATAGCTAATTAAAGGAAACATTAGTCCCACAATCCACTTACTAATCATCTTTCTTGCATGCCTTTCTAGGTGTCCTCTGCAGAGTTTGCAGCAGAAACAGGCAATTATTATTTGATTTAATACTAATTAAATCAATATTTATAAACAAATCAATCAATTTAATTTAATCAAACGACAGATATTCTTCCTTAGTATCCCACAGACGACAGAATCAAGACGAACCACTCCCTATAATACAATACTTACTATAATAATGGGGAAAAAATATAAGAGAAGAAAAATGGAAGAGGGGAGCTAGAGCTTGCTAGCTAGAGATGGCATCCAAAGCAATTACAGGCCCTGGGAGTGAAAGAGCAGAAACCAAAGGGCTTATTTGGTATGTTGCAGTTGATTGCATAGCAACATGGAGAGAGCAGGCAGTAATGTCTGGAACCACCCCTGCTACAACAAGTGCACAATGCACACATCTGAAAGCTGTTGAGTCTCCTCCTCTTGTCACCCAACATCATTCTCATCTCCACCATCTTCACTGGCTCCATGGCCATCGTCTTCGTTGTCATCATCTCATTACCTCCCCCGTTTGACTCCTCCATTTCCAAGAACCGGGATTACACAACGGCAACAAGTTAATATCTTTACAAGCAAATCATAGCGTATAGGTGTATATCTTAATTAATTAAGAACTCACTTGATGATCAGCTGGGCTCAATGTGGTGGCTGCTTCGGTCAAATCGACGTCGATGTCAGCAGCTGAAAGTGAAAACAAAGGGAGAGGATGGATAAGCGCCTGGGGGAGAGAATTGGCATTCAAATTCGAGGCTCGAGTGCACAGATAGCTAAGCAACCTAGCTACCTGAAGAGAGAGCACCATTCCGATGTCTGCTTGGCCAGGCTGTTGTCATTGTCGTCTGGTTAACCAGTGGCAAAGCTGCCCTGCCTCTCCTTCTTCCTACAACTTCCCCGCTGCACAAGTTCAATGCCATCCAAGAAGGCAAGAGCGGGTAAGCTCGATGGACTGCTATATTAGGCAACAATGTTCAAACACGAAGCCTACAGCTTTGCAGGACTCGTTACATTTTAAGTACTCAGAAGTCAGATCACAAGCAATGTCACCCAAAGACATAATACTATTCCTTAGTCAATCCTTCCTCGTAACACACATGGCTCCTAATGTATAGCAAGAAGCTAAATAACGTAGTTTCCACGGAATGGATATACTCTTAGCTCTTCTAGTTCTAGGCTGCAAAGGGCATCTGTTATTAATGGCCAGAATTGAGCAAACATCCATCAATGTCTGCTGTTACGTACTGAAAGGTCACTTCTTTCGGGAATTCAATATGTGATTACTACCAGCCCAACATCCCCATTCCCCACAGCCAATAAAGATGCCAGAGACTTCTGTATCATGGCCAGGCAGACAGGCAGCATTTGCTGCTTATTTTAAAGCTGCGAGAGCAACATATGGAAATTGATCAAGAGGGCTATTATGGCCATTTTACCTGGAATACGGCCTGGGGCAGAATACGATAGCGTAATCCGTATGGGCAGTCCTGCTACTGGTGTCATTACACGCGACTTCCCCTTTCCCACGCGCCGCCGTAGCCTTCAGCTCATCGGAGCATCCGCGGGCCGGACCCAACACCGCCACGGGGATGTCGTTCCCGTCGACCGAGCTCACGCTATACGAGTACTCCAGACCGCCAGCACCGTCGAGGGTGAGCTCCACTACAGTGGCCGGCGGTTCGCCGCCGTCGAGGCTGAGCTCCACCTTCCGGGCACCGGATGTCTCGCAGATGGTCCGACCCGAAATGCGGCCAGACCAGCCGGTTGGGACGGGGATCGTCCTGTACTTCCCCGGCGCGAGCGGGGAGCCCGCAGCAGCGGTGAGGTCTGGAGTGTTACCGCCGGAGAGGATATCCGGCAAGATGGTTTGGGGGCATTGGTTGGTGAGCTTTACAGTAGCTGCTGATTCAATTCCTGCAATAAAAAAAACAGAGAGAAGGGATTAGGGTGACGGAAAGTGGAAATCAAAGAAGCTGCCGGACAGCTAAATTTGGGAAGTAGTACAAATTGAAGTTGCAGAACCTGAGAGACAAGAAGTGGAGAGGAGGAGAAGAAGGAAGGGAAGGAGATGCGGAGCCATTGCTGGAGCAAATTGGAGGGAAGGGAAAGGAGAGAAATGGGGATGGAGGAAGGTTGAAAAGCTTTGAAGAAGGGAGAGCAGTGTAGTGGAGAAGACGGAGAATTGGGGAAGTGACGGTTGGGAGAATTAAAGAGGGGAAATGCATGGGATTTTGAAAGATGGAAACGGTGTCGTTTCATAGTACCCATTCCACATCCTGCAAAGTGCAAACCTAATGGCGAAAAGCTGCTAACTTCCGTTCCTCTGCCCTCTCGTTCCCAACCAGCAGCGCCCTTTGCTCCCCGCCGTTTGCATCTCTCGGCGGCCGCTCCACCGCCGGTTCCTTTTTTATCTGTGTATGGACAGGTGATCGACGGGGGGGGTTTGGTTTCTGCGAGAAGGCGATAGATAAGGAAACAGGTCGCCGCGAGAAGTCGAGACTCGAGACCGCCATTGGGGTAATTGGAAAGCGAATGACGAGACGGCGATGACAGCACAACTGCAGAGGTGTAGGAACTTCACGCAAGTTAGAGTTAGAGCGCCCAGATTGTTGCCGGGGACGGTTTCACAAGACGTGGCTGATGCATGTATCTCTGGATATCCTCGACTTGTTACGCCCAGGGCTACCTCATGTTGCTGGGCTTTGAATCGAGAGGTTGGGTTCACTGTGCATGGTTATGGAGGTATCTTGACGAGGCATTTCTCTCAATCACCGGAAGCGGCTGAAAAGGATTTCACCAGGGGTAAACGTTCTGAGTTGTTTAAGGCTTGGGCTGCGAAGGGGAAGAATAAAACTACTAAGACGAGCGTCTCAACCTCCAATGACGTCGAGGCCTTGAATTCAAGCGATCATACAAATGGAAGTGTGTCTCTTGAATCATTTGTTCCAAGCTCTGCTGGTGCTGAGGATCCACAAGTCAATGGCAAACCGAAGGCAAGAAGCAAGAAAGGCAAACGACAGCTTTCTGCTCCTGCTGATTCTGCCAAAGCTAGTTCAGAAGAGGTTTGTTAATTGATTTGTTGATCAGTTGGCATTTTAATCATTTATTAATCAGCAGTATTGAACTGACGTTCCAGTCTTTCAGAACAAGTCAACTGAAAAGGCATCTGAAAAACTGCTCGATGCTTCAGCTTCTACAAAACAGAAGGTCAATAAGAAAAGTAGCAACTCACAGAGGAGGGGCAAATCAGCAACTGTTGCTGATGAGTCAGTTGAGAAGCAAAAACCTCAGCACATAGGCAACTTGAAGCCTCCTAAACAAGGGACCCTGAAGCCGTTGTATCCTCCTACTGGGAAATCTGTTGTAGTTGTTGAATCTGTTACAAAGGCAAAGGTCATTTAAGGCTATCTTGGCAGTATGTATGAAGTATTGCCCAGTTACGGCCATGTTCGGGACTTAGCCGCAAGGTCGGGATCCGTTCGCCCTGATAAGACTTCAGTATGGTGTGGGAGGTTCCATCTGCTGCCTGGACTTATCTCAAGAGCATTAAAGCTGCTCTAAGTGGGTATGTTTTCTATTCCATCAGTTCATTTAGTCTTATGAGTCGATATCAAAACCGAATTCAGCAAATTATGGATCAAAATCGAATGTGGCAAATTATAATACTTTCTGTAACAAGGGGTTTTTGGTTGCCATAGCCATACATACCTGAACATTCATGTGGATTTCACTATGTAGTGATGTTTGATTTGTATAACTGATTTTTATCTTCTTATTATGCCCTGTATTCTGATGATCTCTCGTTGTACTGGTTCCTCAGAGCAGAAAATCTTATTCTTGCATCAGACCCTGATCGTGAAGGAGAGGCTATTGCTTGGCATATTACTGAGATGCTGCTGCAGCAGGATGCCCTGCATGAAGGTATCAATGTCGGAAGGGTTGTCTTCCATGAAATAACAGAAGGGTCCATTAAAAGTGCTTTGCAAGCTCCAAGGCATGTTGATGTGAATTTAGTACATGCTTACCTAGCAAGACGTGCTCTTGATTATCTGATTGGATTCAACATTTCATCATTATTATGGAGGAAATTACCTGGGTGCCAATCAGCAGGGCGTGTGCAATCAGCTGCCCTTGCCCTTATTTCTGATAGGGAGGCTGAAATTGACGAGTTTAAGCCACAGGAATATTGGAGTATTGAGGCTAAGTTGAACAAAGAAGTACCAGGTGCTTCAATCAATGCACGCTTGACCTGTTTTGATTCCAAAAAGCTGAATCAGTTCTCGTTTAGTTCTGGTAAGGAGGTAGCTGAGGTTAAACAGAAGATTAAAGCTACAAAATTCGAGGTAGTTGGCTGTAAAAAAGGGCAAATGCGAAGAAACCCTCCTACTCCATACATAACGTCAACGCTTCAGCAAGATGCAGCTAACAAATTACAGTTCAACACATCATACACTATGAAGGTCTGTCTAAACTCCTAAAAAAATACCCATGTGCAGTATTCTGTCATTATCATGCCTACGTATATTTTCCAGTGCTATTGTACGCGTGGGTTTCCTTTTTTATGTTATTTATCGGGTTTACCATAATTAAAATTCAAGTCCGATTCCAGAATTTCTGTTCAGGTCTCCAAAAACCTTTGGATTGAAGTAGTCTCAACAACTTGTGAAAGGCAAAAATATTCTGCTACTACAGCTCTTTAGAACCCTTCTTCTGTTTCTGCTTTGGATAGGTGAACATTGGCTGCAAGAGTTGAACCTGCGAAGGGTGGCTATTAGGAAATTGTTCGCATGCTTTTCGCGCCAGAATTTTCGATTCTTGAATTTATTTTCAATGTGTTATTGTTACCAGTAGGCCAAGCACCTTTTACAGTTTCTGTGGCTCCCAGATATCTTACTATTATTAACTACTCAGTTTTCATTCGGATTCTCAAGTACACTGCTGCGGTTTTCATGATTGACAATGCTGATGATAAAGATTAAAGAACTGCCTGCAATTTTGTTTGTGTTTATACTTTAGGCAAAGGATTAATGTTTCAAGTTATTCTTGATTCTTTGCTTACCGTTCATTGATTTCATGTTTCTCGTTCAAATGGTTTCTTATTTCATCTTGTTAGTTTATATGTTCAGCTTACTGTACATTAGTGATTTTTCCATTGCTCTTACATGGGATTTTATGCTCCAGCTTGCACAAAAACTCTATGAAGGGATTGAGTTATCAGACGGGGAGACTACGGGATTGATTACATATACCAGAACTGACGGTCTGCATGTAAGTGTTGCACATCCTGCATGTTGCGCTGGTTGGTGACCTCTACTTGTGGTAATTGATTGTAAAGGCCATTTCGTTATTTTCACGTTGCTTAACTTGTATCTCTATTTTTCGATGCTCAGATTTCAGATTATGCTCTCAAGGATATACGCTCTCTGATCACTGAAAGGTGAGTTTTCCGGACTTGTGTTTTAGGAACACATTTGTGATTGTGTAAATGACATCTTTTGGTATATAGTCCATGTTTTTGGATGGCAGTTTTCTGCTGTTTCTGCTTTTTGATGTGTTTGTTATTTGTTTGACTGCTAACATGAACTCTCTTCCATAGTTATGGCCCAGATTTTGCATCAGCGAATGCACGCAAGTATTTTAAGAAGGTGAAGAATGCACAAGAAGCCCATGAAGCAATCAGGCCCACTGACGTTCAGATTTTACCCTGTAGGTCGATTCTTTACTTCAAACATAATATCTCATCTATAATTTGACTTGCCATGCAAATTTGTGATTTTTCCAATGGAGTTGCAGAGCTAGATGTCAATGATTGTTTCCTCATTGAATTGTAGCAATGCTGGCTGGTGTTCTTGATGAGGATGCATTGAAGTTGTACACTCTCATCTGGTCACGCAGTGTGGCATGCCAAATGGAGCCTGCTACAATCGAACAGGTTAGGTCAAACGCCATTGTTCCATAATATTGCACCCCAAACTTTTTATTGATTTATAAATTGTACTGTGCCTTCTTTAGAGGATTCCCAGTTCAGTTAATCAATGCAGTAATTGCCATTAAAGTTCACTCAATGTGTTACACAGTGGAAGATATAACATGGTAAAGAAGTCGATAATACTGAATAAAAAATATCCAAGTCCAGTTACATATAGAAACCCTGAAGTCGTCCGATAGGTTCCTCCAACCCTGTCGTCAGTAATACTGAATTAAAACCATCTGAAGTTTACATTATAACCGAGCTAAACTCTAAACCTTTTTTACGGAATAGTTTTGAGCCTCATCCTTTCGTTTCTTGTTTCTATCCTTAATGCATAATATTGGACTTCACTTCTATATGCATTCACTTACTCAATTTCTATTGAAACAGTTGCAATTGGACATTGGAAATGCTAGCAAGTCAATCATATTTAGATATTCGTGTTCAAGGGTTGCATTTCGGGGCTACCAAGCAGTTTATCAGGTACTCATATTGTTGTGAGAGCCATATCTACATCTACATTAAATGTTCTATTTGTAGGCTGCCAGTTTCTTTCTTGGGCCTTAAATATACATATGTTATGATATTCCTTTTGTACAATATTCATGTTGATGATTTTATTTCTTAAAGTTTGTATGAATTTTTTTTATGAAAAATGGTTTGTATGAATTTTGTTTTGTTCACTTTGAGGCTTGTATGACGTAATTGATATTCATTTCTAGGATGTCGAAACTAGACTTCTAAGAGGTAAAGAAGATGAAGAGGACCCTCAACAAGAAGCTTCTGGGGTTCTCTACTCTCTGAAGGTGAATATTCTCACATCTGACATTCATTATGTCATGGTTGAATGATGTAGATGATTTTCCTATGACAATATCTGTATAATTTTATTCTAATTTTTTATTCTACTAAATTTGCCATGGTTTCTTTCTTTTGGAAGTTCTAACTGAAATATTTGTAGGCAGGGGATTCCATATCCATTGATGCAGTGGAATCCAAGCAGCATTTCACTCAGCCTCCACCGCGCTATTCTGAAGCATCATTGGTACAACTTCTGGCATGATTCCTTGTTGAAATTTATTAACTGTTGGACATCCATCAGGGATTATGCAGGCAATATGTTTGGTTTTACCCCCGGCCATTTGCTTATTGGTACTTAGGCCATTTTATTTTTTCACGAAATAGATAAAGAAGCTCGAGGAACTTGGGATTGGAAGACCTTCAACTTATGCCAGCACATTAAAAGTTTTACAGGTGACTGATGATGAGCAGACATACATCAGTTGTTAATTTTCTAGTGCTTTGGATGATGGGCTTGGAAGAAGCAGATAGCTCCAAAATACACTGATGCATCCAAGTGTTGTAGCGGAGGATATAATAAGAAAAGTTTTCATGCTTTTTTTATGTTCATCGGTAGTTAGATGCGATTAGGATGATTCCAATCATGTTTTTCTAAGTATGCATTTGTTGGGCCTTCAAAGTGGTATGCATGGATAGATCACATTTTATATTAGTGCATCCAAGCATTGATGTTGATTCTGTTTTAGTCAATTTGTTGATAGCTATGGGCATATTAGTAACCGCATCCCACGAGAAGCTTCTAATCTTGCATATATTCCGCTGCAATCTATATTTCACTCTCAAACTTAGAGAGTTGAACAATCATGACGTTAATTGGAAATATTTGCATCTAATAGTTGTGATGTTTGTTGTTTCTGGACATGATCTACTATATACTTCAGGACAGGAAATATGTGGTAATGAAAAGCCGTGTGATGTACCCAGAATTTCGTGGTCGAATGGTAGGTCCTGGTGCTATTATTATTAACTGTCTTGTTTTCAGTCTAGATTGTGTGAGATGATCAGTAATGTCGCTGGGTTGGGTTGATGCTAGGTCTCAGCATCCTCTCGAACTATTTTACGGAGGTCACAGATTACAGCTTTACTGCTGATATGGAGACTGAGGTAACCTCATAACCACCAATCCGAAAAAACTAAACAAAACATCTTACGTCTAATGAGATTCTCCTCTTTCTTCCTTCTTGAGGGAAGGTGGTTACCGTTTTCCTGGAGCTGATATCTGAACATCTCTTTTTGCACTATAGCTTGATAATGTTTCTGCTGGACTTACTGAATGGAAAGGTCTTCTCAGAGATTATTGGACAAGATTTAGCTCATACTGCAGCCATACTGAAAATGTCCACATTCATCAGGTAAGTTTGGTGCTGCAATCAATTATAATTTCCAGATGTAAATTCCTTTTCCCCCTTGTTTGAATCACCAACAGAAAGTTCAACCTCCTTTTTGCTTGTGTTATATGCTTGAAGGTGGAGAAAATGTTAGAAAAAAAGTTTGGTGACCATTTGTTTGGCTCACTCCGTTTCGAGAGTAGGACATGCCCCAGGTAATTCTTTTCCAATGTTCTATTTTTATGTTCAGTTAGTTGGTTGTTGCTTAACTACACTTCTTTGTTTGCTAAGGCTGCTGCTTACTCACTGCAGTGTGCATGCTTAAGCCTTAGTTCGTCAAGTTAATGAGACTTTTTTTTTCTTGTTACATTGTATCATTTCAGTTGTATGGAGGGCACTTTGATTTTCAAAGTGAGTAGGTATGGTGCAGGTTACTTCATCGGCTGTGATCAACATCCAAAGTGCAAGTGGGTATATCGAATATTTGAGAGTTCATAAGAGCTTGCATTTCTTCTTTTCTTCCAACTGCTTACAAGTTAGCTCATTTCCTTGGGTTTTACATTTGATAGGTACATTGCCAAGACATTGCTTGGAGACGAAGAAGATGAAGAACCTCCCCAAAATGTTGGTAACGTGGAGGAGCCAAAAGTATTAGGTCTTCATCCAATTTCCAAGGAAAAGGTATTAACCTCTGTTTGTCTCACAAATTTGCCTTCAAACGTGATTGGTCATTCTTATTCCATTTAAAATTGATGACCAGATCGTCCATCCTTTCTTTCCAGATTTTGTTGAAGAAAGGTCCTTATGGATTCTACATTCAGCTTGGGGAAGATAAGAAGGACTATATCCCTAAACGAACATCCTTATCCCATGTAAATGTAGCCGTTTCTTTCTGCAGTTATCTGTTTTCTATCTAAAATTAAAGTTCCTTTTGCTGTGTTTTAATTGTGTAGATATACTGACAGCATTATATGTCTCCAGATAAAGGAGGTGGATGCCATTACACTGGAAGAGGCTCTAAAGTTATTGCGCTACCCATTGACATTGGTACGCCATCCGACAAAATCTGGAATTGCAAATGCTCTTCTTTTCAATTCTTAACTCAAAAGTTAATCATCCTCTCCAGGGAGACCACCCAAAGGACGGGCATCCCATAATATTAAAGCTTGCAAAGAATGGGTTTAATATTAGACATCGACGCACAATTGCTTCCCTCCCCAAGGTATGTCCTTTTGTTACAAAATGCGATATTCACTGGGTAGGAGATGTTCTAGAATGATCATCATCGGAACATTTGCTTGCTGCATTCCTTGTTCCTCCGGGTTTTGATACGTGGTGTCTTCTTCAATATTGCAGAACGTAGACCCAGACGATGTAACTGTGGAGAAAGCATTGGAGTATTTGTCAAGTAACGATGTGAGAAGAAGCGGACGACCCAAGAGGCAACCCAAGGTTGAAGAAGCAGCAGCAGTGGAAGCAACGTAGACGAATAAGCAGAAGTGCAAACTGCTTTTCACTGAAATGACCCCAAGGAAAATGCAAGTTCAGCTGCACAACCCCAGGAACTCGACGAAGGACAAGGGTCGGGCTGTGCAGGTAGTTTTCACTCCCGGACACCATTTTTTCCAGAGCTGGAGGGGATTCTTTTGTGGGATGAATGAATGAATGAGAGTAGATCAATTTTGGTTAGACAAAGTTGGATTAGGTTCTTCTCATAAGCTGTTTCTTGACCTAAACTTCGGATAGTTTATTTTTGTAGTAATTTTTATTTTCCCCAATAAGTTTTCCTGGTAGGAAGTAGCTAAGGAAGTCTTGTATAGACATAGACATTAGACAGAGAGTTTACTTTAATTTCTATGACGACCAAAATTAATTGGAGCAGAGGAAACAAATAACATACTCGTTTCTAAATTGTACTTCCAAAGGATTTTGTTCAGCAACAACGATATCGGTAGCCAGCTTCCGACATGAAAACACTGTATAATCTCAAGCCAAATATTAAGTACGACGGAGGCATCTGCGTCGAATAAGATCTAATTGTTCATAAGCTAATGATGTAGTCATGACCATTAAGAAAATAGTTTAATTAAATAATTCCAAAGATAAAGGTAGGAGCAGTACCTAGTTAGCAAATTTGATCTCATATTTCTGCTATCTAATTGCAGTGCCCCCTGATTTCGTGGGTCTTAAGGAAAGGACAGGACAGGGGAGGGGTAAATAACTGAAATGTTAGCGAGAAAACAGCAAATTTAAAAGCTGCAAAATAGGATATGACCCAGTCGGTTCTCACTTTGCTCGATCTACTGCGGGGGGAAACATTACATTTGTTCCTTAATGCTCTCTCCATTAAATCATAAACATCCTCAGGCTTGCTTTCATTTCTTCCTTTTCCCTTCCTGAATGTTTTTTTTTTCCAAAACAATTTTAAGCTTTCGACAAGAAGCTCGATCGATAGATCTTCTACGTACTTCATAACACCGGAGGGGGAGAGACGCAGAGAGTCTGTGTGTGAATCTCACCGATCGATCACTATCGCATGCACCTGAGGTAATCTTACATCCTTCACCACTCGTAGTTTGCTTTAATTTTGGCAGATGATCATCCATCATATATAATTTACAGGTTTGATATATGGTAATCTAATTAATTTTAGTTTCAATTTGCATGTTGTGAAAATAGGTGATATGCAACAGAGATTAAAACAGCAGCAGCAGCAACAGCAGGCACTAATGCAGCAAGCTTTACTTCAACAGCAACACATGTACCACCCCGGTGTACTCGCCGCCGCAGCTATGTCACAGGTTCTATTCTGTTTGTTTGTTCTAGGATTCCCGTACGTAGTACCTAGCTTCATTTCTTCTCTTTTTTGTTCTGCAGATGGAACCAATTCCTAGTGGCAATCTACCTCCTGGATTCGACTCGTCCACGTGTCGTAGCGTGTAAGCAATCACCACCAATCAACCATTGTCTAATGATCTCTGATTCTCTGTATGCAATTACCTGAATAATGGTTGATTATACCATTCCTAGCTATGTAGGAAACATCCATGTCAATGTGACTGAGAAACTGCTCGCTGAAGTTTTCCAGACTGCTGGCCCTTTAGCAGGATGCAAGCTTATCAGAAAGGAGAAGGTAAAGTTGGATTTGACAATGACATAAACATTCTGTATCAAACATAAACATTCTGTTGAAGGCATGTTACAATGATCTGAATGCAGTCGTCGTATGGGTTTGTCGATTATCACGATCGATCTTCTGCAGCCATTGCAATCATGTCACTGCATGGAAGGCAGCTGTAAGCATCTCAAATTACAGTCTACATTTCTTAGTTTCATGTACTAACATGGTGATTGAATGTTGTGTTTTGTGTTGTATGATCTAGTTATGGGCAAGCATTGAAGGTGAATTGGGCATACGCAAACAGTCAACGAGAGGATACCTCAGGTTAATTGTTATTGATTACTGCTGTTGTTCATTGTTTCTGTATCAATCAATTCCAGTCATAGAACTTGATTGTGATGATTATCAAATCAGGGCATTTCCACATATTCGTCGGAGACTTGAGCCCGGAGGTTACTGATGCGACGCTGTATGCCTGCTTCTCGGTCTATCCCAGTTGCTCGTAAGCAATATAATCCTGGCTCCGCTCCTGTGTGATTGAATCATCATTTTTAGGGAAAAAATTATGCCATCTTTAATTAATCATCATCTCGATCGACAACCTTACATATGGTGTTGCGAATTAAGTACAGTGATGCAAGAGTGATGTGGGATCACAAGACCGGTCGATCCAAAGGATACGGTTTCGTCTCCTTTCGTAATCAGCAGGTATATATACGACAGTAGTTCTAGCTACTGGACTTTTAAATTTTTCGTACGAGAAAACGTTACGGTGTAGTAAACGGTGGAACATCGATCGATCGAAGCACGTCGTTTAATGGTGTAATGTTGTGACATTGTGTGTTGGCAGGATGCACAAGGTGCCATCAATGATCTAACTGGTAAATGGCTTGGGAATAGGCAAATAAGATGCAATTGGGCCACTAAAGGGACAGCATCCAATGATGACAAACAGAGCAGTGACAACCAAAATGCAGTTGTGCTTACTAGTGGATCTTCAGGTAATTATTCAATAACTAATTAGTTTAGTACACTTGATTTGTTATGTTTTCTTCATAATGTATTAGTTAATCAATTTAATCACATCATTAATAGATTAATCCATGTGCAGAGGGAGGTCAAGAAAATAGCAATGAGGAGGCTCCTGAGAATAATCCGGCCTACACCACTGTTTACGTCGGTAATCTTTCACATGAGGTAACTAAATCAATAGATCGAATATGCGGGATAGTACATAAAATCGGGTTTTTAAACTATTGATTGTCGTTCTAAGAAGTTGATTTTACGCGTACATTAATTACCCAGGTTACTCAAGCCGAACTACATTGTCATTTCCATGCGCTTGGAGTCGGGGTGATTGAAGAGGTTCGAGTTCAGAGGGACAAAGGTTTCGGATTTGTGAGGTACAACACCCATGAAGAAGCCGCTTCAGCCATTCGAATGGGGAACGGCAAGATCGTCCATGGGAAACCCATGAAGGTACGATAAATTCGGCCATGCATGCAAACGATGAATAGTTTCTGTGGTTGAAGCACTACCAGTTGGTCCGATCCTAATTGAGTCGTGCGATCAATGTTCCGCTTTTCACGACGCTTTTTTTTCGCAGTGCTCATGGGGGAGCAAGCCGACTCCGCCGGGAACAGCTTCGAACCCTCTGCCGCCTCCAGCACCACAACCATACCAAATCCTGCCTTCAACTACACTCAACCAAGGCTACTCTCCGGCCGATCTATTAGTGTACCAACGGCAACTGGCGTTGAGCCAAGCAGCGGCATCTGGGCTTTCGGGGCAGGCCCTTGTACAGTTGACTGGACAGCATGGGCTCGCCGCGGCTTCGATGGGCCTGGGCTCGGCTGGCTCTCAAGCCCTGTACGATGGATACGGCAATAGTACCACGGGCCAACAGCTTATGTACTATCGTTAGTTCTTAATCACGTTCTGTTCGTTAAACATTTTGAGTAACCTTTCTTCTTTTCTTGAGTTTTTTTTTCACGGCTGTTATTCTAATCTTTTCTCAGGTACGTACCTTGCATGGTACTTTATTTTTTTGAGTAAGTTTTGAATGTAATTGTATTTTTATATTTTATTTATTGATTTTATGGACTTATATGATGTTGTATTAATTAATTAGGTTCTGTTATAAGTTATAATTTAGATGGTCATGTTTGTTGTATATAATTTATAACCATCTTTAAGTTGATGAATTAGTGGGACAAATTTTTAGCTCCAAAGAACATTTGCAAGAATAATGAGCAATTTATAGTTTGGGTTACAAAAGGCTTAATTGCAAGTTTGGTCACTCGAATTGCTACAAAATTTCACGTTTGCCACTCAAATTAATTTATTCCATTTATAGTCACTTAAATTAGGTTAACAGTCCAAGTTTGGTCACTGGCCGTTAGGGCTGTTAATGAGCCGAGTCGAGTCGAGCTTTGCCATAGTTCGGGCTCGGCTCGTTAATATATTTCCAGGCTCGAGCTCGGCTCGTGTTCGTCACGAGCTTTAATATGCAAGCTCGAGCTCGGCTCGTTTATGAAAATGAAAGCTCGAGCTCGGCTCGAGCTCGGCTCGTCAAATAAGCTTAACGAGCCCAAAATCAAGTTCAGCTCATAAAATGTTCATGATAGCTCAAGATTGACCTAGAACTACGCACAAAAGTACATTTAACTCTGTAGCAAAGTAAAACACAATATTTATTCCAATTTCAATACATAAAATCCATGAATTCTAATTCTTTTTTTATGCCAAACCATTAAATGAGCTTGTTCGCGAGCTTTCGAGCTGAACATGGTATGGCTCGAGTTCGGCTCGTTTAATTAACGAGCTTGTTCGCGAGTCGGCTCGATTAAAACGAATCGAGTATAAAATGAGTTTTTCTCGAATCGCACACCGAGCCGTTCATGAGCGGCTTGGTTCATTAACAGCCCTAGCCGTTAGTCTCCGTTAACTTTTGCTGATGTGGCGGTCAACTCTTATAGTTGACCGTTAAATGAGTGACGTGGCGATTAAAAAATTAATAAAATAATTTAATTTAATTATTTTTTATTTTCCACCTAATTATTATAAAAATAAATAAATAAAACCTAATTCCTTTTAATTGTTATTTTCACCGCCCGTAGGAATTAGGTTTTTTTTTATTTTTATAATAATTAGGTGGAAAATAAAAAATAATTAAATTAAATTATTTTATTAATTTTTTAATCGCCACGTCACTCATTTAACGGTCAACTATAAGAGTTGACCGCCACATCAGCAAAAGTTAACGGAGACTAACGGCCAGTGACCAAACTTGGACTGTTAACCTAATTTAAGTGACTATAAATGGAATAAATTAATTTGAGTGGCAAACGTGAAATTTTGTAGCAATTCGAGTGACCAAACTTGCAATTAAGCCGGTTACAAAATAATCACTTAGTAGAAATTATAAGGAAGCCTTTTTTTTTTTGAAAGTTAATTTGTATTAGCGAGAGAATTGAGATATACTCGAGTCACAACTCACATGGTTGATTGCAAAATCAAAAACGGAAATCGAACCATACCAAATTAGGGTATAATTAAAGGACTTTTTTTTGTCATCAAATGGACCGTCCTGTTATGATTACGACCAACAATTTTTTTCCGGTTAACTTGATAAACTATAAGGAACGTGATCAACAGTTATTTGTTACTCATACTTAACTACGATGTTGTTTGTCTGCACAACCGTTCCTTCTATTAGTCATTTCTACATCAATTCTAATGGTTTATATATGACCGAACTTGAGACCTTTTTCACGATCTCTGGTGTAATTTTGTGTCCGGTTTTTGTTACTTGCAAGTTGCAACCATTTACGAGCTCTAACCTTACACATTGTGAATACAAATACCAAATTTTTTAATAAAATATAAACCAAAAAAACAATCCCTGTTGGATTTGTTAGGTGTCATTCCTGAGAAAGTCAAAGATATAAAATAACCTTCTTTTTACATTATCATACAAAAATAATAATACGAGAGCAGCTGAATTTGAGCTCAAATCCCCTGTATCGGGTCAGGTTGCCCTTCCTTGCGTTTCGCACCACCTATCTACAACAAAATTCACAATCCACCACTCCTATATGCACCATGAAAAAGGGAAAATGATTGAAAGAAGAACAACAATGTACAAATATTCATGCATCTTCGCCTCTTCAGGGTTCTTGCATGGCTGCTGTCAACAGTACATGACTTTCAGCTCGTTTCCAGCTCCCCTGCAGGCTGCAGCCGCTCTATACAGAAGCAGGTTCATTCTGCAATTACAACCATCCATCTTCCCGTCAATTACATCGTCCTTTGGGTAGATTATGTTGCAGAATCCAAGGATTTTATATAATCGTAAGAATGTGAGTCAAAGTCACAGAAAAGGGGCTAAGAATGATGACTCACTAGTTTGAGAGAAACCTGGGAGGAGGAATGCAGGGAAGTATTGCCAGCAAAAAAGGGCAGTTGCTGTTGTTGCTGCATACTCTCCTCTGCAAGGGTTCTTAACCGGTTGAGTTCAGGCAAGATCACCTTGCCGAGATCAGGCCGATCCTTCCTTCTCAACTCGGCGCATTGCAGCGCCAACTGAGCAAACTTCTTGGCCTCGTCCATTGGCCAATCGGGCACCACGGGGTCGAGCATCTGAGCCAGCGTGTCCCTGTCGATGGCCCTGTCCACATGGTGTGTCAGCCCCATCGGCGGCTTGGCTGTGATTATCTGCAAGAACATGATCCCGAGGGAGTAGATGTCGGACTTGATACCCAGCATTCCGGTCTGCTGGTACTCCGGGTCGATGTAGCAGAACGTGCCAGCGGTGGATGTCATTCGGTACTGTGTCACGCTGTCTGCAACAGCAGGTGGGACCAGCCTGGCCAGACCGACGTCGCTGATCTTGCTGACGAAGTTGCGGTCGAGGAGAATGTTGCCTGGTTTCAGGTCTCGGTGGACAAGGGGTTCTGGCTTGGTCTGGTGGAGGAATAACAAGCCGGTTCCGATTTCTGCAGCGATTCGGAACCTATGCTGCCATGATAAGGGCGGGGTGTTGCCTCGTCGAAAGAGACGGTCTTCTAGGCTGCCATTCGCCATGTACTCGTACACCAAGCATCCATACTCCGGGCAGGCTCCCAGTAGGAGGACCATGTTTGGGTGCCTAATGCAACTCAACACCTCAACCTGTGGAAAAAAACAAAAATACAAATTCCATAGACTTGTTTGGTATTCCAACTCACCAATACCATTTTCCTAATCCACCCTACATATCTATTTTGAATAGCTTGTTTTTCTTAACAATCCATCTATTTTCAACAACCTTTGCTAGCATTTGTTAATAAATATATACCTCCTGCTGAAACTGGGACCTTCCTTGAGCAGCATCAGGTCGAAGGACCTTAATGGCAACCGGTGTATGATCAAGATTGCACCTATAGACAGGACCATAACCTCCTTCTCCGATTTTGCGGGATTGAGAGAAATTTTCAGTGGCAGCTTCAATATCCTCGATGCTATACTTTCTGTATCTGACATCAGAATGCATGATAGTGTTAAGTGCTTTCTTCTTCTCTTCAGCTTCTTTAATTGCTTTCATCTCCGCGTTGATTCTCTTCTGTGCTTCTAGCTCTGCAATCCTTTGAGCAGCTTCAGCAGCCTCGATGGCTGCTTTGGTTTTGGCTTTCTCCCTCTCGGCTATTGCCAAAGCATTTTCCTCAGCTAGTCTTGCTTCTTCGAGCCTCCTCTCTTCTTCCAACTTCCACATTTGTAGATCCCTTGCCTGGTAGTTCAAAATCCAAAAAGCAAAAGCTTAGCCTTTTCAATTACTGATACCAAGTCAAGTTTCTTTTTGGTATACTTCTGTCATTGCTTACCTTCTGCTGTGCTACAAGTGCTTCTTTACAAGCTGTGCTGTACATTTCCATTGTTTGCTTAAGCTCTAGCTTCAACCTTCTCATTTCAGCTTCCACATCGTCCTGTTACAGTTGCAAAATCGCAATTTAGTAAAAGTTACTCTTATCTTACAAACTCACGCGTCATCAAATGGTTTTGCTTCAACCCCAAGCATGCAGTTTACCATGGATTGTGATGCCGACGAGAGCCTTTCGTTTTCCTGTGAGACTGATGACAATCTAGGGGATGAGGTGATATCTAGTGATCTCCTACCAGGTTGCATTGACGACTCAAAGCTATTGAGATCATTTTCGAACTCTGAAAGGTTTGACAGCCGTGGTGGTCGCCCTGGATCTGGATTGCTGTTATTATCATAGAATGCTGGGAACATGCGATCAACGCTTGGTCTTCCTGAGCTAACAAAAGATATATCCGTCTCTGCCAAGTTTATATCACCATATGATTTTGCATTCATGCCTTTCCTCGTCAATGGAGACCTGTTTTGCCAAATAAACAAAAAGAACAGAACTTTCTGTTAGCCACATATATAACTTGGTATGTGTTCTCAAAGCAGCATACTAGCTTAATGACTAACCTGAAAAAATCTGAAGTCTCACTACTATTTGATTTCCGTGGAGGATCAATTGGAGGCCTATCAGTACCTGATGGTGGAAATCATATGTTCTATTGTCAAACACCCGATTTCTGACCGACTTTTGAACCTCATTACATTGATTTGTACAACAAAAAGAGAGAAAAGCTTCCCAAGTTACCTCTTTTAGCAGGTGTCTGTGGGACAGAATGATCTGATGAACTGGACCTAATGCTTGATTGGCTAGACATGTTGCGGAAAGGAGAGGTTTGGGGAGCAGGACGAGAAGCAGACCTTGCAGACTGGATTTTGCTTCTCGATATAACATACACTGTGCAGAAATCAGGTGCCCCTTTCGATACAGTCCCAGGTATGTCTGTGGTCTTGAATCTTGTATGAAGAAGAAACTTTATGGAAGTTAAGCACAACCCACTTCTCCAATTGGGGGAAATTTTACAACCAATTCAATTCAAGCAATCAAAGATACCTGAGAAATCCCCCTTTGGAGGTGGCACCCAACACTAAAGTCTCAATCACCATCTGATTCGTGTACTCAATCAATGCTTTCGCTACATCTGAATCTTCCAGCACAACGTCATGACATTGAATCTGTGATCCAATACCCACAATGAAAATGTATCATATGAATGCACATTGGTGTTGATTTGCCCATGACAATGAAATTAACTGTTCATTCATTCATACATACGTCTTTACGAGTGCAGAAGCATCGAAAAGGAAGGAACACCTCCTTAGTTTGAGAATCAGGGTTTCTGCAAACCAACGAGCTTTCACCATTGGCATCACTCACCTGGTTCATTCCTGCAATTTCACCATCATTATATATGGATATGATTGTAAGTTTGTAAGGCTCAATTGAACGAAATGGAAATGGAGGCGGTTTGTCTTACTGGGAGCAGCAAGGGAGCAGGATTGAGGCTGCTGCTTAACTCTGACATGAATGAGAATCACGGTCTGGCCTCTCTGGAGAATATTGTCGATTGCCCATTTGAGAGCGTTTTGGCTGGATTTGTCCTTGTCTACTGCTACCGCCACCACGCCATTACCGGCATCCTTCCTCTCCGTGATTGTTCTTGGCATCCACATCTTCAATCAATGCCTCACGTTCCTTTTTTCTCCTTCGATTCTTCTTCTTCTTCTTCTCGCCTACCTGAAACAACAAACTGACAATGCCGATTCCGGTTCTCTAACCTCCTCGTCTCTCTCGAAAGATGCAGAGAGACAGGAAGGAACCATTTTTCTCTGCTCGTCTGTGCGTTTGTGTTCGTGGGTGAATCTTTTCTCCCCTTCTGTCCCCTTAATTTGTGTTTTCCCGGCAGTTTTGGGTCAGGAAGGATTGAGAGTTCTTTTGGTTTTTGGGACGAAGGGGAAAGAAGGAAGCAAACCCCGCGCTCTGAAGCTGCAAAATTTCCCGAAAAATTCGTTAGTTTCAATCGGCCCCTTCTTTAACTATTTTTCTTGGATGGTTTCAAACCGTCAAATTCATCTCCGTCCATTTACAGTTACTTCCTTCAGAGTTTTTTTTTTTTTTTTTTTTAAGAATTCCATACCATTTAGTACGAAAAGGTTGTATAACTTCCTAAACCTTTTTTCCGATGAAATATTGTCTACATGTCAATGTGACTTCTAATAAGACCATGTATCGTTGTAGTGCTCTATACTGAGCAAGTTTAACTTCGTAGTTCTTATAAGAACCCTTCTATTTCAACTCATAATGTGTTTTGTCAGTTAATGTCGGTTTCTTCTTCTTTTGAAAGACTGACGCATAAAGATATTCTGAAATATTACTAATCATAATAGATTCAGATACCCAAGAAAATTACAATAATACAATTACATAACATTGACTCCGAACAATCAAAACCTGGTGATAATTTTGTTTATATTCTGAAATATTACTAATCATAATAGATTCAGATACCCAAGAAAATTACAATAATACAATTACATAACATTGACTCCGAACAATCAAAACCTGGTGATAATTTTGTTTTCTCTCGATTTCCGACTCAAAATGGTAAATATTAAAAACTTATTTTGGACAAGAAATGTTCCTCAGCATTTGATGCCATTCTGCAAGCCAAGGCATGGACAAGAAATGTTCTTCGAATTGATCCTCGTCTTGGTCGAATGAGACGAAAGGCGATCTGCTTTCGGATTTCAAAGTATGGTAGAGTTGCATGGAGCTGTGGAGCAAAAGTTTTGCATGGCCTGCACCAGTTGGCCGAGAACAAGAGGCAAACTACTCTGCTTTCTTCCCATGCTGATGATATTGGCACCTGTTCACCACAAGATTGCACCTCAAGTTAGTTCATAGTTCTTTCAAAAGAAAACAAAGGGTTGTTTTGGAAGGAAATAAACTACCTGCCCTTGGGAAGAGAGAAGGAAATTGATTCCTCGAGATGCTAAGAGGTTGAAGAAGTCCTTGCTTCCATCTTTCAGCAGTGCTATCCCCTGCCATTGGTGACTGTCCAACTGCCTGCATCCAATCTTCTGATTTTTATAGGTTTTTCCCACTGTTGGCACACCTGTTGATGGAAGCCACAGAAATGTAGGCCATTATAAGAAGAGTGTGACTCACAACAGAAATCAACAGACAGTAGCTTGAGTGGAGTCTTTGAATCTCTTGAAAAGTGTATCCTATGCTGAATCATTTCCTTGATGCGAGGACCAAGTACAAGGTTTGTAACAGTCTGAATATGGTACACAACCAAACTTATGTATGATCCAAGGGATGCAAATAGAGAGGGTACGGGGAAAATAAACCCAGCACTTGTAGAAAGTGGTAACTGAATCTTATTCTGCCAAATAAAAACTAAAATAGTGACTGCATCGAACAAGTTCGAATCACTTCAACCCTCTCCTAACATGAGCATTTGATTGAGAAAAATCAGCAGGAAGTTTCTGATTCTTTTTCTTTCCATGGTCGTTTTCGGGATACAGGGATGATTAGTGTCAATCTGAAGCAACCTGAAGGCAACCATGGATAAAGAGAATCCCCCCCAACTTGAAAAACATAGAAGGTAGTCCCGATCCCGAAGAATGACAGAGCTAACGGACACATGAAGTTCCAACAAGGACCAAAAAAAAAAAAAAGCTCGGCCATTGATAGTGGACAACGTGTTTCTGTAAGTCCAGGATCTGTCACATAAGGCCAACCAAGACAGGACAGAAACCAGAATGCTGAGGAACAGGGGTACCTTGGGGTTTCAGGAGAAAGGTTACCAAAATTGCCAATGCATTATTTAACCTTACGCCATTTGTCCACGTACAGAATCAGGCAGACGACAAGGCAAGCCTTCATCGGTGTGAGTTCTGACAAACAAAAACAAGCATCTTGGAGGATCTTTGGTTTCTTCTGCCATGTTCCTTTTGCACGCCTGCATAGAACAATCCATAGTGGAGTATCTAAGAGTTCTGCCAACCAACCAATCTATGCAAGTGTAGACAATCGATACGGGCAAGAACTGTATACATTATATTTATCTACAGTTGGTAACAGGGAAGCAACCCTACATAAGAACCCAGCAAATTTCAAGTTGAAAAGAATGAAAAATGGCGGCGCTTTATTACTAGTATCAACAAGTAGGTAAACGAAGCCATGAGAACTGAGAAGCAAGAATCATGGCCTCTCCATTAGGTTCGTTTTCTCCATAAGGGAAAGGAAATGAATCGAGCCAACAAAATTACACAGCTTTTTCAAAACATGAGGGGGAAAATAAACAATAAGCAAAGCGAAAACAAGAACCAGTAGAACATGCATGAGTAAGTTGATCTAAGAACCTAAATAGTACAAACTCCAGTGAATTAATTCTTTCCTATACCCTACAAATTTTCCACACCATGCCGAGAAAGAACAAAAATGGAAAAGAAACCTGCAGCCTGAAGCAGCTTCTGTAATCAGCATTATTAGCTCTTCTTCTACACAGGATCATCGTATTATAGATACACCAATGATGAGTGAATTGATTCAATTCAATGCAGTTCAGTTCAGGCGGTGACGGAGAAGGAGAAGCCTTCATCAGTCATGGCCCTGGAAGAGTAGAGATCACCATCGGAGCTACAATACTCCTCATCATTCTCACAACCTTCTTCCCTCTCTTTCAGCTCCTCGATCTTCGACAGAGCTTCTCTCAAATCCCACCGCCGCTCCACGTTCCACTCGCAGCAGCACATCCCGATCTTGAGCAGCTTCAGCATCTCGCCTTCCCCGTTCTTGGTCCCTTTCATGTCCTTGTCGAACACCTCCCCTGTCCACTCTTCCCTCACCACCGAATTCACCCACGCCGCCAGGTCCGCATTCGCCGCCGCCCCTCTCCCTTGCCGGAGGTAATTCGCCGGGAACTTCCCCGTCAAGAGCTCCAGGATCAGGATCCCCAAACTCCACACGTCCGTCTTCCCCGTCGTCCGACCCGTCTGGATGAACTCCGGCGACTTGTACGCCACCATCACCCCCTGCGCCTGGTCCCGATTCACCACCGGCGACAGCGCGTAGTCGGTGAGCACTGGCTGAAACGCGTGGTCGACGAGGACGTTGGACGATTTCAGGTGGCCGTGCGGCAGGGGCAAATCGGGAAGCTCCTTGTACAGAAACCCTAACCCCTTCGCTACTCCCTTGATAATCTTCAGCCGCGTCGGCCATGAAAGCCCTGGCTCCCCGGGCCGTCGCTTCCCTGCAACAAATTGAAATTGGATCGATCAATTTCCAAAACTGGAGAGAAAAAAAATTGACAAGTAGTGCGGTCAATAATTACCATGGAGATGACTAGCGAGGCTGCCATTGTCGACGAAATCGGAAACTAAAAGCTTCTCTTCCTTCCTGTAGTAGAAAGCAACGAGGGGAAGCAGATTCGGGTGCGACAAATCTCCCAGCCGCTTCATATGCTCGTAAAACTCCTCTTTCCCGACGTTATTCATGTGCCTGAACCTCTTCACCACCATGGCCGGACCTTCGGAGAGAACAGCTTTGTACGAAGACCCAAACGTCCCGCTGCCGAGAACCTCCGCCGAAGACCTCAGCAGTTCGTGCAGGTCGAATGTCTCCTCCCTTTCGCTCCTCACGAACCGGAGCTTCCCGCTCTCCCCTCTCCTCCCTCCGCCACCGGCGGCGGCTGCTTCCTTCGTGGGCTCCGGTTGATGGTTTTTATGGGCCTGCATCTTGGGCCCCATTCGGCCTGCCGCCCCGAATTTCTTCAGGTTTCTTGTGTCGTCAAATTGGGCCTGCTCTCCTCTTCTATATCCGCGGGCCCGGATGAAGGTGCAGGCCAGGATGGCGCCCAGTATTGTCACCACCGCGATAATTGCCACTATGATAAAAATGGTCTTCGTCTTTGTTTTCCCCTTCCCGGCTTTGCACGCCGCCGGCAGCGGCTTCCCGCACAGCTCTTTGTTCCCTGTTCATTGCCCCATAAAAAAAAATTAGTTCTCTTTTTTTTTAAATAACCGAAATGATTAGTTTATTAATCAAGTTATTCTAGTATTTAAGACCAATTTAGTCACAATCCTGTTTTAAAACTTAAAAACTCGCGCTTTTTCATTTTCAGGTCACCACAACACTTCTACGTAAATAGCACTTTTCACTTACAATTATAGTCAAAATCTACGCTTTAAAGGTTAAAATCTTACATATTTACGATTCTATATAGATCACGAAAACACTTTTATGTAGAATCGTGATTTTAACGGCGCGGTTTAATACGCAATGACTAGTGACAAATAAGGTCTCCAAAATACGTGCATACCACTATTAGTTGATTGCTAATCTCTAGCTAATGATAAAATACTGACGTGATTAATTAAGGTGAAAAATGACGATGAGACGGCGGCAATGATAACAAACTAACCGGAGAAAGACGACTGATTAAATCTGTCAGCCAGGTTCCTGGGGATGGGACCTGCCAAATTGTTAACGGAGACGTTAAACACCGTCAACGGCTGTTGAAGGTCAGGAATTCCCCCGGTGAACTGGTTCCCTTCCAGGCCCAACTCGCTGAGCTTGTTCAGCCCAACGAGCGACCCGGGAAGAGGGCCCACGAATTGGTTGTGGCCCAGGTAAAGGTCCTTGAGCGAGGCCATCCCTCTGAACCCATCGGCGGGGATCTCGCCGGAGAATTTGTTCCCGGTGAGGTACAGGTTCTTCAAGGGCAGCCTGCTGAACGGAGGGAACGGCCCGTCGAAGTTGTTCCCCATGGCGCTGAAAGTCCTGAGCTTGGGGAGCTTCGTGAGAGAGTCCACGTCGATGATCCCGGCCAGGCCCATGTTGTCGAGGATCAGCTTCTCGACGGATCCGTCCGTGCAGCGGAGCCCGGCCCATTTAGAGGCGTCGCGGTCGCACGGCGGGGATGACGTGGCGTTCCAGGTCAGGAGGGCGGAGGGGTTGGAGAGGGATTTCTTGAAGGTTAGGAGAACTTCGGCTTCGTTGACGGCGGCGGAGGTTGCCGTGGGCGGGAAGAAACACGGGGATGTAATTACGATGGTGATTATGATTAGTGAGGGGATTAGTGATGGTGGAGGTGGTTTAGTGGTTGTGATCATGGTGGAGATGATTGGTAAGGAGAGGGGTTTTTGTTTATGCTGAGGTGTGGTGGAGGAGATGATGGGGAGACATGAAAGTTTGGGGGAAGGAGAAGAGAGACGACAAAGATGGGAATATGGGAGGGATTGTTGCGGAGGAGTAGAGGAAGCTTTGGCAATGGCGACTCTTTTTGTGTGGTTTGTTGGAGGGGATATGGGGTTTTTTCTATAATTATTGCTTTATTAAAAAGAAATATCCAAAATACAGTATCCTCAAAAATAATTTCAAGGGCAAAATTTGGCAGCAACCCGGGTTGCAGCCTGTAGCTGCTGTTATGCCACACAGCGCCCTGTCTACTACATAACCAAACAACGAAGTCAAACCCAGACAAAGATTTGGGCTACAAAAACCATTGTTGTAAGAATCGAACCGGATCAACGGCCGGGCCAGTAGAACCGTCAAACCAGTTACGATAGCGATTCAGTTCATTGTTTGAAAAGTTATTGATGGACCAAACGGTTTTTCACGGTTCAACATAAAATCAGATGAACCGGCACGGTTTAACTGGTCCACTAGTTCATTATTTTAACAAAAAAAAATTTAACAGAAACTAAGACCATCAAATCATAATTATTAATTTTATATATGCTTCCTCAACCTTATTGTCTATTTTACATTGTCTACTACCAACTAGAACCGTAATTTTTAATTTGAATTAAAAAAATGTGATTTCTTTTGTGAGATGGTTGGAATGATTTATTAAATATTTTCGTGATGATATGAATTTGAACTTGTTTATGGTCAATGATAATTTCATTCTTAAATTAGTGTAATATACAAGTCTTATATACGTTCTATCAATGGTTCACCAACGATTTTATAGCGGTTAACCGGTGAACGCTAAACCACTAACTTTTCCGATTCAACCTCCGGTCCGGTTCCGAAAACAGAGAAAAAAACAAAGCATGATAGTCCACCATATGAGCCACCCTGTTACCTAAACGACCAACAAAACGAAACAAAACTCCTGACATCCGAGTAATCATTTCACCAATTTCCAAGAGAATGTTCTTGCTCTCCCGTCCGAGAATTTACGATCCGTACACTTATCAAATAAGAGATTTTGCGTCACCCCCAATTGATCCCAATTCAAAACCATGGTGAACGCAAAATGAAAGACAATCCCCTTAATGCCAAAGTTTTCAACGTGAAAGGATCCGAAATCCCCCACATATATTCCTTGCCTGAGCCGCCGATGACATTCAAACTCTCATCCACAAGAACGAATGCAGCTGATCCATGTTGCACCATCAAAAAACCCTGTCTTTCCACCCACCACAAGCGAAACACTCGATCTAGTAGCCGGAGTAGGGCCAAAAGCAGCAGAAACTGGATCAGAAGGAAGCGCTGAAGGATGAGTAGTCTGAAGAAGAGTTTGTTCGATGCGTTCTTTCTCCAACATTTTGGATGGGTCTCGGCCGGGCATGGAGGCTTTCGTGGGATATTAGGCCGGGCTCGAAGAAGGAGCTTATTGGGATGCCATAGCCGAGGTCAGAGGACAGGGTAATAGACAGAGGAGCTCTAATCGACGAAGCCAGGGGAGTAAACGATATCTGGGAAACCTAAACCAGGTTGGAGAAGGATTGCGTTACCCAGATAAAGGAATAATTAGGATTTTCAGATCTCTTTCCGCTCCGGGCTTCTCCTTATAATCCTGGTTTCCGCCTACCACCGAAGCCTTTCTCCTCCGTCGCCGGCGTATATTCCTTCATTCCTACGCCATGGCAACCGAGAACTGCATTTCGGATCGGGATCTCCCGGCAACCGATCTCCCTCGCTGTTCCGGGAAACGACAACGAACCAGTTCAGAAGCAGATCTTCCTTCCACGACGATCAGCAAACTCGGAACCGATCTCCTAGTAGAGATTCTGATCCGCCTCCCCAACCCAAGATCCGCCTGCCAGTGTAAAATCGTCTGCAAGCAGTGGGGCTCCCTGATCTGCAGTCCTCGCTTCAACCGCCGTTTCGTATCTCACCACCAGACTATGAATCTGGACCAAGCAACTATGCCGGTGGATCCGTACGAGCTGCTATCGGTAATCCTGAGCTTTCTCCCTCCCATGCCATGCAGTGTTCGAGACTCCCTTAGAGTTTTGGATTGCAACAAGGACTTGGTTTTATGCGGGTTTTGGGATACAGACTGCGACGATGGGGAACGGGGAAGATCGTACTTGGTCTGCAATCCTTTTACGAAGCAGTGGATCGCTCTTCCTTTAGCGCCCAAGAAGAATACGGGTTATGTATCACCGGCCGCAAGGTTAGTTTGCGAACCCCGTATTTCTAATAAGCTTGATCTAGGAGATGATCAAGCATTTGTTTATTCTGAGTATCGATTCCGGGTGGTGTGTATTTATCAAGTCGCTCGACCAAGAGTTGCTATAAAGCTGGATGTCTTTTGTTCGGAATCTGGAGAATGGACCAAGGAAGCTCTTGTCTGTGATGGTCATATTAAAGTTGAATTGAAAAGTACAATTTCGTGCAATAGGGAGCTATTTTGGAGGTATTATGACCTCTACAGTCTCACAAGGTATCATGAGATACTTAATAATTTGGTGGCTGTGTTTAACCCTTTCCGCCTTGATATGCATCCCACATCCATTGATGTTTCCCGATTTCTTGTGAATCCGTATTACTGGTTTGTTTCCGCCTCACAAGGCGTGCTTCATGTAATTCTACAAGAAAATGAGACTATACCTTATCGTTTAAGCGTTTGGAGGCTGGATAAAGACCGTAAATCTTTGATTAAACAATGCGAAGGGTGGGTGAACGAGACAACAAAGTGTGGTAACTATGAAGTTATAAACGGGTGTCACAGACCCTTACTCCATCCACATAATCCGGAAGTCATCTTCTTCAATCCAGGCTATTCTAATGCAAAGAATGCTTTATTCTGCTGCGATTTGAGAAGGGGAGAGCTAGAGTTCTTAGCTAAAGTAGAAGGACGGCCAGATGTCTTTCGCCTTCAGGTGTTCCAGCCAAGGGTTTCTTGCTGGGCTACTCCAATTCCAAGGTATGCGGAGTTGCGAGGCATGTATGATGGAACACACAGCTTTTGGGTCCAGACTCAGAGCAGCAGGGAAGCAAGAACTCCCTCCCTGCCTTCATCCCTCAATATTTGGTAACTGTTTCTGCCTGTTAAAATTTACTTCTTTTCTGGTGTTAAGTTTAGTATTTACTAATGGGACCGAGAAAATCATAAAGAAAGATTTCCTGAGCGAAAAGACATCCTGCACCTGCAACCTCTAATCCCATTACAGGTCGAGGGTTGCAGTTTTGAGTGTGTGACCTAACTAACTACTTCGTCAATGCAACACGTACTAATTAGCACATATACTTACATTACATCTCTTGTCAACTGCTTGGATATTTTGTGTTGGTCACAATCTCTATACCCGATTTTTAAAGCTAAACGTCAACAAAGGCGTGGATGATAAGATGCACATGGTTGTTGTATGTATTTACACTTTCATTCTTTTTATATTGTCTGGTTTCTTTTCCTATATTTCATCTCATTTCTGCTGTGGCTGGTTGAAATGCTCCAACAGGTTGCTGTATCTTCGTTTTGCCTGACTTAGTGTTGGTATTTAGTTGATTGTTTTGTTTACCAACTTAACATCATGCATTTGGAGTTTTTTTTCCCCCAGCAAGGACGAAGCTACGAAATCCGCCCTTTACAAGGACTGTATGGAACATGGCATTGAAGAGGCAACTGAAATCATTCAGCATAAGGAGAACGGAATCAGGGAGACTGTTTTAAGAGGAAGGCAGCAGCCTCATTTTCCACAAGACAAGGAATCGGATGTACTAGAGGCGGATTTGAAAGATGTTGGAGCGAATATTGCCGCTATTAGCAAACCGAAAGAACTGAAGCACAGCCTTTTGTGTGAAACGTCGGCAGAGCGTCCTTCTCCTCAAGGTGAAGTTTTGTTGAGTTTTACTTTCTTTTGTTTACTAATACCTTGGCTTAGTGGATTCTGATTGTGTTTGTTATCCCTTCCAGCCCCTATTACAAGTGTCTTCAAGCGATGGATACCTCCTCATCTACGCGCAGGTAAAACAGCTACCCATTTTAGTCACTCTTGGCAGACTGGTAAAAGGGCTCGAAGATCGTGTTTTTTTTTTCCAGTCAAGGAACGGGGATCGTGTTTTTCAGTTCCGAAGTGTTGTGTCCAAATCCCAAATTTGTTCAAATTGCATGCCAAAGCTTTTATCCAAACAATCGGTCTATTTTCTTCTTCGGTTGCGTTGCATGCATAGTCCATAGTTTTTTGTAATTTTTTTCTTTTTCTTGGTTGGTTGTATTGTGATTTTTGCAGTGATGTTGATGATCGAGAAAGGGGAAAAATATGAGCTTGAACTTTTGGAAAATAACTGAATGATCTTTGAGGCTGTTTGGTTGATGGGGATCACGCCATCGCAGTCGCTGAGGCTGCAGCGGAAGCTCTGTTGCAGCAGCTGCTCAGGCCGGCCGCAGCTAAAGTCTTGCAACTCGCTCATTCAATCCCTCTACACCGTGGGCTGATTGATGTCTTGAGTGTTTTGTATTAACTTATTTTCGTTTTTTTATATATTGCATGCTACTGAGTGATTTGTAGTAACTTATGTGCGCAAGAATTACTGTTTGGATGGATGTATTTATAACTATTCTTGAGCCGGGTGTATTTTTCATAAGTTAAGCCACTAGGACAGACTCATCTAATATATAGGGGCGGCGGAGGTTGCCGTGGGCGGGAAGAAACACGGGGATGTAATTACGATAGTGATTATGATTAGTGAGGGGATTAGTGATGGTGGAGGTGGTTTAGTGGTTGTGATCATGGTGGAGATGATTGGTAAGGAGAGGGGTTTTTGTTTATGGTGAGGTGTGGTGGAGGAGATGGTGAGGAGACCTGAAACTTTGGGGGAAGGAGAAGAGAGACGACAAAGATGGGAATATGGGAGGGATTGTTGCGGAGGAGTAGAGGAAGCTTTTGGCAATGGCGACTCTTTTTGTGTGGTTTGTTGGAGGGGATATGGGGTTTTTTTCTATAATTATTGCTTTGTTAAAAAGAATTATCCAAAATACGGTATCCTCAAAAATAATTTCAAGGGAAAAATTTGGCAGCAACCTGGGTTGCAGCCCGTAGCTGCTGCTATGCCACACGGCGCCCTGTCTACTACATAACCAAACAACGAAATCAAACCCAGACAAAGATTTGGGCTACAAAAACAGAGCATGACAGCCCACCATATGAGCCACCATGTTACCTAAACGACCAACAAAACGAAACAAGACTCCTGGCATCCGAGTAATCATTTCACCAATTTCCAAGAGAATGTTCTTGCTCTCCCGTCCGAGAATTTACGATCCGTACACTTATCAATAAGAGATTTTGCGTCACCCCCAATTGATCCCAATTCAAAACCATGGTGAACGCAAAATGAAAGACAATCCCTTAATGCCAAAGCTTTCAATGTGTGATTCAGCTCAGTTTCTACTTCTCTCATTTGCCCCCATCTTATGGATATGCTTTTGATTCCTGGGTAGTAGAGAGAATCATTCTGATGTTTTCTTTTTTGTCTTTCCTTGGTGATTCATTGAGATACCTGCCACAGAGAGGAGTTAGTTATTAAGAAGCTGAGGATAGGTGGGATTAACCAAATTTTCCTTTTCAGAATATCTCACTTGTATATGAAATTTTGGGGAACAAAGAGCTATTATACAACTGTAATAGGACGTATTAATGCGAATTGGAGCTTTGTTTCTGCTTTATTCTAGCATCTTCTAATTCTGTCAATTATGAGCATCCTTATTTGGTTCAAGTTCTATACTACTTTGATGTCGAAATCCAAGTTCTAGCTTGCTTATAAGTGCAGAATGATTTTAACCATTATGATTTCAATTGCAGAGATAAGCATGATTTGAGGAACTTTGTGGTAGCTACTCTCAAAAAATATGTGAATAATTCTGCACATGGTTTTTTCTTCACTAGGAACAAAATTCCCAACAATGAAGATGTCTCTTTTACAGGCATATACTGAAGGGCAGGCTACTGTTAGTACTTTTCTTATCTACTCTCTCTCATCTGTCTATAACCTTGGCCTGAGATAAATTTTCAGACAGCATTTGAAGACAATAGAGCAGTGGATTCAATATCTTCAAAGGTCTCCTAAGGAGTTGGTTCGAGCTCCGTCTTTGGCTTAGACAGTGGCAACATCTTCTTCTCTTTTTTGGTCTCCTTCAAGTTGAGCGAAGTGTAAACCGACATTCCTCCAATTGCTACCACAGCTCCACAGATGCTGATGAGAACATCAAAAGAAAAGATTACACTATGAATCTCAAATCAAAATTTCTATGCGACTCCACAACTCCATTTGCTACCACAGCTCCACAGATGCTGATGAGAACATCGAAAGAAAAGATTACACTATGAATCTCAAATCAAAATTTCTATGCGACTCCACAACTCATAAATAAACTTAATTTATAATAATCCATACAGTATCTTATGTGCAAGTTAAAACATGGTTAACATTATTAACCTCAAAATCATAATTTCTTAGTCCATGATTATTAATGATGATCTAAATTAAACTAACTCATTTTCAGTTTTTGGATTAAAAAACTAACCTTTTGGCTGAGAATGCATAATAGCTAACCTTTTGGCTGAGAAGCGCAATATCCCTTGGGCTGATGCTCAATCCTACATATTTTCAAAGTTGAATTGTATTAGCAATGCTCCTAAGGTCTATCATGCATGTAGGAGCAATAGTGAGAAAATGGCACTTCAGCACAAAAATCATGCACATGAATCTGATCAGAATAACAAATTACCATGAGCAGCAGCAATGGCGGATATGCTTGCGACTTCCACAGAGGCAGAAGAAGAAACACCTTTGCCTTCAGGGACTTCAGAAGAAACATGCAGATTAGTACAAGGAGCCTCGATATAACACCATTCTGGATGTATGTCAAAACGGATTATAGAACATAACATCATGAGATCACAATCTCGACATTTGCTTTCCAGTAATTATATCCCTTAGCCCAACAGAGGTTCAAAAGTTCAGAAAGCATTAAAAAAGCTCCAACAGAGATAAGCATGATTTGAGGAACTTTGTGATAGCTACTGTGAAAAAATATGTAAAACAGACTATACATGATTTTTTCTTCACTCGGAACAAAATTCCCAACAATGAAAATGTCCCTTTTTCAGGCATATACTGAAGGGCAGGCTACTGTTGGTACTTTTCTTATATCTACTCTCTCTCTGTTCTGTCTATATCCTTGGACTGAGATAAATTTTCAGACAGCATTGGAAGACAATAGAGCAGTGGTTTCAATATCTTCAGAGGTCTCCTTAGGAGGATGCTTCGAGCTCGTCTTTGGATTAGACAGTGGCAAAGTCTGCTTCTCTTTTTTGGTCTCCTCCAAGTGCTGCCACAGCTCCACAGATGCTGATGAGAACATCGAAAGAAAAGATTACAAAATGAATCTCAAATTAAAATTTCTATGTGACTCCAACAACTCATATATTAACTTAATTTGTAATAATCCATACAGCATCTTATGTGCAAGTCAAAACATGGTTAACATTATTAACCTCATAATCATAATTTCTTAGTCCATGATTATTAATGATGATCTATATAAACTAACTCATTTTCAGTTTTTGGACTGAAAATTTGTGTTTTGATACACAAATCAACGAAGAAAAGGGCGTAGAAGAAGGCCATTAAAGCTGAAGATGAAGTACCTTCTCAATCTTCATAGGGATACAAAACGCTCCTCATATCATCGACAATAGAAGTCAAACTAAACCCAGTCTTCAACCTTTCAAGGAGGTGCTTCAAGGATTTAAGATCTTCTTTCAAAAGTTGGAATTCGACCTCAGATTCTTCATCATCCCTAGATGGCTCCAAAAAATCAATTCTTTCTTTCATCGCATACACTTGCAGCTGCAATGCGGAGATTGCCCCAGCGGTCGAGAGTGACAATTTTACATCACTTCTTCGGAAGAAGGCTCCAACCCGCTCACTTACACTCTGTTTGGGAAGAGGGGTAAATGGGAGGAGGGTGCAAATGTGAGGGGTAAATACAGTTTCCAACACATTTGCACCTGTTTGGTTAATTTGGAACAGTAGGGGGGTGCAAAACGGGAGTGCAAATTTACTGTTTCGGCTTACCCCCCGAATTGGGGTGCAAGGGAATGAAGGAAGAGAGGGGGAGGGGGGAATTATGGAATTTTAATTTTCTAATTGTGTTATATATAATTATATAATAATTAATATTATCAATTTCTTCTTTTTATAAATATCATTAATGTAAACATTATTCGGGGTTGACCATTTGACTCTGGAAACAAGTTTATCAATGTTCGTCAAGTCAAATCTAGATCTCTTGGTTGAATCGAATTTGCATTGAAAATTAGAGATACGAGGTGTTTGTGGAAAAGATAGAGAGAAATTGTTTGGTTAACTCAGTTTATTTGACTAAATAGTTAAAACTTACAAATTCGAACGTGTTTGACTAAGTTTGACAATTTAAGATTAAACTAAATACGAAAACCCTATATAGGATGACCAGTTACGAGTTGAGCTTCGAGTTTTGAGATCGCTCGATCAATGATTATTACAATTGTTATAATTAATTATTATTTGAGCATTATTATATAATAACTATTTTTAGTAAAGTATATTTATTATTATATAGTAATATTTATTTTATTATTTTATGATAATATTTTAAATCTTAAAATCTATTTTAAAATTTTAAAATCTACTTTAAAATAATATAATTACTTACTTTTCACTCTATTTGCACCCCCTACTTTTTCATCCAAACAACAATTTACCCCTCCACTTACAACCCCAGCAATTTGCACCCCCCAGCAATTTACCCCTCAACTTACACCCCCCTGCAATTTGCACCCCCTTGTTGCCAAACAGAGCGTTAAGGTTAATCCATAGTCTGCAAAAATTACAAACCATAATTTCAATGAACGGCTGCAACAAAAAGAGAGAAGAAGATAAAACAAAAATAAAAACATACCAGCAGGAATACAACCACTAGCCAACGTTTGGCGGACCTTATCCCCATCAAAATCCACACTCTCAGCAGACAAACTTGGATCGGTCTGTTCTATTTCATTTACTTCACCAACATCCAAACCACGATAAGGATAAGGGATGTAACGAAATCCACCTCCTAAAACATCCCACAAAGCAGTAGCCTGAGATTCTTGAACATTCACAACAGCCCCCACAATCTGCATATCAGTTTTAACATCCAGTCTTTCCTCCTCCAGCTTAGCTATTGCCTCAGCAGTATTTGGGTCAAGATTAAATTTCTGCAAATAAGAAATAACCCTGCCAAATCGAGCAATCATTACATCACTCAGAAAATCGAGCGATTTACGACCGAGATCAAGAGCAATCCATTGAGCATGCTCATTGATCTTCCTGAATGCTATACAGGACAACACAAGATCAACTGTCCATTCGAGCTCCAGAGATGGCATTCGCAGAAGAATCTTGCTAGCATGTTTGGAATCTGCAGACTTTCGCTTCCTATAAAACCGGATGTTTACATAGATGAAATGAAAGAATATAATCATTAACCAAAAACCCAGAAAAGGAAAAATCATTACAAAGAAGGAAACCTACCCATAGTCCCCATTATCAGGATCACCATCATCAGACTTTTGAGGAGAACCATCATTAGACTTTTGAGGAGAACCATCGGATTCAAGTCTGTTAGACAAATAAGAACAATATATCATTAGCAAAGTAAAGCTAGAGAAATAGAAGATTTTATAGAATTTAGAGGATAACTTACTCTTGTGAATCTTCTTCAGATACAGCGTTGTGCATGTAAAAAAAAAAAGATTAAACCATACACTATGAAGAAATACAAGACTGAGTGTTGAACCCAAGCAATGATTTAGCTGAGATCTGGATCGACTTCGCGATCATCATCATCATCCATGGTTCTTGAGGAGAAAAAGGAATAAAGAAAACGAATTGAGTCCTGAGAAAAGGAAACGGATTTCTACAATTAGCAACGCAAATCATCATCATCTAACAGGACATGCCAATTGAAATTTCAAATAAGCAGAGATGAAGACATTGGAAGGAAAAATAAGTCATCAAAAACATGTGGTAAAGGTGGTGAGGGGAAGAGAGAACAATTGGTTGGGGTAGGTGGTACATCACTGCTTGCTAGACTTTTGAAGGGAAAATCATTCTCATAAAAGACAACTTCTCTGGAGATATAAGTTTCATGAGTATTAAGGTCCTAAATCAGATAACCCTTAATCCCTGAAGTGAACCCTATAAAAACACTCTTTCTAGCTCTAGGTTGGAACCTAGTTCGGTGGTTACCTAGAGTGCTAGGAAAGGATTAACAGCCAAAAACCCTTAACTGAGAAAGATCTGTTCGTTTGTTGTGTAGAAGTTCATAGGAAGTCGGCCAGTTGAAATTTCAATTGGCATGCCCTGATATCATCCATGTTTCTTAAGGAGAAGAAATAATAAATAAAACGAATTGAGTCCTGGGAAAAGGCAACGGATTTCTACGATTAGGAACCCAGATCGCTAAAGTACGAAGGAAGAAACGGAAACGGATTTCTACAATTAGCAACACAAATCATCATCATCCATGTTTCTTAAGGAGAAGAAATAATAAAGAAAACGAATTGAGTCCTGGGAAAAGGCAACGGATTTCTACGATTAGGAACCCAGATCGCTAAAGTAGGCAGGAAGAAACGGAAACGGATTTCAACAATTAGCAACGCAAATCATCATCATCCATGTTTCTTAAGGAGAAGAAATAATAAAAAAAACGAATTGAGTCCTGGAAAAAGGCAACGGATTTCTACGATTAGGAACCATTCATACTATAACATATGTAATAAAATAAGTAATGAAAATGATATCAACACATAATTAAATTATTTTACTATTACATAACTAATAAAATAACATATATATCACACTTCCCAATATACTTTTTCTCTCTAACCTTTACCTTCACTTTCCTCCATAAAACAACATTTTCCCTTTCCCTCCACTTTTCCTTTCTCTCCATTTCTCTCCCATCCAAATTTTCCTTCACTTCCATTTTCCTCCCTTCCTTCGGAAACAGAGTGTTACACTTCTTAACACATGCAACACTACACCTTATGAATTATCATTACTTTCCTGTATAACGACTGATTAAACTACTTTTATCGTGTACATGTAGTATCCCATAAAATGATTTTACAAGCCATGTAAAAACCTTACATAAACAGGCAATACCATTTCCGGGTAATGGTATGTAAATCAATCAAAATATCTATACATGCATCTACATAATTAAAAGAGTAATTCCCTAAAATTTAAACCATCAACCATTTGCAGAATTATATCTCTATGTTCATAGCGGGTGACTATCCTCCAAAAGTAATTTAAGATGAAGGGGGCTTCCTTGGATTTGGATATTGTTGGTTTAGCTTTAGCTTATTAGCAACAGAGGATCAACTCAAAACCGGAAGAAGGGTCTTATAAAGAGCTAATTTTTACTTATTATGCGTTCCACCAACTGGCCACTACATCCATTGTTATTGCCTTTATCTATTCGACTTGGGCTAAGTTCAGGTCCTTAAACTCTCTTTTTTAAGGAGGATCTTAAAGTGTTGTGATTGATTGATTCAATTTTAGGTATTTAGAGGGAGTTATTAGTTATTTAGTCATTAAGAGTATTTAGGGAATTGTAAATAATTAAAAAAACATAACCCTAACTGTGTATATACCCTCGTTATTTTTTTTCCTCATTCGCAGCCGAACCGTTTCTCTTCTCGTCAAAGGACGTTCTCCGACCATCTTGTCCGCTACAGCCGTCGGTCGTCCCTTCCCTCTCCCCCTCTTTCCATCTCTTCGAAATCTACCCACCCCAAATCCTATTCCACCCCTATTCACTCATTCCTCCCGCAACGGCAAGTTCATCATCATCTCCGACATTCTTTTGCTGCCTGCGACCCAGGGAAGGAAAGAAAGCAAAGAGTAGAGCTTTAACATACATTCAACCCACCTCCTTTTGCTGCAGGCCATTGTAAAAAAAAAAAAAATTCTTTTGCTGCATGCAAGACTAGGAAAGGAAAGAAAGCAACATCTGCAAAAGAACCCCACATCTACTAAACTTTTTTTTTAATCAACATCGTTAACAAAGTTTACGTTATATAGATTTCATTAAAAAATGACGAGAAATCGTTAATAATGGTATCATAAAACACTAAATATTAATTTGAAAGTGATAATAATGATGTTATACCATGCATAACATTGATAACAATATGATCGATCGAGAAAAAATTGTCCATAAATATTGATAATACCTTGAAGCAACGTTATCATGTGCTATTGCATCACTGTAGTGATAATTAACTTTTTATAGTTGATTGTTAATGTGTTTACGTTGATAACCATTTAGCGAGGAGCCAAGCATTGTTAACATTTTTGTTCTCCTTTGAACAGTTTACAACAATGTTGTTAATGTTTTTATATAGGTATTGTTAATAAATTACGCAATGATTATTAAAATTTTCCAAATAAATATTATCATAATTCTCATCATTATTAAGGGGTGAGTATGAGCATATCCATGTTTGAGAAATAACTTTTAATAATATGCCTTATGCTTGGCGATCATTAAATCCGATCGTTATCAATATTTTATTTGTATTTTAAATAGCACACAACTTAGATTTTGATATTTTTTGTATCGTTATCAGCTTTTTTGAGAAGATAGTTTGTTAATAACATGTATTATGTGTATTACCCATTTTGATGCAATCATTATCAATGATTTTGCTTGTATTTTCAACACCAACACAATTTAGTTATTATAATGATTAAGATTGTCAATATTTTTATGTAAACTCTTGTAATATTGAGCATTGATTAGTATACTAAAACCGTTAATCATAATAGGCGTATCAGTAATAATTCAATTCATTGACGTTAATAATGTAATTGGAAATCGTTGTAAGAGGCTATGATTGACTAATTATGAACATGACGTGATAACGTGAATCGTTAATAAAGATGTTGTAGATCAATGATAGTGTTATTCAAATCATTAATGATAATATTACATAACTTTAATAATCCACTCATAAGAGTTGATGTCGAAAATGTAAATCTTTAACAAATCGATCTAAAATTATTAATAATCTCAAAGCATTGATTAGTTTTGTACAATCCCACAAAAATGTTTTTAGTTTCGAACGAAATACAATATTGTCTTAAAAAATATTGTTTTGATTGTTTTCAATGAAAACAATTTCGTTATCAACGATTTGAACCTCACTCATCCATTATTATTAATTCCAGTGTCATTGTCAATCTGTTTAAACATGGACTATTATTAAACATTTGTACCATTAACTTTCACCATTGATCAATCTGGCTAATTATTAACATTTCTTTGCCTATTTTTATTAATTTGGCTTCTGTTATCAATATCTTTTTAAAGAGACATAAAAAATGTTTCTTTGTCCATCATCAATTTTTAAAGCTCGTGTTATTATTAAATATTGGAATCATTATCAACGTTTCTTTGTCGATCATCACTCTTTCTAACAGTTTGATTACTTACGTCTTATCAATATTTTTAACCTTGCCCATTATAATTATTAACGTTTTTGTACCATTTTCAATATTTTCCTCCGCATTATGAAGCGGGAAGATTGGACAAGGCGAAGTCAGTGCTGACAAAAGTGACGTCGGAAATGGCAACCGACGAGGGAGATGCGTTGTTTGGCAGTTGCCAGCTAGCAGTCAAGGAATGGACGTACCTGGGTTCTTATGTGTTTTGGTGGCTTTAGTTGGTTTGTTGGTTACCGCGCCATTGCCGTCAATTCAAACCACCAATCAGTTTGTTGTGCGACACATAAGGAGATATCTATGGCAGAAAAGAACTCTCGCCTTCGCTCGCTGGCCGTAGAACGACCCTCAACTCCCGTCATACTCATAACTCATCCGCTGCAACTCCTCCACTTGCAGGGCTTCCTTACCACCGATAAATCAAGCTCAAAACTTATGGATGGTACCAGGACAAATTGATATTTGCAAATAAAAAATTGATTGAACGAATGATTAGTTTGTAACAAGAACACAAAACAGGTAGAAACATCATCCATAGACCAATCCTAGTTTGTTACAAGAACACAAAACTGATGGAAACTGTCCATAGACCAATCCATCGATAAACAGCCTGGAAAGCCTGACCGTGCTTGCTGCGCTTCTTCCGTCCAAATTCAAGAGCCTGAAAAACAAACAACAAAAAATCTTACTAACACACTTTGCTCTTCAAGAAAGGAGATCAGAGTTCAAGACAGGTACCTTCTCCATATGAACAAGAGAAAGCAACAGATTTAAATTCCTCAACAATATCTTCTGATTGATTCCTCTCACCCAACTTCTCCGACCAGAACATCAAGATTCCAATATCAGTTTTCAATAGTTTCACCTCAGCCTCCATTTTCACGGCATTCTGAGACTGTCGTGGGGTATCCAAAGATTGCTCCAAAAAATCCCGTCTTTGCCTCATTGTAAAGATCTGAAGCCCCACCATACTAATTGTTCCGGCAGTCGAGAGGAACTTGTTGACAGTGCTTCCTTTGAAGTTTGAAGTACGCTGCAGCACGCTTGGACATGATCTGGCCATGCTCTGCCAAATTAGAAATCGACTATTCAATGATGATGAACTACTTCAACATGAATATAGAATACCATACAAAAAAGAAAACATACCAAATTCTTTACAAACGCTGGCCAACTTCATGCATACTCGAGCCTCATCGAACTTCACAGATAACATTCTCGCCAAAGGATTCATTTCATCTTGTTCCACCACTTCACCACCAGCAGGAATAGCTCTGTAAGGGTAAGAAAGCTCTCCAAATCCTCCCTCAAAAGCTCTCCACAACTCATTAGCCTCGATTCTGTGAGCCTTATAAACTTCATCAACAATCTCCATATTTTCAGTTAAAGCAACATCTTCATCAAGATACTTGTGAAAATGAGAGGGAGGAACGAGAGAAATGGGGATGAGAGAGGATAAATAATCCTTATAGATGAACCACAGATAAGGTCGGGTTAAATAAATACAAAATTTTTGAAAATGGTGGTCCACTCCTTTGTCTCGGATATTACTTTATTCCATTGATACGTTAATCTTAATCTTAAAATATTATAAAGCACTTTAAAATTAGTTCTGGTAAGTTTTACACTGAAAGGGTTTCAGGCAGTTCTCCATAATAGTTAGATTAGCTTAATTAACCTGGAACATTTTCCATGAATCCAACAAAGAACGAACTTTAAATAAAGCAGAGAAAGGGTTTCGGGCAGCAATGCTTAAAGATTTTTTTATAAGGGTGATATAGGTTTCATTTTTTGTGATTAAAATGCTTCAAGAACTTTAAATGCACTCACCACATCTGCAACAACAAGATTCAATCCAACACCACCAAGACGAACTTTAAATGCACTCACCTCCCAATTTGATAACCATTTTGCCATGAATTAAATTGTAAATGAAAACAAAATCTTATCTATGAATTTTAGATATGTTTGAATTAGCTTGGTGGGGATCGAATTAGCATCATATAAATGATGAGAAAGTAGCGATGAAGATCTACTTTCGCAGGCCAGAAAAGAGAACTCTAAATAAGACATTATAGTGATTACTTTGATAATTTATGAACAAGTTTGCAAGTTCTTGTTTATATTTGTGTACATAAAGACAAATATTTTCCTTTATAAAGAGTGCAAGATTATGTGCATGTTGGTCTTCCCTCACTCTTATATAAGGGTGATACTCGATTTGGTTCGTTAAATATTTTAACTATTGTTCAAGTAGTCTTACTACTCTTAAAAATATTTGCCTTTATAAAAAAAATACTCCAAACTTATAAAAGAAATGGTGCTAAAAATCTAGATATAATTCAAACCACTCAAACCATTGTAATGACCCAATAGAATAATATTGCATGTTGTCACATGTAAGTTTGATTAAAAAACTTAATGGAAAGAATAAGCATACGAGAGGCCGTTAAATTCAAATTCAATACCCCAAACATCACTACTAGATACATGTCAACCATCTCGATTATGATATGGTTTACAATATGCTAGTACATGTCACACGGAGAAGAGAACCCGAGAATCCTATTTCATATTGTGATTCTTACCATCAATTTTTGTGAATTTTTTTTCTTTTTCTACCGTGTCTCCCCTTTGTAGTGTTATTAACAAGTCAAAAGGCTAGACATGAAACAACTAAATTTCATAAGTCCCAAAAATTCATCTATCACTCTCTTATTCTCCGTTTCCTACGCCCTCCCGCCCATTGCAATTCTCCCGAAAGCTATGGAATGGACGAGCAATTGTTACGGAAATTTTGAGACGTATTATTATACACGATTTTGTATACAGTGTTGATCAACAATACATATACATGTTTTCTTCTTCTTTCTTTATTCATGATTTTCTTCCTTTCCCATTGATCACCACTCTCTTTCTACATAGTTTCATCTCATTTAGGTATCACATTTCCCCGTTAATCATGGCCTCAATTTCTCAACAGGTCAGTAATCTTTTTTTTTGTTTCGTTTGATTCCTCTTGTATATTCCGCGTGACCTTAATTTTATTGTGAGTGAATATTGTGCTTATTTTTATTTGAATTTTGTGCTAGATAAGCTTTAAGCATCCACGTATCTATAGTTCGTTATAATTTAGTACTTAGGCTATTGGATATATAATCATGTAACACACTACTTCTAATGCGGTGCTTATTACAAGTCAAATAATTAAGTATGGTTAAGTTAGATCCGATGTGATGTCCCAATTCGACAACCATTTTGCCATGAATTAAATTGTAAATGAAAAAAATATTGTCTATGAATTTAAGAGATTTTCAAATTAGCTTGTCGGGATCGATTTATATGGAACCTAGTGTAACAACTAGCATAACATAAATGACGAGAAAGTAGCGATGACAATCTATGTTCGCAGCCATAAAAAAAACTCGAAATACTACATTACATTGATTACTTTGACAATTTTATGAACTCAGAAGAAACATTTTTTTTGTTCTTAAGAATAAGTTTACAAGTTGTTGCTTATATTTGTGTGCATAAAGACTAGTTATTTCTATCTTTCCTCGACTATGTTAGTAAAAAATATAAGTGAACAAGAAATCAGTTTAGTGGTAATATCACTAATTTCGTACCTGGAGATTTTAGATTCGAATTATTTTCGTAGCACTTAACTATACAAATAATCTAAGTTTCAGGCCATTAGGCCCATGATTTCTTTATACCGCAAGACCATTGGACAAGATTCATGGATTCGAAGCCCATGTACTAACAACCTAAGTTCAAACGGAACGAGTACTGGCATGTAGCAGGTAAGCGAATGACGACGACGTTATAATAGCATATTAGAAGCCTAGAAGGAAATGCCCTTATCTTCATTCGACACTGTCGACGCCAGCTGACCTTAGCAGGCATCTGCCACCGCTACCGTCCGCAGTCAGGTTTGATGCGTCCTTCAGCTTCGTCATCCTCCCCCGCCGCTGCCCCTTATGCAGAGACCGGGAATAATTAATTGGTGCCGAAATTGAGAGAGGGGAAGCGATGAGAGAAAGAGAGAGAATACATTAGCAATTTAGCATATGTTGTTGCATCTATCACAGTCGCGATTAACGCACATTGATTACCTTAACATACGTTGTTGCAGCCTTCAAATGGTTTCAGAGAAGAGCGAGACACATTTGGACCAATTCAAGTTCCCGCGGATAAGTACGTTTGCATGATTCTCGATTTCCCTTTTCCATAATGCCTTGTTTCATAATCAATTTCTCTCTGACTCGCTACAACAATCTTCCTTCACTTCTGTAGGTTGTGGGGCGCGCAAACGCAAAGATCATTGCAGAATTTTGAAATTGGCGGGGAGCGAGAGCGGATGCCAGAGCCAATAATCCGTGCATTCGGTGTCCTCAAGAAATGTGTGGCAAAGGTCTCGAGTTCTTGCTCTAAACCAATCCAATTGCTTCCATGATTCAAATTGTAGTTCTGAAATGGGAACTCTTCTATGGTGTGTATGTACTGGTTTCAGGTGAACATGGAATATGGGCTTGATCCAGCAATTGGCAAGGTCATCATGCAGGCTTCTCAAGAGGTGGCTGATGGAATGCTAAATGAACATTTTCCACTCGTCATTTGGCAGACTGGTAGTGGCACTCAAAGCAACATGAATGCCAATGAGGTCAGCGTTATGTTCTATTTTCTATTGATCTAGCATAGTCAACAAAGTTTAAAATTTACTTCGCACTTGTCGACATGTTGACCATTATTAGTTAGTGGCCATCAGATTAGTGCTAAAATGTGAACGGAATCTGATGCTTCTAAACGAGACACAGAACATATAGCTCTACCAAGTTTATTCATCTAAAGATGGTTGAATGTGTGTTATCATTATGAAGTTAATTGATCTGCTTTGAGTTTTTTTTCTATTAGTTGATCATGTTCATTACACATTTTCCAGGTTATTGCCAATAGAGCTGCTGAAATCCTTGGCCATAAGCGTGGCGAGAAGTATGTGCACCCAAATGACCATGTTAATAGATCACAATCTTCCAATGACACTTTTCCAACTGTAAGCACAATTCACTATTTAATCTTCTACTTTACTCCCTAATATGTTTTACTTTATGCTCTTTATGTGTATTTTCCATGTTGAATTTGAAATTGTTCGTTTTTCATGTTGGTCATCTATATGTAGGTGATGCACATATCAGCTGCAATGGAAATAAACTCAAGATTGTTGCCAAATTTGAAGACTTTGTATGCTACTGTACATGCAAAGGTAACTGTTGTCATCAAGTTTAACTGTTCCAGCTGCCTATCTCTTAGTTTTCCTGCATTATCTATGGTTTTTCCATGTGAAAAATCTTTCTGGTGTCCATGTGTTTGTTTCAACTTCATAAGTTGCATTCTCAGTAGTACATCTTTATGCTTTCAACATGAATGTTACGGCTACTGCTCAACTTTTGAGTCACTTTGTGTATCTTCTTCTGCCTCAGTCTATTGAATTCAAGGATATCGTTAAGATTGGGCGTACTCATACTCAAGATGCAACCCCATTGACGCTTGGTCAAGAGTTTAGTGGCTATAGCACCCAAGTGAGATCCATCATCACTTTTCATTTTGCCTTCACCTTTTTCGTAATAGGTTGTCCTTTCCTCATCCTTTTGTGTTGTTTCCAGTTGCAATATGGAATTGATCGTGTCACTTGCACTCTGCCCCGCATGTATCAGGTTGGCTACTGTTCCACATTTGTAATTCACAATTTTGTTTTTCCCATTCCCCTATTCCATAGAAGAAATGACAACTTGGGAATTTTGAATGCAGCTTGCTCAAGGTGGAACCGCAGTTGGAACTGGCTTGAACACCAAGAAAGGGTAAGATATTTTCTCTATGCTTTTTGGCCCCTGCAAGTGCCTCTCTGCTAGTGTTTGCATGTGTCTGACTGTTTGTTATGGGACAATCCAAGTACCATATCGGTAATACAAGGAAGGAGACCCTTGTATATTAGTGTCCACCAAGTCCAATTAGTACGAGGCCTTTTGGGGAGGATATCCAAAGGTAAAATCGTACAGGCTTTGCCCAAAGCGTACAATATCGTACTAATGGGCTGCCCAGTTATGACAAGTGGTATCAGAGCCTGGTACGGTGCTGGGCGGTGGACGTAAGTTTGGTGGGACCCTCATTCGGTGACCTCGAGATTTGAGATCTGCATTTTCCTGGCGGGTCAAAGGTGATTCGCGTCTGTTTGGTGGATCCGGGAGAGATCCACATTTGGGCTTGGCGGATCAAAGAGAGTTCCACATTTGTGAAGCAGATCAAAGAGGGTTTTGCGTCTGGAAAAATCCTTGTACCAAGAAGCCCATCGATACAAGGTGTCTGGCGGATCAAGATAATCGCCAAGGAGAGGAAACAAAGTTAGTGGTCAATGTCTTGAGGGGAGGATTGTTATGGGACAATCCAAGTACCACATCAGTAATACAAGGAAAGAGACCCTTGTATATTAGTGTCCACCAAGTCCAATTAGTACGAGACCATTTGGGGAGGATATCCAAAGATAAAACCGTGCGGGCTTTGCCCAAAGCGGACAATATCGTACTAATGGGCTACCCAGTTATGACATTGTTTTTGTCACTAGAGTTCTGTTTACATATAGTTTAACATTACTATTACATATACCTTATTAGATAAACGAACTCCAAAAAAAGGGTAAAGATCCACTCTAGTTACATGTAGTTTAACATTACTATTACATATACCTTATTAGATAAACAACCACGAAAGAATGTTAAGATCCATGTCTAATGCTCTTATTATACATTTTTTTAATATTGTAACGAAATATGGAATATCTTTTGCTGCAATCATGGCTCGGGAATGCACCATTTTATTTCGGGCAATACCTCATTTGTAGTTGTTATGTTTCAAAAAGGACCTTAAACTTTTTTTAGTCGGATCTAAATGGTTCACAGGGCATTCATTGGCCTTTTGATGGATATGTTCTTTATGAACCTATAGGTTTGATACAAAGATTGCTCAAGCTATAGCGGAAGAAACTAGACTACCATTTGTTACAGCAGAGAACAAATTTGAAGCGCTGGTTAGTTTTAGTTTTGTTTCTTATATTAAAGACTTTGTGATTTTCCTTTCGTTATTGTTTGTGCTACATTAAGCCGGGGAGAAAACAACTATGCTTTGCTAAAAAGACTTGAAACTTGTTAGGCTGCACATGATGCTTTTGTTGAATGTAGTGGAGCTCTCAACACCATTGCTACTTCATTGATGAAGATTGCCAATGACATACGCTTCCTAGGAAGGTGAATATACAATATCTAGAGAATAAACTCTTCTGTCTCTGAATTTCTTCCCACGTTTTCACGAAGTTCTTTCATCGTTTCATTTGATCAGCGGTCCAAGATGTGGACTTGGCGAACTTACTCTTCCAGAAAATGAGCCTGGTAGCAGTATCATGCCGGTATATATATATAAATAAAAAGATATTTTCATACACAAATGTTTTTGTTGACTGATGAACTTGGATTGACGATTTTCACTCATTATGGTTCGACTTATTGCAGGGTAAGGTTAATCCCACTCAATGTGAGGCACTTACTATGGTCTGTGCTCAGGTAAATTCAATTTTTGTTTTCTTTTTCATCTTTAGCTGCAGAGCTTCTTCCTTAATTATTGTTGTTCATCTTCGTACTTCTGACAATATGATCCAGGTTGTGATTATGTATGTTCTCTCCATTCACATGATTGTTATATCCATACAGGTTATGGGGAACCATGTTGCCTTAACTGTTGGTGGATCAAATGGCCACTTTGAGTTAAATGTATTCAAGCCTATGATTGCTAGTAACCTCCTTCATGTATGTTATGTTCCTAAAATTATCTTGTTGTTTTGTGCCTAGTATTTATAAAACTAAGTTGTATTGCATACTCAGTGCATTGTCTTGTTCAAAACTTGTGAAACAGTCGGTAAGATTGCTTGGAGACGCATCTGCCTCGTTTGAAAAGAACTGCGTGAAGGGAATTCAAGCTAACAAGGAAAGAATTTCCAAGTTGCTGCATGAGGTAAGTAATTGGAATGAATTGTAGAAACTACCTATATGTATTGGATTGCAATGGCTAATGAACCCTAATGGATTTTTCTTTTGTCGGCTTTTTTCAGTCACTGATGCTCGTTACATCCCTGAATCCTGTAAGTTACTCTCGGTCCACTCGAATAATAATATCATTCAAAACTCAGCCTTCACTTTCTTAACCTGCTGATTGCTGATTTCCCCGTAGAAAATTGGGTATGACAATGCCGCTGCACTTGCTAAGCTTGCTCACAAGGAAGGACTTACTCTGAAGGTTATTATTCCTCCCCCCAACTTTTTGTGTGCTTCTGCGATTCTTTATCGTCTTTTCTTTAGTAACAAGAACCGGGTAGTGGCGTTCTATTTTGTTTTGTGTTTTTCTCACTGACATGAGGGAACTTGAATATATAAACCGGTAATGATGTCTGCAGGAAGCTGCGCTGAAATTGGCAGTTTTGACCGGTGATGAGTTTGATCAGCTGGTTGTACCTCAGAAGATGATTGGACCATCCGACTGAAGCAAACACACATCTTTAAGACAAAAGAGTTCCTCCCTAAGCAATTTTGGTAGTAGAGCACTGGGAAAGGCTTGCAACGTCGTTCTAGGTCCTTTGATATGTAGAATTCTTGTTGTACTTGTGGCATAATGGTTTGAAGAAATGAATTTTACTCACAAGCTAATTCAAGGCACACTGTGTCAACCTTGCTTATTGTGTTAGGAACGTTTAAGCGCTATACTTCGATTTTAATATAATTTGTTCATGACATAGAATACAAGCAAATCATATTATTGAATTGCATAAATGTGTTTTAGGGCACTATCACCAACAATATCGCCATTGTTATGGCACGAGGACACCATTCAACGATGTTAGCTTTGAGAGTTGATTAACTTATATTCTCTTGGGGACCTAAGTCATGTTGGTCTTAATGAAGCTCTCGTAGAGCATCACCTAGTCGTCTTTTGACACGAAGCCAATACAATAAGTTTCTTCTTCTTGTTCAACGACATGCAAATTTTCCATAACAATGTCGTCTCTATGTTTTACATCTCTTTCCTTCGAGGACAATTTTCATTTTCTTCTATATATGATTATGTAACGACGAGTTAATACTTACCTTTCGACAATATACTGCAATCATTAATGTAGAGCTTTCGTGGTAGCAAAATGAAAGGAGAGGAGTATTGGATAATTGACTTACATCCAGTTTTGCTAGAACAATTCTATAATCTTCAGTCTCTTAGATGATCACTCAACAATCAACATAATTTGTCCATTATACATGCTTAATGTCAAACCCAATTAAAATTAGCAGAAAAAGGCTCGTTCAGGAATCGTCAACAAGTTCAAGGGTCAATTAAGAGTAAATCATAGTTCAAGGGCCACTTTTGTTAAATATATAAAATTTAGGTGCTAAATTTGGCATTTACCCTAAACAGAAAATGGAAATTGATAACTCTTATTCAGTTATTCTCTTACTTGTTCTCTACGAAGCATTAGGTCTAAAAATATAAATCAGAAACACAGTATCATCGAACTCGAGAGCTTATTTACTTCCATCAATCGAAAATATCCCTTCCCGCTTATCGTCGCTAGGATTTGCTACCATGGATACGACTCTCCAGGATCTGAATGCTCCCCACTCGATGGGCACCACCATCATCGGCGTCACTTACAACGGCGGCGTCATCCTCGGTGCAGATTCCCGTACCAGCACCGGTAGGTTAAGCACAGAACTCGTCCTGCTAAATTTATTAGTGTTGGGGTTTCTCGTTCATTCATAGATCTGAGGATGTCGCTGATGTTGATTTGATTGTGAAAAGAGAGGACATTTTTGTTGGGTATGGACTCGATCAAAGAATTATGTGCTTTTAGGGTTTTAGTTCTGACGAATTCCGGTGTCTGCAATTTGTAGGAATGTACGTCGCTAACAGGGCTTCGGACAAGATTACCCAGCTCACCGACAACGTCTACGTCTGTCGTTCTGGATCGGTACTAATGGCAGCTTTGCAATTATTGTGAACACTAGTGCTTGTTGAACTTTGGCGTAGATGCTTGGAATAGTTTGTTCTGGGGCATTTGCTCTCCAATTTCAGCTCAAGCATCAATTGCATTACTCTTAATGATCCTCTCAAAGCTGTTTGTGGGCTTTGGAATTTACGATTATGTTCTCCTATGATGCAGGCTGCTGATTCCCAGATTGTTTCGGACTATGTACGATACTTCTTGCATCAACACACGTGAGTTGACCTGCCTTATGATGCTTTGCTTACATTCTTGTGCCTTCATCTATTTTAGCCCATTATGAAAATATCGGGGCTTAGCTTATCACTGTTATGTGACTGGCGGTTTGTGAACCAGTTACTCCGTCATATGCTCGAGACTACATGTTAGAAAGAATAACCAGAGTTAGGAACTAGTGATATAGAAAAACTACCCTCTTGAAAATATTGTCCGTATGGTTCTGCATTCAGCTCCCAAGAACCAACAATTACTGACAAATTTTAGAACTCGGGCGAAACCCTATAGTTATCAGGGATAAGAAAAACCACTGCTTGCCATTGTGTGGCTGCATTATCTACACCAGGATGCTGGTTCATATTTAGCAGGGTAAAGCTTTGTTGGATTATGTGCATCATAGTTGTTGACAGATACTCCATTTGATGCCTAAACGTGATGATATTCTGGGGAGATTTCTTATTTCATATGTAGTTGTTTCTGTTTGCCAATGTAGAAGCAGGCAGCTTTCAGTCCTTGTTAAGCTTATCTTTTAGAAGTCTTATCTACTATGTTTCATTTCTTTTGCAGAATACAACTGGGACAGCCTGCAACAGTGAAAGTTGCTGCAAACCTTGTCCGATTAATATCTTATGGCAATAAGGTTGGTTTCGAGTTGTCTTTCCTGCTATAAAGTATCTAGTGAAAAAAGGGTTCTCTGAGAGGAGATGGTGAAAAAATCTGGTTACGAAGTAGAGTGTTTTGGTAGGTAGAGAGCTGCTTGTTGCTTTACCTATTTTTCTTTGGGTACTAACTTTGACTTCATGTTTTCTCTGAACTTCCAGAACATGCTACAAACTGGTCTCATTATTGGTGGATGGGACAAGTATGAAGGCGGGAAAATTTATGGAGTTCCTCTTGGTGGAACATTGGTAGAGGCACCCTTTGCTATTGGAGGTACTTCTTTTTGTAGTTATCTGCGTGGAGAATGATGTGCATATCTTCTTGTTTCGGCTTCTATTCATGTTCCATTTATGAATGGTCTGATAAGATTTTTCATGGGTAACCATAATTAGGTTGATTAAATTGTAGCCTAGGCAACACTTTCTTAAGCTTTTACTGTGTGTATGCTTCTTTCGTCATTTGCCTATGTATTCCTCCTCTTCAATTCTTTTGGGTTTTGGTACACATAATAAGATGTTACACTTCTAAAGTTATGAATATTGGGTTGAGTAAGAGGACAAACTAGTCTGGATGAAGTAGGGAATCGAGCAAGGATTAAACCGACTATAACCATGGTTGGCAGATCTCATTAATGTTATCATATTAAAGAAGTAGGAATGTATTATCGTGATAGTTGTAGGCAATGGGAAGATAATGAATGATATTTTGTAGGATCTGGCTCCAGTTACTTATATGGGTTCTTTGATCAAGTTTGGAAAGAAGGCATGACCAAAGAGGAAGCTGAGGTAACAGACTGTTAAAGAACCCTCCTGCCTCCCATAATGGGAACGAATCGATAACATCAGCAATGTTTTTATTCTTCCTTCTGCTTTGGTGCATGCAGCAATTAGTGGTGAAGGCAGTTTCCCTTGCCATAGCAAGAGATGGCGCTAGTGGCGGTGTTGTTCGCACTGTAGTTGTAAGTACCTGGCTTCAGAGCTCTTTACAGTTTGGAGTTTGTTTATGAGAATGCAACTGAAAAACCCCTTTTCCTTTTTCTGGGCAGATTAACTCTGATGGAGTGACGAGAAACTTCTACCCTGGTGACACTCTACCTCTGTGGCATGAAGAGTTGGAGGCGCAGAACTCGTTGTTGGATATACTCAATGCACAAGGGCAAAGCCCTGAGCCAATGAACATCTGAAGGAAGGTATGAGGGTGGTAGACGCTGTTGCCATTTGGTAGTTACGCCGTAAAACCCCTTTTTCAGTATCAGTTGGTTTGGTTCTATGTACTCCTTCCATTTCAAAAAGGTTATGGGTTTATGAATATCCTGCTGAGCTGCTGCATTTGTAATTTACTGTGTTGGATCTTTTACAGTCGTTAGTGAATTCCTTCAGATGTTCTGTTTAACCCTGATGGAATGAATTGCTTCATCCCTCTTCACATCCAACTGTTAAGCATATAAGATATGGTCCTTCAACATTGGCTCGGGTATCTCGTGCTTACAACACCATCGTCCATCTGTAGACTGTAAAGGTGTCCTTACAGCTTCCGCTGCAGTTCTCAGGCTGGGTAGTTGATATGATCGATTGGTACATTAGTATGGTGTATATGAACACACTTTGTTTACTGTGGAGGATGTGCTGTTCTGTGACACCTTCAAATGGTGTTTTCTCTAGGTGTCGGTGTTGAGTTTCGTGTGGCCTCGAGATCACCAATCGAACGACCAGTGTGCACTGTGCAATGTCATTTCTCTGTCTAATCTAGAACCGTCTTCGATTGATTTTTGTTAACCATCTGATCGATGGTGACGTGTATGTGATAGAGAGTCCAATTTGCGTATATTTTACCTACACTGATTCGACCTAGAATGCTTGTATCTTAAGTTAAGTCCTAGAATGCGTGTATGGGACCTGATGTCGCGGAGAACAAGGCACTAGAACGCATAAAAGTTGCAGTCTTTAGCTAAATGAATCAGAGAGCAATAACTGGAGCTTAATGAATCATAAAAGGTAGACTGGCATTGGCTTCTACTTTCAACGTGAATGGAAGACACAGTCATGAATTGGATTTGGAGCTGAGCTGGTTCAATAATTGGAGCATACAATATTGGGACTTGGATCCACAAAGCTAAAATGCACAAATAAGAAAATGAAAAGATGAAAGTGATGAATGAATGAACGAACGAAGAGAAAGCCACCACACTGTCTTTAGTTTGGTGGGTGGTTCAATAGTCATAATTATGGATAGTTGTTCGAATTCAATTTGAATAGGATAAGATCCGAATTAAATAAAATATCTGGTAGCATGGGTATGAACTCGAATAATCACGAATAATTAGTGAGTATGATTTTCTCACTATTCAATATGAATCCGTCAGATTATACATGCATATACAATGTTTTGTATGAGTCCTTATAGTATACCCTATTGCTTCTCATGAACTAGTGTTCCTTTTTATTATTCCTTTTTGTATGAGTGGTTTGTTATTTATAATTTTCCACTTATGTAATGTTAATATACTTGTGATTAGTGACCCAACAGTTGTGATTAATGACACAAAAGTTCAAGACTTAGTTATCACATTTTGGAAAAAATTGTAAAATACGTGTTATAAACGCGCTGCTACGGATTGGGAAATCGCAGGAATCGACAAAGCAAGAATACGAAAGCGAGAATCGAAAACACGACACACGATTTACGTGGTTCACTAACACGATGTGTGTTAGCTACGTCCACGGGCGAGAGAGAGCCAGTTTCACTATATTGAGGAGATTACAGATTACAGAGGAGTATGAGAAGTATTTATAGTACTTCTCCATGTGGGTCCAAACCTAATCCAATCTGGCAAAGGAAACGGTTACAGACCAGGCCCAGAACCCGAACCCAAATAACATTGAGCCCATACACCGTGGGCCGGGGGCGTTGCCCCCGCACCCCCACCGGGGCGTTGCCCCTGGACCCCACTCGCTGACCCCCCCGATTACCAGTCGTAGCGGCTGATAATCCGATTCAAGTCATATCAACAATACGCTCATTGTCTACATCGCTCAACAAATCTAAATCAATATATCATACAAGACAATCATTCACGAACTGATAGCCATTCGATTCTGAAACTTGTTTTTTATGTAACCCAAAGTTGAAAAAGCTCTCTCGACATTTGGAGTTGCAACCGATAAAATCAATACAACTTTGAGGAGCAAATAGACTCGTGGATATGATAGATTCAATTTCGTCTCCCCATCAACTCAACCAATTCATCTGTCTTTTTAATCCACAAAATAACTCTTCATTTTGATCACAATGATAATAATTCTCCGAATCCTGTAGAAGAAAAGAATAAAAAAGATGACCAAACTCTTTAGGATAAAACAGTGTGTTAAAATACGATGGAGATAAGGGATAGTTCATGAGTTTATTTTAGTTTTTGGAAAAATTGAGAATAAGGGCTACACGTTTATAGTTACATTTATGACAAAATTACAACAACAAACGAATGCAACCAGATAGAAAAGATGTTCATTAATAACTATTGTGTTATAGATACGAATTACATATACCACCATTTATTTTTTTCCTACTCAAACTACTACTTGTGGTTTGTCAATCCCCCCCCCCCCCCCAAATTTTAGTACCTCCACTATTGGGTCCACCCATACCCGAAACCGAATTGTGTATGGATTATGGACATATGTTTGATTTACTATCTGAATCTTAATTAAGTATGAACACAAATAAAATCAGAACTAATTAGAGTGGGTTAATATATATTTACTATCTGCCCGATCTGAACCGTTTTCTAGATCCAAATTAATATGATAATGAGATCAGGTGGGACAAATAATCCAATTCAAATTTAATAATGTTAGTGGTTCATGTATGGCATTCTGTCTCTGTGTGCGCTTTGTTCTATGCATTTCCTTTATAATTACCTTATTGTCACGACTTGATTTAAATAAACAGTATTTGTCGATTGGCTTTCCTTTTTTTTTTTTTTTTTTTTTTGTGTGTGTGAAAAGATTTCCTTTCCTTGGTCTACGTAAGTGTGCATGGGAGCGTGTTAATCATGGTTGTTTGCTTAAACGCTACGTTATTTAGAAAGCCCTAAATTGATTAACTTCCAAGCAATCGACATGATGTCTCCATTCTCCAATGTGTACTTAGCTGGAAATTTTGGAGATTAAATAAGTGTCTACTGTCCACCTAGCCCAATTAGTACGAGGCCTTTTGGGGAGGAGACCCAAGAGTAAAATCGTGTGGGCTTGGCCCAAAGCGGACAATATCGTACTAATTGAGCAACCTGGTTTCGACAAGTGGTATCAGAGCCTGGTTCGGTTGGGGCGGTGGACGTCAGTTTGGTGGACCCTCATTCGGTGGCCTCGAGATTTGCGATTCGCGTCTGTTTGGCGGATCAAGGGAGATCTGCGTCTGGGCTGTTTGGTGGATCCAGGAGAGATCCACGTTTGGGTTGGGCGGATCAAAGAGAGTTTCGCGTCTGGAAAAAATCCTTGTACCGAGAAGCCCATCGATACAAGGTGTCTGGCAAATCAAGTTAATCGCTGAGGTGAGGACACGAAGTTCGTGGTCCTTGGCTTGAGGGGAGGATTGTTATGGGACAATCCAAGTACCACATCAGAAATACAAGGGAAGGAACCCTTGTATATAAGTGTCCACCTAGCCACGAGGCCTTTTGGGGAGAACACACAAGAGTAAAACCGTGCGGGCTTGGCCCAAAGCGGACAATATCGTACTAATTGAGCTCCCCGGTTATGACAATAACCCTATTGAAGCAACAGTAATGAATAGGAGATCAGACGATTAAATTTTATTAATCGAAACTAATCCGATGAATTCAATATCTTTTACCGCTTTATAGCGCGATACGTAACCAATATACCTACTAGTTTTTTTTTTCTTTTTCTAATCAATGTAGAGGTGGCAATTGGATCGGATTCGTGGATTCGTGGATTGGATTGGTGGATCCATGGATCAAATGGATTAGATCCAATGGATTGGTGGATTCATGGATTGGATCAAGTGGATTGGTGGATTGATCCATGAATCCAAATGACATCCAAGGCTTGGACCAAAATGTAAATTTTGAAAAGTTTAGGTACTAAAATGTCATAATGAAAAATTTTAGGTACCAAAATTTAATTTTCCAATGATATTTTTCGTATAAAAATATAAATTTTAGGTACCAAAATGTAAAATATAAAAAATATAGGTACCAAATCATAATTTGCCATTTGGATCCATGGATTGATCCATGAATCCACCAATCCAATTGGATTTGGATCAAATGGATTGGATTTAAATGGATTGGATTAGGTGGATAATTTGGTGGATGGATTGGATTGGATTCATGGATTTGGATCATAATTGCCACCTCTAAATCAATGACTATTTTCGTCATTTTCATGTAAAGGAAACGTGATCCACGTCTCAATAATTAGCCACTAATGGTTTAAATAAGGTGGCAGGCTGGCAGCCAGCCTCTGGACGTAGCCCAATCTCACAACTAATTCGAAAGCGAACCAAGATTTTGGAGAGGCAGAGTACTCAAGGAAAGGAAGAAGGAGATGGGCTCTGTAGCAGCAGCAGCCATGGATGCTCACATGGTGTTTGTGTACGGCAGCCTAATGGCCGACGAAGTTCTTCACGTCCTGCTGAACCGCGTCCCTCAATCCTCCTCCGCCATCCTCAATAACCAGTATGTTCCTCTCTGTTTCTCTGCCCTCGTTTTCTACCGTTTTTTTTTTTCAATTGGGAAAGTGTTGCAGACCAACTGTTTGATGATTTGCCTCTGACAGTCACAGGTGTAGCATCAAAGGGCGGGTTTATCCGGCCATTATACCCGTCGAGAACAAGAGCGTTGAAGGTAGAGTTCTGTATGAGGTCACCCAGCCTGAGCTTGAAATCCTGGATAAGTTCGAGGCTGTTGAGTACGAGCGTCGCACTGTTGAAGTTTCGCTCCCGGTAAAACACAGTGATCATCGCTTTGCCAAAGTTGTTTTTTTCTTCTTCTTTTTCTAAGAACCCATCTGCCATTTGGTTATCATTCATTTTCCTTTCCTTAAAAATGGAATCTTTTTTGTTTTTTGTATTTTTGTAGGTGGAGAAGAAGGTACAAGTGAATGCCTATGTCTGGGGGAACAAAGACGATCCTGTCTTGTATGGAGAGTGGGATTTTGAGGTACTATCTCGTTGTTTCTTTCTTCCATTTAGTTTGGCGCTTGAATGGGAAGTGCTTCGTTGTTTGAAGCTTCTTCTGATCTTTACTTGTTTTGGTGGGTGGAAGGAGTGGAAGAAATCACACATGGGTGATTTTGTGAAGATGACAGCAGAATTCATGAAAGAAGTGCTGCAGCCTGATTCTAAGACCAGGATAGCATCAAAAGATAGATTCACCTCCCCAATAATAAACGGTAACGCGATTTCCTTCATAACCAAACTGCTCCAAAATCTGAACCTTACTCTTCCGTTGACATTTCAGAGCCTGCAACTTCAGCAGCTGTGGCTATGAATGGTGCAAGCAATGATGGTCACAAGGTGTTCGTTTACGGAAGTCTAATGGCTGATGAAGTTGTTAGCATCCTGCTGAAGCGCGTCCCTCCATCCTCTCCCGCCATTCTCTACGGCTAGTGTGTTATTTTACTTTGCTTTTCCCTTCCCCTGTTTCGTATGGTTCTGAACTCTGATGGTGAATTTGATGAATGTGGGCAGTCACAGGTTCAGCATAAGAGAAAAAGTCTACCCTGCCATTTTACCGGTAGTAGGAGACAAGCAAGTTCAAGTTCATGTTCAAGGGAGGGTGTTGTTTGGAATCACAGATCCTGAACTACGAGTGTTTGATGCATTCGAAGATCAGTATGAGCGTCTCGTCCTTGAAGTTTCACTCCCGGTAAAGAACAATCTAGTGTTCTGATCTACTTGCTTCACCAGCCCTGCATCTCTCTGTAGTTAACTGACGTTTTTTTCATGACAGGAAAAGAAGCTAGAAGTGAATACCTACATTTGGCTGAAGAAAGACGATCCTGACTTGTATGGAGAGTGGGATGTTGAGGTAATCAATATTTTAAGGTAATTCATAATAGTCTACCTGGAATCGATGTCATGTCGACGAAATCTCATTTCTAGGTTTTGCCTGGTAGGAGTGGAGAAGATTGCACATGAGCGAGTTTCTGGAGATGACTGTTGGGTTCATTAAAGAGTTGCAGTCTGCAACCGCCTGATTCAAAGACTGAGATAGTGAAACTTTCTATAGCACATGTTTTCCCATCACAAGGCCTTGATGAGATGGATCCCAATTTGGGAGATGTGGTCATATCATACTTAAGTTATTGGGATGAACTATCCCAATTTGTATTGAAAGACCTTACCGGTTAAACCACGTAACAATGATCAAGCTGGTATGGAATTGTCGATACTTTTACGAGATTTCACAATACTATAAAGTACCCTTTGATCAACCAACGCCAAACACGTTTTAACGTTAAATGCACGGGCTTGTATAACAAGAGGATTTGTTCATCCTTCTCAACTTACTGAATCCTCTCTTCTGACATAGCCACACAGGGCTTCATTGCTACCTAGTAATCTTATTGCACAACTAACTAAGCTATAACTATGCCTATATCTAGTGACCAGAATTCCATTTCGTCGTTATCGTGTGTGGAAGAATTCGCGACACTCGACTGAAGGGGGCTAACTATAGGGAGCAGCAGAAATAAATAGGTCATCAGTGGGAAAGGCGTGGTGGGCTACCGTCGACGAATTCGCAGGTACCCAAACTTCCCAGCTCCAGGAGACGACCCCTCAAAAATAAATGGCAAATACCCAGTTGCTATTTTGTACTTCTGCTGAACCTGATGAGACAAAACGTGGGAGAGAATCCATCAGGTGGTAATAACTCAGTCAGTTCCTCTATGCAGAAAGGTATTGAAAAAAGCACTCTTATAGACTATGCTACTACTTTCGTATTGGACACATATATACATACCTCTAGAATTTGTTGGCTGCTGCACAAGGAGTTCCTACCAATAACACAAACGGTGCCACCAGAGCCGCCACCGGTGATTTTGGCTCCATATAACGTCCCACCTTCAGATTTCGACTTGGAACTGTGCTGAATTTCCTGGACCATCCTTACAAGCCTATCTGTTCCATCAGTGCCTAGCCCGCAAGCACTGTAGCTGTAATGACACTGAAAAACAGTTCAAAGTTCCACATGCCATTAGGGTTTAACTGATTTTGTTGCTTCTTTCTGGAGATCCTTTATCCATGTAACAAAGCCACTGTTGAGAAATCAAATACCTGATACAGTAATTCTCCTAGAGCCGTCAGTTGGTCATCCGAAGTAGCAGAGGTAAGCAATGCTTTGAAGTTCTGGTATAACAAAATGATTTGGGGTTACATAAGACTGGACTGTAGTGTTAGCAATTTCTTGCAAATATTTGTGAAAAAGTTAGAGCCAGCTAATAACTGACCTTCACTCGGAAATTCTCATAGATGGGATGTGTTGCTGGCGCTCTCACCACATACTTCCTGTTCGTATCAATCACTGTAACGGGATCGCTGTGATCAATGTACCTGTCCAGGAATTCTTGACCCAGCAGCGTCTCAGGAAGCATCTTTGCATATAGGGCTTCATATCTGCAGAGTCAAGATGGAGAAACCATAATAGGGACTGCCCGGAATAATGAAAAGCCAATGGTTCTGTTTTGTCTTAAAATGCTAAGTAATAAGGACTAATCTGTCCACAGACCTGTGTGGTGTCAAGTTGCATAAGTAGTCTAGTGGTGCTTCAGCTTCTAGTAGTGCCACACCATCATCTTCCAGCTCGTCATGGATGAACCCGTTACTGAAGTCAGATGATTTAGACACTACATCAGATGCTAAGGATTTTATGATCTTCCGACCCATGAAGGCCCCAATTCTCACAGACCCGTAGTCCGCACCACCAACACTGCCAAAATAAAAGAAGCCAAGTTTTATCTCCATAGGAAAGGCTGCAGGAGGAGTTTGACGCATGTATCTTCAGGTAGAGTGCAAGACAAGTTACCTGTGACGTATTCCAGAATCAATGCCCCAGAAACGAATATGGTTAGGAATTTCAACTAGCCCAATCACCTCAGCAGGCTGCAGAAACAATGATATTACAGCGTAACGAAAAAAAACAATGATATTACTGTACAGTCCAGATTCCAGAAAGCACCTTCCTGAAGGAGAGTCGGCTCATTAACTGAGGAATTAGCATACCTGGCAAACCATCGCCAGAAGCTTGTCAGCTTCACCACATGACGAAGTCATCTGATCCATTACACCACAAGGGGCTCCAACGATATGGTTCTCCACCTGTTAAAGGATTTAGGATCTAAATAACTCTGAGAGAAAATCTGAATCTGTGGAACAGGGATTTATGTGAGAATGCATAATAGCTAACCTTTTGGCTGAGAAGCGCAATATCTCTTGGGCTGATGCTCAATCCTACATATTTCAAAGTTGAATTGTATTAGCAATGCTCCTAAGGTCTATCATGCATGTAGGAGTAATAGCGAGAAAATGGCACTTCAGCACAAAAATCATGTACATGAAGATGATCAGAATAATAAATTACCATGAGCAGCAGCAATGGCAGACATGCTTGCGACTTCCACAGAGGCAGAAGAAGAAACACCTTTGCCTTCAGGGACAGCAGAAGAAACCTGCAGATCGGTACAAGGAAAACTTGCTTTTACGAATTTCATAACTGATGGAATGTACAATATCAGATATGATAACAAGTATGAATATTGATCCGAAAAGATTTAAAATCTAAAAGTGACTCATTGGATCATTGGGTATTCCATTAGCCATGCCTTGTATCTATTCTGGCAACACGAGTGAAAGTCATCAAATTCTAGCCTATTAGAAGGAAGTTGTGGAGCATTATACTAACTTTCAGGAGGGAATAATGAAGAAGCAAAGATCAGAATCAGACAACATTGCAGCTAAACATTAGCACAACGATACAAAACAGGAAAACATTCACCAAGTCAGAGCTTAAGATTATACCAGCATGCTTATGCTATCTTCAAACCGCACGCCTAGTTCTTTCATCAAAACCAAAATGGTCCCTGCAACATATGCTGCCCACCTGAAAAGGAACATGGTCAGTAAGATGTATAAATCATAAACAGACATCACCAAAATACAAAAGAGCAACCCACTTTTGTGAGGGATCTTGAGCAAAGTATTTATTTGCTTTCTCATACGCCATTGGCTTCCCATCTTCAAGGAAATCAGATAAGTCCATGTCAAAGGTTGGGCTGCGATTGCTTAATTCAGACCCATAAGACACCTGATAAAAAGGAAATGGACATAAGAGTGGTGCTTAAAAGAGTGTATCAACCAATGTACTCCTATAGTGAGTTCTGCTTGCCTTTGTTCTTCTGTTTCATTGTCATAAGTTAGTAATAAGTGGCATAAGTTGGCTGGGGAAGGATGAGTGGAGAAACATGGAAGACTAGAGCTTTAGGCAACAACTTACAATTTGAAGAACAGGGGTAGGTCCTTGGCCCTTTGCATTTTGCCTTGCCTGGGCATGTTTCCAGAGCTTATGTTTGCTAGGATCATTCCTTTGTACAGCAACATGGCAAGCTTCTCTTGTAGGCAACTGTAAGAAGAAATAGTAATAAACGGAAATCAAGTCACCTTAGCCATTTCATAAGATGCATCAGACATTTGGAAGCAACATTCAGTCGCGCTGAGTAGTTGGGAGCAAAAATATGCCAAAGTAAATATGTGCATAGAAGCTAGAGAAGGCACAAAATTTGAAACTGCATCTAATGCCAAACAAAAGTCTACAATAACTAGAAGCATTTCATTTTTTTCACAAGGTTAAACTGTGAACTAGAAATCCAACCTGCAAGACAAGGCTTCCTGAATAGTCAGCTATTCCTCCCATCACATCCAACCTCCCGGGCGCTCTTGCCACATAGATATCTTCCTGCTTGAAAAGAACAGACCAAAAACAAAAGCTTGTTAATTTCGGAATCCACTGAGAGGACCCCATAATGATCAGCTTGTTCACGTTTAAATTGCACATGAGGAGGACACAACTTGGTCCGTTCATAACAAAGCAGTACAATATAGCCAACACTCCAGGATGAGGTAAGATAACAGAGATATAAGTTTTGTTTGAATAAGGACCTCCCAATTGAAAAGTCCTGCAGCAGCTTTACGTTCCCGCATTTGGCGCTTCTCTGAATTCTTTTCATATTCATTTATAGCATCTAGCTCTGCCATGCTCTTCAAGAAGCTCATTGTATCTGGCAGGCCTTGAAGGTCACCATGAAGAATTTCAAAATCTTCTATATATCTGAAATAATCAGAGTATTATATAACAATTATAAAATGCATAAAGCTTAATTAAGTAGAAAAGAAGTAGGATATATAACTCACGAGTTCATTAAAGGTCCTCCCTCAGCTGCTTGAACAGTTAGTGAACCTGTAGACTTACTAAGTTCAGTTGCAGCATTTGCATACCATTCTGGGACGAGTATATCCCTTCCAGGGACCCTTTGTAGCTGATATCCAAGAACTATTGCATCCCGTAATCTTCTTGCACCACTGAGCTACATATCCATGTGGAAATTTCAAACAAAAGTACATTAAAAAATGTTGAAATGCTGCAAACAGACGTTTTCAGTTCATGCATGGAGGTAACATCTAGTGTGACACGTGAAAATGAGATAATAGCCAGGTAATTAAGTGCAACACACCCAAGAAGCCTCGATATAACACCCTTAGTCCCTTATGGATGTATGCCAAAACGGATTATAGAAGATAACATCACGAGAACATCATCTCGACATTTTCCTTCCAGAACAGTTCAATACTTGATGAACAATGAACAACAGAATTGGAATGAGTAATCACAATCCAATAATTAACATCCTTAGCCCAACAGAGATTCAAAAGTTCAGAAAGCATTAAGAATGCTCCATAATTTATTCATCATCATCACCCACCCACTGCTCTCTCATTTCATCATCTTTTGTTCATGCTTGGGATAAAATCAATAGGCTCTTACTTTTGTTCATAACGTGTTCGAAATGTACTGAAAGGACGGCTGATAAGATCTTCAGTTCAATAAATTAAGCTAGCCGGCAATGTACCTTATCTGAGGCATAGTTCTTCCCAATAGCTGTCTCTTGTATAATATGAGCTGCAACCTGCAATTTTTAACATGTATGTATCAGCAAGCAATCTATCCATGTCTGCATAAAGTTCAGGAAGTGAATAGACATAAATATTGAAGGAAGGATATCACTCTTGCATTTACAACAAGGAAAACATTCTTAGTCATAGTAAAACATTCAATAAGTTCAACCAGAGTAAATATAACGACTCAAATCTACTAAAACTCTATATCGTGTCTTTGTACCCCTAGTGAAAGGAAAACGATGCAGCATGTGTCTACTAATTTCAGCCTAGAAAAATACATAAGATACCGCAATTCTCTTCTTTGCATTAACTTGTTCTCTAAAGACAGTTCTCAAATTCTGAACAGAGCCAGCCAGTAAAGTAGCAGTATGATATATTTATTTGAGCAAAGTAGAGGAAAAGAGTACAATACCTCACCACCATTAATCCCGCCCTCATAACATGGTTTTAAGCTGATTGCACGTTCAAGGTAAGGCTTCCAGTGACCAGTAAGCAAATCCCTTCGTATCATCTCGACACCACCTTGATAATACTGTTCACATAATTTGCTTGCATTAAAATCAGACAAAGAAAGTAGTACAATAAGAAAAGATGCAGAGGAAGAAATAATGGCATCAATAGGCAACGATTGTGGGAAATATACAGAAACGAACCTCAAGCATATTCCGTAAGAAAGGCTCTTCATTAAAATAATCTCTCCGTACAAACACAAATGGTAACTTGTACGCCAAGGCTTCGCTAACAGTACCATACCCAATCTTCCCTGAAACGAAAACATAATCACTGAGAAGTGAGGACCATGATCACTTAATGTAGTGAAGTTATCAAAGTATAGCATACAGACCTAGCATGCAGTCCGATGCCGCCATAACATCAGGGGTGTAGGCATCTTTTGCTAGTTTTATGAAATTTGGTGGAAGTTCTTGGGTATCAGATGCACCACAAACCTAGATCAACCAAAAGGAGAAAAGGCGGAGAAAGTGGTGTCAGTGAAGCATGATTCTAAGATATAAGAAACATATTCTGTTTATCACCTAGACATTGCTATGAAAGTTACCAGGCACAACCAACCAGGAGGCAAAAACTCCTCCTTCAGCTTCCAGCCAGACGGCTGCAAAACAGCAAAAGTACTTCAAAGTTAGTGCTAATTACATGTCTTGGTGGATTATTCTTCTGTGTTGGTGCTAAACAGGGGAGCAGAGAGGCAGTAAAAATAGAAATCAACCAATTAATGTTGTATGATTATAGTATCCTTACCTGTCCACCAAAGTTAAGGATAACAACTTTGACATCCTCTCCAATGGCAAGTTCTTTTCTTATCTGTAACAAAAGCACCAACAAGGATCTGTATAAATCATTAAATATAAGATGAAAGAGTTTATCATTGGCACAGTACGAACCTCTTTGCGGGACTTGTGCAACCTCCTGACAACGAGGGGTACATCAATGACATCACGGAATGCTGGCACTGCAAAGAGAGAAAACATGAAGTTAGCAATCTTACAACCAAAGTTAACCTTTTCCAAGTCTTCAAATTGATGCTAAACGATAAGTAACATACTGGGGCAATATCCAGGGAGACGGATCAGGAACTCGCAATGAGAATAGTCCTCTGCAATCTACACGAAATTGGAAAAGGGTTGATTAGTTAGCTTAGATCTGTACACCCTGAGATCATACAGTATAACAAAAGGAAACATAAAGGTCTTGAATTCCAAAAGATAAAGTTCAACATGCAAATAGGGAAGGTTTACAAGCACTTCGATCAGCTAACATCAAAGGTGCTAATGGCCTTGTCCTGGTGCACATTCTTCATACCAGATCAGGACCGACCCAGATAATCGTGCATACAAATTGCCAAGTAAACTGCCTAAAAGTAAATTTTAGGAACAATCTCATGCAGGGAAAAAGAAAACCACCTGCCAAACTATTGAACGGTGATGATTCCCAGCCGCCATCACATACTCCGCATATATGAAATCCCAACTGCAGCCATAGCAAAACTTGAGCAAATTTTCATGTGTTTTCAGCAAACATTTACAAAATGACAGGGTAAGAGTAAGATTGATAAGCTCAAAATATACAGACTCGTCAATATGACATGACAAATTCATCATGAAAAATTATTTAAATCATGAAGAAGAACTGTTTTGCGACTTCGAAAATCCATCAGGGCATACATGCATATACAGTAAGGACCCAACAAAAATAACTGAACTGCATGTAACACTGCAATATGACCCAGGGTGCTTCAGCTTAATAAGTTAAGAACAAAAGGGCTTGGCTTGCCAACACAATTCCTTTCCCCGATAGGGAGTTCAAAAAACGATCAACCCCCCAAAATAGTAAACAGTAATGACAAGTACCTAAAGTTGGTTACACAAACAGATCGAATACCAGCTTCAGCTGCAGCACGACAAGCAACTGGAACAACATCTGAAACCTGCAGTACCAACCCAAACCAACATCAGAGACCCCATTTCACCTTATGCTATAACATTTACAATCCGAAGAAATCATCGTCAATTAAGTGGCCGCACTAGCATAGTCAGCTGAGAGACAGGTATGACGCACCACTAAGTCAACTTTGATGGTATTGAGCCACTCAACCTCAGTAGCCAAAATAGATTCCCGGGGTTTAACTGCCGTCTCTGAATACTAAAATAGCATTCAAAAGACACCAAAACAAGAAGAATCAATAATCAAAGTACACAAAAAGTAAAAAAGGTAAAAGTAATCTAATCAAGGGAAGAACAAGAAACAGCATCTATTACACCATGAGAAACCATTGTCCCAAACGAGTCAGCTAATACACAAAGCTATATGCTGTGAAATGAGTACCTTCTCCAAGGAAGCAAGCCGATCAACTGTTAATGCATCAGCTTGAACAGCACCGCAGTCCAGAAGTACCTGAAAGCTCAAAACTTCATTAGTTTTTCCCAAGACCCACAAGTCGAAACCTCCAAAGCAGCAACCTTTCACAAGATCAACAAAAGGCGAAACAGGACATAGCTATCTACCTTGCGGATAAACAGACGGGGAGACTGTATCTCTGAAGTGAACACAAAATCAGGAGCACCCGTCACCACATGGACATCATGCCCTGCCAGAATCAGATTCCTTACTACCTGCCATCACACACAGAGACACGAATACCCATATCAGAATCGAGAAGCTTAAGGAAACATGATCGATCACTCGATTACAGACGTGATCACAGCCGCAATTCTACCGTTAGCATAGCTAAAAAAAACCCATTATACACTGTCTTTGATCAATCCGATTAGGAAACCCATATATGCACAACTAGCTTTGTGCCCGGCCCGTTGGCCGGGTGAATTTCGTATTGGTATCTAATTAATCAAATATTTTTTCATTATGGTTAGACTATTATAAAATTTTAAGTAATTTATGTTTTAACAATTCATTTTCACAAATATATTTGTGGTCTCTTAATATATGTATGAAATCTAAGTAATTTTTTATTTCTCAACTGAACAACCAACATTCAATCAATAATTGTGTAGTATTAGATTTACACAATTCACATTTCTCACTTAAACGTTCGATTTATTTTTTGATAAATATTGACTTGTGGTTAATTTTATTCATCTGATTTTGAAGATAGAGAATAATGTCCAATATTATTTGTGTGATATTAAGGATTGCTAATTTCCTTATGCTGGTAGTTTTCTCTCTCTCAACCTAAAGAGTAAACATTTACCCTCCATTCTAATACATGTCACATTGAATTTGAAAACTCTACTAACATTTATCATGCACACATAATGGTTCAACCTCTCTAATTTATATTGATGTCATCTAAGGAGGTTTAAAAAGTTCCATTGTATGAATTTATGTTCTAAATTTTTAATTAAAGCACTCAAACTCATCATATTATATCTAAGCTAAAAAAAACATTGGTTTGTAAAGTTAGTTAACTCTTATTTAATAAAGTCTCACTTTTGTACTACTTGATTTTCTGTTTATCTTTTAATTGTATATATTTATTTATGCCCTATTAGACCTTTTTTGGATTTTTTTGTTCATACACATTTTTTGCGTAAGTTTGTAACTAAAGCTTATGATTATATCTTTTTTGTGTGTGAGAAAGCGGAGCGCTAAAAGGCGCCCCCAACCTTTAATTAGAAGACGGAGCTTATGATTATATCTGATAATGTTTAAAAAAATTCAACGGCTGAAAAAATTATTAAATAATTAATTCTTTATTGTAAAATCCCATTATGCATAATTAAGTATTCAACAGTTGTTTGTAGTTTAATGAAATATTCTTATTTTAATTAAGTATTACGCAGGGTTAAATAATTTTGAGTAACCCACTTAAACTATACGTCCCAAGAGTCAAAAGAAGAAGAAAAAAAGAACATATAAAATAGAAAGATAAAGGTGATATTAAGTATTCACTCATAAAACGGATAAGTCATTATCGTTAGTTTTTTTTCCAAACGGCCACAAATAATAAATACTATTAAAAAAGTGTGTGGGGTTACCGCACGGAGGGGATTTTGGAAACGAATTGTCATTGGTTAATGCTCGCTGACGTGGAAGCGCAGATGAATGGGAAATTTGAATCCCTGAACGTCATTTTGGGAAAACGCTTATATGTTTTTTTAGATTGACGGGAACGAATTGAGGGAGTGAAAGAGAGAGAAAGGGGACCTCAACAACACGAGTGGCATGGCCGAAGCCATGGCCGGTGACGTAGTAAGCGAAGACGAGGTGCTTCCTCGACGCCGAGACGCCTTCGCTCTCCTCAAACCGCATGTCTTTCTTCTTCTACACGCCACACTCCTCCAATTCGGTGATTTATGACAGGGGTGAAAACAGGAAGAAGAGATTTTGACTGAGGGGGGACGATGGTGCCTGGAAAAGGGAAGAAAGGAGGGGACTTTAAATGTGGGAATTGAAGAACGGATAAGAATGGGTGACGACGCATTTACCGGAATTGGGAAGGATTTGATTTGCAGTATCGGGAAAGAAGATTATGCAAAGCTGCGGGGGAGGAGTTATCGATTAGGTACGGTAAAATGCATACTGTTTTCTGATCTGTTGAACCGAACTCTAAACCGGCGAACTCGGGTCGAGACACACTTCTTATCCGATGGATAAACAGGTAGGAGTTCTGTTACAACTTCGAGCAAATCCTGGGAAGATTTTCCCTCCATAAAACAAAAAATAAAATCGTCCTTGGAAGAGCAAACGGCAGAGACTGCTATGTTTCGCAGCCCAATCAACACATGCATATCTTATGATGATTATTGTTTGTAAGGTTGCTGCAAGTACAATACATTCCATGAAATACAGAATCCTGATAATGTGAATCCATGGATATGGGGTTTTGAATGATAGAGGTATATAGTTTAGTGGATTAACATGCTATAATTTTGTAATGATCTCTTGTAAATTGTATACTTAAACACATGTTATCGCTAATAAAGTTGCTGACTCTTCTCTTATGAGTTATAATATAAGTTATAACAAAGTATTAGAGCAACCTACAACGATAGTTAGTCCGTTAGAATACGGAAATAAGATGGTTATAAATTTTAATATAATTTGAAGAATAAAATCTTCAACAAAAACCAATGTAGAGGTAGATTGTGAATATTGGCTACGCAGACTTGTGAATATTAGGGTGGATAAGTGGGTGGTGAATCTACGGGTTGACATAGATCCATCAACAAATAATCCACAATGTTGCGTGGGTGATCGATGTGGAAAGATAATGGGCGATAAATATAATGTTCACACTTATTTGAGTGAATGGGTTGGAGATTAATTTGATGATTCGCAACCACGGTTACATGACAAAAGAGTTGGGGTTTTTTTTTCCATTCTATCGAAGGACCATCATATTATCCAATCTTCCCACACACTAATCATTGACTCTAAAGTCCGATAAACAAAGATTTTGAATTACTAGTATTAGTTACTATGTTGGCTAGTGTTGGTTAGATATTGAGATGCAGTTATAAATAGATAATTGTATAAAAGTCACCATAAGCGTTATTTTTCTCTACATTTATTTTATGGATTAGTGTGATCACTGATAACATCTACTAAAAAAACGTGAAATCTACATGTGTGAGAAGTAGTTGATAAAATTTGAGACAAAATCCACCCAACCCTCCAAGTGCTCACCTCTAATAAAGCTTAGATGTATTTCATTCATGTCAACTTTTATGGTTAACCACATCGTTGAAGTAAAGTTTTTCCTCTTGACTTAAATTTATGTAGTAATCACTCTCTTTTTTCACAAGTCGTAAAGGTTCGGACACACAAGTGTATTTGACCTGAATTGAAACAAGAGTTTCAAAATTAAAATTTTTATGTACTAGAAGGATGAAATCGAAGAAACGTAAGAGGTCAATTGATATTATTTGCTAAAGGAGAGCCGTATCATGCAAATGAAAGTAATTTGAGGGCTAATTCGTAATTGTGTTATGAAATCGAGAAAAGGGTTTTCGCCGGTACTGCCCAAATGTTGTATATATATACATCTTAACTCCAACTGCAAAGAGAAATCTTCCGCCTCCAACGATGCAGAGCTTCCGTAATTAGGGTTTCGTATTTGTTCGCCGCATGGCGTCTCCTCTTCTTCTTCACACCCGGCAATTTACAGGCTCTGTTCCTCTTCTTGTTTATTGTTTGGGTGTTTACAGGCTCTGTTCCTCTTCTTGTTTATTGTTTGGGTGTTTGGGAAAGATGGGTTCTTTTAACTAAAACGGGGCTGAAGTTTGGCTCTTTGGCTCATGTTTTAATGCCATAGAGATGAATGCAGCTACCCAATAACAAATTCAATTCTTTTCATCCTTTTCTTCTCAGTCTGGTTTCTGGGTTGATATCTAAGGGGATGGAAGGGTTGATACATCTCCTTCCATTGCCTATCTGGTTTTCTCAGTTCCATAAATACGCTTTCTCTTAATGTCTTTAATTCATTCGAGTGGTGATTCAGGCAGCCTCTTTGCCAATAAACAGATGGCGAAGAAGGTGTTTAACTGCTCGTAAAGTAATGTCTTTTGACTCTTCAGACTTGCTGAGAATTTTCTCTATGAAGCTGGTCTAGTAAGCTTAAGCACATCCCCGAAGTCTTTGGACCATGGTTTTTTGCCATTTCTTTTGGGATCTTCTCCCCTGTTCTGGATTTGAGCTGGTTAATCTTTCCAAAGTGACCAACAACGTTGGGAATAGACAGTCGGTTCCATGGTGTAGTGGTGAGCACTCTTGGCTTTGACCTGGGTTCGAATCCCGGTGGGACCTGTCAATTTCTTATTATACCAGCACACATAGTTTTGCAAATTTTGACAGAACCATAACAGAACTGAGACAAATAATAAGAACTGTATTGAAAATGAACTGGAACCAAGAATATAACTATCAGTCAACTCAGGTAAATATACAACTGTGAAAATTTTGACAGAAACTAGTCATTACAAAGCCTCACTGCACGTGAAACAAGAACTACTCTGTACTATAATTGCATTCCGAAGAAACTACTATATACATCATCTATGACATTTTCACGGTGTAGACGTGTAGTTATGTTTAGGACTACTGGTAAGATCATCCATGGCGGCGTTGGCTGCCAATAAAAATGCGATTCCTTAGTCTCTGTTGTTCCAACGACGCAAAGATCTTTCACTGTACCTAGCCGGAGATTCATCTGTATCCATCATTTTAGTATCTTTTGCCTCCATGGCTTCTGAACACGTTGTGGCTTATCCATCTGAGTTCATGTTTGGTTGGTCATCATACATTGATTCCTACTGGCACAACCCGACCTACCTCCTCATTAGTGACTAGGCCCCTACTTGATCCAAAAACACTGGAAATACATCAAATGGGAATAACAGTTGACAGGTAGTAAGGTTCTGGAATCTGAATTAGCAGTTATCATCATCACTTGCTTAATCCAAAAACTAATTCTTGCAGAAAAAAACATTGGCTTTTTATCTGGACACTCTTCAGGACGAAAGGAGATAGAAACAGGGCTGTGCCCTCAAGCAGAATTATGGTCATAAAATAGAGTACCAAAGATGTTACATTAATAACAGTTCACGTTTAATTCATAACATCCATGAGCACAACTTATGCACCAAAATCAAGCTCCAATGATCATTGTCAAGCTAAAACTAGTTGCTTATGCAACAAACGTAACGCTAAGCACAGGACCAACAATGTCACTTAGATAATCAAAGAAGCAAGAAGACCCTTTAAGGCAGCAAGCGACAGAAATACTTGCCTCCTAGCTCTGGAATCAAATTGGAATCTAGCACAATGGAGAAGGCAGGGGAGCGTGGCAGCACCGGCGGCTGATATAGCACAATTGCCACTGCCTCCACCAGTCACAGAAACGGGCTCTTCACTAGAAAGAAGAGCACGAGAGCGCACCAGTCTCCTGCACTTCGCGGGGGTGAGAGTTGAAAGGAGAAGAGAAATCTTCCTCGATTTCTTGAAAGCCCTTGCGCTTCATTGCCGACGATTACTGTCGATCGAACACTTGGAACTCGAGCCTTAAGGCAAACACAACCCTAGATTCTCTGATGATACCTCAGATACCCAAACTAGATCACCGGAACGGCTACCGACGCCGGCTTTCAGGTCGTCATACTTCCGGTACGTTGAGGATTAATGCGCCTGCACGAATAAATCAATCGTTCTAGCGATCGGTAGTCAGTATGTTACTGTGTTTCCTCTCTGTATCTTCTGGTACTTTCTTGTTGTCCTTCCCGCGGTTTTCCTCTACCGAGCGCGCGCCTAACACTAAACCAGGCCGAGAGTCCTAATGGGCCTTGAGATTGAGCTACATTGGGCCTTCTATTCCCCAAATACTGACAGCCCATCGCCATCTGCGACTGCGAGAGTTCAGAGCTCGCAGACTCGAGTCTCAATTTTCACGACTATCTGTGCTAGGCCGGCGGTGGTGCTCACTTCCTGGGAAATGGCGACGCCGACCTCCGTCTTCAGATTGAAGTTTATGCCTGCGGCGACTCTCCGTCTCTTCCAGGTTAGGATTCTCGTTTTCGTAATTTTTTTTTTCCGATTTCTGAACTGAAAAACTCAGGTAGGTAGGGGGTTTCCCGTCTCCATCTTGTCAGGTAGAAAATGTAAATACGCCGGCCAATCAGTGGTAATGGAGAAAAGATGAACACTTACGATTCCGTTGTTTACAATTCCCGGCAGAGAGCTTTACACTGTGCAAATCATGTCTGAGCGGACGAATTTTCCGGCGGGAAGTTGAGCAAAGAAATCGTTCACCATAGATTAGAATTCCGTTCTAGTGATATAAAGAAGATGTTACTTTGTTAGTGGACGGTGGAGGGCGGCGGAGCAGAAATAGCGGGAAATTAAAATCTGCGGGACTGTTTGCGTAATTAGAAGGAAGGATAGGGGCTGTTTTGAAAATTATGCTTTCGTGGACGGGTTATCGGATGATGGGTGGCGGGAGGAAGAACTAACTGAGCAAAGTTAACGGAAAGAGGGATGGCGCTGGTAGCGGCAACGGCGCTCTGAAGACTGCAATTCCGGGGAAGGAAATGAGAATGGAAATGTTAATTTTAGCTCCGGCGAAGGTGAATGTGAATTGCTGGAGTATGGAGAAGTTTCCGTCGTTGCCGTCAAGTAGTGGCTCGTCAAAGCATTTATTGAAGTCTGTAAATTGCGCTTCTTCTTCTTCTTCATCTGTCCAGCAGGTCCAAGAACAACGAGAGGTAAGTTGGTTACTTGGTTTCCTTCTTCATTATCCAATTTCTCATTCGGAGAAGAAGAAGCTGTTTCCTTATGAGATAAATGGTTTTGTTGAAGGTTGATTCGGGGATTATATGCGAACCTTGCAACGGGCAAGGATGGGTAGTTTGTGATTTCTGCAAAGGGCAGAAAACTAACGTGAAAGCCGAGAACAAACGAGTATACCGCCGGTGTCCATCTTGCAAAGCGGTAAGTAAATGTGACCACGTACCAGCTTTGAGAAAAGCCATTGAATTCTTAGCTTTCTGAGTGTTTGCCGTGCCTACTTTTTGTTCATGGTCGATGAATGGTTTTGCTTAAATGGTACTGCAGGTTGGATACCTCTTGTGTTCAAAGTGCAAAGTGTTCAAATGTGTTACATTTCCGAATTACAGTGACGGAGAGCAGCTGTCCTTCTAATCAACCCGCCTGTCTATTGCCATTGCCAAGTGCAATCCTTGTGAGTAGTGGAACAATACAGAATACTGTTAGTTTGTTGAAGTGTTGGGAAATCTTGATTCGCAGGTTCCTATCATTTTCCTCACTTGTGCATATTGTTATTGATGTAAATTGAATTCGATGGCGATTCATGAATCCATTTTTTTTTTCGTATTTGATTGTGAAAGGTGTCCCTTGTTGACTTATTAGATCAGTTCTGTGTCCTCTGCCTTCACTAACTAAGAATCTTTGTGCCTATGATTGCTGAGGCTCTGCATTTTTTACTGTAAACCATGTTCATAACTTCTCAAGTATTGTCAATCCTTCCTGATATTTACATAGTTCGTTAAGCACTTGAACATAACAGAACATTATCCCATCAGAACCAAGTGGTTTGAAGTAGCTTAAGTACAATTAGGCATTGTAATATATAGACATAACCACTCTCATCTGCCAAGAATATGCTTCCTAACTGTGATACAGCTAGTTGTCCCAATTTCAATGATAAGCCCATGTCGGGCTGAATCGGATGAGATTGTTGGGATGTTCGGCTATCAGACTAAACCATTTTTCTTAGATTGCCTTGCTATAGATTGATTGGCATGTGTTCTCTTATCTGCATGTCCCAATGTTTCTTTGGCTTTCCTAAAATGTGTAACTTGTATACCATTTTTATGACGATGGACTTAGTGCAAACGTCCGAGACTACCCCAGGTTACAGTACCGCCAGCATGAGCACAAAGGGTTTTCCCGTAATGTGTACACTATAACAGAGATCAATTCAACACGCTTTGATTCCGAGTCTCTATAAGTAACGGCATCTAGTTCCAGGTTCTAGGTTTTAATGCAATCTTTCCTCTGCATTGTTTTCTTCATGCTTACAGTTGCTTAGCTTTTACTTATTAATGACTAACTTTTGCTTGCTTTGTTGGCCAATCTCTTACCCGAATCAAGGTGGTGGCCTCCTAGTTGATTAAGTCGTTAGAGAAGTAGTTACAGACTGACTTTTTGGGCTGTAGACTTCAGAGTCCATTAGAAACCCTTTTACACTTTTCAACAGGGGTTCTCTGTACCTCAGCTCCATTGCGTTATACTGATAGATGGTGACATTAACTTATTAAACTTAGTTGTTCTAATGTATCAATATCAGTTGCCGATTTATGCGGTGTATTCCTTATGCAGGACCATGCGAATCTTCTTTATATCGTTCCAATTTAATCGAACATCTCAAAATAAATCTAATGTATGAATCATTTGACTCTACTTTTCCCTGCCCTTCTTGTTATGCCATTGACCGACGAGGATGTTCATCTAATGATCACTAAACAATATATATGCTAACCTTTTGGATTTTGGTGAACAATGCTAATTAAATTTGTCTCCATTAGCTGTTAGTCAATTCTGTATCAGAAGTTGGTATGTACAGCTCTGGCATGAATTTAGTTTTCTGTGACTGCAAGTCTGGTTTATTAATAATCATATATTATCAGGATATTTAATTTCCCATTTGGCATGATGATTGATTTCGGGTTGTGGCACCGATAAGGGCATCGAGATTTGTCAGGAGAAATGGTGTGTATTGAAATGATAACATGTGAGTTCCCCTTTTTTAATGGATCTCATTATCATTTCCCCTTGTAGTACAAGTCTCATTATTAGCATTGTTATTATTATTTTGCCCAAGAAGAAAGTCATATGGAGTCCTACAGACTTCTTTCTTTCTTTCATTTTGGGCCTCTCATGGTGAGGACCATAAGAGGGGATTTGGCGTGCCATTTCCTGGTCTCACCATGTGGATTATACATGTGAATGCTCTGCAAATGGATGAGTATTTTATGCACGACTTGGTTTGTGCACTAAGCTAGCTAAGCTAGCTGCTGTAATTATGCATCTGCTGCTGTACAGGTTTCCGTATTCAAATTGCATAGGATGCTGTACTGTTATACCACTTATCATTGGTACCAATGTTTGGCCAGCTTAAATAAGAAATGTTTTTTTATCCAAGTGCAGTAACGTGTGTTTTCCACAGCATTTCGTACCCAAAAAGTTTTCCTGAACTTGTTCAAAATTTTCAGAATTGGGTTTACGACGCTCATGGGAGTTGGCATAACGATGTATATCCTTATCGGTTGATTGATCGCGATCCATAATCGTTAGTTGATTGTCATGCATGCACCCAACGGCTGTGATATTTAGATTTGCAGACCGAATATGGCTGGCTGGTTATATTGAATTAGTTCACAGTGTCATCTATCATGTTGGTTGTTCTTGCATTTACCCCATCATCATCCCCAGTCTCAGATACCCTGAAACTGTTTGTAACTTGATAAAGTCGGTTTGTTACGAAGCTGTCGCCTGTCGGTGGCAAGGAATTCCTGATGAAGAATGATTTAACAATTGGGAGGTTGGGGTTTCCCTAGGTTTTCAGGGTTCTGGACTTGGTAGTTTGAAAAATGCTGAGTCAGGTTGTTGAATGCTAGGAATCTTTGATGGATTAACTTTGTTCAGATTTTAGCCTCTATTGAAGGGGTAAAGCTAATTTTTTCTTACTAGATAATTGTTGACGTCAAAGTAAAAGGCGCAGGCTATCATTTGTGTATTGCCGTCCGCTTGTAACAGAGTTACTGGAAAGTATTGCATGTCTGTTTGGTTACCTCCACTGAGTCTTTGATAGAGCCAAACAACCAGTCACCGGTGGTGCTTTTCCATGCGCCGGAGAAAATTGGAGTAGAAACAGAAATGTGAATCACAGATGGATATTTTATCTGGGTTGTTTCTGCAGATTTGGAAGAAACAGTGATCTCTTACAAGGACATCTCTCTCTCTCTTTCTCAAACATTGAAGAATCGAAGTTATTGAACTACCTCCCGCAGGATCTGTCTCTCTCTCTACCAATTACATGACCTCATCCAACAAGAAGAAAAAAGTGGAACGAGGGTCACACAAGAAAAAAGGGGGGAAAAAAGAAGAAGTGAAAAACAATGACATTGTCAATACAGAAATCATCTGCACATAGGGCTTTGAGGGTGGTGAGCCGGAGCACTGCCCTGCTGCCCTGGCAATGAACAGTAACCATACCCTCCTGCTGCACCATCTTCAAAGTCAAACCTGCAATCCTGCTGCTGCTGCGTGAAGTAGACAGCACCACCTTTCTTCTCCTCGACGATCTTCACCACGCTCTCGAACACCGAGACCTCGCAAGGGATCCTCAGGACCCCGGCCTGCTGGAACCCGAACTCCTCCTCTGCCTCCCTCAGCAGGATGTGGAATGCAGGGTGGCTCAGGTACTCCGTCGGGATCGTGAACCGCTTCTGCTCCAGCCCGACGCTGATCGCCAGGTAACCCTTCGGCACTGTGCCATCGTCGCTGCTGCTGCTGCTTCTCTCTGACAATGACAGAGTTCTCTTCAGGAACTTTATGCTCTTGCTGCCGCTGCTGCTGTTGGTGGTGGTTGTAGGCGAACCGGTGATGGTGGTGGTGGTGATGGAGGTGGGCTTGGATGAGTTGGCAACCTTTCTCCATTTCTTCAGGATTTGTTGCAGCCTGACGATTTCTCTGATCTTGTTGGACTTCTTGCACTCCATTTTCTTCTTCTTCTTTGTTCAGGTTGGTGAAAGAAGGCTTGCTGGGGGGAAAGGGAGCTGCTTTCTTTGTTTTTTGAGGGTTTGGTGTAACAATGGGAGCTGTGTACTTATAGGCATGGAGGTGAGGCTTCAGAATTCTAATTTGTTTCCCCTTTTTTTTTAAAAATCCTATGCATAATATATTTGTTCATACTAACTGTATATAGCTCAATAAAATATACAGGCTTGAAGAAGTCATCACCCACTGCCAGAGAGAAGGCTGGCTGTAGGGTCTTTTTTTTTTTTTTTAAGTTGGTCGAGAAATAAATAAACAAGAATGTCGACGAATTTAAATCAAATGCATATTTCTATGCGCAACGACGTGAACTGGGCATGGTGTGTTCACAAGCTGAATTCCTCCAGACTATTGGATTGTTGTTCTGAGAAGAGTTTTTTTTTTTTTTATGTGATCGTAATTAGGATTGTAAACGGATTTCTCGTGTATTTGTCAGATACTGATACGATTGGGGTCGTATTAAACATGTGCGTACATCGAACTTGTGACCCCGTGGTGAAAAAACATGACCTGCAGAGAGTATGTATGAATTCAGGGGATAGGGTTTGTAATTTGCTGTTTCCCCATGGAGGAGGAGTGGTTGTCTGGTGGATGGATAGAGTTTTTTTCGTTTGTTTCTGTAGAAGTTAGAACTCTTCCTTGCAGGTGCAGAAATGAGGCAGGAAAATGGCATGGCACTCATGACTCAAGAGGTGGTGAGGAATTGATTAATTTAATAAATTACTTGTGGGGAATTGTGGTTTGCAGTTTTTTCAGTTCTTTTGTTTTTTGGGCACCGGAAAAGTTATATTAGGCGCAAAAATCTAGTAATAATAAGTTTATTTTATTTGTGTAATTTGTGTGTTTACCAACTGTCGCAACGACTAGCTAGCTAGCATTCCGATGGTCAAAGCTACTTGTTAAAAAGGGTTAAGGCGGATTAGTTTTCTCAAACGGTGCCCTTTTCTTGGAAAGGGGAAGGAGATTATGAGGAAAATCAGTGGCCGTGGGTGTGGTCCTCACTAATAACTAGGGCCGGGAAACGGTGGTTTAGATTTAGAGGTTTAAGTATAGAACATAGACCAGATCACAGACTATACGGTCTGGTCCAAATCACGTTTGTACGGTCTGGTTCGGTTTGATCTGGCACAGATAGATCACACTTAACAAAAAATGAATAATTTGTTTAGTCAACCACACAAAAAATTGAACCAATAACCAAGAAAAATAATTGTTATTTGCCTTAAAACATTAATCCTAACATATGAGTAATTTGATACCCGAAATCTTAGTACATAACAAAGATACAAAGTAAAAGCATCTCAACTTGCACCATAATGTTATATGGAGACACGATTATCTCTACTCTCTGGTTAAATGTGGTTGTGAATGAAGGAGGGACGAGATTCACAAAACTAAGGTTGAGACTTGGGTGTCGTTATGGGAGTTGGGAGAGTGGTCGAATGGGATGTTGACACGTATTGACAAGTCGGTTGGATCAACGGTTTGGTCCGGTAAACCGCGGTCTAGACCAGACCAGACCAAGAGATCAAAATATAAAATAATACAGACCATGGACCAGACCAGACTTAACGGTCTACGGTCCGGACCAAACTGTGCGGTATGATTTTGACCACAGTTTTTCTAACGGTCTGGTCTATTTTCCCAGCCCTACTAATAACCGGTATTATCAAGAGAATTAGATAATTGGCTAATAAGGGTTTGGACAAGTGGTAGTACCACAAATTTTGACTTTGAAATTTTCAGTTTCGAATTCGTTAATTAATACATAATTTCAAAATTTATCAATTGTTTTAAAAAATAATTCATGTTAAAGTAAACAAACCATTGATCTTAAGTAGGAGTGATAATTTTGTCTTGATCAACTTGTCTCGTACTTTCTCTAATAATTGTATCTCATTACGCTAATATACATTGCCTCGTATTTTCTCTCATGCAACAAAAACGTAAGTTTCCATCTCTATCTCACCGAATTAATTTCCTCAATTCTCTCTATTTTTATGCAAAACCAAATAGTTTGCACATATTTTCTTTACCGATCAAGACCACCAATTAATTGTCCCATGCCCTTTGGGCTTGCTTTGGGGGAAAAAAAAATTAGGTTGCACATATTTTCTTTACCGATCAAGACCACCTCAACAAGCTACCCTGCTCTGATTTATTCCTCACGCTAATTACCTCAAAACAATGCAAAATAACGCTCGATTTGGCGACAAAATGGTTAACCTTCGACATAGAGGTCACCCGTTTCAAATATGTTGAGCAGTAGCACCTAACATCAAATGAAAAAATATATAACTCTTTTAAAAAAGAAAAAATTTCCTCCAAATAAGTCCAACATGAGTATGAATATTAAGCTATCATCATGGTCTAAAATCGTCTAAAATCTAAATCCACCCTAAATTGTGGCTGACAATCCACTAATCCAAACCCCTTTAAAGAAAAAGGGCAAACTGAAGAGAGAAAGGTCCTGGTCCGTACCCTTCCAACTTCCAAGATTCCTTTTTCATGGATCTGGCTTGGCTTCCGCAGCTTTCTCTTTCTCATTGAAGGAAGGAAGGTAGGAAGGGTAGCTTCAATTTCAAGGAACTGACAAACTCCCAATAGAAATTAGAAAGGCCAAAGGCCCATGTGAGACCGTTAGCATGGGCTTTTTTTTTTTTTTTAAAATAATGGCCTTCTCATTCTTTAATGTTCGCAATCTCCAGAAATAGTGTTTTATTAGCTCAACTTAGGCCGGTGCCTGCCAGTCAAACTCAAATCCCAGTGGCAGTAAAATTAAATGGTTGTGATTCTTTGAATGTCAGTGCGTAATCAGTATTTAATTAATGACAGTTGTTAAATTCTTCTTTGGGCCCAAGCATGGTTGTCATGTCTGTGGTATGCCGGCTGGTTGAGCCAGGTGAAACCGGCTGGAATGTCACCGGTGGGTTGCTCTGGTCAATTCCGGTCAGAATCAAAAATTTCGGTTGGTTCAACCAGAATCAGATACCAGTCTCTAGCTTAAAACGCTCGCGTTTTTATCTGATTGTTTAAAAGAAAAAAAATAAACCAAAGCTTCTCCAGGCCCTCTCGGTCTCATCGACTGCCGCAGGCACTCATTCTCGCCATTTTTACAGTCCGAATTCACGATTCCCATCAAATCGAACAAGGGCATTTCCCCTTTGCGTTTCTTCCCGGCAAATCGGGGGTGGGGGTTTGCTTCTGCCCCTTGTATTGACTTTCCTTTCCCCAGTCTTTGGCCGAAATTGATTGGCCGCCCCTTATGTCCGATCCCGCCGTCTGTTTGTTTTACCATCGCCACCTCCGATTTTCAAGCTTCATTCTATGCTTGCGGGTGAGAGTAGGAGCTTCTCGGTTGTGAATTCTGGTTGATACATGCGGGTGAGAGCAAGAGTCTCCGATTACTCTTCTAATTCATCACAAATGGCGGCTTGTCGTTGCCACGGATGAGGAGATCTATAGGCTTTAGGCTCCTTGTTTAATTGTGTTGGCGTCCAAAAGCTGTTAGCTTGGCCTTGGCTAACCTTTTTACGGGTGAAATAGTGGGTTTCCCACTTAGGTTGGTTTTTTGTCTTCTGATAAATGATGATGGTTGCTGATTTGCATAGGGAAGGTTGGCTTAGTATATTCATACACTAGAATTTTATTCAAACTGGCATAAACCGGTATAACTGGTTGTACCACTAGTAGAACCATTCCACTTGTGAAACCAGCGTATCGGTATAAACCGGTTTGTGTGTGTGGTTCAGGTTGGCGTATGCTGAATATTAGTATTTTGGTTGACAAATTTTGACATAAGTTATAAATGGGACATGATAGTGACATCACTTATGATTAGAAACCCGAAGCATCAAAAGTGAGTGTGCTAAATATTAGAAATTTTCAATATAAACATACTACAAACTCTATTATGAATCAAGAACACAAAATATGTAGACAATCCAAAATAATTTAAACATATAAAGAAGTTAATTAATATAAATTATAAAATAAATCTCTCCAGCCAACAGGCAGGGTAAAAAGCTAGTAATAATAATTAGGTAGTTGGCTCATGTAACTAATTGCCACATGGTAATTGTGGTATGGACATCCACCTAATATACATATGTATGTATATTCATAATATCCCCCTTGGATATCCATTGACAAAGAACATGCCTCGTTAAAACCTTATTAGGAAAAACCCTGTGGGATAAAACCCAGTTAAGGAAAAAGAGTACATCATTCTTGTATACGTGTTTATATACCGCCTCATTAAAAACCTTACCAGAAAAATCCAGTGAAAAAAACCATGATTAAGGGAAAAAGAGTGTAGTGCGTATTGTCTCCCCCTCATAGAGACATCCGTCAAGTTTGGGAGTAATCAATCTCTAATACAATTAGGACTAGTTTTCTTGTTCATATAATATAATATGTTCATTGTTGCTCAAACATACCAGCTGAACTTCTAATTCACCATTCTTTTAAGGGTAAATACAATTTAATATCCAAACCTTTCATTTTAAACAATATAATAGCCAAACCTTTTCGAAAACAATCTAATATCCAAATCGTCAACTTTCCGTTCGTTTGACCGTTAGTTGACACTTCAAAAAAGTTCGAAGTACGACGCTTCATCAATATCCATCGATATCTTCTCTGAAAAACCACCAACATGTCGTGGTTGCAAACCCGAGAAGTCCATGACTCCACCATGATGGTATAGAATATCTAAATATTCAGTCATCTGCAATGCCAAAACAAGAAAACAAAGTTGTATTGTGAAATTTCCCCTAAACAAAGCTTTTTTGAAGTGTCAACCAACGGTCAAACGGACGGAAAGTTGACGATTTGGATATTAGATTGTTTTCGAAAAGGTTTGACTATTATATTGTTTAAAATGAAAGGTTTGGATATTAAATTGTATTTACCCTTCTTTTAAATATGGTTTACCATATCTCCCTTAAATTATATAGTTGGTACGTCAATTGCGAGTAATAGATGACGTCATCTTTGTATAATGATCGTCAAGATCCTTTCCTTTAAGGGTAAATTACTTTCTTTGATGAGACATATTCATAACTTCTCACACTTGTGACTATGATCACACGATGTATACATTTCATATTGCTTTCTCGAGTACAACGAGAAAATTTGTTTCAGCTCAAATTAGTTGGCAACCTTCTCAAAATAAGAGGCTAACTGTCATTTGCCACTAACATACCAAATCATAGTTCATTGGTACTATGAGTATAGTATGATATGGTCTAAGTAGACCATTATTGTATTACCATGGATATATTTATCCTCTCTCATTTGAGCATATTTGTTGCATATACTTTCCATGCACAATACTTAGCATTTACAAATACTTAATTTGTAATCCAATATGCAATATTGTCTCTTCAATCAACAACTTATTACAATTGAACACTCTTTAAGAGTTCCAATCTTATTCATATATTTCATCTCCATTTGAAATCATTACTAGCTTTTTACCCGGCCCGTTGGTCGGAGAGATTTATTTTATAATTTATATTAATTAAATTATTTATATGATTAAATCATTTTGGATCTTCTAATTATTTTGTGTTCTTATTCATAACAGAGTTTTTAGTATGTCCATATTGAAAATTCCAATATTTAGCACACTCACTTGTGATGCTTCGGTTTTCTAATCATAAATTATGTCGCTGTCACGTCCCATTTAGAATTTACGAAAAATTTGTCAACCAAAACACTCATATTTGGCGTACGCCAACCCGAACCACACACACACATATCTATATAGTTCAAACTAGCGTGCGGCAGGAGTACGCTATACTCTTGCGTTCACACTACCATACGATTATTGAGATTTTCTAGCAGACCAGCAATTGTCCTAAGCCTTTCATCTATTTACACCCCGAATTAACCGGAGTTTTTTGGGGCATGATATTATACCATAACTTGGGGAACTCCAGTCCATAATTCACTAACCTCTAATTTATGCACATAATTAGCCATATCTATCTTCTATTGTACCTTGAGTAAGATCAAAAGTATAGTATAACTTGATATTATATATATATATATATATATATATATATATGTGTGTGTGTGTACATATATATATATATGACTCAAAATTATCCAGATACTTCGTCAGACCTATCTTATCTCGCCTAATACTCATATTAAGAGTACTACTTGCCTATCCCCCACTCATGTGATAGAGATATCGCTTTTACCCCCATAACGTCGGACAACCATTGGAGGTTATGTTCTTTTTTGCCATTTTTGGGATTCTTTCCATTCTTCTTTGGCACCTATGGTTGTGATAAGAGGTATTTAGACCCCGAAAGGGATTGCGATTTTAGGTCCTTTGGAAATCCAATACACATTCATGGTCCTCGAGTTTCGACGAACTCTAGACAAATGTTGTAAAGATTAGGACTTTTTAGTGAGAAATTCTTAGTAAAGATACTTCAGTATTGGATCAATTTATTCATCCATATTGAAACTTGACACACACCGTAGCCCTCATGATGATTAAATTCTATAATCTTGACTCATTCCATTTTGGATGTTAGTTTTTTTATCAAGACACTTAAATTTAGTATATTATACAATATGTATCGATTGTTAATTGATGAAGTTTAGACCAAACCTCTATTCGTGGTCATTGTTTATATGTTGGTTTAGAATCTCAATCTAAGACACTCACACACACTACCGAGGATTTTGGTCTTAATATGGTAGTTGAATGAGTAATTACAAAGATTTTATCACTTATATATTAATAATTGATAAAGAGTGTCTACAATACACACATATTTCAAGTGCATTCAAAATGTCTTATCATTAGAAGAATATCGATGGATTTCATTTGATTATTTGCATTAACTTATAATCTTATACAACATATATAAATTCGTGTTTCTCGAGTTTGGACAAACTGACAACCAATTTTGAGAGTTGAGATTTTTGGATAAAGATACTTGATTGCTGGATAAATATGTTTATCCCAATTGACTGTCTTACTAAAAATTGTCAGCCTTTATTTGGTAAATGTTTAGGTTAGTAGTTGATGAAACGTGATGTTTATCGTAGATTCTCAACAAAGATTTCTCTAACCTTCACATATGTTATCTTTCAAGGAATCTTATGTCTCATCCTATGGTATGAAGTCAAAGTTTGTCAATAATTATACTTAAGTTATTTTGAAAATTTTGATTTATAATCGTCGATGATAACTCCAATTAAAGAAAAAAATTTAGCATACGACTTATGAACTCAATAGAGCTTGTTCAATCAACATGATATAAAGCAAATAGTAGTAATTTGAACTTAGGACACATTATAAAATTATTGCACATACGATTCCTCTTCATTTGAGGAGTTCAAGGTAAAACATAATCTGAATGAATAAGAAGTCTTTTTTAAATAAATAAATGTAACTACTTGATCAAGATTATACTCTGACATTTTGCTAAATAATACTTGTTTTATTTTCTAGACATATACTTTACGAATAAGAGTTGTTTCATTGCAACAAAATATAAAGTAATATAGTTTATTTTTCAAAGGTAATTGAATGTCAAATATTTATTTTCTCTCTTTTCATATATATTTTGTTTAATCGATAAAAACATTACTGTTTCTGTGTATGTTTGTTTAATTTTTTCATCAAAATGTAAATTATCTTTCAATTTTGAAAATTTTCTTCATAAGGTTTAATCAGATATTTTTTATTTAAACAAATGTGATCTATGTCACTCTCTATTTTCTTATTTATATTTTTTTTACTTGAAAAAAGTTATTATTTATGTGTGTTTGGTTAAGTTTATCAATATCAGTTTTCAACAGTTTCACGGCATTCTGAGACTGTCGTGGGGTATCCAAAGACTGCTCCAAAAAATCCCGTACGTCTTTGCCTCATTGCAAAGATCTGAAGCCCCACAACACTAATTGATCCAGCAGTCGAGAGGAACTTGTTGACAGTGCTTCCTTTGAAGTTTGAAGTACGCTGCAGCACGCTTTGACATGATCTGGCCATGCTCTGCCAAATTAGAAATCGACTATTCAATGATAATGAACTGAATCAACATGAATATAGTACCATACAAAAAAGAAAACATACCAAATTCTTTACAAACGCTGGCCAACTTCCCGTAGACTCGAGTCTCATCAAACTTCACAGATAACATTCTCGCCAAAGGATTCATTTCATCTTGTTCCACCACTTCACCACCAGCAGGTATAGCTATGTAAGGGTAAGAAAGCTCTCCAAATCCTCTCTCAAAAGCTCTCCACAACTCATTAGCCTCTATTCTGTGAGCCTTATAAACTTAATCAACAATCTCCATATTTTCAGTCAAAGCAACATCTTCATCAAGATACTTGCGAAAAGCTTCAGTCGGATAATCATTTTCACCCTCAAACTTGCTCATATCAAATCTGCCCAAAAAACTTTTAACCCTTGATTGTTTATCAAGCATAAAGTCACGAAGCAGCTCTAGAGATACACAATCAACGTCAGTAGCCAAGTACACAGCATGTTGTGGCATACTCCTGAACACCTCCAAAGACCTCACAATTGCAACAGTCAATTGGGGCTCTGGAGGTGGAATGATGATCAAATTCCTACAAATACGTTAATCTTAATCTTAATCTTAAAATATTATAAAGCACTTTAAGATTAGCACCTATCACACGTAAGCCTGGGAGATCAGCCCGTCATTTTCTGTATTTAGTGTTTATTTTTGTGTGTACTCCTGGCGCATGCTAGCTAGAACTATATATTTGTGTGTGTGGTTCAGGTTGACGTACGCTGAATAATTTTTTTTCTATAGAAGCCCAAAAAATTAACTCAGCCTGGAGAATGATCCAAGCCCAATGGAACTATAATGACCCAGTGGTCCATTAAGCCCATTAGTGTCACCAAAATCATCTCAATATGTTTGATTCCAATAACTCGAATAGTTGAGAGATGTTCAATCATGCTTTGTGAAAAATTCACTATCGAATCTACAATAATTATGACGAGCTTATCTTCTGTTCCCAAATTCTCCGTGTTTTCTCAATGAGTGCATCACCACCAGCTCCAAAGTGTTGATTTCATGGTGTTTCCGAATTCAATCGACTTCTCCAACGCACTCAATCGTCATTTATTTTAATTTCTTACTATCAATGTCGACGGATGACCTAATTGAAACATACACATAAACGAACGTCGGTTATTACGAAGCTCACACGATTTTTCATTAATTCTCTGCACTAAACCCTATAGATCTCACAATAAAGAAAGCAACAACATCATCCTCTATATATATGGCCAACAAACGAATATCAATTACCGGAACTCGAATGAGACAAGTTTCATCCCCCTAAGCTTGACGTGAAGGAACTGGAATCCATATCAGTTAGAGAATGTTAGACGTACGGAACCTCCATAGTCTCCTTAATTTCTCGACCACGCATATCTCTGTTTACACCATAAATTTTGTCTTGTACCACATTGGTGAGTTACAAGATAATCAAGGAGTTTATAAGGCCACACCCATTATAACAATTAATGTTGTTTAAATTGGGCCTTATGGATATTGATTTTAAACCCAAGTCACTAGCTCATTAATGAGCATGGACATGATTCAATAAGGGACATGGGCCTCTCGTAAGAGGCCATGCCATGCCACGAGATGGCATGATAATTTCTAAGTATGAGAAGTCCATGACCATGAATGAAGAGGCCATGCCGCCTCATAACCAAGACCAAACGACACAAAAACATGTCCATCTAGAATTTAGAAGCACATGCCATCACAAGGAAGACCTCGATACGGTCAAAAATATTCTAAGTCTCGAGATGGGCATGCCACTTCACGAAGAGGCCATGCCACTTCACGAAGAGGCCATGCCGCCCCATGACCAAGGCCTAATGGCTGAAAAATAAACTAAGTCTGGAAGAGGTACATGCCACTTCAAGGAGAAGCACGTGCCGCCTCACGAGAAGGGGCATGGACGCGAGAAAAAAGGCCCTAGGTATGATTGAAAAATGCTAAGTATGAGAAAGTTATGCCACCTCAAGAGAAGAGCCATGTGCATGATTGGGAGATCCATGGCCGTGTCACGAAAGGGGCCATGGACGCAAGGCCGTGAATCACACTTCAAAGAAGACAAAGATATTCTAAGTGTGGAGAAGGACTTTCGCTTTAACGAGGAGGGTCATGTCCCTCTAGAGATTGAGAAGATCATGCCGTGTCACAAGAGGGGCCATGTGCACGATTGAGAGATCCATGCCGCCGCATGAGAGGGGCCATGGACACAAATAAAAAGGGTGTGGTGATGGAGCATTATATCACTAGTGAATATGACTCAAGAGGTCCACGAGCGTTAGACAAGAAGGCCATGGACATGAGTAAAAAGTCCATGGCCGCGAGGCAAGAAGACCACGACCCCCTTTGTGAGACACCACATGCTTATCAAAAGACTAGCATGACACAAGATTCAGAACAATACCAGGCGAGGCAAGCTACACTCCAAGACCCACGACGGTTACAAGAGAGGCCCCTAGGCGGTTGAAGGAGTAACCACCCCTCCGAGGAAGCAGGGAGCAGTTCTTTTTGGGAGTTATCCAAGAGGCGGTTTTCTACCGAAGAAGGGGGAGCGGTTCTTAGTAGCAGTTATCCAACAAGAGGTTTTCTATGGCGGTTACCTCATCGGGGCTATAAATAAGAGGAGGGGTCGACAGAGACATGGGGTCCCAAAACCAACTATTTGACACACATGTCAAGTTTATCCCTTTTCTTTTCTCTATCATGTAGCCATAGATGTAGTTCGTAGTTTGGAGCTCTCGTCGAACCTCCATAGGAGTAGAAGTAATTTAATTTAGCTCTCGTTCCCAAAAAACCATCAATCAAACACCCTCGTTCGAACTTTGTTTGAAGAGGTGTGAGCCGTGTCTTAGTAATCGTTGCCCAAAGAAGTCAAAGGTGCATTAATCTCATTTCAACGCAAGTTTTCTCGCCGGAAAACAAATTTGGCACACCCGGTGGGACCTTGTGTTTGATATGATGGTTCCACGACATAGACAACAAGATGAAGATCTTCTACAAGTCTTTGTAGAAGAGGATCAAGTGACTAGCTTCAAAGTTGGTCGAGTGGATGTTGTTGCCGGAAACAATGGCGGGATGAAGGCTCTGCCAGCACCGGCGACAAGTTTGGATGAAGCAGCTTCCATCACTTCGCTCCATCAATCCATTGAGGAGGGTATGGTTGACCCCCAACAGGTAAACCGACGTTTAACTTCTCATATTAAGCGCCATGCTTCTCTTATTGAACGTATCGATTCTCTCATTGAACGTCATGATTCTCTCATTGAGCGTCATGATTCTCTCATTGAGCGTCATGATTCTCTCATTTCTTGGATGGATACATGCCTATATAATTGGTTTGGCAACTTGAGCAAGACTCAAAGCCATTTTTATGAGTCTAGACATGTCTCGGACATATCTGTGGTTCAATCAAGGACTTTGCCAATAAATAGCAAAGATCCACCACTAAACAGTGTTACATGGTGTAAGAATCTTTCTTCCACTGGTTTTCAAAATGGTCGATCATGGAAAGGAACATTGCCAACATCGGTAACAAGCCAACTGCCATCTCAACATGGGAGTTGTGGCCAAAATTTGGCCTTCACGTTCACGACCCATGATTGTGACTTGTCTGTACAATATGGAGTTCAGCCGACCATGCTAGATAAAAGAACCCCTGTGGATGACGTAGGTGGTGGCGTTTCTTCCAAAATGGATCAAGTACCACGATCTGCTCACCCACCCCCAATGCCACCCCCAGTGAGTAGGCAAGGAATGGATTATGAAGAACTCAAACCATCTAGAGCTCAGCAAGGGGTGCATGAAAGTCTAACTTCCCACAAGGTGAATCCTAAAAGTCCATCTAGGGGGCATGTGATGTGTAAGAGGCCACATCAATCACAAGCAACACATGTTTGTGATAAGCATGCTAGTTTGGATAAGTCTACACATGGGGGCATGTCAGTGTCACCCATCATGAAGTATGAAGTAGGGGGCATGTCTTGGAAGACACAACAGCTCCAAGCCACCCATGGCTTTTATAAGTGTAAAACTATGGTTAAGTCTGGACAAGAGGATATGCAACCAATCACAAACAGTGGATATGAGGTCAAGTCCAACAAGAAAAGACGTGGGAAAGCCAAAAAGAGTTCTCATAGTGTTCAAAATTTAGCTAAGTATGGGCAAGGAGGCATGTCACCCACCATGAATAATGGAGTAGGGGGCATGTCCAAGAATCTAAAAGAATTCCAACCTACACATGCTTGTGATAAGTATGCAAGTTTGGCTAAGTGTGGACAGGGGGGCAAGTCCATGTCCATGAGTAGTAAGTACATGCCATCAATCATGAATGATGGACATAGGGGCATGCATAAGAAGGTATCATACGCACAAACCAGACATGGCCTCACAAAGAACCAAGGATGGTCGTGTGCTAAGGGTAGGAGCTAACAAGGTTTGGAGGTTGAAAGACAAAGTCAAGTGGGCCACATGGGTGGTCGCCCACTTGTCAAGACTGGACATCGTCTCCAACAACATGAGGAGAGTAAGCATGTCTCAACCATGAGGAAACCAAGGCAGAGGAAAAGCCATGGTCGTCTTAACATGTCTAGTGATGTGGCTAAAGCATATGAGCATGAGACCCCATGCAAGGCCACCAAGGCTAGACATGCTGATCATATACCACCCACTGGTAAGCTAGAAGATTCAAAATTAATGTATGGAGAATCATGTTCCATGAAGGAAAAGAAGCATGTGGTATATGGATGGCTTGCATGTTTTAATCCATGGACTTGGCAGTGGGTGTACACCTTTGGCGCATTAGTTGTTGCCAGAGGCGATGGAGAGCAGTGACGTTTGTCTCCTTGTTATCTTAAATAAATAAATAAATAAAGATCATATATATTAATAAATAAATAAAAGCCAATCATGGCTATATAAGAAAAATAGAGAGAAAATAACAAAGTGGAAATTTTGAGTTGAAGTTATTAGACTTTGATGAGAAGATCTTACCACCAAGTCGTAGTGATGGCTTGGCATACCGAGTCGTAGATTGCATCTTGCCATGCTATGTCGTCTTGTCCCAAGTGACCACCAGTTTGGATGTTGGACACGACCTAAGGGCATCGTGGGTTGGAGATGAGTGATGGCCAGCTTGAGCAGGTAAAATAAGAAAAGTGTAGGGGCCTCACTGAATTGTTGACGAGAAGCCAACAAGGCAAGGGTTTCTCGTGGCTACACATGAATGAAGACAACATAGGCGGCATAGCTAGCCACTTGAAAGACGTAGGTACCATGGTGATGTTTTAGAGGAAAAAATTTCAAGTTTTATTGAACTCGTGGTCATGGGTGATTAGAGACAAGCCTTGTTATCTAGGACCAGTTAGAGAAGGGATATAAGTGGTCAAGTTGGTCTCAACTACTTAGTCCATAATCCTTATGCACTAAGTAGTTGGGGGGCATTTGTTTACACCATAAATTTTGTCTTGTACCACATTGGTGAGTTACAAGATAATCAAGGAGTTTATAAGGCCACACCCATTATAACAATTACTGTTGTTTAAATTGGGCCTTATGGATATTGATTTTAAACCCAAGTCACTAGCTCATTAATGAGCATGGACATGGGCCTCTCGTAAGAGGCCATGCCATGCCATGAGATGGCATGAAAATTTCTAAGTATGAGAAGTCAATGGCCATGAATGAAGAGGCCATGCCGCCTCATAACCAAGACCAAACGACACAAAAACATGTCCATCTAGAATTTAGAAGCACATGCCATCTCAAGGAAGACCTCGATACGGTCAAAAATATTCTAAGTCTCGAGAAGGGCATGCCACTTCACGAAGAGGCCATGCCGCCCCATGACCAAGGCCTAATGGCTGAAAAATAAACTAAGTCTGGAAGAGGTACATGCCACTTCAAGGAGAAGCACGTGCCGCCTCACGAGAAGGGGCATGGACGCAAGAAAAGATGCCCTAGGTATGATTGAAAAATGCTAAGTATGAGAAAGTTATGCCACCTCAAGAGAAGAGCCATGTGCATGATTGGGAGATCCATGGCCGTGTCACGAAAGGGGCCATGGACGCAAGGCCTCGAATCACACTTCAAAGAAGACAAAGATATTCTAAGTGTGGAGAAGGACTTGTCGCTTTAACGAGGAGGGTCATGTCCCTCTAGAGATCGAGAAGGTCATGCCGTGTCACAAGAGGGGCCATGTGCACGATTGAGAGGTCCATGCCGCCTCATGAGAGCGGCCATGGACACAAATAAAAAGGGTGTGGTGATGGAGCATTATATCACTAGTGAATATGTCTCAAGAGGTCCACGACCGTTAGATAAGAAGGCCATGGACATGAGTAAGAAGTCCATGGCCGTGAGGCAAGAAGACCACGACCCCCTTTGTGAGACACCACATGCTTATCAAAAGACTAGCATGACACAAGATTCAGAACAAGACCAGGCGAGGCAAGCTACACTCCAAGACCCACGACGGTTACAAGAGAGGCCCCTAGGCGGTTGAAGGAGTAACCACCACTCCGAGGAAGCAGGGAGCGGTTCTTTTTGGGAGTTATCCAAGAGGCGGTTTTCTACCGAAGAAGGGGGAGCGGTTCTTAGTAGCAGTTATCCAACAAGCGGTTTTCTATGGCGGTTACCTCATCGGGGCTATAAATAAGAGGAGGGGTCGACAGAGACAAAGGGTCCCAAAACCAACTATTTGACACACATGTCAAGTTTATCCCTTTTCTTTTCTCTATCATGTAGCCATAGATGTAGTTCGTAGTTTGGAGCTCTCGTCGAACCTCCATAGGAGTAGAAGTAATTTAATTTAGATCTCGTTCCCAAAAATCATCAATCAAACACCCTCATTCGAACTTTGTTTGAAGAGGTTTGAGCCGTGTCTTAGAAATCGTTTTCCATAGAAGTCAAAGGTGCAATCCATCTCAACTCAACAGAAGTTTTCTCGCCGGAAAACAATTTCATTACTACGTCTTATAAGCATATACATGAACTGTGGAAGAATCACAAAATTCACTATCCTCCAAACCCTCGCTTATTAGGGTTATTGTCCATGCTTAGGTGGAAGTAGTGGAACACCTAAGATAGCACAATCAATATCTAGCTTTTTACCCGCCCATTGGGCGGCGCATTCATATCAGTGTTTTATTTTTTGTTCTATTTTTTTGTATGATTTATGTATGTTAAACCATTATACATTGAATTGTTAATCTCAATTACTTGATTTTAGGTATTGTTACACACTTTTAAACCTTTTGTTTATTTATGAAAATTTGATTTTATTAAATGAGCTCTCGGTAGACCTTTCTTTGTTTAATTATAAGTTGGTATCGAAACCACAATTTAGGATATAAACATAAGAGATTATTAATTTTTTAGCAAACAATAGTAACAAAGAAGTTTAAACAAATTAAACAAGCAAATATATTTTAATTATGAAAAAATAATCAAAGAGCTTTTCATTTCTTCTTCCTTCTCGTATGTTGGTATATGATAATACATACTATCGTGCTCGGGATCCTACGAACATCGTGCACTATCAGTTATTTGTGCAATTTTGGAAGAATGAGAAAACACAGTAGCATCCACATCATCCATCTTCTGCTTATTCTTTTAATTTATCTTTAAAATGTTCTAGCAAAATCAACCAAAAATAGAACTATCAATTGTCACTAATTTATTAAAACGATATTTTCAGCAAACTAAACTGCACATAAACACATTTTATATTCGTAGAGAGCTACATGCCCCCTTTAAAAAACAATGGTGTATTTTTTTACCTAATAACAACATAGACGAATTGTAAAAGCTGCATACTTCAATAAAACTCAGCTCATTGTATCTTTTAAAATCTTCATTCATGAACACGATTGATGCATCAATCAAAATAGTTGTTCTAAAAAAATGATCGGGCCAAAATCAAGTTTTAGTTAGTGATTTAATGAGGCAAAAATTCACGCTAATGAAACAAATACTGTCATTGCAAACGCGTAAAAATTGAAAGAACGTCGACATAGACAATTTAGAGACTACCACCACCATTTTCTTTCTTCTTCGCACCTTTATAAAACCTCACATGTGTTCCCTTCTACTTATAACCCTCTGCTACGTTTTACTTACTGACCAAATCATAATCATATAGCTAGTAGCATCTCACTCATGAAAGAGCATACTGCAGGGAAGATTTAATATATAAATTTATATATTTCATTTTTCAAAGTCGATTGATTGTCAAACGCTTGATTTGTCTCTTTGTGTCGTTATATTTTATTTAATAGACAAAGATATTATTATTTATGTGTGTACTTCTTTAAATTTTTCATTAAAATGTAACTTATTATTAAGTTTTGGTTAAAATGAGTAGATAATTTACTTGATAACATTTAATCATATATTTTTTGTTTAAACAAACCCGATATATGTCATTTTTTGTTTCCATCTTTATATTTTGTTTAATTGACAAAAATATTATTATTTTTTACATGTTTTTATTTACATTCTCAATGTCACTTATTATTAATGTTGAGTAAAAGTGAGCATAAATACTAAATGAAGAGAGAGATAGCTTCATAAATAGATCAATAATAATTTTTTTTGTTAGTAAAAAAATGTCCACCTAGGCAACTTGTTACATCTCCAAGTGCTTATGTGGCAAGAAGTTACTTTTGAATTGCCATAATATATAGGATAGATAGATAGATAGATAGATAGATAGATAGATAATATCCCACGCCATGGAATATTCTCTTAATTTGCTTCCGCAATATCATGTGTCCAACAAATAGAGTGATCACCACCCGAAGTCAAAATAAATCATGTAAAAAAAGGTAAATACCATATTTGGTCATTGAGATTACTAAATTGTGTCATGTTTTAGTCATTAGAAAAAATTTAATATCAATTTTGGTCACTCGAATTACTGAAACAGGTCACATTTGGTCACTCTCTCGTGAGTTTCCATCAAACTTCATTAATGGAGTTGGACGGAAATTAATGAGAAAGTGACTAAATATGACATGTTTGAGTAATTCGAGTGACTAAATGTGACATGTTTCAGTAATTTGAGTGATCGAAGTTGGACGGAGGATAATGGGAGAGTGACTAAATGCGACTTGTTTCAGTAATTCGAGTGACCAAAATTGATATTAAATTTTTCTAGTGACTAAACATGACACAATTTAGTAATCTCAGTGACCCAATGTGGCAATAAAAAATTAAATAATTCCAGTTATTAAAAGACTGTAGCATTTAAATAACATATCATATACCACACGTTACCATAATAAACAAATGATAAATTCTTTTTTTTTTTTGACAAAAGATAATCTTCATTGATCAGAAAAATAGATAGTTACATTCTGGACAAAAGCCAGGCACTGAAATCAACAGAACGACTCATGGCCTGGTACAAAGAGAGGGCTTTTCTAGCCACCAAATGGGCTACCCTATTACTACGCCGACGTACAAATCGCACACTAAACCTTGGCTGACTAGCAAACTGATGAACAACTTCAGCTAGAATCGCCCCCACCCTATTATCCCTGGTGTCTGCCTGATTGATTTTGTCAATAATAACCTTAGCATCCCCTTCAAAACATACCTTTGTGATTCCCCGATTTAGACACCACACCACAGCTTCACGAAGGGCCATCATCTCCACAACCATTGGATCCTCAATACCAGGGAATTGAAAACCCACAGCCACCAGGATTTCCCTGGATGGGGTCATAATAACCATCCCCCCCCCCCCCCCCCCCCCCCCCCCCCCCGAAGGAGACCCCCTTCTAGTGGCTCCATCCCACATACACACAAGCCTATCCGCCTCCCCCAGGGCCATTGGATGCTGGGCAATACCACCAGCAGAATCTCCCTGATCCCGTGGTAACCTAACCCATTCCTCATACTGCTGGTTATACTAGCGCATCAACGCTTGGAAGTCAAACTGCTTCCCCTCAAAGACGACCCAATTACGAGACCGCCATATCCGCCAGAGCACTGCAACCACTGCCATGAGGGAGGAAGGCTCTCTCAGTACAGACTTCAGCCGCTTCAACCAGAGAGGGAAAGTGTGTCTGGGCAACCCCTCACCCAGAGCTTCCAACCCCGAATAATCCCACATAGCCCTCGCCACCGGACAATAGAAGAATAGGTGTTCCAAAGTCTCTGACGCATCCCAACAAACCGGACACCTAGGTAGAACCTGAACCCCCTTATCAATGAGTGCCTCCGTCGTAGGAAGGACACATAAAAGTAAAACAATTTAAAGTTAAAGTTACTCCCAAAACCCCTTATATTACAAAATATTCCTATTTTGAAAATTTATTCCTAGTAAATGTTATAGTACTCAAAAAATTATGCAAAATAAAAAAATATTGCGACGTTCGGATTGCGGAGCACAAAGTTATGATACTCCAAAGTTTGACAAATTCGGAAATTTGCTCGTTTATGGGTAGCAAATGACGTTTTCTCGGAAGATAGTCATCCAAAAATTTCTCGTATGGAAAAATATTGCTCTTTTGGCAGAAATTCCCTATATATAAAAAAATTCTCGTGCCTTCGCCCCGAGAAAACGTCATTTGTTACCCCTAAACGAGCAATTTTTCGATTTTGCCAAACTTTGGAGGATCATAACTTTGTGCTCTGCAATCCGAACGTCGCAAAGTTTTCTTTTATTTGGCATAATTTTTTGAGTACTACAACATTTACTAGGAATACATTTTCAAAATAGGAATATTTTTAAATATAAGGGGTTTTGGAGTAACTTTAACTTTAATTTTCACATTTTCATATATATTCTGAAAATATTTCTATTATAAAAGTTGTAGTCCTCGAAAAGTTATGCGAAATGAAAAAATAGTTTGCTACAATCAGATAACCGAGCACACAGTTAAGGTTGTTGGAAATTTCAAAGGAGTAGTTCGAGTTCACTTGAACTCGAACCACTTCAGCCCCACATGGTTTGAGACTTATATCATCGATCTACGACTAGATCGAGTCTCCCACACTCGAACCGGTTGGTAGTTCGAGTTCCTCAAACTCAAACCACTCCAAACTTAGGTATTTTGGGAATTTTTTTTTTATATAAGTGTGGTAGTTTAGGAATTTGTTTTACTTTTATGTGTATTTAGGGAATTATTCCGTCTGTGTGTTAGTACAAGCCAGGGGGGGATACATGAGGGTTTAGGGGTGTCCCGTGACACCCCTAAAATTCAGGAATACGATTATTCAACCCCCTGTAATAGTTTTGTATGGATAAAAAAATTATACTTAGTGATTCGGGACATCGCTACAACGATAATACTATCCCCAGTATTAGTTTGCGTATACTTAAAAAAATAAGCGATAGTCTGTGTTATTCAAACTTAGGATATACTATATTTTTTAAACATTGTCCTCCATTGAGTTGCAACTCATTTGTTGTTCTATTTTAAACACTACATAATAGTTAAAAGTTATTCCTTATCCCCGAATATTTCCAAAACCTAACAATTAAACTAATTACGGGCTACCCTTAATTTGAATTGATTTTATGGTTACACAACAAGTGTTGAAAGAGTCTTTTCAACTTTGAGTTACATCAATAACAAGGTTAGAAATCCATACTCAGTTCGTGAACTATTGTCTAGTAAGATATACATATTTGTTGAGCAATTTACCAAGCCTATTTTTTATTCTTTTTCAGAATATAAAAACACGTCGTGGCCATATGTTAAAATTTGTACTAGTTTGATATTTTTTTATTTATGATTTTTTTTTTTTTAAGAGGACACCCTGTTAAAAATTTCTAGATCTGGTACAAGCAAATCATCAAATAAGCGACACCACGTAAATAAAACATACACCCACTCAATTATCAAAATGTCACATAATACACAACCACCGATGGATAATAATAATAATTATGATTCAACAACACTTTGAAAGTTAAAAAACAGCCGATCCAGCATTACGTTACGTGCCCACCACAGACATTACTTTCTACACCAAACTCGAGCCCTGACGACGGTGGTCGGCGGCGGGTTTCCTCTTCCCACCAGCTCCGTCACCGCCGACACCAAACAGAAAGTCGAGGTTGTAGAGGACGGGGACCATGGCGACGGAGCAGAGGAACACAAGCACCGGGCCGAAGATCCAGAGAAGAAGCGGCAGCGCGGCGTAGAAGAGTCGGTTGCCCACCGTGTTGAGTACGAAACCCTTCTCCAGGAGGTCGGCGACGTACTCCGGGGTGACGATAACGTGGCCGTCGGCGGCGGGATCTTGACTTTGAGGCGTGTTGATGAGGAGGTTGACCTGGTTGACGAAGCGGATGGAGAGGGAGTGGCAGAAGAAGGAGAAGAGGAAGATGGTGAGGATGGTGACGTATTTCACGGCCATCATGAAGTCACCCTGGGCACCGAAAACGGTGTCGTTTAGGGGCCGCTTGACGCTGTAGGTGCTGCTGATGATGGCGGCTAAGCCCGCCGAGAGGAGGATCGACGTCGTGGCCATCAGCGTGGAGCCCATGATCAGGTTCCTCAGTGTTTGAACCGCCAGGATGTTCTTCTTCTCGTTGTCCTGCAACCAATTAATTGCACTCAGTTCAGTCAGTCAGCAAAACATACTTACGTCGTCGTTGTGTGTTGATGTTGTTGGATCGTTCTTTCTATATTGCAGGTTCTAACTGCTAAAAAAACGGAGCGGACGTTGTTAGAATGCGGATGATTTGGGTGGTAGTTTCAAGAACCAACAATAGGTTTTAATTAGTGGTGTTGGTTCGGTTCAATTAACCGAACCGAAATTATTAAAAAATTGAGCTAGATTGTTTTCTCAAAATCGAAACACCCGTGCACTCCAATCGAATATGAAACTCCCTACACCTCTCATCTAGTGTTCTTTGTATATTGCAGGTTCTAACGGCTAAAAACGACATCGTTAGAATGTGGATGATTTGGGTGGTAGTTTCAAGAACCAAGAATAGGTTTTAATTAGTGGCGTTGGTTCGGTTCAGTTAACCGAACCAAGATAATTTAAAAGAACAAAAAATTGAGCTGGGCAGTTTTCCCAAAATCGAAACACCCGTGCACTCCAACCGAATTTGAAACTCCCTACACCTCTTATATAGTGTTTATTTATTTATTTTGGTTTCTTATTTAGTTTTTTTTTTGTTTAAACCCAAATCAATAAGATAATATCCTTATCGGTTTGATTTTGATTTTTAAACCGAAACCGATAGGCCAACTCTAGTCTTAGTAACTCGAGTGGTTGAGAGATGTTCAATAATGAATTTTTATATACTACATACTATAACATGCTCTTTCACACTCAAGTCGCTCATATAAGTTTAAAGTTTACCCAATACGAAAAAACGGGATCCAAACACATAAGACTATGATATCACGAGAAAGAACTAATCGTAACTTGAATTAAGACTTGAATGAAGCAGAAACCCGGAAGAAATCTAAAAAAAAACAGAGTTCCGATATGAAATGAAAGAAATGAGATATGCATATAGTATACTCTCTATAGAGCTTGTTTTCTGGTGGTACCTTCATCATGGCGGCGACCCAGTATCGGCGGCCGGCGGCGTTGGTGCCGAGGGTGGTGGAGAGGGGCTGGGTGCGGACCTTGTGCCAGAGCCAGGCGTGGTAGCCGGCGATCACCATCAAGGCCATCGGAACCAGGATCACGTCCAGATCGCTCTGCCTCCACTTCATCATTGTGGTGATGATTGGTTTATTGCTTCTGGTTCCGAACTCGGTTTCTTGTATGTTTGTTGCGGCCTGGGAAAAAGGGTACTGTTTTGGGTTGGAGGGAGGGACTCGTGTACGTGTAAGTAAGTAACTCTTTTCTCTTTGTGTGTTTGTTGGAGTTACTTAAACACGAGTTTGGCACTGTGTTTATACTTTATATATAGAGTCAGAAAGAGAGAGAGAGAGAGCTTGCTAATGGTTAGTGGCCATGGCCCATGAGGATCCACAATCCAGGGGCCCAGATAATGCATTTGGACTTGTTCACATTCCCAGATTCATAGTGACATGGCGCGTTGACAACGGTCAACGCGTTTGACCGTTAACTTGAACGAAGTCGGATTTGGCCAAATTGTTTATTTTAGTGTATAGTTCGGGCCATGATGTTATAGATCGAAAAGATTGGCCAGGATGTTTATTTTGATGTCGATGGGGAGGGTCGCTGGTGTGACATCAACTTTGTGGTCAGGTGAAGATTGGCCAGGATGTTTATTTTGGTCATACGAAAATATTAACCCTTTTTAATTACCCTATATAGGATGGAAAAAGAAATGTTCGTATAAGGGTGCAACCTCAACTTTGTGAAGAATGCGTTCTCATCGTAGTATCAGAATTATTTTCGACCGCCAGTAGTATTGTATCTAGAATTCGATGGTTTTCAACATTTGTTGGTTGTTAATGTATACATAAATTGCACATTTTTTTCAAGTTTTAAGTTTTTGAATGGGCTCAATTTGAATGATCACAATGAACGGACTATTCACGAGTTACCTTTGTAACTGAAGTTGTTAGAATATGGAATCTTAGCAAGAAACACACTAGCTATAGCCTATAAGCTATCACATTAAGCGTGTTAGTGTACTGTGTTTTCCCTGTCTTTATCTTGACTTGCTTTTTGTTTTCTGCGCTTATTTTATTTTCTGCAGGGCCAATGAAAATTATCATGCAAACCCTAAAGCTTCCCTCCATGATAAGCTTGATTATTTAATTTTGCGTATTGCTTGGGACTTTAAAAAAATTGACTGTGTTTGCCACTTCTGCACTTCATGTGTGCCATTTTTCTTTCAGTTTATTTTTCTACTTTTGGATTTGCACACAAATTGATATCATAGTTCCACAGCCACAATTTATAAGTATTATGATGGAGAGGATTTTGTACTTTCCTATTTATTAAGATTTAATTAAGATAGAGCACTATTTTTTTTGTAAGTTATCGATATTTATCTTTCATCTATTACGATGGTTGTTGTGGTAATGGTGATCTTTTTATTCTTCTCTCTTTTTTCTATCTTGAGATTACCATCTCATCCTACACCTATATTTCTCAAACACATATCATCCACGCTTCCCTCCCTCAATACTCTTGTGTTATCATGTATTATGTTGCTCTGACGTCATTTTAACCAAAACACACGACCTCGTATCTCTAGTTGCCTAGCGGGCGATGGAAGGAGAGGTCGTCTAGGAACATAGTAAAGACGAGACTCGCGGTGCAAGAGCAAAGACGCTATAAGTCAAGCACATAATTGCACACTGACATGGATCTCACGGGATCGATGTCTGGGATCACTATGGCCTCGTCATAGATTGTCGACACAACCACACGACCATATGGTTCATTGGTAATCAAGCACATTCGCAAGGTTGATTTGTAACGATCGAGGGGGATTGATTAGTAAAGTAAACCTCATGAGTTGATTGACCATGAGTTAGAGAAGGACATGACTAAATTTTAGGGAGCCAATTAAGGGCAACTATTTTTGCTCCTATATGTTTAGTCACCTAACACAATCCATAGTTGCATTACGGGATTGTGTTTGTAGTGGTGGAAGCCGATAACCATGGGAAAGGAAAATGTCTAGTGGTGATCCGACTTGGACAGCATTTTAAGGAAAGGGTGGAGAGTGGAGACACAAACAAAACACAAGATAGATATAACAGAATCTAAGTGTGCCTCCTGTTTTGGTAAAGGGTCAGTTGTCCATTTTGCTTGATCGTGGAGGCCGGCAGCAGTGAAAATTCGACTCCCCGCAATATCATATTGCTGGTTTTAATGGTTGTTGGTAGCCAGTGGTCAAATGGTCCGAGCTGTAAACCATCCACGAGCCTCTTTTTTCCCTTCTTCTTTCCTTTCATAAAGCAAGGAGTTGATAATCATGGTGTCACGAGCTTATACAAATTTGTTTTACTCTTTTGGGTCTGGTTTGTAACGTTTTCCTTTCTATGGTGGATTAGGGTTAGGCCACTTGGAGAAGATGATATATATCTTCTCTCTCATATCTGTCATTTGCATTTCTTCAAGTATAGTAAGAACTGGCCGCTGTTGTCCGTAAATTAACCAACACAGATCATATTAGTGAACCACGTAAATATATATGTATTAGTATGGAATGATTGTACTCAAAATTCTCTACTTTCCCTTATTGGGTGGGTAACATTTCTCTTTTGTGTCTCTTGATTGGAGTTATGGTCCAAGATGAGAGTTTTTTTATTTTTATGATTGAATGCGAGGAGTTAATGATGCCTCTAAAAGAGTATTGATGAGAGATGATTGCATCGGAATTTGAGATGTGTCTAACTAGGTGAGTTGGGCGTCTCAACTATTTCGATTACAATTTTGTTAGGTTGAAAGAACGACATGCGGAGTATGATAACGTAATACAAACTAATAAATTTTCTATTAAATATGAACTAAATATATCCGTAACTCTGCTCAGGGCTCCCATAATGACATAATATACTTGTTGATAAAATGAAGGTTGTGCCCAAAATGTCTCGGGATGCCGTTGGTGGGAGGATTCTCGGGTGCATCCAATTTCATAATGGGGAGGTTAAAATAATTTTTCTTTTGATTTTGCTTCTAAAATAACGCATTTTGGATGAAAAACAGTGACTCACTGTGTGTTATTTGTAAAATCGACATAATTTCTATCTGTAAGGACCAAATTGCAAAATTCACAACCTCAGAGCCCGTTTGTAGAAAAAGCATAATTTAGGGGCGAAAAGGTAACCCTCTGAATTCCTAGTTCTTTTCTGCCTCTCTTTTCGTTTTTTGCAGTCTCTAGTCCTTTCTCTACCGAGTATCGGCTGTGAAGTTGGAGTCGGGCACAAGCTAGAGGCAAATACTCTGCAGTCTGCACCGTCGACGACCAAAGAGATTTAAGTTCGACGAGCAGAGGCCGCCACCGCGCAAGGAGTAGCGTTGAGGGCTTGGTGAAAAGTAAGAAACTTTTTCGATTTCAGCAGATCTATCAAATTTTCCAACGCAGTCATTCTGGCATTGCCCGTTGCTCTTCTTACTGAAAGAGAATAGATTGGAGAAGGGATGTGCCTATTCCGAGTCCTGACTGTAGCTTGACTGTCCTGAATTCATAGCCTCTATTTCTAGGGTTTAGAGGATTGATTTGTCTGGTAAAGATCCGATTTTTTTTTTCTTTCTTCCTGTAATTGAACTTCGTTTAGGGTTCTTGTGTCTTCGTAAAGTCCGAAGCTTTTGTCTTCAAATTTGATTGGGTTTTTGCCGTATTGATGTCTCTTTGTACGCCTGAAAGGCCGCTGATACCATAGCTCGGTCATCATGTTGTTACGTCGTCAGGGAAATTTAAGTTGAAGTTCACTGAAGGAAAACATGGAATTGGTTGATTGCCGCTGCAGTAACGATAGTCTCATGATACCTCCATTGCAGCTAGTATTGTGTGTTCAGTTAGTCCCTGGATATTTGTCATAGCAGCAGAGTTTGTGCCGCTTTCTGATTCAATTTCAGAGTGCTTTGTGCTCTCTCTGGGGTTCTTTGCCAGACTTTGATGCATGCAAATGGATTGTTAAGAATTCATTGTCCTTGTCTGTTGAATTGACTTAGTTCTGGTTGTATTGTATGGTTCAGTTTTGATACTTTGTGAACTTGTGCGGTTTCGATCAGTGGTACGGGTTTGATCTATGATTCTGCTTCTGTCTCACTTACAGTCTCAGTTTTGTAGTCGACATTTTAGCATTTGTGTTTGTGTTCACCCCTTCATCAGCTGATGTGCGAGAAAGTTGGCATGACACATTTTGGAACTCTTATGTTTCAGGACTTTAATTAGGACTGCAGACATGTCTACCTCTTACCTTCCTGCGACGAAAGACTCTATTTCGCAGGCTATGGAAGCTGATGCTCCATCTGAATCCATCTCCATGCTCTACCGTGTAATTGAAAATCCTTCCTCATCTCCAGAAGCTCTGCGAATTAAAGAACAAGCCATTACAGATCTCACTGATCTGCTTAGGCAAGAGAATAGGGCTGAGGATCTTCGCAGTCTTCTGACTCAGCTGCGACCCTTTTTTGCTGTGATTCCCAAGGCTAAAACTGCAAAAATTGTCAGAGGAGTAATCGATGCTGTTGCCAAAATACCCGGCACGTCCGACCTGCAAATCGCCCTGTGCAAGGAAATGGTGCAGTGGACCCGTGCAGAGAAGAGGACATTCCTCAGGCAGCGAGTCGAATCAAGGCTTGCAGCACTTCTGATGGAGAACAAGGAGTATACAGAAGCATTAACCCTTCTTACCGACTTGGTAAAAGAGGTAAGGAGGTTAGATGACAAGCTACTCCTTGTGGACATAGACTTGCTAGAGAGCAAGCTTCACTTTTCACTGAGGAACCTGCCCAAGGCAAAAGCTGCACTAACAGCTGCAAGAACTGCTGCAAATGCAATATATGTACCTCCGGCCCAGCAAGGCACTATCGATTTGCAGAGCGGGATTCTTCATGCGGAGGAGAAGGATTACAAGACTGCCTACAGCTACTTCTTTGAGGCATTCGAGTCTTTCAATGCTCTTGAGGACCCCAGGGCAGTTTTCAGTCTTAAGTACATGCTACTGTGCAAGATCATGGTGAGTCAGGCTGATGATGTCGCCGGCATAATTTCCTCCAAAGCTGGACTCCAGTATGTGGGGCCAGAGCTGGATGCTATGAAAGCTGTTGCTGATGCTCACTCCAAGAGATCATTGATGTCGTTCGAGACGGCACTGCGTGATTACAAGGCTCAGCTGGAGGAAGACCCCATTGTTCATCGGCATCTGTCTTCTCTGTATGACACGTTATTGGAGCAAAACTTGTGCAGGCTGATTGAGCCTTTCTCCAGGGTTGAGATTGGACACATTGCTGAGCTCATTGAGCTGCCTACCGATCATGTGGAGAAGAAGCTCTCACAGATGATTCTGGACAAGAAGTTTGCCGGGACCTTGGATCAAGGCGCCGGCTGTCTCGTGATCTTTGATGATCCCAAGACGGATGCTATATATCCCGATACATTAGAAACCATCGCCAATATGGGGAAGGTCGTCGACAGCCTTTTTGTGAGGTCTGCCAAGATCATGGCGTGAATAGGATGCTGTATCCTTATCGGGACATTGCCAATAGATCTTTCTGCCTAGCAATACCCGGAAGAAAGACATTAAATTTATGTGGGGTTTGACTCCACCATGCTCTTTCTCCCCTCCATCGTTTAGCTGTAGAAGAAATCATGGTTACTCTATGGAGAGTTACTGGTACATTTGTTTGCTTTTTACCTTGCTTTCTTGTTCATCTGATGGACCTTCTCAGTGGTGGAACTTATGGTTGGATGATGGCTAAGTAGTGGCATCTCCGTTTTCTTAGCTATGTGATCCATGATACTATCTTTCCAGGTGATGAATTTGTCAGTTCATTTTAGTGCCCCCTCTGAACTCGATTCATCTGTCCATCTATGTGTGCTGACAGTGGAAGAAATCTCAATTTCTGATGCCTGCTATAGTTGACAGGATGTTGCAGAGATGCAAAGTACATTCAAAGTTTCTGCCTTTTCTGAGTAGGGCTTTATGTATTTTTCAATTTGGAAAGGGAAGTACTTGATTGGTGGAACCAACGTGCATGGAATGGCCTGTTTTGCCTTTGTCGTAACCCACTAGCTCAGGCAGCTTAGAACGGGTGTCGGGTGATAGAGCAAAGTAACGCAAAGCAGATCCATCATCAGTTCAGTCCAACAAGTAAAGCTACGGTCTAACCCACGACTCTGCTTTGACTGCTTTTGGAACTCTAATAATAGAGAATACCAAAAGCACTGTGGAGATTGGAGAATGCTTTCTATCGAATTGGAATGGTGACGTTTCTCATGTCTCCTCAGATGTCCAATTTGTGATAAGGTGCGTGACTATGATGTATTTGCGTTAGTTTCGTGCACACCACAATTGTCCGATCACGTATCTAATAACCAAGAAAGTGTAATCACATGCGCCATTTCGAGCATGTGCTTACACGTATTCGGCTTTTAGATCCGTCGCTAGATGATTCGCAGATGAGTGTAGCTTCAGTACCAAAGATGACATTGGGGTTGTTTGCTGGCGCCTATTCAGATCAGGTGTGCTTCCGAAAGCAGAAGATGGTGGTCAAATGCGTTTGTGACAAAAGTTGCTGAGGACTTGCAGTAGTACATACTGTTCCTGAAAGCGTACTTCCACCAAACATTCCATTGTGGACAAGAAAAACCATTTGTCCTCCTCTGCTTTTACTGCCATTCTAGAGGTGGTTTCCTTTAGTGATGATGTTAATTTTAATTTTGCTGTTGCTGGCCGCGTTGTCATCTATGCACACAACAAAAAGACATCTTACTGCTCTCTTGTCCTAAGTTACCGTCTCCCTCTGTCTTTTAGGTTCGATTCATAAAAACCAGAACATCCATCGAATAGGTTGGCTGTGTGGAATGTGGGTGTTCGTTTTGTCCCCTGGCAATGGCGGGCATGTTATTTCTGTAGAAAGCCCAACCCAATTGTCCATGTAATCAGCCAAACATTTCATTACTGTTAGAAAAAGAAAGCCCGAAAGCCAATCTCTGCTACTCTCCTGAATCGGATTTCAAGTATCGACCTTTCTTCCCCAACTTTGTTATTCATTTCCTTTTCCCCTCTTCTTCCCCTGCTTTCCTGTTTCATGCAGCTCTTCTTTCTGGATTTCCCTGCGTTTGTTTTGAGTTCTCTAGTCGCCTCCATCTTTAGCCACTCTTCCTTGTCTGGTTATCCTTAGTCTCTGCTGTCTTGTTAGAAGTCGCCCCAATACCATTCCTTTCCCGGCGGCTCTTCTTGCTCGGTGGTTGAGGCAGAGGTACTCTGTTCATCTTCTATCGGAATCATTGTGCCTTTTCTTTTAGCTGTGGGTTGTTGTTCTTGCGAAGCTTTCATGAGTTCGTTGAAATTCAGATTATTTATTCATCACACTTAACCTAAATGTTCTGCAATGCAATAACGCATCCATGGGAATGATGATCACTTGCTGACATTAGTTGACAGGGTAATGGGTTTAGCAACAGTTCACTTGGCTTAGTTATGTAGAATTTTTGTTTCGTCCTTTGTGCAAATACAGGGTTCCATGGATGGATTTGCAGCTTGTGGTGGGTTAGCAGATTCTTTACTATGGTTGCATGATGATTTCAACCCCCAGCAATACAACAATTCAGTTTCTATCGATGCTCAGCCATCAAGTTATGGTATATAACCTTTGTGCTATACCTTTTTGTAGTTTTCATATGGTTTTTGCTAAGATCATGGCATGGCATAGGTGATTTGTTCTTGCTTAGTGGTAGCTTCCCTTTGAAGGTTTATAATCAGTGAGAGATTTTGGTCTGCTTGAGTTTCTCTGGTTAGTTGATTGACATTTCCCCTCCAAAAAATGGGTAATCAATTGATCAGTTGGGAGTCCAATATCAGCTAAGCGAAAAGTGAGAGAGATAGAACGAAGAGTTACATGGAGCGGTTCATCAGAACCATCAAATGAGGACGAAGAAGATGCTGAAACAGAAGCAGGACCTTCTGAGCAGAGCACTAACCCTGCTGTTGATGTCAAACGTGTTAGAAGGTGATTAAAAATCACTATGTCTTGAAGAGATCACAGATGTATAGTTACTCCAGATTGGCCTTATCTTCTATCTGCTATTGCTTTTCTTAATTAGGATGGTTTCCAACCGGGAGTCTGCTAGACGATCGCGAAGAAGGAAACAAGCTCATTTGGCTGAACTGGAATCGCAGGTTGTACTTGGATTTCTGATATCAATTGTTGAGTCAAATTGTTAGTTAATCAAAAGGGTCGCAATTAGGAATAATCAAGCAACTTGAGGAACTGATTGATAGGAGATGATTGAAAAGTTGTGGTCATTTGGTGTCTTCAGGTAGAACAACTGATAGGAGAAAATGCAGCTATGTACAAACAGCTTTCCGAAGCTACTCAACAGTATCGTGATGCTGATACGAGTCATCAGGTGCTGAAATCGGATGTTGAAGCCTTGAGAGCCAAGGTAAACCAGTACTAGCATGATGTGATGAAAATGGCCCCACCCTTAAGGAGATCTCGCAATTATCTTAAGACGTTAAACCTGATATTAGCTTGAATTTGACACCAGGTTAAGTTGGCTGAAGACATGGTAGCTCGTGGAACGTTTAGCAGTACCATGAACATGCTCCATCCAAATAACCCACCTGCTGTAACACCTCAGCTTCTGAACACTCCCGACCTTCATCCTCCTCGAATGGCAAACGTGTCGCCAACCATAACAGTACAAGGAGATGAGATATCGTACGACGGACTCAAGATTCCAGCACAGAATTCTGGACTCGGGATGGGGATTAATAACGTCGACCTCAGCAATGGAAGTATCAACAACGCTGTTCTTAACGAGGTTGTCAGCTGTGTATCAACAGATATCTGGCCTTGAACCAGGTTCCTTCACATCACCATCTTCTTACAATGTACAGTCTGGTAATTGGTTATCTGTTGTTATGCATCACATTTGAATAAGTGTGCCTCCGTGCAGTTTCTAGTTTTATGAGGACGATGGACTTATTATTGCAAAAGGAATTATACAATTTGGGGACATGAGTAGAAATGTAGAACTTAAAGGTATCATCATCATTATTAGTCTTACAAATCGAGTAGAACGAAATCAAAACTAATTAAAGTCAACATAAATTCGAGTAGCAAGACATTACAACAACGAACAAATGAACGAATGGTACAAAACCTGACTATGGTCCTAACGCCCTTCGAGGTTAGGATCGTAGCCCGATTCTAATGGGGTGTTCATGACGAGGAGGGCACCATCATCATGAGCTGAAACTCATTGAAATCAACCTTACCATCTGAGTTCAAATCCACACACTTGAGCATGGCGTTGAAGTCAGAGAGATCCCAGCTGCTGCCTCGATCCAGACCCAAGCAATGGAGGACTCGCTTCAGCTCGTCTGGCTCGATGTACCCATTGCCATCCTGGTCGAATATCCTGAACGCATCTCTCAGCAACGACGAACAATACACATCGCTTAGCACTTCCTCCACTCCAACCTCTCCTCCTTCTTCATCTCCTTCTCCTTCTTCTTCCTCCCCTGCAACGAGGCCAAGGTTCTCGACCACCTCACGAGCCTTGACCTTGTCGATCTTGCCATTGTTGGCCATCCCAAACACCGCTGTCAACGCCCTCATCATCACCTCGTCTTCCTCGTGATCATGTCCTGTCCTGGTCTGCTTCTGCTCCCCTGGAGCATCCTTCTGTTCCTCGTTGTGGCGGCGGCTGGAGGCTACCATGTTCTGCAGGATGTCTCCCACCAACCTGGAGCAAACTCCGGTGATGCTGCTGATCCCTATCGTCATTTCTTCTTCTTCCACGCTGAATTCACTCTACTTACTTACACTGTCAAAATGTCAACTCTTATCTTTTTGTGGGTTTTGTTTTTCTCATGACACCCAAATCACTTGGAGGTTTATATATACGAGGAGAAGGGTACTATCATTAATTAATTAATTAACAGATGATTAATTCCACTTAATGACCTTATTGCTTGCGAGCTGTTATTTGTGATTGGATCTGGAAATAAATATTTAGTTTATGCGCATACTGGGAGGTGTTTTAGTACGTAGCTGGCCGTCGATTTATATAGTTTTAGTGCTATAATAATGGTGATCAATTTTCAGAATCCGTTGACAAATCGGATTAGATGATATTCTGCCGTTTGATGGGAGTACATGTGGTGGAGAAGAACGCGTTTTAGGAGTAGCCTGTCACTGACTGTCTGGCTGTCAAGTGAATCGGCCATGCAGTACATTGAACACTCTAGCTGTAGCATACATAATTCTCCTTGCCGCTCCCCAACCCTGCCCTGCCCACACCTCTGTTTTTTATTGCTCAATCATGTAGATAAGGGTTTGACTTTTGTGTTGGCAATCGTTTCGTGATTTCGTATTATACGTCTTGTAGTTAAATCAATTGATAATATTGAGGATTGTGAAGATTCATACACAAACTTCTTAATGAACGCTTGAATATCAGGACAAGAAACAGTTCATCTCGAACGATTGACGTTGTTAAGCGACACTTTACAAGTCTAACCGAAGGGAGAATAGGGTTGAACAGCCTAACTATACTTCGATCCTCTTTAACCCTTACAACAAGTCAATAGGGTTGAGCAGCCAAACTATAGTTCAATGCTCTTTAACTTGTGCAACAATCAATCCAATGTAGCCCACAAATGAACACTAAAAGTAAGACTGCACAGTTTGAAAACTGAGTATTGGGATAGGTTGCTAAACCAGCTAAGAACTTAAACTCATAAAAAGTTGCCTAGTTAGGGTTCTAATTGGGAGAGTACAAAATGGGTTACCCCTTTAAATAGACTAGCCAACTTGAGGTCCATATTATCAGTTGTGCATGTGTTCACTATATACAAGGTTGTGTCTGTACATGGGCAATTATCCTTGTGCTCAGTTAATTAGAGGCGTTCCTAAGCTCGACTCTAACTCTTCTGGTAAAGGCAGGTTCAACTCGGAACAAACCAACTCGATGATCTTCCTAGTTGCATACCCTAACGACATCTTGTTCACTGTCACTGCTATGGCAAACCTATCCTTCGTGTAGCAAAAACCGGTCGACCCACCCATCCCAGAGTGTCCAAACCCAACAATCGTCCCATCCTTGGTTTTCATCCTTTTAAAACCTAACCCAAATGCCCCATTTGCCAAAGCCAACCTACCATGCTCCTCTCCAATGCCTAAGAATGCTTCATGAATCCTAGGGTTACTATACATACGAGTTGCCCCACTTCCAAGTAACTCCCCGTGACCATCATCACTACTGCAATTTTCCTCATCCAGCTTGGTGTAACTGTGGTTCTGTCGAGGCTTCCTAGCAGTAGTGTCACTTTTCTCATCGTCTCCGTTCGATTTGTTCTTCAAAGGATAGACCGCTCGAATGCGTCTCTTTCCTTTCGGTTTGGAGGATTTCTTCTTCATGCCGCCTAATTTGGGGATGTGGGGGTGGCTTCCAAGAGGTGGATCATGTGATGAAGAGGAATGTAGAGGTGGTACAATGCCACCATCGACAAGAGCTGCGTAGTATCGTGCAAGAGCGCGAGCCGAGCAATGTCCATTCGCTGCAGGAATAATGGCACGACGAGCCATCAATGTGTTGAACAGAGCAGGAATGGCAGCCAGTAAATGGCCAGCCATGTCCGGTTGGAACGTTGAAGGTAGATCGAGACGGTTGGTGACCTGTGGCAGCTTGCTCATATCATTTGTGTCTAACGTGAGGCTGGCAAGTCTGGATTCCACACCTGTCGATTGCAAAGCTCAATTTGCTTAGTTAGCAGTAAAGGTTACATGTTCAACAGTTCTGCAAATATTGAAATGATACAAGCAAATTGTACATGGCCATACCAGGAGGTATTCCGACGTATAGCTCGCCTTCAATATTGAGGGGTTTAACAACTGCTTCTTCAAGAATCTCCTGAAATGTCTTCCTGGAAGCATTCTGCTCCATTTAAGAACACTGTTAAACTAAGCAGGCACAGTAAATTCTCCTCATTCTAGCAATAACAAAAATTAAAAGAACAGTACCTCAATAATCCCACCACATAGCCAACCATAAGAAAGATAGTGATACAACTGCTTCTGCCCGGGTTCTGTCTCGGGTTCTGCCTCTGCAATTTGATTGAGGCAGTCTTTCCAATCACACAATGACAAGGGATTTCCACCTCTGAGATTGGCCATAGCATTATGCAAACCAGATGTATGGTTAAGAACGTGATTGACCTTGATAACCTCTTTTCCTTTCTTTCCGAATTCTGGCCAGATCTTCACGACATTGTCGTCAAGCTTGAGTTTTCTACAAGAAAAACCATACTGTGTAAGAGCTACGGAAAAGAGGGAATGCTACCTGGTCGATCCTGCCAGTATCAACACGAGCTATCTGGTTTTTTCCATTAGAATACACACCCGTTATCCGCAAGCCAGTGCAGTAAACCAGCTGTGACACCCTTTGTTGCAGAGAAAACTGGGAAGAGGCTATCTAGTTGAACTGGGCGAGGGTCGTATCTCCCAAGTACTCCAGCAGCCGTATCAATAATGACCTTGCCATCTTTATAAGCACAAACCTTAACATAACAGAATTTAGAAGAAAACCCATCAACACCATAAGTTGTTTCCCAAAACTGTAACAGTCTGATACTTTGTTACAGACCTGGATTCCAAGTATCTTCTCCTCTTTCCCAAGCTCGACCAACAGCTGCCTTAACTTGACCTCCACGTCAGAATGAATCGGTGTGTCATGGATCCATTCTGTACTTTCTGCTGGTGCCTTGTGAAGAACTGACCCTTGTAATGCATGTTCAGCAAACGGTCTCATGATTTCATGGTATACTATGCGAACATTCAGAGTGGATGAAAGTCCTGAAGGAATCGACACATAAAATATCAGCAGAAGGAAGTTCTGACTCTCGAGATTAGGAAAAGTTGAAGCAATGGATTCTCGTTTCTGTCACACCTCTGAGAAGATTAAGCACCCGACCGAATATGACAATGTCGCCGGGAAATGCATCGATCTGGAAGTATGAAATGTTATTTTGGTGCACGATATAAGCCGATGTATATGAAATGTTTGGATTTTTTTTCCCCTTGCTGTACATAACTTACTGGATTAAACCGCTTAGCTTCTTTCTGGTTCAGTTTCATCTTTTCCTGGACCACCTTCATATGCCTTGATCTTTGTGCAGACAAAGATCTCATATTTGCCTACACAAGAGTACTGGCAAATCAATGCAGGATTTTCTTAAAAGCTTACGTTTTTACGATTCTAGCTCACCAAAACGCTTCTGGCACACTTACGGTAGGATCATTAGCTGGATTTGCAGTACGGAAGAACACATTAGCTGCCTCCATTGCTTGCTCTGGGACGTCCAAGCGAAGCTTGAGACCCATTTCTGACAAAGCAGACAAAAGAGCCACATGGTCACCCTATAAACCCAAAAGACATTGAAGAGATCATAGTTAGGCTATGAAAATCAAAGCAGCAACAATGAGGGAATGTACAACACAGACAGAGGAAAATCGAAACTTACTTCGACAGATGCAAGGAACAGTTTTGCCAGTGCCTGTTTCAGGGTGTTCGACAGTTTCTTTGTCAATCCAAAGTCCAGCAAGATTGGACGATGGGGAGCTTCCTTGCTAACCAAGAAATTTCCTAAACCATGAATCATACGACGATTACAGCGATTCGAGGTTAGAAAAGCCGAAGACACTTATTCTGAATCTTATTTAGTATTGACTGTGAGATTGTATACCAGGATGGGGATCACCGTTGAACATTCCGTCGATATATATTTGATGAGCATAAGCACGTGTAATTTCTTCAACGATTCTCTGTTTAGTAACACCAGCAGCTTCCAAAGCGACATGATCATTCAAACGAATCCCGTCCATGTACTCCAAAACCAGAACCCTCTCACTGGACTGGCAGTCAAAAAAGCAAGACAATGACTTTAAGGTAACAGGAAATGACAATTACATCTAAGCAAATGAACCCATTGAAGTTAAAGAGACATACAGTACTACCTCAATCACCTCTGGGATAAGAACATCCACTTTACTGTCTTGTTTTTTGTTATCATCCTTGTTCTTGCATCCTAGATTTTTAGCCACTGTTTTAGTGTTCTCTGCAAATGAAAGCCAACAGTGCAAAATGTGAGATCTAATTCAAAGATGAGAGGCAAAAAAGACATGAAATTTACCAACGACGACATACCAGCTTCATGGTTGAAATCAAGCTCTTTTGGAGCTTCTCTGCACCACTCATCAATCACGGGATTGAAGTTGTATTGTGGCTCTGCCCATGCTATCCAGTCAATAATTGCTTTAGCATTCTTCAAATCCTCGAGTATAACAGTTTTTATGCCTCGATGCTGAACTTTTACAACCACTTTTCGTCCGCTGATCAAAGTTGCTCGATGAACCTGCGCGATCTGTTTAAGAAACAGGCAGCAGTATGATATCTACGTATTTATGTTGGCGAAATAACATGGTTACAAATCATTGTTGTGACAAATCCATCTTGCACTGTTGCACAACATATCTCACCGACGCGGTTGCTAAAGGGGTTTCGTCAAAATAGGAAAAGAGATCATCAGTGGCCCGTCCCAGCTCCTTCTTTATAGTAGTGTGAATCTGTGACATTGAACAATAAATTTTTCAGCAGATCATTGTGCTTCTTATGCTGATCATAACAAATATGAATACATAAGATTTTATTTAGGGATGGGGAAAATATATGCAATCGTGGAAATCAATCTGAATTCGACCTAATTGGGTAGGGTAAACTCGAATCCGAAAGATTTTTGGTGGGTATGGGTACAAACCCGAACCCGAATATTACGGGTGGTGGGCATGGTTTTCTCATCATGCAAACTGAATCCGTCCGATTATACATATGCATATGTATTTTTTTTTTAAAAATGATCATTATTTTTCGCATCATATTTTATATTTAGAACATGAATATAATATCTTCATATAACCGGTGAATCCGCCCGTACTTTTCCTCTTATGTAATGCAAGTATACGTGTGAATGTTAACATGTTGGTTGGAGTTATAAAGAGAACTTATTATCCACGGATTCCTAAAATCCGAACAGGTATGAGCTTGGTTTTGATTTTCTACCCGATTCTTATGTGGGTATGGTATGAGTGAAACTCGACCTACTTTGAATAGGGTAACGGATATGCACTATCTGCCCCTGTCCCGACTCGATCCATTGTCGTCCTTAGTTATATTCGTGAAGGTAATAGAGTATTTCATTTCATCTTTATTTTCATTAAATAAGCTATATAACCTCTTGCAATGAACGAGGAGGAAGGGCATCCTGTAGCTGTTTGAGAAGTGATATGTAAGCACGAGGAAGCACATCCGCACGAGTCGATAAGTACTGCCCAAATTTCACCCACAAACCTTCCAGTTCGATCATCGCATTCAGCAGGCGTCTGGCATTCCTCTCGTGTGCTTTGTCCCATAGAGCTGCTCTTTTAGATGGTCGAGTCCATTTCTCTCTTTGTTGTAAAGTCTGCAACATTAGAAGTATATTTGATATGTATAGTTATTCATCACAAGATTATCTTATAAATGTAACAATGGCGATTGAGAGTCTTTACCTTGTAATCAAGGTAAATAAGTACAGCCAGTGTAAACACTCTCAAGCGTCTTAGGTAGATGTTAGCCCATTGGATGAAAGGCAACATTTTCAACCAGTAACAATAGAACCTATGAAATTTTGCTGATGACATATCACAAAACAAGACACGCATTTTCGTATTAGAATTTCAGAAATATGCGCATTAAAAACTTCATCTTCCACATCATTGACATTGCCCATAACCTCACTTTGAGTGTAGTAAAAAGAATTCATTTGCTTAATTTAGGGTTCTAACCCATAAGAACTTAGAAGAAGAAAAATCTAATGACACGAAGCTCGGGTTATCCTTGTTCTGATCCTATCTCAAGGATTTCTCACAGTAGATAGATGACGCAAGGATCTTCGAAAATTAGTGAGGAAACCAGCCTGTGATTGGAGAGAGCAAACTATTAGAACCCACAAGCAACCTTTTAAAAGACTTTAAATGCAAGTTGTTGAGTAATTAACATATCAAGAACATTATCTAAGCAGTTATCATATTAGCAACATTTCAATACTGCATGCAATGGTTCTTAGTAATTCGGTTGCAACATTTCGTGCACGGGGTTGAAGTTTATCTAAAAAATGTCTCAGATAACCGACCTACTTAACTCTCAAGAACAAAATCTCAAACGAGTACATAAATTCCTAACCCTAAACGACAATCAACAAGTATATCTCTCTGTATTACCAAAGTACAATTCTTATCCAACCGCGGTAGCAATAAGAAGGCATTGAAAACGTTCAAATTAACAAGGAAGAGAGGATATTACCATTTGTTGTTTCGATGTCATTTCTCCTTGAGGCTTTAGGGTCCTGATTCTCCTCCTTCGATCCCCGTCACAGTTGATACGGATTAAAACATATTCTAAACATTACATATCATTTCAAGCGGGACAATTCCACCTTTTTCATTGCTATTTCAACCAAAAATGACAAGCTCGAACCAATATAGAGCACATTATGCAGAACATAGTCGAGAACAAACCCTTCACAAATAAGTATAGATTGCTTTTCTTGCTTTCTTTTTTTGGTAAAAAGCTTTTCTTGCTTCTCGACAATGAAAATCAAAACATGTAAAGGAAACAATAAAAAACATTTTATGAAGTACCATAATGGGTAAATGATGGAAAAGAAGACTCACATGCCATATGGCGAAGAACACGAACGATACAAATTGACCAAAAGGAACAGAAGGAAAGACGAAAGAAATTGCTATCCATTCTTCATAAGGAGAAATGAACACAAATCATGAGCTTGCCCATTATCTAGAGATTTGATGAACGAGGAGAAAGGAATCTATAAAAACATTAAAAGACATATGACAATAAGGCTTTGAGAAAGAGAGAAAAAATTCTCTTTATTTTTTCAACCTTTCAGTTTTATCCCTAAGAATCTGCTTATTTTAGCATTATTATTTTTCCTCCAAAAAATCATCTCGCCTCTTTGTTCAAAAGTATCCTAAAGATTTTTTTCTTTATTCTTTATTTAGTGAACTAGATTGCAAGCAACATTAACCTTTTTTCTTTGTATCTTTCAGGAAGAACAAAACTCTACTGACTAATGGTTATTCACTATATCAATTATCAAGGTCTATGATTATTTTAATTTTAAAAATATTCATTTGTTTCTTACATTCTTCGCAAATGAAGATATTTAAGTAACAATGTTCCATAATTTTTCATTGGCATAAAAGGGCTACGAAAAATCAACATTAAAAGATAATTAGTAAAGAGCAAACCGTGATTATTTGTCCAATCTTAAACATAAGTAGAGGTTGATGTTGAAGTTTTTATGAGATGATTAGCTAAATCAAGGTTTTACCGACAGATTATCCAAAAGTTGGTAATGGCGGAGAAGATTAATATGGAGATTGGTACAATATGCATAAGTATTCTGCGGTACCTTTGTGAGATGAAGAATGAGTCTTGGTGCTCCACCCCTCTATAAGGCAACACATCAGCACATGTGTTGGCCCACTCGGAAATGAAATGAAATGAGACGGTGATTTTCCTTAATAGGACGTCTGTTTTTTTGTTAATCAAATTAATAGGGACAATGTAATCGCAAACTCTCATTAATGAAAATCTAGAAAGATTTTAATAAAACAAAAGGATTTTAAGATAATAAGGTGAGTGGTTAGTATAATGACTTATATCAACAAAATACTTGATATAGTGTTACAGAAATAGGATGGACATAGATTCTCCATGAAACTAAATTGCATGTTACACCTCCTTAAAAAAATACTTATAACTTAGCAAGAACTGATTGTTTTGTTCTTGAATTTACATGGATAAATTATTGAAGCATATTTAACTATATTGTAAAAATAAGTATTGTTATACTTATAGTCAAAATAATTGAACAACATAGATTATAACTATGGTGGCTACTTCGGTGCACTCACTTTTTTGGGTGCATTCAGTGCACCAAAGTGGTCATAATACATCAAATTTTGAAATTTAATGGGTAGCCTAACCTATTAACATTTAATTTTGAATCTAAATCCAAAATCCCAAATTGTAAACCCTAACCCTAAATTCCTAAACCCTGAATCATTCAAATTAAAGTGAATCTTGAATGATTTTTGTACAAATTCATGTGGTTCTTGTTCATCATACTACAAGGGATGATTGACATCGTCTTCACATGAATCGTCTACTCAGAATGACGATTATGAGGCGGGTGCATTGAATGCACCCAAAAAAGTGAGTGCACAGAAGACATAACCTTATAAGTTATAACTATATATATTAATAAATTATATTATAAAAATTAAAAGAAAAATCTTACATGTCCAAAGGGCAGGGTCTAGGCTAGTATCTCTTGAAATATCTTATAAGACTTTCCACGTACTCCTTCATGCAATCCCATGCTAATAAATGCCGAATATTTTTTAACACAAGTTTGCTAAATATTTAGGCAAAAGTTAATGTTAGACAATTAGGAGTTGAATATGTTCACTTATAAAGATGTACCACGACAATTAGTGCAAATATATCATGGAGTATTGGAGTATTAGATTTTGTGTATAAAACTTATCATATATTAGGTAACAAATTTATGAGCATGCGAGGAGGTACAACAAATATTTATGAACAATGTATAAGCCCGATTCATACCATGAGAATCACGAATCAAATAGTAGAAGAGTTTCGATGACCTAGAAACAAACAATTACTGCATTCGGTATGGTAGGTTCGATTCAAATATCAATTTGGTCCATTTTTTTATTCTACATTCATACAATCCATGAAAGTATGAAACCGACAACATCGTAATCGATCCGATAATAACATTAATTAACCTCGCTTTTCATCCATTTGCTCGATCCAACAAACTGGGCTAAACCGGGTTGACAACCCTGGTAATTACCAAAACTCAAGCAGCTAGCTGGCGAGGCTTGACTATGCTGTCGACATAGCTGTAAGGAGTATAGCTAGTGATGAGTGGGAGGTGCTCTATCTATATATCGATCTCTGATCCCACTAGCTACTGCTCAGCTTTTTTCCCTGTCTTTTACCCTTTGGGATGCTAGCTAATCGGCGCCACTTGCTTACAAAAGCTTATAAATAGCTAGCATTCAACCCAGATATGTAACAATTGAAAGCATACTGTCCTTCACGAATAATGCTATATATTTCACAGATCCGCGAGGTTAGGCCTGGCATGGAGACGAAGATAGAGGGCTTGGTTTAGCCAAGGATGACTTGCCGGCCGACGGCCAGCTGAGGGTGGCCGGCCGGCGAGTTAGCCTTGGCTACATTATGCTCCCTTCTTACCATGCTAGACCATGTATTCCTCTCCTCTCCTTTGGCGCGCCGGACGGCGGCCTCTGAGTACGGTAAGAAGTTCTTGTAATCATGATTGTAGGCCGTGAATAACGTGTCAAGAAGAAACGTACCACGAAGAAATGAATAAAAGAATAAGAGAAATGAAATGGGTGATGTACTCTTCAGTAGAGGTTCACTGATCGACAAAAAAAATTGAATGTATTGAGTGAGTAATATCACTCAAAAGCAACAAACCAGGATTAATAATTTTTTGGTAAAGATAGAATATCTTGATTGAAAACTTTGCTAGTGGTATAGGTTAGGGTTAGAATTTTATGAACTCATTGAACAAAAGATTGTAAAATATTTTTATTAAATTACAGATACAAATCATATAAAAATAAGATACTCGCTAGATGGGCCGGCTACAGATCCATACACCCGATATAAAAGAAATTAGTCGGCCCACAAGTCGAGCCCATCGCTAGTAGGGTAGTGTTCGTCAGAGTAACCGCCGTTCGTTCGTCGCCGACTTAAATCCAACCAAACGTATCAAATGACGTGGCGGTGTTCCTCTGATTCATATTTTTTACATCTATATAATTTAATTTTATTATATTCATTGATTTTCTCTTCAATTCTATCGATCCGATCCGACCGTCCGAAAATCTTTAATACAATCAACTACCAAAATATCAAATTGGATTCCTTACTGGTCGTCTTCCTTACACTTCTTCTACTTTCTCCCCTCCGTCGTGACTTTCGGGTGACGGATCCGGCGGTTCATGGCGGCCGCTAAGTTTCTGGTTTTCTCGCTCTTCCTCGCCCTAGTTCTCACCACTGCTTGGGCGGACGCCTCGGCCGATAGCGACGGCGATGTTGCTGCGCCGGTGAGTCAAGTCACTGGATCTAAAGACCTCGAGACCTCCGCTCTGAAGATCGAACTCGACCAGCTCACGTCCAAGATCCAATCCCTTGGTCAGTTCCAACTCTTCAGAAATTCTTCACTGATTGATTGATGCCGACTTGTACTGAATCAGCAGCAAAGTCTTATGTTCTATTGGGGGAACTGTGAAGTCGTGGTTAGGTTTTTCCGATTTCGTTTCAGGAATTGAACTGCCCGCTATTTCATGGACGGTTCTCCCCCTGATTCTGTGTGTTTCTAACTGCTTGACTGAGCAGTTCAGCCATGCGCTGCAACTGTTGATGCTTGAATTCGCTTCCTAGTTTATGTGCTGCTGCTAATGCGGACAAAGGTTCTGAATTTGTGCTTGCTCTGTTGCTTTTGGTTTTTATGGGTGGTGTAAAGAGTCCAAGATCAATAAGAAGACAAAGGAATTGAAGGCGAAAGATGAGAAATTGGCTGAGAAGGATAAACTCATCAAAGATAAAGCAGATATCGTTGGGTCCCTGCTGAGTGAAATATCCTCCCTTCAGGTTTGTAGCTTAGGATCGTCATCTTTCTTCTATGTTCATATACATTTCATTTCCGTGCGATGGATGTAACGATATCCTTAGTTTGGTAATTGAAGTATGCATTTTGCTGGTCGTCCTCAGTTCCTTTCTGATAAGATAGATGCCCCTGTAATGCATCATAAGCTTGTTCTTTCTTTTTGTTATACAGAAAAGAGGGAAGTTGGATGACGCTGAACAGCTGAACAAGGCCAATGCACGAGCTGCAGAGTTGCAGAAGCAGGTTTGTAAAAATTTGGAGAATGAAGTACTAAATTTCAGGAAGTCGTTTTGCATTTTCTGAAGTTTTCCCCACTTCTGCAGTTTGAGAAACTTAAAAATGAATTTGAAGCACAAAATGCTGAGAAAGAGGCTCTGGGTACCAAAGCTAGTGAAGGTGAAAGGAAGGTTGATGAGTTGAACTTGAAACTAAAGAATGTAAGTTCCTTTTTATTACTTCCTTCGGTCTCGTTTCTTCAATGTTGTTGTTTACTTCTTCTTGCCATTAATTCTTCCTTTAAACATAACTGGAATCTGCTTTCTTCTGATTTCAATTGGATTAATACATACACCCATCTCTTACAAATTTTTTAGGGCGTCTGTTGCAGACTGAATTTGGGTGGTAACCGAAAACCTTTTGTGCTATGTGGAACTGAAGTTGTAGTTTTGAGTATAAGATAACATTCTAGGACATTTTATCTTGTCCGTATCTTGATGCCAAAAACAAATGTACTTATTATAGGTTCTTGACTTGTTGTAGAAATCACTCTTGATTTACTTGGTCCTCATCTAACAGTTTGTTGTTTTCTCTAGATACAACAGCCTTCTTTAAAATGGACTGTAGTTTCTATAGGCTATACACCATCTGATATTACTGTTGCTCAAAATTGTTCGATGTGCAGCTTCAAAAGATCAGCGATGATCAAAAGAGCCAAATCCGCAAAACAGAGCGTGCTCTTAAAGTTGCTGAGGTATATTTGTCTTAGACAACAAACGGTGCAAACATTTATCTCAGTGATTAGTCCTTCCGAGAATTCCTGTTCATCTTCTCCTTTCTTTCTATCAGGAAGAAATGCTGAAGGCAAAATTAGAGGTCAGCTCGAGAACTAAAGAGTTGATGGAGGTAAGAACTGGTGTTGGTTTCACATACCCTTGAAGGGCTTTACGCATTAGTGAAGTTGGAAGCTTGTTGTCCTCCTTAATAAAGCCAAGACATGATGCAACTTATGATGATCTTTGTGTCATCCAAGAATTCTACTCTCAGTTTTTGTTTGACGTTGTGGGCGGTGAATTAATTTTTTTTTTTAATTTACACATCATCTTAGCTATATGTCTTTTACCTGTATTATTGGATCAACTGTTTGTAGGATCACGTAGTTTATGTCTTAGCACATCTACTGTGTTGAATAATGCATTTAACTACTCCACTGGTTCTAATTTGAGCTTGTGGTACTTGTTTAGGTTCATGGTGCCTGGCTTCCTCCTTGGCTTGCTGTGCAATTAGTTCGTTTTCAGGTAATCTATTATGAACTCTGCCTACATCATTTATCAAAAGAAACAGATTATGAACTTTGCTGTGACAGTCAATAATGAATATGTGGTTCTGTTGAAGGTTAACAACAAATGTATTGTTTGTTGCATATTCAAAAACCTGTTTCGGGGTCCCCATAAAACTCCTTGTACACTGTTTTTGGGGACATTTGTTTAAGTTTGTGATTAGATCAATATAGGCTTCTTTGTATGCTCGGCCAGTTGACCTGCTTATAAATCTAACAAGATTCTTCCTGTTCCAGTCGTTGGCACAGAAGCATTGGAATGACCATGGCAAGCCTAGACTGGAATTAGTCATCCAAAAGGTAAGCAGTTGCTTTCTTTTGTTTTTGAATCGTTGGGTACACCAAAGTGCTCTTGGTTTTCTCTTCATGTTTAATTTAATCTTGCATGTACATTATTTTGGCATAAAGATAACTTATTGAAATCTGATTCAGGCCCAAGAAAACAAGGTTAAGGCTGCAAAGTGGGCTGAGCCACACCTAGAGACAGTTAAAACTGTAAGTTTTTTTCTTGCATCTCCTATTGCTACTAGTAATCATTTAGGTATAAGTGCTGCATCTGAGAAGTTGGAACGTATTACCCTGGACCTAGTGGCAATGGTTAGCCCTTTGCCTGAGCAATTCATTTCACTCTAACATGATTTCGTTTTCCATATAGAATGTGTATATTTTGAGCTATTGTATTCTTGATATGTCGTGTTTAAGTGAAAACAGTTGCTCGTAGTTGTCAGGGGTAGTAACTGTCTGTGATTTCAGTTTCTTGCTAGCCTGACATCTTTTAATTCCTAGCATGCCTCTTATATTTATTAGTCTATTCTTCTTTTTTCCCCGTTTGTCATCTCAATGCAGAAATGGATCCCAACTGTGAAGGATCAGTGGGTGGTGGTAACAACTCAGGCTGAACCTCATGTGCGGTCATTGTGTGCAAAAAGCGTGGAAGCTTATGAGACCTCCAAGACTGCAGTTACTGTTCACTTAGTTCGAGTACAAGAGATTGTGGACCCTTACTTTCAGGTGAATTTCAACTACACTCATGTTTGTTGTTGTATGCTTGTTTGTTGCTGTCCTCTAAACTGGTTACTACTTATCACAGGAGGCTAAGAAGTTCAGTAAGCCATATATTGATCATGTTGCCACCATTACTAAACCCCATGTCGACAAAATTAGGGTTGTCGTGAAACCTTACACAAAGAAAGCAGTTCGGGCATATGGGAAGTTCCTGGAGTCGGCCACTACCTATCATCATCAGGTTGGTGTAAATTTTTGTTTTTATTGTTTAGGCTTTCAGAACTATATCAAGAAATATTAGTTGTGTACTTTGCTTTTGGAAGATCATCTTAGGATGACCTCTCTCGATGCTTTTCCACAAATATTATACCTTGAGCAGACTTGTTCGCATTTCTCATTAGGTGCAAGAAACTGTTCAAGATATCCTGAAAAGGCATGAATTGACAGAAACCCTTGCAACGAAAGAATTCGTCTGGTTTGTGGTATGTACTTGTTACTGTGTATAATCCATCAAACATATCATTATTCAATCATGAAAATCAGCTCAATAATTTTGTTTAGTACATTAGAACTAACAAATTATGGCTACTTGAACTGTTGTAGGCGTCAGCAATATTGGCCCTGCCTATCATTCTCCTGTCCAGAGTCTGTTCAGCTGTTTTCTGGTTGGTTTCAGAACTCTTATCAAATGTTTCTCCTTTGTCCAGTATGATTTTTTGAAATTGCCTCTCAATATGGTTCAATGATCTTGCAGTAAGAAATCAAAGAGACCAGCTAGAAGTGCCCATTCCAGCCACTCCAGGCGGAAGGGTAAAAGGGCCCATGCAGAAAAGTGAAATTAGCTGAAGGTCGTGTTTGGTGCCTTCGATCATGGCGCGTTCGAGGTATGCTTGATCATCGTGATTGTTGCTGTCAATAAGCTACATGTTATGGTTGTTCTAACCCCTGTTGACTTTCCCTACTGCAGATGGCACTAGTGGTCTTCATGGCTATTTCGTTTGTAGGGGGTATATTCTTCAAGCTCGTGGGCGAAAATTCGAGATTGGTTCGAGGCTCTGGAGCTCCTCCTTCAGTTTTTATCTTTGTTGCCAATGCCAGTTGTCTGTGAGAAAGTGTAGAAGAACGAACACCCCAGTTTCAACACAATAGTTGCTGTAGTTTTTTGTACCGAGAAGATTTAGAGAGAGATGTATTTTATGGGGCTAGAGATGTAGTTATCACTCAGAGTCAGTGAGTCAGTGTCACACATTGTATTTCTTTCTTTGCACGGAAAAGGTCATATTTCATTCACAAAGTCGAAAATAGCTTCAAACGTGTTGTGGTAAACTGGTAGTTATGGAATCTCTCTTTTATGTACACGAACGAATTTTACTCTTTTTACTGGTTTTTCCATGTCTTCGGAGATGCTAAATGTGATTCATCATTTGATTCGATGAAGCGATTGGATGAGCTCGGTCGTTAAACTTTCTACCTGAGGTTAAATTGGCGGACGGGTTTTTTTTTTTATAGAGAAAACTTGTAATTATAATTTGACTAGTTCATATTTTGCTATGTCTTACATGTACAAAATTCGAATTTTGAGTACTCATGGATAGTATGGTTTAACTTAATATATACTAGGTTTTCTTTTCCCGCGCTCTGCGACGGAATGGGCGTGCTAATTTAGTTATTATAGTTCAATTTTATGGATGCCTACTCAGATATAATGAATATGATCAATGAGTTTATCTAATAAGAAATTCTTAATCAAGATGCTCATTTTAACACTACCCAAATTCAATGGGCGAGTATCAAGCTTGAATCGGATGCTATACGGTTGTAAATATATAATAAAAGTTTGGTACCTAATTTGAATAGAAATGTTTGAACTTAATATTCTTTTTTGGCAACATGATCGTATACTCACTCAAATGAATGGAAAATGTCAGTAAAAAATGTCAATGTTTAACTGGGCCAATGATGCTCACGGGCTTTCATTGATCAATTTCTAAGTTTGACCAAATAAATAACTTAGAGCCCTTGTAGCCATCGATCAAAGTTTGTTCTCCAACTAATTAACTATGAAATTGGTCAGAACATGCGAGCTAGAGTACATATTACATAATTTAAAGTATGCATATCTATGCAACTACTTCCAGTTCCAAAATTTAGAAGCGCACATAATAATAATATTATTATTATTATTATTATTATTATTATTATATATACATGTCGAGAACAAAACATAACTTGATGAAACAAAACATAGGCAGATAGTTCCATTTGATTGCCCAGATTGCATTACCTGAAAAGATTAACAGTATTATGACTATCAGCAGACTTATATTCTTGAAATTGTATTGGACATAACATCGGGAGCATCAGTGTATAAAGTATTAGATCCTTGGAAGTTGGAACCACTACTGATGACGGGAAAAAGCGCCATATAGTAGATAGTTTCTAGGAAAAGAACTATGCTTATATGGATCAGCTACAATCAAACCATTGCTCAATTGATTTTGACGGAAATATGCTACTGCTAATAGTTTGAAAAATGAACTAAGGAATATCCTAGACATTAGGAAAACTATCAAAATCTACAGACCAGTATGAATAATGGGAAAAATGAAAAGAGTTTGGAAAGAAAAAGAAACAGATAATTTGACCACTCCCTATCAAAGTCTCGAAGAAGAAACAATTGTACTTAAGTGAATACAATGCAGTGTAAGAACTCTTTATAGAAAATACCATTTATGGTGAATGGATGGGAAGTCGATGAACCTAGATTCATAGGAAGACTATGTGCATAAAACCATTAAAGATTTGTTCCGGATGTGTTTCTTCGATCAATGAAAAGGGCAGGAAAAACAGAGGATGTTAAGAAAGGTAGAAAACTCAATAGTGAGGATTCAAATATAATCACCCCAAACCCTGCTCACACCCGAAAGGGATAGTTAATTAAAAATATGAGGATTTGGGTATTCTCCGGAAGCTCTGTAGTACTCTAATTTTCGCCATTACCTTGTCCTATGGGCCTTTCTGGGATTTGAGGACAACCGGTATGTTGAGAAGCAAAATCGCCATTAGGAGAAACTGATAAGAAAAAAAAAAGATGCAGCAGAGGAATCAAGGGATGAGAGCACACAACCATCAAAGAAGATAGAACCTTCGAGAACACCACCAACTAATTCAGGATATCGCCTCTTGAGATTGCACAACAGCGCTCCATCCATCCTTCCTAAGCATCAAAGACTCCAACACGAACTGATTACAATCTCTAGCAAGTAGCAACACTGTAGGCTGCAGCACACAAAGAGAGAGAAACCAACAACTTTCAAGTTAGAAAGTTGGGCAAAACCGCATCCAAACAGCTAGCAAAACTCATGGACAATTAATAATACAAAACAACACCAAATATAAAACCGTAAAATAGGGGAGAAGGATACGTGGCATATTAGAACAACCAACAACCAATACCACCGCTATATTAGAATGCATTCGATTTCTTCGAAGATGTAGACAAACACAATACTGAGATCGTGAATAAACTGAGCTTACAATCTGCAGAAAATTAGTTCGAGAAAAGGAATCATAACCCACAAATACATAATCAGAAAACACCATAGAAGATAAAGATGGATAACTTACTGTTTGCTCCTACTATTCTCTCGATTCTGATCATAGCAGATTAGGAAGATTGAGAAAGAGAGTGCTAATCCAGAAGTTATCCTGCTGAGGGATCTTTGACAAATAAAAAATTGATTCTGACGGGAGTCTCGGAGATGAAAATGCATCGGATCTGAGGGAAAAGATTTAGAGTTAGTAACTTAGATGTTCCACCAAAAACTATGAAGAAAAGCTCATAAAGAAAGCTCACCAAGGGCTTTCTGTTTCAAGCCTTCTCTGCCTTACTTTGCGATCCCCATCCCTGTATAGCCCTCGAACACATCAAACAAAAGACAGAGATGTCAAAAAAGAAAACTGATATAGATCACAGAGGGTTGAGAGAGTGGGAAAATAGATGGATGGAACCATAAGGAAAAAAAGAATACCTTTGACGATGTCTTTGGTCAGGATAATTGTGCGGACCCTTGATCAATATGTGGATTAGAAGCTACTAACCCCCTTTCTTGTTTCTGATGGCTTGAACGGGAACTTACAACCACCCCGACCGCATGATAAATCCCATTCCGAAGCCGAATCGCCAGTATTTGAGAAAGCAGAGAAAACAAACTCATGAGAGTGATGAACCATCTGAAACCAAAGGAAAAAATCCGGATATGAGGCTTCTCTTAATCGGTCAGGATAGAGAGAGAGAGAGGAAGGGATAACAGTCACCTCACACCCAAAAGTGAATATGCGGATATCGACTTGAACATCTCCGCTGCCGCCAAGGCGTTGCCGCTGCACCGAGGTGAAGAGCCACCGCCACAATTCTGTTTGGTTGATTTCTTCGGATAAGGATTCGAAGTTGTGCATCTCTCCCACACCGTCGTGAGCTAGACACCGCCAAAAAAGTTGATCTACCTAGAGACTCACACTATGTTTGGCAACAAGGGGGGTGCAAGTTCGAGGGGGTACAAGTTGAGGGGTAAATTGTTGGGGGGTGCAACTTGGTGGAGGGTGTAAGTGGAGGGGTAAATTGTTGTTTGGATGAAAAAGTAGGGGGGTGCAAATAGAGTAAAAAGTAAGTAATTATATTATTATAAAATAGATTTATCAATTTATAAAATATTATCACAAACATGAAAATTCAATATATAATAATAAAAATAATAAATAAAAATAATAAATAAAAATAATTATTATATAATAATGCTCAAATATAATTATTTATAACAACAATAATAATCATTGGTCGAGCAACCTCGAAACTCGAAATCCAACTCGTAACTGGTCATCCTAAGGGGGTTCTCGTGCCTAACTTTAAATTGAATATGGTCAAACTTAGTCAAACACGTTCGAATCTGTAAGTTTTAACTACTTATTAAAGTAAATCGAGTTAACTAAACTGTTCCTCTCTATCTTTTCAACAAATGCTTCTTATCTCTAATTTTCAATGCAAATTCGGGTCAACTAAGAGATATCGATTTGACGAGGCGAACATTGACAAACTTGCTCTCTGAGTCAAACGGTCAACCCCAAACAACTTCTACACTAATATAGATATAAGAAAAATTAATAATATTAATTATTATGTAATTATAGTCTAATTAAAAATTCATAATTCCCCTCCTCCCCCTTCCCCCTCCCTTCCTTCCTTCCCTTGCACCCCAATTTGGGGGGTAAGCCGAAACAGTGAATTTACGCTCACGTTTTGCACCCCCCTACTGTTACAAAATAACCAAACGGGGGTAAACACCTTGGAACTTGTGTTTACCCCTCCAAACTTGCACCCCCTTCCATTTACACCCCTTCCCAAACATAGTGTCAGAGATTATGAGCGAGTCTAGAGAGAATCGAGATTGGAGAGAGAGAGAGAGAGAGAGAGAGAGAGAGAGAGAGAGAGGAGGGAGAAATCGAAAAGAAGAATGGTGGAAAATGCAAAGAGAGAGAAATGGAACAGATGTTTAATGTGATCTCTCACCTCCCACTAAGCGAAGCTCTTCTCCCAATAGAGAAAGCACCCTCAGACCCCAACTCTCACACTACTTCAATGAGTGACCCCAGTCCCCTCAATGGTCTCTACAATCAAAACAGAGACATCAGTTCCTATCTCAGACCTCCAAACCCCAGTATCCTAGCTCCTCACTGTTTCCAGGCAGGTTACTCTGTCCATCGCCGAAGACTGAAGACTCTCTCTCTCTCAACAATCGCTCGGGAATCGATGGTGCAAAAGGCCACATCGGGTACACCTAGGCCTAGCCCACTTGCAGCCAACGCGAGAGAGGATACTCAAGAAACCATCAGTTCCATCCCACTTGCGCCCAAAAAAACTGAATAGCTCTCGATCCGCGCACATGTGCAGGCTCCAGTCACATAGAGTGCTCTAGTGACCAACGCGTTCGGGAACCCCAATCGATCCAACAGACAAACACAGCCAACAACCAGTTTCATCTTAACTTTCAATCAGCTTTCCAGTCCCTCGCATGGCCTACCATCTCTGAGCTATCCCATCTCCAAGCACAGTCTCTCCCTACCCAGCAGAACACCCACAGAGCAGCCGAAACCCTCGGTCCGCGTGCCCACTCGGGCCAAAGTCACATACCGATCTCTGATGACCAACGCGCGCCCGGGCCACCAAACGACCGCAACTAAGGCCAACCAGAAGCCAACGACCAGTCCCACCCCGACCGAGCCCCCAAACTCCGTCAGATCCCAATGAGGCCTCACCCAACAACAGCCCACACGCCATCCCACGCCAGTTTGAAACAGTAATTCTCAGTCACGTTGTACAGTAAAAGGTGTCTGCGTGTACAGTACCAGGGGCTGCGGTGGGTTTCTTTCTTTCAATTACTCATGAGTCAAGAAACAGTTCATCGAAATTCATTTGGATCCATGTCGAACGAATTGACAAGTTTTGATTATGTGTGAACGCGACTCGTGAATATTAACAAAGACGTCGATCGCTTGACATCTACATTTAGGGCTAGGAATCTAGACCAAACCGTATGGGAAATCGCAGTCTAGACCGTATCGTATGGTTTGGTTTGGTCCGCGTGACCAAAACTATGGACTTGTCTGGTTTGCGGTCTCCTATTTAGTGTGTGGTCTGATGTGGTCTGGACCACGGTCTACCGTAGTAAACCATAACAGACCATGACACACTACCTACTAATTCGTACAAAAAAAAGTAAATAACACTAAATTAAACATCAATTTCTATATTTGGAGAACAAAGTAAGTTGATTCTTCATCTAGTTGAGAGCCAATAGAATGCCCAAATGATCACTTATGCGTTACCTCTTTATCAAAGAACCACACAAAAATCAGAAAGATTCATAAATAATATTCACCGACAATGTCTAGACTATGGAGTGGATAAAACATAAACACTAGACAAAATTCATTCACCTTGATGAGATAAGAAAAATTATTGAGAGATAAGCCACCATGTTAGTAGTTCAAAACGACCTCGACGTCATCTTGAAGGTGATCGACCACGAGAATCATCGGATCACCCAAGAGAGGGAGAGAAGCGGTAGCACAAAGAAGAAGAGGGGAACAAGGCTATTTGATGTATATTTTTTTCAATGGATACTGGATAGAGCCGTGGAGACTGAAAAGAGAGTTTGAAGAATAAGAGTGAATTTTTTTAACATGGTCTGTCTGGTCCAGCCGTACCGGAACGCACCGCACAAGCGTGTTCTGGTCTGGACCATATAGTATATGGTATGGTCTATGGTCTGTATTCAACATCTCAGTCTGGAACACAGACCATATCTACGGTCTGATCTAGTCCGGACCGTACCGTTTTCCACCCCTATCTTATACTAATGTCAACTGAGTTGTAACTTTACACGCAATGTGGTGAACTACCTATTAGGCGACCTAAATGTCGTTCCGGCCTATAAATAGAGGCCCAAACTAATTGGGCCACCATGACCCCTTGGCCTTACACATATTGCCTCAAAATAGTCCAGCCTACAGGCCCATCTATTTGGCAATGGCTTTGTATCTCTGATTTTCTGCTTACAGTCTTCCGCGATTCCGCCAATCTCCTGGGCTCCTTTTTCCAACAGGGACATACTCGAAATCAAAGATTACCAATTCAACTCTCGCAAACCCTAATCCCCCGAGCTAGCGACCATCCACCGTCCAATTCCGAATCTTCTAGGCGGCTTCCCCGTCTCCTCGCCGTCGCTCAGAGCTTCCCGGCGAATCACCAGTCTGTTTCGTCGCATCAGGTAACCGAATTTCCTCCCCTTCTAATTATTTGCTCCCAACCGCTATTGGTAGTTTCTTCACGGCCATTGCTTGATTCAACCAATGATAGGACTGTTAGATATTAGCTTAAGTCTTGTGGAGAAAATGATCTCGTCTTCTTGATGGAATTAGTGATCAGAATTTCTTAACAGACTAAAATTAGGAGTCTTGAGTCAATTGCCTAGAGGGACGTATCCTTCTCTAGAACAACCGATCAAGGCGTTCTGAAATAGACTCCCTCTATCGAAAGAGGTTCTCAATCGATACAAAGCATTGAATCAACCCTCGACTAAAGCAATCGATCCAATACTATCAATCTATGGTGCTCTATTGACATAATCAGGTATTCGCTCTCATAGGATCAAAGCAGAATCAATAATCTCGACTAAAGCAGAATTGAATCGTGAAAACATGCATAGATTGAATATGAACTCAAGATTATCAAGTAGGAGTACTCATACAATCATCCAATCAAACAACTATAGCTAGGGTTCCTCAAAACCTAAGTGAAGGGAAGTTACTCCATAGAGAAAAGAGAGACTGAAGTAAGAATCTTCATATGATCAGTCTTCAAGTCCGGGCTTGTTTCTCGAGCTTCCAAGGCGAAGAAATCCTCCAATTTCACTCCAAGAATGCCCTCAAATCGCCCTCTATTTCATTGGTTCGTCCCTTGGGTGTTTGGGATCCAAAACCCAGCTCCCTCTTGCAAAAACGCACAAAACAGGCTTTTAACAGCCTGCGTTCGCGATCCTCGGTCAGAATCCCCTGTTGGGTATTTTTGGTTCACGACCGGGGATTTTTGGTTCACGACCGGGGATTTTTGGTTCACGATAGGGGATTTTTTGTTCACGACCGGGGATTTTTGGTTCACGATAGGGGATTTTTTGTTCACGATAGGGGATTTTTGGTTCACGATAGGGCCCCCTTCTGTTTCTCAGAGAAGCCCGAAACCAATTTTCCCCTATCTTTGACTCTTCGTTTCTCCCTCGTTTGGACTCCAAATCAGGTGCCGTTTGATCCCAGACGCTCGTAGTCTCGTCCTCTTTCTTCTCATGACAAGATTACATGATTATATGGTCACAAACGTAGGTAGAAATCCATCTTCTTCAAGTCATACCTGAGTTTCTTCCCCCGAGTCGCTAATTGATCTCCGATTGACTTGAAACTTGCGCCTACGCTTCACTTTATGTGCTAGGACCTGAAATGTGACAAAGGAACACAACCTAGCGTAAAATAGGCCAAAGAAGCGATAATGCAAGCTTAAATGATCAAGAAACAAAGGGGAAAACATGTGCAAATATCGAGTCATCAATTATACAGTATTCAATGCTGATGTGTATGTTCAATTCTGATATATGATGATAAGAAGAATAAACTTGGTATGTTTGTAATGACCATGCATATGGTAAGAGTGATGAGAGTGCTAATTGGTTTCGATAAGAAATTAGATGTTATCGAAGTGCTATCATGTGACAAGTAGGTTAATCTTATGTCTGCATTCCATCTATGCCCTTGAAAATACAATTGAAATTAGATGTTATCGAAGTGCTATCGTGCGTGCGACAAGTACGTTTATCGATTGCAATATTTCAATTGAGACTTACATCTATGCCATTGAAAATACAATTGCATTTCCATTGTCACATCACTTTGCAATTCAATATGATAGTTTTATGTGGATGATCTGAGTCTAATGGTGTCGGCATGACTTGGACCCTGTGGTGACGTGGATTTGTTTGATGCATTCTTTCTCTAACATTTGGATGGGCCTAGGCCGGGTATGGAGACTTTCGTGGGATATTGGGTCGGGCTCGTCTTAACTATGATGA